GTTGTTGTTGTTGTTCTACCTGCCGCTGCTGCCTGCAAATAGTGATGGTTCTGCCTTGGTTGTTGTAGTTGCTGTGCCTGCCGCCCCTGCCTGCGCTGGGTGATGTTCTGCCTTTATTGTTGTTGTTGTTGTGACTGCCGCCCCTGCCTGCGAATCGTGATGATTCTGCCTTGGTTGTTATTGTTGTTCTGCCTGCTGCCGCTGCCTGCGAAGCGTTATAGTTCCGCCTTGGTTGTTGTGGTTGTGCCTGCCGACCCCTGCCTGCGCATGGTGATTTTCCCCGGATGTTGTTGTTGTTGTTGTTGTTGTTGTTGTTGTTGTGCCTGCTCTCCCTGCCTGCGAATCGTGATGGTTCTGCCTTGGTTGTTATTGTTGTTCTGCCTGCCACTGGTGCCTGAGAAGCGTTATGGTTCCAACTTCGTTGTTGTAGTTGTTATGCCTACCGCCACTTCCTGCGAATCGTGATGGTTCTGCCTTGGTTGTTGTTGTTGTTGATGATGTGCCTGCCGCCCCTGCCTGCAAATCGTGATGATTCTGCCTTGGATGTTGTTGTGCCTGCTGCCCCTGCCTGCGAATCGTGATGGTTCCGCCTTGAATGTTGTTCTGCCTGCTGTCCCTGCCTGCGAATCATGATGGTTCCGCCGTGGTTGTTGTTGTGCCTGCCCACCCCTGCCTGCGTATTGTGATGTTCCTGCCTTCGTTGATGTTGTAGTTGTGTCTGCCGCACCTGCCTGCGAATCGTGATGGTTCTGCCTTGGTTGTTATTGTTGTTCTGCCTGCCACTGCTGCCTGCTAAGCGTTATGGTTCCACCTTGGTTGTTGTTGTTGTGCTTGCCGCCCCTGCCTGCGCAGGGTGATGTTCCGCCTTGGTTGTTGTTGTTGTTGTTGTTGTGACTGCCGCCCCTGCCTGCGAATCGTGATGGTTCTGCCTTGGTTGTTGTTGTTGTTGATGTGCCTGCCGCCCCTGCCTGCAAATCGTGATGATTCTGCCTTGGATGTTGTTCTGCCTGCTGTCCCTGCCTGCGAATCGTGATGGTTCCGCCGTGGTTGTTGTTGTGCCTGCCCACCGCTGCCTGCGTATTGTGATGTTCCTGCCTTGGTTGATTTTGTAGTTGTGCCTGCCGCACCTGCCTGCGAATCGTGATGGTTCTGCCTTGGTTGTTATTGTTGTTCTGCCTGCCACTGCTGCCTGCTAAGCGTTATGGTTCCGCCTTGGTTGTTGTTGTTGTTGTGACTGCCGCCCCTGCCTGCGTATCGTGATGGTTCTGCCTTGGTTGTTGTTGTTGTTGATGTGCCTGCCGCCCCTGCCTGCAAATCGTGATGATTCTGCCTTGGATGTTGTTCTGCCTGCTGTCCCTGCCTGCGAATCGTGATGGTTCCGCCGTGGTTGCTGTTGTGCCTGCCCACCCCTGCCTGCGTATCGTGATGTTCCTGCCTTGGTTGATGTTGTAGTTGTGCCTGCCGCACCTGCCTGCGAATCGTGATGGTTCTGCCTTGGTTGTTATTCTTGTTCTGCCTGCCGCTGCTGCCTGCGAAGCTTTATGGTTCCACCTTGGTTGTTGTTGTTGTGCCTGCCTCCCCTGCCTGCGAATGGCGATGGTTCTGCCTTGGTTGTTATTGTTGTTCTGCCTGCTGCCGCTGCCTGCGAAGCGTTATAGTTCCGCCTTGGTTGTTGTTGTTGTTGTTGTTGTGCCTGCCGCCCCTGCCTGCGCATGGTGATTTTCCCCGGATGTTGTTGTTGTTGTTGTTGAGCCTGCTGCCCCTGCCTGCGAATCGTGATGGTTTTGCCTTGGTTTTTATTGTTGTTCTGCCTGCCAATGCTGCCTGCGAAGCGTTATGGTTCCACCTTGGTTGTTGTTGTTGTTGTGCCTACCACCACTTCCTGCGAATCGTGATGGTTCTTCGTTGGTTGTTGTTCTTGTTGTGCCCGCCGCCCCTGCCTGCGAATGGCGATGGTTCTCCCTTGGTTGTTATTGTTGTTCTGCCTGCTGCCGCTGCCTGCGAGCGTTATAGTTCCGCCTTGGTTGTTGTTGTTGTTGTCCCTACCGCCACTTCCTGCGAATCGTGATGGTTCTGCCTTGGTTGTTGTTGTTGTTGATGTGCCTGCCGCCCCTGCCTGCAAATCGTGGTGATTCTGCCTTGGATGTTGTTCTGCCTGCTGCCCCTGCCTGCGAATCGTGATGGTTCTGCCTTGGTTTTTATTGTTGTTCTGCCTGCCACTGGTGCCTGAGAAGCGTTATGGTTCCACCTTCGTTGTTGTAGTTGTTGTGCCTACCGCCACTTCCTGCGAATCGTGATGGTTCTGCCTTGGTTGTTGTTGTTGATGATGTGCCTGCCGCCCCTGCCTGCAAATCGTGATGATTCTGCCTTGGATGTTGTTCTGCCTGCTGCCCTGCCTGCGAATCGTGATGGTTCCGCCTTGGATGTTGTTCTGCCTGCTGTCCCTGCCTGCGAATCGTGATGGTTCCGCCGTGGTTGTTGTTGTGCCTGCCCACCGCTGCCTGCGTATTGTGATGTTCCTGCCTTGGTTGATGTTGTAGTTGTGCCTGCCGCACCTGCCTGCGAATCGTGATGGTTCTGCCTTGGTTGTTATTGTTGTTCTGCCTGCCACTGCTGCCTGCTAAGCGTTATGGTTCCGCCTTGGTTGTTGTTGTTGTTGTTGTTGTGACTGCCGCCCCTGCCTGCGAATCGTGATGGTTCTGCCTTGGTTGTTGTTGTTGTTGATGTGCCTGCCGCCCCTGCCTGCAAATCGTGATGATTCTGCCTTGGATGTTGTTCTGCCTGCTGTCCCTGCCTGCGAATCGTGATGGTTCCGCCGTGGTTGTTGTTGTGCCTGCCCACCCCTGCCTGCGTATCGTGATGTTCCTGCCTTGGTTGATGTTGTAGTTGTGCCTGCCACACCTGCCTGCGAATCGTGATGGTTCTGCCTTGGTTGTTATTCTTGTTCTGCCTGCCGCAGCTGCCTCGCGGCGTTATGGTTCCACCTTGGTTGTTGTTGTTGTGCCTGCCGCCCTGCCTGCGAATGGCGATGGTTCTGCCTTGGTTGTTATTGTTGTTCTGCCTGCTGCCGCTGCCTGCGAAGCGTTATAGTTCCGCCTTGGTTGTTGTTGTTGTTGTTGTTGTTGTGCCTGCCGACCCCTGCCTGCGCATGGTGATTTTCCCCGGATGTTGTTGTTGTTGTTGTTGTTGTGCCTGCTGCCCCTGCCTGCGAATCGTGATGGTTTTGCCTTGGTTTTTATTGTTCTTCTGCCTGCCAATGCTGCCTGCGAAGCGTTATGGTTCCACCTTGGTTGTTGTTGTTGTTGTGCCTACCGCCACTTCCTGCGAATCGTGATGGTTCTTTGTTGGTTGTTGTTCTTGTTGTGCCCGCCGCCCCTGCCTGCGAATGGCGATGGTTCTCCCTTGGTTGTTATTGTTCTTCTGCCTGCTGCCGCTGCCTGCGAAGCGTTATACTTCCGCCTTGGTTGTTGTTGTTGTTGTCCCTACCGCCACTTCCTGCGAATCGTGATGGTTCTGCCTTGGTTGTTGTTGTTGTTGATGTGCCTGCCGCCCCTGCCTGCAAATCGTGGTGATTCTGCCTTGGATGTTGTTCTGCCTGCCGCTGCTGCCTGCGAATCGTGATGATTCTGCCTTGGATGTTGTTCTGCCTGCTGCCCCTGCCTGCGAATCGTGATGGTTCCGCCTTTGTTGTTGTTGTTTTGCTTGCCGCCCCTTCCTGCGCAGGGGGATGTTCAGCCTTGGTTGTTGTTGTTGTTGTGCCTGCCGCCTCTGCCTGCGAATCGTGATGGTTCTGCCTTGGTTGATGTTTATTTTGTGCCTGCCGCTACTGCCTCCGAAGCGTTATGGTTCTGCCTTGGATGTTGTTCTGCCTGCTGCCCCTGCCTCCGAATCGTGATGGTTCTGCCTTTGTTGTTCTTGTGCCTGCCGACTCCTGCCTGCGCAGGGTGATGTTCTGCCTTTATTGTTGTTGTTGTTGTGACTGCCGCCCCTGCCTGCGAATCGTGATGGTTCTGCCTTGGTTGTTATTGTTGTTCTGCCTGCCACTGCTGCCTTCGAAGCGTTATGGTTCCACCTTGGTTGTTGTTGTTGTTTTTGTGCCTGCCGCCCCTGCCTGCGAATTACGATGGTTCTGCCTTGGTTGTTATTGTTGTTCTGCCTGCTGCCGCTGCCTGCGAAGCGTTATAGTTCCGCCTTGGTTGTTGTTGTTGTGCCTGCCGACCCCTGCCTGCGCATAGTGATTTTCCCCGGATGTTGTTGTTGTTGTTTTTGTGCCTGCTGCCCCTGCCTGCGAATCGTGATGGTTCTGCCTTGGTTGTTATTGTTGTTCTGCCTGCCGCTGCTGCCTGCGAAGCCTTATGGTTCCACCTTGGTTGTTGTTGTTGTTGTTGTGCCTACCGCCTCTTCCTGCGAATTGTGATGGTTCTGCCTTGGTTGTTGTTGTTGTTGATGTGCCTGCCGCCCCTGCCTGCAAATCGTGATGATTCTGCCTTGGATGTTGTTCTGCCTGCTGTCCCTGCCTGCGAATCGTGATGGTTCCGCCGTGGTTGTTGTTGTGCCTGCGCACCCCTGCCTGCGTATCGTGATGTTCCTGCCTTGGTTGATGTTGTAGTTGTGCCTGCCGCACCTGCCTGCGAATCGTGATGGTTCTGCCTTGGTTTTTATTGTTATTCTGCCTGCCACTGCTGCCTGAGAAGCGTTATGGTTCCACCTTGGTTGTTGTTGTTGTTGTTGTGCCTGCCGCCCCTGGCTGCGCAGGGTGATGTTCCGCCTTGGTTGTTGTTGTTTTTGTGCCTGCCGCCCCTGCCTGCGAATTACGATGGTTCTGCCTTGGTTGTTATTGTTGTTCTGCCTGCTGCCGCTGCCTGCGAAGCGTTATAGTTCCGCCTTGGTTGTTGTTGTTGTGCCTGCCGACCCCTGCCTGCGAATCGTGATGGTTCTGCCTTGGTTGTTGTTGTGCCTGCTGCCCCTGCCTGCGAATCGTGATGGTTCTGCCTTGGTTGTTATTGTTGTTCTGCCTGCCGCTGCTGCCTGCGAAGCGTTATGGTTCCACCTTGGTTGTTGTTGTTGTTGTGCCTACCGCCTCTTCCTGCGAATCGTGATGGTTCTGCCTTGGTTGTTGTTGTTGTTGATGTGCCTGCCGCCCCTGCCTGCAAATCGTGATGATTCTGCCTTGGATGTTGTTCTGCCTGCTGCCGCTGCCTGCGAATCGTGATGGTTCCGCCGTGGTTGTTGTTGTGCCTGCGCACCCCTGCCTGCGAATCGTGATGGTTCTGCCTTGGTTTTTATTGTTATTCTGCCTGCCACTGCTGCCTGAGAAGCGTTATGGTTCCACCTTGGTTGTTGTTGTTGTTGTTGTGCCTGCCGCCCCTGGCTGCGCAGGGTGATGTTCCGCCTTGGTTGTTGTTGTTGTTGTGCCTGCCGCCCCTGCCTGCAAATCGTGATGATTCTGCCTTGGATATTGTTCTGCCTGCTGCCCCTGCCTGCGAATCGTGATGGTTCCGCCTTTGTTGTTGTTGTTTTGCTTGCCGCCCCTTCCTGCGCAGGGGATGTTCTGCCTTGGTTGTTGTTGTTGTTGTTGTGCCTGCCGCCCCTGCCTGTGAATCGTGATGGTTCTGCCTTGGTTGATGTTTATTTTGTGCCTGCCGCCACTGCCTCCGAAGCGTTATGGTTCTGCCTTGGATGTTGTTCTGCCTGCTGCCCCTGCCTGCGAATCGTGATGGTTCTGCCTTTGTTGTTGTTGTGCCTGCCGACCGCTGCCTGCACATGATGATTTTCCGCCTTGGTTGTTGTTGTTGTTCTACCTGCCGCTGCTGCCTGCAAATAGTGATGGTGCTGCCACAAATAATTTTTATAGTCGTATCGACAGTATATGGATTACTAAGCATATGACAATTAAAGCAGAGAATGCCATATTACCAAAAACACTCACACATCACAATCCAGTATCATTACCTCTTAAAGGAAAACAGAAGAAGGGGGGGGAGTGGAGAATGAATGTTTTCCTATTAAAAAACCAAAAAGTAATACAAAGATCCATAAAGTTGATGAAGGAATATTTTGAAAACAATTGGAGGAAAGGGACAGATGTAAAAACAGTGTGGGATGCTGGGAAGGCAGTTGTTAGGGCATATTTCATACAACAAAACTCAATAGCATATAAGAATAAATAAAAAAAGAAAAGGGAGCTTTTAGAAGAAATTAAAAGGAAAGAAAAATTTGCCTATGCAAGCAAAAATAAAGGGAGATTAAATCAAGAAATTAAATTATTGAGAGTAGAATACAATAAAATTATAGAACAGGGGGCAGAACAACAAATCAAATTTTGGAAATATAAAAATTTTGAATGGGCAAATAAACCGGGAAGATCCTTGCCAGGCAATTAAAGAAACAAAGAAATGAAAAATTAATAAATAAGATAGAAGTAGAAGAGAGGACAATAGGGGATATTACAGAAATTTAAAAAGAATTTGAAAAGTATTATAAAAAATTATATCAAAAAGATCAAGTGTCAATAGAAGAAATAGAGGAATATATAAAGAAAAATAAATTAATAGAGATAGCAGAAGAAGACCATAAATGAACCAATATCAACCGTAGAAATTAAGGAATCAATTCAAAAATTAAAAATAGGGAAATCCCCAGGTCTAGACGGCATACCAGCAGAATACTATAAAGAAATGTTAAATGAATTAATTGACCCACTAAAAGAAGTAATAGAGGAAGTGGTAGAGATGGGGAATATTCCAGACTCTTGGACTCAAGCATATCTAACGCACCCGCCAAAACAAGGTACGGACTTGGAATCTGTCTCAAATTATAGACCCATTTCATTGTTAAATTCGGATTATAAAATTTATGCAGGATTATTGGCTAACAGGTTGAAAAAAAAATAGGAAAAATAATACATAAAAATCAGGCTGGATTTGTGGAAGGAAGACAAAGGATAATATTAGAAGTATAATAGACATAATGGAATATCTACAAGTAAGAAGAGATAAACAAGCAGCCCTGATTTCAACTGATGTGGAGAAGGCTTTCGATAAAATCTCATGGGAATTTATGAAAAAAACTATTAAAAGAATTGTGTCTAGGTGAAAAATTCCAAAAAGGTATAAATGCAATATATAACCAACAGAAAGCAAAAATTATTATTAATGGAGAGTTTGGAGAAGAAATCAATATCTTTAAAGGTACAAGACAAGGATGCCCCCTATCCCCAATGTTGTTTATAATAGTATTAGAGGTTCTATTAAAGAAAATAAGGCAGGACAACCAAATAAGAGGAATAGTAGTTGGTGAAAAAAGATATAAGTTAAGAGCCTTTGCAGATGATGTTACGATCACAACAGAAAATCCCCTACAATGCACACCTAGAATATTGGAATGTATAAACGAATATGGCAGATTAGCAGGATTCAAATTAAACTGTGGGGAAACCAAAATACTAGTGAAAAATATGGAAGAAAAAGATAAAGTGAAATTACAAGAAATTACAGGATTGGAAATTAAAAAGAAAATAAGGTATCTTGGAATAAATTTAACAACAAATACTATAGATTTAAGTAATGAGAACTATGGGAAAACATGGAATGAAATAAAAAAGGATTTGCTAGTATGGGGAAAATTAAATCTTCCCTTACTAGGGAAAATATCGGGGATAAAGATGAACATATTACCAAGGATGATGTTTTTATTTCAAAGTATCCCAATACTAGGAGGAGATAAATGTTTTAATAATTGGAAAAGAGATTTGGCCAAATTCGTGTGGTCAGGAAAGAAACCAAGAATAAAACACAAAATAATGATAGACAAGAGGGAGAGAGGAGGATTTGGCCTCCCTGACATGGAGTTATATCATGACGCGGTAGGTCTGACCTGGCTAAAAGAATGGATCAAATTAGAGGACTCAGATGTATTGGATTTAGAGGGAGACGAGACGAGATTTGGATGGCACGCCTATCTAATAGATGAAAAAGTCAAAGTACATAAAGGCTTCCTAGGACATATAGTCAGAAAGTCTATATATAAAATATGGGAGAAATATAAAAGACTCCTAGAACCGAAAACTCCTTGGTGGGCATCGCCGGCAGAAATTGTCGCAGTGAAAAAATTAAATACCTGTATGAAAGAAAATTGGGCTACATATAAAATTGTATTGAAGGAAGAAAATGGAGAATTGGAATTAAAGGATTCTACAGAAATTAAAGCTCATATTAGTGACTGGTTCCAATATATTCAAATTAAGTATAGATTAGCGAAAGACAAAAAGTTAGGATTTGAAAAATAAATATCAAAATTCGATAAATAATACAAGAAAAATCAAAAGATATATCTAAATTGCATATTCTGATCTTAGAGTGGGAAACAAAGGATGAATTGGTTAAAGCATCCAAGATTAAACGGGCGCAAGATATTGGGGAAAATATTATGTTTGAACAATGGGAAAAATTGTGGAAAGAAGATATGAAATTCACTATGTGTTATATATTGAAAGAAAATTACCTTAAAATACAACATAGATGGTATTTAACACCGGAAAGAATAGCAAAGATGAATAAAAATTGTAGCAATGTCTGCTCGCTATGCAACACTGGAAATGGTACTATGATACATATATGGTGGAATTGTTTAAACATCAAACAATTTTGGGAAACAATATATAATGAAATGAAAAACAATGTTTAGATATTCATTTAGGAAAACACCAGAAGGTTTTCTATTGGGAATAGTATCAGGAAGTCTAAAGGAAGAAGACAAGACATTATATTTCTACGCAACAGTAGCCGCTAGGCTATTGATTGCGAAAAATTGGAAAAGTGGCATTATACCGACAAAAATAGAGTGGCTTGCCAAATTATTGGAGTACTACAATACATCCAAAACAATGGGAGAAATTGGATCTCAAAAGAGAAGATAGACAGGGATTGGAAGGTGTTTAAAGGATACTTGCAAAACCATATTGAAAAACCAGAACTCCTATTAGAATAAACAAGTTCTGTTTTAAATACTGAAATACTAAATAAGATGGATAACAATGTGTAATGGAAAAAGAAGCATGAAATTAGGTTAAAGGTGTGTGAAAGAAAGTAATAGAAGTGGAAAGAAATTGCAATTGAGTAGATTGGAAGTCTAACACAAAGGTGGGGTGAGGAGTGGTGGATGGTGATGGGAAAAGGAATTATCTGTGGGTCTGAATGTAGGTATGTTTGAATATAGTTAAGGATTGTATGAAATGTATGTTTGTATGCTTTTGTGTATTAATGCTGAATTATTTTAACAATAAAAACTTTTCAATTTTTTTTTATTTTTTTTTTAAGGGATGGTTCTGCCTGGCTTTTTGTTGTTGTTGTTGTTGTTGTTGTGCCTGCCGCCCCTGCCTGCGAATCGTGATGGTTCTGCCTTGGTTGTTGTAGCCTATCCATTACCAAAGATAGGAGATTTATTGGTGAAGGTTAGGACTGGGAAAATCTTCACTAAGTTGGACTTGAGGGGGGCGTATAATCCGATCAGAATCCGAGAGTGAGATGAGTGGAAAACCACCTTTTCCACCCTTCTTGGGTCATATGAGTTCTTAGTCATACCCTATGGCTTACAGGCGGGCACACCCACGTTTCAATCCTTTATACAGCACGTATTGGGGTCACTGCTGTACAAAAACTATGTGTGTTATTTGGGTGATGTGCTAATTTTCTCAGAAACGAAGGAGGAACATGTGAAGCACGTGAAAGAGGTATTGGAGAGGTTAAAAAGGTGTAAGTTGTATGCCAAGTTAGAGAAATGCCAGTTCCATGTGCCAGAAGTGGAATTGTTAGGCTACCGCCTCTCAGCAGGAGGTGTGCACATGGAAAAAGGAAAGGTGAAAAGTGTGCTGGAATGGAAGCCGCCCAAAAGTCAGGAGAGCATGAGGCTCTTAATCTCAGAGTTGTGGGTTCGAGCCCCATATTGGGCAAAAGATTCCTGCCTTGCAGGGGGCTGGACTAGATGACCCTTTTAAAATACATAAATAATAAACAAATTGATCTTCCTTTCGCAATCTAATTAACCTAATTTCATTGGCTATTGTATTTACTAGTTGTTGCCTAGGAATTCTTACCTATAGTTTGCCTATAAGCAGTGTAAACGGTGCTGAACTAGGCTTGCGGTCTTTAACGTGCGCACCTGGTCTTAACTTAGTTTCATTGGCCATTGGGGATTACTGGTTTTTGAATCTGGTTTCTTTCCAAGTGTGGTCAGTTTAATCAATATTGAACTAGGCTGGCTGGGCTAAAGTGTCCTCTTGTAATAAAGGCTTAATTTTAAAAGGGAAAGACTCAGGCTTGCAGGTCTAAACAGTGCCTGGCCTGCTTGACCAATCTGCACGATTAAAGTTTGGAGTACAAGAGTTACTGTTGCGGCCGATATAATGACTTCCAAGAGAACCCAACAGGCGCAATCTTCTGTTCCTCCCCAAGAACTCCCCAATATAAGTGGGTCCTGTGTTCAGGACGGGTCAGGGTAGCCTCCTGTGCCCTGCAACCCACAGGCGTTGTCGCAGTTTTTCTCTGCTTTGAAACCTTTTGCCAACAATTCAGGCCCATGGTCACTGCGTCCTCTTCCCAAATAGTGGGTACTCCTGATTGCATACCCCTTACCTGCGCTCTGGAGGCTTCGCGTTGCTTTCGCTGAAGCCAGGAGAGTCTGGTCTTTGAGGCTTTCCCCCACCGCAGCGCTTCCCCCCACCGCCAGCCCCACAAGCTCAGGGGGGGCAGTGGGAAGGCGGCACAGCCTTTAAAGAGCGTGCCGCTCTTGGGGGCTTTTCCCCAAGGAGGGAGAAGGGACTGAGTGGCCGAGTCAGTCCCATCTCCCTCCTGTGGGCTTTTGCAGGAGATGGGGGGATTCCCCAACCTCCCGCAAAAGCCGCATGCTCTTTAAAGGGTGCGCGGCTTTTGCTGGCTTTTCTATGAGGTGGTGGAATTCCTCCACCTCGTAGAAAAGCCCGCAGGCTACAGCTTGCACCAAAAAAATCACACACCCACTGTTGCCTGGGGCCGCAGTGGTGCCATGAGCAGAGGATCCATGGTTCCCCTTCCTTCCTTCCTCCGTGGCTCGCTTTGAAACAGCAAAGCGGGAGAGGAAACAAGTGTAAGCGGCTCCTGTCTGGTTGGCTGCTTTAAAGCAACCGTGCTCTCTGTCCCTCTCTCCTCCCCACTCAGCTCGCTAAATAGCAGCAAAGCTTTTCAGCTCGCTAAGCCGGGGAGGAGGGAGAGAAGCAGAGCCTGCTTGCTTTAAAGGAGCAAAGCGGGAGAGGAGAGGAGCCTTCTCCCCTTATACCCCTCTTCTGCATTATTAGCAGCATCCTTCTCCACCCACCCCACGCGTGTTCCTTCTCCCCTTAAACCCCTCTTCTGCATTATTAGCAGCATCCTTCTCCACCCACCCCACGCGTGTTCCTTCTCCCCTTAAACCCCTCTTCTGCATTATTAGCAGCATCCTTCTCCACACACCCCACGCGTGCTCCTTGTCCCTTGAGTGCTTTTCCTTCCCTCCCCACTTAAAACGTGGTTACAAAGCACGGATCCACATGGATACTCAGGATTTTTGCATTGGGTCACCCCAAATTCACCATCAGATCACATAGCATGTCCATGGCTACAGCCTGCACCAAAAAAATCACGCACCCACTGTTTCATGGGGCCACAATGGCGAAAAAATGTGGTTTCAAAGCATGAATCCACATGGATCCTCAGGATTTTTGCATTGGGCTACCCCAAACTCACCGTCAGATCACATGTCTGTGGCCAAGCATGAACCACAAAAATCATACATCCACTGTTTCGTTTCGAATATTTTTTTTCTTGTTTTCCTCCTCTAAAAACGATGTGCGTGTTATGGTCAGGAGCGTGTTATAGAGGAAAAAAATCTGGTAATTCAGCCGCAAACCGGTATTAATTTGGCCCATGGTTTTGGCGTTCTCTTCTGTTAAGCTCTCACCTCTTAGATCCCTCCTAACTCAGGGGACCCCCTAAACAAACAAACAAACAAAAACCAGTTAGAGAAATGCCAGCTATTGCAAAAAGAAAATAAAGAAATTCTGGCTGGGAGGGTGGCCGGCCCCTTCAGGGAGCCACCTATAGTGGGTTTACACATTTCACCTTTAGGCATCGTCCCTAAAAAGACTCCAGGAGAGAATCGTATGATCCACAACCCATCCTACCCTAGAGGTGGCTCAGTCAATGATGCAATACCACAGGAGCCTTGTTCTGTGAAATGTGCCTCCTTGGATCAGGCTATAAAGCTTATTCGTAGGTTCAGCTAAGTGCGTCATTGAGTCGGCCTTCCACCTCCTGCCAATTCACCCAGAGGATTTTCTGTGGCTAGGTTTTAGGCTGAGGGCGCTTAGTTCATAGACAAATCTATGCCGATAGGGTGCTCAGTAGCTTGTGTAGCTTTTGAGTCATTTAGTACAATTTTAGACTGGGCCCTTTGCTTTAGAACTGGTTCTAAAAGGGTGACCCATTACCTCAATAACTTTTCTCTCATCACTAGTAATAGCCCTGGTTGCGCTTCTCTTTAGAGGCTTTTGCCTCCCTGGCTGAGGAGCTTGGGGTACCTTTGGTGGCAGACAAAACAGAGGGTCCAGTTTCGACCATAACCTATTTTGGGTAATGAATTGGACACAATCGCACGGACATCAGCCTACCAAGGTAGAAGCTAGCAGCACTTAAGGAATTAATTCTGCAACTTCTTCCCCTCAAGAAGGCTACCCTTAGGCAGAGTCGATCACTCTTGGGTCACCTCAACTTTGCATGCTGGGTAGTGCCCCCTGGCTGCCCTTTTGTGGGCAATTGGCTAAGCTGTCAGCGGGACTGCATGCTCCTCAACACAGAGTGCGCCTCTCTAAAGTGATCAAGTCAGACCTGGAGGTCTGGTTAAAGTTCCTGGATAAGTACAAGGGCATTTCTTTGTGGCAGGACAATTTGATGCTGCCTTCAGACTTTCAGGTACAGTCTGATGCAGCTGGTTCCCTGGGGCTTGGTGTCTACTTTAGGAGGCGCTGGTGTGCTCAGCATTGGCCTACCAGCTGGCAAGGAAAACCTATCACGTGTGAGCTCACCTTCTTAGAATTTTCCTGTCGTAGTTCCGGTGCACTTGTGGGCTGATGAGTTCGGGAATCACCAGGTATGCTTCTGGACTGACAATCAAGCGGTTGTCAGTGTCCTGTCTAAGCAATCATCGCACTCTCCTAGGGTGGCAAAGCTGCCCTTTGTCCTTTTGGGCTTAGAATTAATCATCTATTTCTCTGCCAAATTTACACCTAGGGTTAACAATGACATCGCGGATGCTCTGTCCCGTTTTCAGATGGACTGCTTCCGCCCATCAGCACCAGAGGCGCAGCAATTGCCACAGCCATTCCTGGATCACCTTGGGAGCCTTGGGAACATGAGGTCCTGAAGGGAATATTGGCTTCAGTGGTCCCGTCCATGCTTAGACCTTATAAAAAGGCTTGGTCGGACTTTATGGAGTTGCAAGGCAAATTAAAAAATTCTAGGCTTGACACACCCCCTACCAAGGCTGAAGTTCTACAATACTTGGTACATTTGAGGGAGCTGGGTCGCGCAGCAAAGACTCTTAAACATCCAGTCAGCTGCAATCTCCTCCTTCTGTAAGGCTATTTACTCCATAGACCCTTGTGCGGATTTCTTAGTGTGAAGGGCACTGGGGGGCTGGCGCAGGCTGCAGCCTCCCAGCAGTGATGGTAGAAGGCCCATAACTTATGGCATTCTATGCCAAATCCAAATAATAATAACAACAATGAAAATAAAAATTAAGAAGTATCTGTTGGTCCGAGTGCAAGGCCCGGTTATTTTTCGGCTGCATACTCCATCGCCTCCTTTGGCACTCTGCGCGTTGGTGAAGTGGTTTGTGAGGGCCAACAAGATTCCATTGCCCGGGGTAGTTTATTGAGAGACCTGTCCTTGTCCAGATCCAATTTAGTCCTGCATGTCCGATGTTCCAAAACTGATCAGCAGGAAAAGGCGGCCCTTACTCGGCTCCAAGCAATTAGTCACAATGGGCCATGCCCAATAAAGGGCACTAGACATTTCATGTACAGTACGTGGGATCGACCGTCTCAGGCCCATTCCTCATAAATTTGGATGGCTCCCGTCTTACACAGCATCAGTTCATGCGTGCTATGCAAAGGGCGACTGCTGCCTGTGGTTTACCCCCAGCTGAATTCGCGGCCAACTCCTTTTGGATTAGGGCCGCCACCACAGCAATGCATTTGGGACTCTCGGCTGAATGGATGAAGGACTTGGGGCGGTGGACGTCTGATACTTTTAAGGGATACCGTATTTTTTGCTCTATAGGATGCACTTTTCCCCCTCCAAAAATGAAGGGGAAATGTGTGTGCGTCCTATGGAGCAAATGCAGGCTTCAGGCAGCTATCCGCAAGCATTCGGAGCCTGGCGGGAACTCCCGCTGCACTCAGAAGCCTTGTGGATAGCTGCCTGTTCTGGGGGCTGGGGTCGGGGGAAGCTCGGGCTTCCCCCGTCCCCAGCCCCGCAAGCTCCAGGAGCAGCGGCGAGGTTGCACGCAATCTTGCCGCCGCTCCTGGACCTGTTTTGGGGGCTGGGGCCGGAGGAAGCTCAGGCTTCCCCCTCCCCAGTCCCATGGCTAAAAACGAAGCTGCGCGCAGCCTCTCCCGGCTGGAGAGGTTGCATGCGGCTAAAGAGGAAGCCAAGACAGCCAGTGGGATGGATCCCGCTCGCTGTCTTGGCTTCTTTGCTCTTTGGGGCTGGGGAGGGGGAATAAAAATTTGTTTCTTTATTTCCCCCCCTAAAAACTAGGTGCGCCCTATGGTCCGGTGCGCCCTATGGAGCGAAAAATACGGTATATTCGTAAGACCTTGTGATTGTTCACGCTATACCTGACCTGGCTTTGTTACCTTCTTTTGCTTTCAGGAAACGTAGTGGTGCACAGTTGGATTACAGGCCACAGCATTGTCTACTGGGCTAGTAACCGTGCCGTCAACTGTGGCCTGGGGTGCAAGCTGGATCTTCCACTAAAAATATATATAAGTTTCCTGAATCTCACGGAAGGGGGTGCACTGGGCAGAATTTATGCCTGCAGTGAAAACCAGAGCCACTTTGGAAGGTCCCCTCATGCTCTGGTAATTCAGCTGGGGGGAAATGACTTGGCCTATCGGAAAGGCGTGGACTTGATGTGGCACAATTAGAATGACTTCAATGAACTGATTGCCTCATTGCCAGATTCAACCCTAATTTGGTCACCACCGCTGGCGAGGCATGTATGGAGGGACTGTCAGTGCCCATTGTGATAAACAAAGCCAGGAAGCTTTTGGTACATTTGGCGGCGCGTAGAGTGGCAGCTCTGGGGGGTTGGGTCATTGACCACCCCAACATCCAGTTCAGCTAAGTGGCCCTCTACCAAGAGGATGGCGTACATCTTTCCGATGTGGGAAACGATGTGTGGTTGGCGGATATGATGGCTGGGATTAGGGATTGGTTGCAGGTTTGAGGGTATTGGCGGCGAGCTTTTGCTCGAGTGGCGGTTAGGCATTGGTAAGGGTATTGTTATGTAGATGGGGGGGAGGAAGCGCCATCACCTCCCCCAGTTTGAAGGGTTGTCCGGTAAAGGATTCCGGGGGGCGTGGCCCTCTCCGAAGCCTATGGAGGTGAAGTCCCAAGGCACGCCCCTGAGCGGTGACCCCGGGGGAGATCCTAGTTGATGTGCATCAGCAGGACTCCCCCTACTGGTGGTTAACCCTTGCCGGTCTTCAAGCAGTCAGGCTGAAGCTGGTTAGACGATAGGACCAATGCCTAAGCCAATACTGCTCAATTCCTGTAATCAATAAAGTTGTGGCCTATTTTTGCCCATTAACCTAAAATACTGGTGTCCTGTGTCTTTATTTCCGAGGGGGAGGTGGGAACTCGCCACACAACTGCAAACCTTCCCTGGGGTCTGGCTCATTTATGACACGGGGCAATTGTTGAGCTTGTGTGACCTCACGACTCCCCTACTTCATTGTGACATCATGATGATGATGTATCAGTGATGTATCAATGATGGTTTTGGACATGTATTCTGGTCAGGAGGGAAGGTCTTCAAAGAACTTGCAACCCATGTTCGAGGTTCTTACTCTGTGTGGGGACTTGTTGCGCATCAATAAAGATTGTGGTCTACTCACCACTGTTCTATCACCATCTTGGAAGCGCCCCTCTCGGCTAGGCATTTCTTCTTGTGCCCTGGCAAAGCATTTCTTTCTGTGCCCTGCACTTAGGAAGGCCCCAGCCCTGCAAAGTCCTACTGGCCACAGGGCCTGGCTCCTGCACGCACTCCTGACACCCAGGATTCTTCACCCTGGCCGGGCCTTCTGCACCCTGGCCAGATCCTCTCTCTTCCTGGCTGCTTCCTTCACTGCTAGTTGGCTGCAAACCTTCTCTGGAGTCTGGCTCATTTATGACACGGGGCAATTGTTGAGCTGAGCTTCTGTAACCTCACGACTCCCCTACCTCATTGTGACATGATGATGATGTATCAGTGATGTATCAATGATGGTTCTGGACATGTTTTCTGGTAGGGAGGGAAGGTCTTCAAAGAGCTTGCAACCCATGTTTGGGGTTCTTACTCTGTGTGGGGGCCTGTTGTGCAACAATAAAGATTGTGGTTGTTGTAAACAAAATCTGCCCTTTTTCCCTTATGGGGTATCCAAGAGCCCATATAGAGTCCTTACATAGGTTCCCTATTGGTAGGAGAAAATAACAGAGGCCAACCAGAGAATATTGAGAAGCAAAGCAGCTAGTAAGCTTGATCTTTATTGATCTGTTGCAACAGGGTGCTCCCCTCACACGCAGGAAAGGAGGAGGACCCAGAAAAATAGTGTGCAAGGCCTTATAAAGACTTTTGAAATTGCCACCCTGTAGATCAAGACCACCCCCAGAAACATCATACATACATCACAGACGGGATGTAACCTAAGACCACCCCCAGATACATCAAAGCTACATCACAGAAAAGTCGGTCTAAAACAGAAATTTGAATGTTGTTTTTCCTGTTTGCCAGGTTATCTGACTGCCTTTCCTGATAGTCTGTCACCCATTAAAATGCTGATTACTCAATTCGTGAGACAATAGGAAGGCTCCCTGACCCGCCCACCCCTCTCCCTCCTTGCAGGGAGAACATTTGGTCAGTTTGGGAATCAAAATGGTTTCAGGTTGGTCTTCCTGTGCTGATCTATGTAAGTGCTTGGTTGGTACACCTATGAACATTACCATATATCAAGACCTAAAATTCCTATCACAATACCATATACAGTGGTACCTCGGGTTAAGTACTTAATTCGTTCCGGAGGTCCGTACATAACCTGAAACTGTTCTTAACCCTAAGCACCACTTTAGCTAATGGGGCCTCCTGCTGCCGCTGTGCCGCCGGAGTATGATTTCTGTTCTCATCCTGAAGCAAAGTTCTTAACCTGAAGCACTATTTCTGGGTTAGCGGAGTCTGTAACCTGAAGCGTATGTAACCTGAAGTGTCTATAACCCGGGGTACCACTGTACTTTCTATGGGAAAGCGCACCTTGGTTTTGGAAGAGACTTCTGGAATGGATTAAGTTTGAGAACCAAAGTACCACTGTACTTTAAAAGGTGGGGAGGGGTCATGGTTTGGTGGCAAAGCACACAATTTGCACACAGAATGTCCCCAAGTTTGATATCTGGCATTCAGATAGATGGGACCCTGGGCCAAGCACTTTCTCATAGGCCCCTCCTCTGACACTGGACCCTAGCAGTACCAGATTTCTGCAACGAGCTGCCCTTTTTGTTTCCCGCAATGCCCCCGATGTAGCCTCACTCCTGGGGCATTGTGGGAAATTAAAATGGCGGGTCGGTACGGCTGCCCAGTGCTGTTTGCTGTTTGATCACTTGTAACCCTACCTGGAGATGCATGGGCTCAAAACAAAGGGCTGAATTAAATAGAAACAGGAGAGGTTGTTTTATATAGAGTCAGATATTGGCCCATTCAGCTCAGGATTGACAACACTGGCTGGCAGCTGCTGCTCTCCAGGATTTCAGACAGGGTGTCTTCCCAGCCCTACACCTGGAGGTGTCAGGGGTTGAACCTGGGCCTTCCGAATCCAAACCAGGTACTCTAAGACGCACCCTTACTTTATGCTTTCAAAGATCAAACATGTCTTGGGGATCATTTATTTTATTAATGTTTTGTTACAGTGGGTTGAGCACATTATATTCCGGCCCCCCTTGAAAATATACCATCTCTTCTTTCTCCTCTTAATAAATTGTGAGGATTCCTCCCCGTTTCGCATCGCCGTTCCGTTTCTCCTCACTTTCTTCCGTCGAGATGCTCAGAAGCCAGTGGGACCTTCAGCACTTGTCAAATCCAGCCTTCACTCCCAGTCATCAGCAGTTTCCCTCAGAAGACTTCTTGGCACCCTGAAGGACGAGCGCCGAAGCCGAAGCTCTCTTTTGATGCCGCCACTTGGCTCGACGATTCTTAAACCAAACCTGCACGTTTCGTAAAAAGTGCCCCCGCAACAAAGAGAGGAAAAATTGGTCCACAATCCGACACGTGATTTTCCTCTTTAAAAGATGCTGTGGGTTTTATCCAGTGTTAGAGTGAACGGGCACAACTAACCTAGGTTCATTAATTTCAATGGGCCATAGCAAATGTTAGCACTGCTCAGAGTAGACTCACTGATAATAATAATAATAATAATAATAATAATAATAATAATAATTTATTATTTATACCCTGCCCATCTGGCTGAGTTTCCCCAGCCACTCTGGGCGGCTCCCAATCAAGTATTAAAAACAATACAGCGTTAAATATTAAAAACTTCCCTGAACAGGGCTGCCTTCAGATGTCTTTTAAAGATAGGATACCTACTTATTTCCTTCACATGAAGGGAGGGTGTTCCACAGGGTGGGCGCCACTACCGAGAAGGCCCTCTGTCTGGTTCCCTGTAACCTCACTTCTCGCAATGAGGGAACCGCCAGAAGGCCCTCGGTGCTGGATCTCAGTGTCCGGGCTGAACGATGGGGGTGGAGACGCTCCTTCAGGCATACAGGACCGAGGCCGTTTAGGGCTTGAAAGGTCAGCACCAACACTTTGAATTGTGCTCGGAAACGTACTGGGAGCCAATGCAGATCTCTCAGAACTGGTGTTATGTGGTCCCAGCGGCCACTCCCAGTCACCAGTCTAGCTGCCGCATTCTGGATTAATTGCAGTTTCTGGGTCACCGTCAAAGGTAGCCCCACGTAGAGCGCGTTGCAGTAGTCCAAGCGGGAGATAACTAGAGCATGCACCACTCTGGCGAGACAGTCCGCAGGCAGGTAGGGTCTCAGCCTGCGTACCAGATGGAGCTGGTAGACAGCTGCCCTGGACACAGAATTAACCTGCGCCTCCATGGACAGCTGTGAGTCCAAAATGACTCCCAGGCTGCGCACCTGGTCCTTCAGGGGCACAGTTACCCCATTCAGGACCAGGGAATCCCCCACACCCGCCCGCCCCCTGTCCCCCCAAAACAGTACTTCTGTCTTGTCAGGATTCAACCTCAATCTGTTAGCCGCCATCCACTGAAATTGATGAACCTGGGTTGTATAATAATAATAATTTCCCCAGCTACTCTGGGTGGCTTCCAACAAAAGATTAAAAATACATTAGTTGTGCCCATTAATTTCAAAGGGCCGTATGCAATGTTAGCCCTGCTCAGAGTAAACCCATTGAAATTAAAAGACATGACTGGCTTAGGTTCATTCATTTCAATGGGCTGTCTCTGGGGCTAGCCTTACCCCGAGTAGACACATTGAAATTAATGGATGTGAGGTCTACTCTGGGCAGGCCTTGCATCGGATGCAACACAATATTACTCAGAGTAGCTGGATACAACCCTATTTGACCCCAAAATGCAAGTTGAAAATGCCCTCCCACCAGATGTCAAGGAAATAAACAACCATCTGACTTTTAGAAGACATCTAAAGGCAGCCCTGTTTAGGGAAGTTTTTAATGTCTGCTGTTTTATCATGTTTTTAATATTCTGTTTGTGGTGGCTGGGGAAACCCAGCCAGATGGGCAGGGTATAAATATTATTATTATTATTATTATTATTACATGAGAATATACCAAATAATATGAAATATGTACAAAATGAAGCCAGTAATGGCTATCAGTCATGAAGGCTATATATCAGTGGCTCCCAACTGGTAGTCTGCAAACCCCAGGGGGTCCGCGAAACCCACCCAGGGGATCCGCGGCACCATTCACATAACAAAAACTACCGAAGAGGTATCAAAATTTTCAAAAGTTTGGCTTGGCTTTTGAAAAACAGGGGGTCAGCATTACTAAGCTTATTGGGGACCTCCGCTATAAATTATGATGGATGCAGCAGAATGAGAGGCACAATGAACTTCCAGTCACTGGGGTCAACAGCTGGGCAGATTTATTGCTTTCATGCCCAGCATTTGGGCTTTGCAAAGCCATCTGGTTGTCCACCGTGGGAACAGAATGCTAAACTCGACGGACCTTTCCTTTCTGATGCAGCAAGGTTCTTGCGTTCTTAAAAATGTATCCCCAATTTAAACCAAGTTACCACTTTAGTTACCTCCACTCTCTCTTCCTTCAGGTGAATCCGGTTAGCCAGGTGCTCTCTGGTAATGACATCTGGGTACTGGTTCTGGTGGAAGAGGGCTTCCAGGGCCTGCAGCTGGTCGTCCGTGAAGATGGTGCGGTGGCGGCGGGTCCGGCGCTGAATCTGGTGGAAAGCTTGCAGCTCGCTCTGGCTCCCGCGAGGGTTCTTGCACGGCCTGCCGACGGGATGGAAAACCCGCATGGGCCAGGGAAACCTTGCGTCTGCTGAAAGGAAAGTTTGGGATTCAGCAGGTTTGCCTTTTATCAGAGGCATAGCAAGGGCAGGTGGTACCTGGTGCGAATTTTTTTTGTCAACCCCCCCCCCAGTTGACGCGGGTGGCGCTGTGGGTTAAACCACAGAGCCTAGGACTTGCCGATCAGAAGGTCAGCGGTTCAAATCCCTGCAACGGGGTGAGCTCCCGTTGCTCGGTCCCTGCTCCTGCCAACCTAGCCGTTCGAAAGCATGTCAAAGTGCAAGTAAATAAATAGGTACCGCTCCAGCAGGAAGGTAAACGGCGTTTCCGTGCGCTGCTCTGGTTCGCCAGAAGCAGCTTAGTCATGCTGGTCACATGACCCGGAAGCTGTACGCCGGCTCCCTTGGCCAATAAAGCGAGATGAGCGCTGCAACCCCAGAGTCGGCCACGACTGGACCTGGACTTTAACTTTACGTTTACCCTCCATTGAAATTATTAAAAGAAGGAAAAACATGATACTTACAGCTGCAGGTGCTGTTTTCTGGTTTATTTACTTAACATTGTGAGCATAAACACTTAACACCCCCCCCAACTTTGTTCTCACACCCCACCTCTCCTTCTATGTGTTCCAGGGTTTGGGTCCTGATTGAGGGAGCTTTTGCTTCTCTCTTTTTCTCCCCCTTCCTGCCTCCTTCCCTTCCTCCCTCTGCCTGCCTGCCAGCCTCCTCCAGCAGCCCGGGAATGCGGGGCAACGGCGCACCGCCCGCCCACGACTCCCAAGCCTCCCCCTAGCTGTCAAAACAAAGGGGGAAGGGGGGAAGGCCGCCAGCAAAGTGGTGCGGCTCCCCCCTTCCCCCCACAGCTCAGCGTAGGCTTGGGAGTCGCAGGCGGCCGGCGCGCCAAATGTCACCCCCCTCAGCGATGACACCCGGAGCAGTCCGCCTCCGACGCACCCCCCTTCCTACGCCTCTGCCTTTTTTGGAAAAAGCAAAATGTGTATCTATTAATGACCTGGTCCATCGTGTTATGCCAGACAGGGCAGAGGCCCTGTGCTTACCTGGCCTTAATTCCCTCTGGAAGGGGGTGGTTTATTGGCATTTTGCAACACTTTCAAATGGGCAAGTCGAGCAAAGGTAGAGATGCACGGCTTCAAAACTCCCCAAGAGAGAGGTGGAGCCCACCACCCACATTTCAGATCTCTAGGCTGGCGCTTGGGAACCTTTGACTTTCCAAATGTTTTTGGACCGCATCTCCCATCATCCCTGGCTACTGGCCATGCTGGCTGGGGCAGATGTGAACTGGAGTTCATCAATATCTGGAGGACAACCAGTTCCCCATCCCTGCTGGAGTTAGCCAGCACCCTAAAACGTTTACAGAACCCAAATTCTGTTTGATGTATCTTCCCGTGCAGCTTAACTGCAGTTTCTCAGTAATACTTTCATCTTCATGGTTCATATTCACCAGCACCATGATGTATGTAATGATCCCAGTTCCTTTTCCACTTCTATATATAGATTTTGACAATCAGTCCTTATTATTTCATCTAAGTGGTTCACAACCCATATTCCTAAATATTTTCCATTTTGCTTATGTATCCATGTGGTTTTCCTTGCTTCCATAAGATCTTTTTTTAAAAAAAATATCGTTTGTGATATTTACCCTGAGCCATTCTGATTTATCATCAATTATTTTATAGCCTGATACCTTGCTACACACCCTCGTAACTTCTCTATGAGATTCTTCAGGGGAAGATATTGTCAGTACTACGATATCTGTGTACAGCAATATTTTTGTGTCTATGGGACCACATTGCACCCCTTTTATATCTATATTCTACTTGGTAGCTATTGCCTCAAAAATGAACTGCAATTTCTCTTCATTAACAGATACTGGGTGCCTCCAGGCTGTTGCTGTTTTCAGGTGGGAGATTTAATCTCATACCAGAAAATGTAGCTTGCTTATTTATAGTTGATTGGGAGGTCTTGCACAACAAACCTACTTTCCCCAAGAGATCAGAGTATTTGTGATACGGAAAGTGAGGGAGAAATGCACTGGAAAGTGTGGGATAACAACACAACATCTAACCTCTCTGTAAACAAAGCAGAATGAATGCTTATTAAACAGGCAACATCATCTAGTCTCCCTGCTAACAAATTGGGACGAATGCTCAACAAACAAGTCAAAAGGCAGTCTGTACCGAGAGAGCATTTTCCACCCAACTTTCCCCTCTCCCAGTAAATTCTACACATTTTGGACTGATTTTTGCCCATTCTAAAAAAAAAACCAGCTTCTCCCTGGTGGGTTATAAAGTATTGTCGGTTTCACAACCAGCCTTCCTCTGCCCTCCAGTGTGGCTGACAAATCGGTTATTTGTGAGAGGTTTCCAAACTTGTCAGTTTTACCGGAGAGAAGAGGGAAAGGTTAGAATGATTTTATCGGGTTGCAATATCCCCTGTACGTCAGCCTGCAACGGATCCATGATAACATTTAAAGTAGGGGAAAAGAAAAGTTGTGAATTGCAGGAAAGAGCATTAACTGAAGTAGAGGAGGGGTCTCGACTGACAAAGAACTCTAAAATGCACAGGCCATTTACACCCCATATGTGTGATGGATAAGCCAGTTTACCTTTGTCTCTCCCTTTACCCATGACTCAAAGTTCCCACCTGCACTGTACATATGAAGCACCCTTGCGTGATGACTCCCCCCAAAGAATCCTGGGAGCTGTCGTTTGTGAAGGGTGCTGGGAGTCATCAGCAGGCCCCGATTCCCCTTTACAGAGCTACAACTCCCAGTGTGGCTTAATGATCAATCCCCTTTCCCAGGGACTCCGGGAGCTGTTATATAAACAAACACACTTCTATCCATTTTACAATGCAGTTCTCCTGAATTTTGAAGGGTTGCTGCATTCCTGTTTGGGTATAGTTTCGGAAGCTGCACATTGGAGAGGTGAGAATTCAAACGCAAACTGAATGGAATTTCTCCCACACCCTTAGCTGACCCTGTGACCCTCTCCCAAACTTCTCTCCCCCTCCCCTTTATACTACACAGAGTAGGGCAAATGCGTCCCAACAAAGACCAAAGTTCGGCTGACAGCTCCCAGCAGCAGCCAGCCTCAGGCTTTGATCACAAGCAAACAGGGATACTCACTGAGCCAGTTTGCAGCCTCCTGCCAGGAGTAGGGACCGCTGTGAACACAGCAGCAGCAGCCGCAAGGCGCAGCCTCCACCTCTGCCTCTTCCACCTCGTCGTCCTCCTGCTGCAGTGGGCCAGCAGCCATGCCCCCCAGGGAACGCAGCCCCTTGGGTTCACAGTCCAAGATCCCTCGGAAGCAGAACGGGAGGAGGACAGGGGGTCTTCGCTCGGCCGAGCCGGAGAGGATGTTCTCGATGGTGAAGGAGCAGGGCTTCTTGAGGGTCCTCTTCCCAAGGTCTACTATGCCTGAAGGAGCTTCGGCAGCCATCCTGCTCAAGGGACCTCAGCCACGCCGTCCTGCAAGAGAGAGACTTGACTTTTCGGGAATGGAACTGGGAAACTGGTTTTCAAAACAACGACAAAGGGGGAATATGGAGCAGAACTAACGTTTTGGCTTCTTGGAGGGGGTGTGTGTGTGTGTGTGTGTGTGTGTGTGTGTGTCTGGGGGGAGCTCAGCTTCTTATCCAACCTCCTGGGCCATTTTTTATTATATATGCTTGCAGACAAACAAGATCACATGCATATATATCCCAGAACCAGCCCCCTGTCTGCTCACCTAAGCGAGCTTGCTTGATAACCAACGGCACCCTAAATATATACGTATATATCTATATAATCCTTCTTGGAAAGGAAACCATAAACCCCCTGCTGGAATAAAATAAATTCTAACTAATCTTGACAGCTTTGTGAAGGGTTAGTGTGGATCTAAGATTTAGCTAATCCTACAGAAATGACTCTGGAAGGAAATCTGATTTCTCTATCTCAAGTGTAGATTTGAGGTGGTTATGAGGTCCATTGTGTCGGAATCCTCCCGTTCAAGTCAGGGGGAGAGAAAAGCTGTTTCTCAGGCCCAGAAATGGCCCAGAAGGATTAAGTCCTTTTTTAAAAAAGAGAGAGAGAAAAGCAAATTATCCTTTTCTTTGGCCAAATGAAAGCTTTCCCATCAAAAGGGAACTGTCATATCGCACAATATGGAGCGGGATTGGAAGCGAATGGCAGGACAGAGGGAGAGTTTAGCTTGACGATAGAAAATCGGCACCAGCAGCCAAAACACTTTGCAAGCCAAGGTCTTTTCCCGAAAGCCAGTTTATTTCCCCATCCCGAGAACTAGAAAAGTTGTCAAGTTGTGGGATGTTTTCCCAAAATGATACAGGTTGTCTTTTTAATACATAAATACCCAGGCAGTCCCGGACAGATTTGGACAGTCCTTACATCTAGCCGGGACCGTCTGTGGTTTAGGGGACCGTATTAAAACATCACAACTTTTCCTGACTTCCTTGGGATACCTGGGACTTTTAAAATACTTTGCATCCTTCATAATCTGACGGTTTCCTCCATGCAAGAAGTGAGGTTACAGGAAACCAGGCAGAGGGCCTTCTCGGTAGTGGCACCCTCCCATCAGATGTCAAGGAAATGAACCACGATCTGACTTTTAGAAGACATCTGAAGGCAGCCCTGTTTAGGGAAGTTTTTCATGTTTGATGTTTTATTGTGCTTTTAATATTCTATTGGGAGCCGCTCAGAGTGGCTGGGGAAACCCAGCCAGATGGGCAGGGTATAAATAATACATTATTATTATTATTATTATTATTATCATCATCATCATCATCATCATCACCATCATCACCATCTTAACATCATGCGAAATGTAGAGCTATGCTTATTCTCAGAATCGCTTTTAAGACGTTTAAAAAAAAAATCCATTTGTGGGTTTGTCACACTGGGCTGCCACTGGGAGGAAGGGTGGGATATATATTGGAAAAACTGAAATAATCAACAAATGGTGGCATGTTGGCTGCCATGTGCATACATCTTCATGTCTTTTTTAGTGTTTGCCGAGCTCTTTTTATCACGCCTTACCCAGAGATGTCTGTTGCAGGGGGAATAAATACAAAACTGGGGGAGTAAACAATTCAACCATGGCAATTGTTGGAAACTACGGCCCCAGACAACAAACATTCCCTTTGAACAAACGTTGATAATCATGAGGGTCGTGTAGGGCTCTGAGCTGACAGATGGAGATCAGCAGACCACTGAGGCATAGCTGTCAACCTTCTTTAAAGGGAAATTCCCTTATTCCGAATAGGATTCCTCAAAAGAAAAGGGAAACGTTGACAGCTATGCACCGAGGCTGTTGGGTATGAGGACCAGGAGAACCTTCTGAGCCCGGTCACCTTCCCTTGAGGAACCAAGCACCTCCCATGAAGTGAGGTAAGGTAGTCACCTCAGGCGGCAAATCTGGCCTCCACCATGCCCACTGACCCCCTCCTCTACATCTGCCCACTGCTGCCACCCCCATTCCTGCGTCTGGCTAGTGATGGGTAGCAATGGGTGTGTGTGAAGGAAGTGGCCTTCTGTGACAGGTGAGGTGGAGGAGGTTGTGATGGATCCAGACACAGAGGAGAGAGGTGGCAGCAGCCACCACACAAGGAGGAGAGAGTTGGTGGCAGGGAAGAGCGGCAAAGCTGCAAAACATCTTGGCCTGGCCCCGGGTTATGGCATGGAGAAGTGCCCGTCTGCAGGCCAGAAAGCTGGCCTTTTAAGGCTTTGAAGTCCTAGAAGAGGTAGTTGGAAGACAGAGGCTTAAAACATGGGTAGGCAAACTAAGGACCAGGGACCGGATCCGGCCCAATCGCCTTCTAAATCTAGCCCACGGATGGTCCAGGAATCAGCATGTTTTTACATGAGTAGAATTTTATTTAAAATGCATCCCTGGGTTATTTGTGGGGCATAGGAATTCATTCATTCCCCCCCCCAAAAAAATATATAGTCCGGCCCCCCACAAGGTCTGAGGGAGAGTGGACCGGCCCCCAGCTGAAAACGTTTGCTGACCCCTGGATTAAAAGGTCTCAGTCTTGCACCTCATCTCTGCCAGAGCAACTTGTTTGTTTGGAGCTGTCCGTGGTCCTGAAACGTCTATCCAGTCTTGCCTGCTCATCTTTGCTGCTTTCTCTGTGGGACCAGAACAGGACAGTGGGGATAAGGGGCAACAGATGAGATAGGGTTGCCTAAAGGCTACCAGAAAAGCTGGATATTCAACAATAAACCAGTGTGGAGGGACTACAGCTCTCCAGGTATTGCTGGACTACAACTCCCATAATCCCTGGCCATTGATCATCAAGGTCAGGCTGACAGGAGTTGAAGTCCAACTGGTTTGCCACTTATCTCCTTGACATCTGATGGGAGGGCCTTAAGAGAGGATGGGGAAAATTCATGGAGGTGAAGGCTATGGATGGTTATTAGCTACCATGGCTATGCTCTGCCTCCATGGTCGAACACAGTAATGCTTCCAGAGGGGGGCAGTTCCTGGGAGCTACAAAAGGGAAAAGTGCTCTTGTGCTTGGGTCCTGCTTGTGGGTTTCCCACAGGTATCCGGCTGGCCACCGTGAAAACATTGGCCTGATCCAGCAGGCTCTTCTTAAGTTTTTCGTTGGGCCTCGGAATATGCCTGCAAGAAACGCCATCCTGGAGAGGCCGTGATGAATTGAATAAATAGGGATGGAGAGGGAGAAAGGACACTTTGTTGAAAAGCAGCCTTATCATATACAGTGGTACCTCGGGTTAAGTACTTAATTCGTTCTGGAGGTCCGTACTTAACCTGAAACTGTTCTTAACCTGAAGCACCACTTTAGCTAATGGGGCCTCCTGCTGCTGCCGCGCCACTGGAGCACGATTTCTGTTCTCATCCTGAAGCAAAGTTCTTAACCTGAAGCACTATTTCTGGGTTAGCGGAGTCTGTAACCTGAAGCGTATGTAACCTGAAGTGTATGTAACCCGAGGTACCACTGTATGGTGGAATTGTTTAAACATCAAACAATTTTGGGAAACAATATATAATGAAATGAAAAAAATGTTCAGATATTCATTTAGGAAAACATCAGAAGGTTTTCTATTGGGAATAGTACCAGGAAGTCTAAAGGGAGAAGACAAGACATTATATTTATACGCAACAGTAGCCGCAAGGCTATTGATTGCGAAAAATTGGAAAAGTGGTATTATACGGACAAAAACAGAGTGGCTTGCCAAATTATTGGAGTATTACAAGATATCCAAAACAATGGGAGAAATTGGAAGGATCTCAAAAGAGAAGATAGACAAGGACTGGAAGGTCTTTAAAGGATACTTGCAAAATCATATTGAAAAATCAGAACTCCTATTAGAATAAACAAGTTCCGTTATAAATACTAAATAAGATGGATAACAATGTGTAACAGAAAAAGAAGTAGAAAATTGGTTTAAGTGTGTGTGAAAGAAAGTAACAGAAGTGGAAAGAAATTGCAATTGAGTAGATTGGAAGTTTAACACAAGGGTGGGGTGAGGGGTGAGGGATGGTGGTGGGAAAAGGGAGTATCTGTGGGATTGAGTGTGGTGCTATGGGTTAAACCACAGAGCCTAGGACTTGACGATCAGAAGGTTGGCGGTTCGAATCCCTGCGACGGGGTGAGCTCCCGTTGCTTGGTCCCTGCTCCTGCCAACCTGGCAGTTCGAAAGCACGTCAAAGTGCAAGGTAAACGGTGGGAAGGTAAACGGCGTTTCTGTGCGCTGCTCTGGTTCGCCAGAAGAGGCTTAGTCATGCTGGCCACATGACCCAGAAGCTGTACGCCGGCTCCCTCGGCCAATAAAGCGAGATGAGCGCCGCAACCCCAGAGTCGGCCACAACTGGACCTAATGGTCCGGGGTCCCTTTACCTTTACCTTTATGTATGAATATTTTAAAGGATTGTATGAAATGTATGTTTGTATATTCGTAATATGTATGTATTAATGTTGAATTATTTTAATAATAAAATATTTGTGTTAGAAAATAATTAAAAGAAAAGAAAAGCAGCCTTATCACCCTACAAGTATGAAGCACGATTTTTGGGGGGGGGGGGAAGCCGGCCCGGTTGGCAGGGGTTGTAGCAGCCGCAGTCATACAACCTGAAGCAGATTGATTCCCCGCTCTGCACGCCTGCGCATACGCACATCACCTGCAACAAAGATTTTCTCCCCCACGCACGCCCCCAATCACTAGTTTGCCCTCCCCACCTCCCTAACCATACAGGGTCCTATACACTTAGCCTATTAGTCCCTCTGCTGATTGCTTTCTTTCATTCTCCCCATACCTTTCACTTTGGGCAAAATAGACTGGTAATGCTTCTTTTATCAAAGAATTATGGGATTTAAGACCCAGATTTCACAAAGAGGACTTTTGATAGCAGCCGGTAATCAAAACCCAATCGCCAGGCGCGTCTATGCAACCCCTGGTCCCTGGAAAAGGGCAAATAAGTAAGAGGGGATTTATATTGATGTTGTGTTTACCGAGATAAGATCTCCCGGGTTATTCCATATTAGAAAAAAAGAGAAAGAGAGGGGGAAATAAAACAAGGGGGGGGGAGAGAGAAGGAGAAATGCAGACAAGCCGGAGACAATGTAGAGATATGGATAAAGAGAATAGAAAAGAGGGCCTTTGATCGTTTTCGTATTGGGGAAAAGAGATTCTAAAACCATTATAAGGATTAGCAAACATAAAAAAAAAGTTAATCTGCTTTAGCTGTTCGTTTGTCAAAAGTGAATTCACAGGGTTGGAAAATCCTTCCTGTGATGAAGCTCAAGTTGCCTCTCTCCCCCCCCCCCCAAAAAAATTTCCATTCTTCAGCAACAGGGGCCTCTGAACCTGAGGAAAAGAAAAAGACCTGTGTATGTGTGTTTTCTCCAGAGGAGTCAATTCAGAATAAAGCAGAGCCTTGACCCTTAAAGAATAATTTGAAGAGCATTCACCTAACCCAGGCCGAGGGAGCCGGCATTTGTCCACATGTGACTAAACCGCATCTGGTGCAACAGAACACCGTGACGGAAACCACAGCACACAGAAATGCCCTTTACCTTCCCACCGCAGTGGTACCTATTTATCTACTTGCACTGGTGTGTTCCCGAACTGCTAGGTTGGCAGGAGCTGAGATGGAGCAATGGGAGCTCACTCCATCGCGGGGATTCGAACCGCCGACTTTCTGATCGGCAAGCCCAAGAGGCTCAGACCACAGTGCCACCCGCACCCCAGAATTCATGTATACAATCCCAGCCAGGCAAAACTCTGCCAGGGAACCAGGCAGAGGGCCTTCTCGGTAGTGGCTCCCGCCCTGTGGAACGCCCTCCCATCAGATGTCAAAGAGATAAACAACTACCTGACATTCAGAAGACATCTGAAGGCAGCCCAGTTCAGGGAAGTTTTTAATATGTGACACCTTAGTGTATTTTTGGTTTTTTTGGAATCTGCCCAGAGTGGCTGGGAAAACCCAGCCAGATGGGCAGGGTACAAATAAATTATTATTATTATTATTATTATTATTATTAGGTGGAAAGCAGAGCTGGAGAGAGATGTGGCCTGCGGAGGGCAGATGTGTCTGGGGAAACTTCCAAGGGCCAAATATAAATACTTGGAGGGCCAAATGTGGCCCTCAGGCCTGACCTTCCCTGCCCACAGTGCCACCTGCGTCCATAATAAAGGAAAGGATTACTTTGAAAATTGAGAAGGGTGGAAATTCTGCTTTGCATGCAGATGGATCCCAAGTCTGGTCCTCGGTCTCACCAATATATTATTCTCCGCCTGAAACTCTGGGGAGTGGCTGCAGCTTCTGCTGCTGCCAGCCCGTGCAGGCAACACTGAACTAGGTGGACCATTCGTCTGACGGCAAGGGATCTTTCAACGGTAGGAAGAGCGGCCAGGAGCAGAGCTTCCGTGCGAGCGCTAGATGGCGCTGGGGAGCCCCCGAAGTGGCTCCGCTCTGTGCTGCGCGCTCTATGGCAGAAACCTCTTCCTGCTTGCTGCATGCTGGAGTTTTTGCAGATGTGCCGAGGGGTTTCCTGAGATCAGCCTTGGCTTTTCCCGGTCCCGCGTGGACCATGAGCGCAGAGCAGGAGCTGGAGAGCTGCTTGAGGCATTATAAGGCTCTGGGGCAGGAGGAAGGCTCCAGGAGCACCTGCCAGGCTTTGCTCTTGGTCCTGGAGAAGCTCAAGCAGTTTGCAGGGTAAGTAAGGCTGAGGGTGCACGTGGCTTTTTGCAGAATATTTGTGTGTGTGTGTCACGTATAAGCTTTTGTTGCTGGAGAACGACCAGTAATAATGATGATTATTATTGATTTGAACTTTTTAGTTGCTTGTTAAACGAAAAGGTCCCCAACTTACTTGCAACATATTTAAAAGCATAAAAACATGCCATTTATAAAGCTTGCGCACACACACACACACACACACACACACACACACACACCTGCTAATCATGCTGGTCTTTGATATTTTTCAGAGGTTCTGTGAAGAGATGTAGAGAGAAAAACCTGGAGGAGGCTTTTCAGCAGTTGGTGCAAGTGAGCAAAGGACTGGGGGAACTGAGCCGTGAGGATTTTCTGCCTCTGCTCCGCTGCGTGCTCGCTTGTCAAATGGAGACGGCGGGCTCCAGCGCTTTCCATCGACTTGAGAAGGTGTGCTCATGCGGAAATCGAATTCATTGGCAGCACAACGCATGGATGAATTGCGGAACTCCCTGTCGTGAGAAGTTGCGATGGACTCCACGTTGAACAGCTTTAAAACAAACACCAGAAGAGTTTGGCCTATCTAATCCTGTTCTCAACAGTAGCCAAGCAGATACCTGTGGGAAACCTGAGCCCAAGAGTTCTCTTCCCTCCCGTGGTTTCCAGCAACTCGGATTATGATTATTATGATTATTTTAGTTTCTTTATCTTGCCCAAAGCCTAGTAGCCACTGAGAGCCCTCTCCTCCAGGAATTTCCCCAGTCCTTTTTAAAGCCATCCTTCTTGGTGTCTGTCGCTGCTTCCAGTGGGAGAGAGTTCCACAGTTTAACTATACGCTGTGTGAAAAAGTCCTTTCTTTTATCTGTCCTGAAACTTCCAGCATTCAGGTGCATTGGATGTCTCCCGAGTTCCTAGTTTAAGAGAAGGAGAAATAGTTTTCTTCTGTATACTGTCTCCATGCCGGGCATAATTTTATAAAGTTCTTTTTTTTCATTCAAATAATATTTATTATTTTCAGTAGATAAACATAATAAAGAGAAAAAAAAGATTAACAATAATAAAAACAAACAAAGAAAAAAAGAAAAAAGATACATACAGCATATTACCACTTAATTAATTTAAATTAAGTACCATCCATCTTCATAAACATAGTCCTCGAATCTCTTCCATCCGAATTTCTTAGTAATTATATGTAGCAGTTTCCAATATCAGTGTTTCAAAAGACCATATCACAGTCCTGATCATATTACATAACTTTCCTTATTGTACATTTTCTTATTTATAAATTTAATTCCATTTTAATCCTAGGCCTAATTGTTTCTTTCAAGTGGTTACATATCTTTAATATTACAATATTTATTCAAATAGTCTTTAAATTTCTTCCAGTCTTCTTGATGTTCCTCTTCTTTCTGGTCGCGGATTCTACCGGTAAGATCAGCCAGCTCCATAAACTCCATCATCTTCATCTGCCATAATTTTATAAAGTTCTATCATGTCACCTCTTACTTGCATTTTCTCGAAACTAAAAAGTTCCCCCCAAAACTGAAAAGCCCACTTAATGAAAAGGAATTGTGGCGGGGAAACCATGGAGGAAATGGCCGAGAAGGGCTAATAGTCACAGTGGCTATATGCTGTATGCTCCGGGAATAGTGGCAATAAGTCTCTGGATACCAGATATTGTTGTGAAATAGTAGGAGATCCCTGTGGCACTGGTGTTCCACTTCTGGGCTTCCCATAGGCATTGGTTTGGCCACTTTGGGAAACGGGATCCTGGAATAGTTCGACCAAGGGTAGCCAGTAGGGAGCTTGCCAAATGCTGGGCTCCCAACTCCTATCAGCCTCAGCCAGCACTATCAAGGATGATGGGCGTTGTAGTCTGTTGCATTGACTACAATTGAGATAGGCCTTTGATTTGATCTATCGGTACTCTTATGCTCTTAGGTGGTTTGTTGTTGTTTAGTCATTTAGTCGTGTCCGACTCTTCGTGACCACATGGACCAGAGCACGCCAGGCACTCCTGTCTTCCACTGCCTCCCGCAGTTTGGTCAAACTCATGCTGCTAAATTCGAGAACACTGTCCAACCATCTCGTCCTCTGTCGTCCCCTTCTCCTTGTGCCCTCCATCTTTCCCAACATCAGGGTCTTTTCCAGGGAGTCTTCTCTTCTCATGAGGTGGCCAAAGTATTGGAGCCTCAGCTTCTGGATCTGTCCTTCCAGTGAGCACTCAGGGCTGATTTCCTTCAGAATGGAGAGGTTTGATCTTCTTGCAGTCCATGGGACTCTCAAGAGTCTCCTCCAGCACCATAATTCAGAAGCATCAATTCTTCGGTGATCAGCCTTCTTTAATGTACAATCATACCTCGGATTATAGACGTTTCAGGTTGAGTGTTTTTGGGTTGCACACCGCACCGAACCCAGAAGTACCGTAACAGGTTACTTCCGGGTTTCGGTGCTCGCGCATGCGCAGAATTACTAAGTCACACTTTGCACATGCGCAGAATCTCAACCCGTGCGTGCGCAGAAGCGACGCTGCGGGTTGCGAACGTGCCTCCCGCACGGATCACATTCGCAACCCGAGCGTCCACTGTATAGGTCGTTTTCTTGCTTTCAGCCAGCCATTGGACAGTGGACCCAGCTGTGCCTCTTGCCCTGCTCTCTTAAAATGGCCAACAAAGCATCTAGGAACCTGGCAACCCTAGTTGATGAAGGGGGAGAGAGGAAGAGATAATGACCCTTGACTTCAAAGAAGCAGAAATGTCCCAAGACATTCCCCTCCCAGAGCTACAATTCCTCTTCCCAGGGAACTCTGGGAATTGTAGTTCTGTGAAGGGAACAGGGTTTTTTTTATAGCAACTCCATGCACTCGGAAAAAACTACAGCTCCCCTAATTCTTCTCATGGCTGTTTAAAGTGGTATTGTAGTGGGTGTGAATGTGGCTATAGTATGTGCAGGACTGATTCCCTCTTCTCCCTTAGATTGTTGCAAAACTGTCAGAAGGGAACAACAGATCCTTGGTCACAGAGCAGCTGAATAGGTGCATGGCCAGCCTGGCTGAAGATGGGGAGGTAAGAGAAAGTTTTGTTTCACCCTCTTGAAAATATCGCCTTCTTCTGGCATTGTCTACTTCATCATCATCACCATAATTTATTATTTTTACCCCACCCATCTGGCTGGGTTTCCCCAGCCAATGTGGGCAGCTTCCAACAGGATATTAAAAACACAATAAAACGTGAAACATTAAAAACTTCCCTAAACAGGGCTGCCTTCAGATGTCTTCTGAAAGTCAGATAGTTGTTTATCTCCTTGACAACTGATGGGAGGGCGTTCCACAGGGTGGGTACCACTACCGAGAAGGCCCTCTGCCTGGTGCCCTGTAACCTCACTTCTTGCAAGGAGGGAACTGCCAGAAGGCCCTCAGAGCTGGACCTCAGTGTCCAGGCTGAATGATGGGGGTGGAGACGCTTTCAGGTATACTGGACCGAGGCCATTTAGGGCTTTAAAGATCAGCACCAACACTTTGAATTGTGCTTGGAAACGTACTGGGAGCCAATGTAGTTCTTTCAGGACTGGTGTTATATGGTCCTGGCGGCCACTCCCAGTCACCAGTCTAGCTGCCGCATTCTTGATTAGTTGTAGTTTCTGTGTCACCTTCAAAGGTAGCCCCACGTTGAGCGCATTGCAGTAGTCCAAGCGGGAGATAACTAGAGTATGGACAGACTTCACTTGATTAAGGTCACATGGAGAAAAAGCAGGTCTGTGACTCTCTGGTCAGCCAAAGAGACTTGAGCCACCACATGCCAGCCAAACAAGAATGCCAGCAAGGGAAGATCAGCCTGGCTTCAACTACAGGCTTCCCCAGCCTGGTGCCCTCAAGATGTTGCAAGACTGCAGCACCCATCAGGCCCAGCTAGCATGACCAATGGTCCAGGATGATGTTCTTCCATCACTTGTTTGGGCGGGGCCATGTTTCCCGAGCAGGATGTCTGCTTTGCATGCAGCTGGTCCAAGTTTGATCCCTGGCATCTCCAGGTAAAGGCTGGGTGAGAATCCTGGAGAGCTTCTTCCCATCAGCGTAGACAATATCTTCTTCTTCTTTGGCGATCACTCGTAGTCAAGTAAGATTGTCTTCCATGAACACGGTCTTAACAGTGAATCCGTAAGTGACTGTGGAGGCCATTTCTGGATCCACATGTCCTTCTACAGTGAGGACGTAGATTTCCAGGCGGGAGTTGATCATGATGAGGGTTTGCCAAGCGTGCCTTCCTCTTAGCATGTTTCTCCCTTGCGTCCTGAGTTCAAGTGTCTTCAAAGCCCATGACTCCCTTGGTAAATGCTGTTCTCCAACTGGAGCGTTCGCAGGCCGGTGTTTCCCAGTTATCGGTGTTTATACTACTTTTTTTTTAAGATTTGCCTTAGAAAGTCTTTAAGCCTCTTTTATTGACCTCCAGCATTACGCTTTCCATTGTTAAGTTCGGAATACAGTACCGTAGTTGCTTTGGAAGACGATAATTGGGCATCTGTACAACATGACCATAAGGGGCGCGGGTGGCGCTGTGGGTTAAACCACAGAGCCTAGGACTTGCCAATTAGAAGGTTGACTGTTCAAATCCCCGTGACGGGGTGAGCTCCCGTTGCTCGGTTCCTGCTCCTGCCCACTTAGCAGTTCAAAAGCACGTCAAAGTGCAAGTCGATAAATAGGTACCGCTCCGGTGGGAAGGTAAACGGCGTTTCCGTGTGCTGCTCTGGTTTGCTTAGTCATGCTGGCCACATGGCCCGGAAGCTGTACGCTGGCTCCCTCAGCCAATAAAGCAAGATGAGTGCCGCAACCCCAGAGTCGGCCATGACTGGACCTAATGATCAGGGGTCCCTTTACCTTTACCTTACAACATGACCAGTCCTACGAAGCTGATGTTGAAGAACCATTGCTTCGACACTGGTGATCTTTGCTTCTTCCAAGTACGTTGGCATTAGTTCGCCTGTCTTCCCAAGTGACGTGTAAAACTATTAGACAATATAAAGCTAGGTGAACCAGTGTTCTGACTTGGTGTAAGGCAGCTTCCTATGTTTTTGTGTAACATGCTTGTTTCCTTCTTTCAGCCAATGCCTCCTGGATCGCTTCAGACAGGTTAGTTTCCAAACTCCACCTACCCTGTGCCCACTGCTCTGTTTTTTTGTACCAGAGGGACACAGCCAGCTAGGGCATTTTGTCCCTGAAGTGCTCGATTTGCATGTGCCAGAAGCAATTCAGCAGTCATGCTGGGATGTGGTACAGTCCCCTGCTCAGACTCGAGGACTGTACCACATTGTCTTATGTACAGTTTAAATTGGATGAATGAACAGACCAATATAATTCAATGCACATTTATGCTTCTCAGTACCAAGCTTCCACAGCATATCTGGTCGGTGTCAGGTTTCGGAGGCTTGGCTTCCTCCCCACTTGGCCGTAAATAAGTAGTACAACGAGAAAGCAGTCTCTTACCAGTAATAGAAGTATTTAATGAACGCAGCAAAAGAACAAGCGACCCTTCTGAGAGTGCAGGTGCTCCCTATTAAGGTTCCACCCACTTCCCTCTAGTCACTTCCGCCCTCTCGTCTCCTAACCCCCTGATCTCTCAACCATTGAGCCTTTTGAGAATTCACCTTATCTTATCTCCTAGCCTTGGGACTGAGAGGCTGCACATCTTCCGGTGAGAGAGAGTCAGCTAGCTCACTCTCTTCCTGTTATTCTTCTTGCTGTTCACCTCCCAGTTCTGCCCAACTATTGCCTTCCGAACTGTGCCCCTCGGCGAACCATTGTTCCAAATCAACACTACTCCCCTGCTCCTGTGGAGTTTCAGAATCCTGGCCATGATCAGGTGGAGCGAGAGGCTCCCACCGTTCCTCATCAGAGTTGTACTCCTCAGCCTGGTCTCTGACAGTTGGCCACCGTGAGAACAGGATGCCGGACTAGATGGGCCATTGGCCTGCCCCCTCAGGACTCTTGTTACGGTCTTAAAATCAGACGACTAGTTAAAACAATTAGAAACAGATACACATAAAAGTATACTTTTTTTTTTACGAAGCCAACAAAAAAAAATTCTCCTGATCTACATTAGCTCAGATTTTCCTCCTCCCCAAATCCTCTCTGTAATATGGGGAGAAATATCCCTTAAACTAAACAATACCAAATTTCCAGAAGATCCTCCCGGGAGATTTCTTAATAAGGGGAGAATCGACCTCTTTCCATTCCCTACACAAGTTATAACGCAGACAAAAACAAGCAACAGACTCATTTTGCTCCTGCTGCACACAGACCTAGGTCCTGTTCAATCATCCATTTATCAATGTGGGAGGCAGCACACTGAAATGAGCAAGCATAAATGCTCTCCAATACAGCGGTACCTTAGTTCTCAAACGCCTTGGTACTCAAACGCCTTGGTTCTCAAATGCCGGAAACCCAGAAGTAAGTGTTCCGGTTTTTGAACAGTTTTTGGAAGTCGAACGTCTGATGCGGCTGTTGGCTATTGTTTCCGGGGCTCCTGCACCAATCAGAAGCTGCGCCTTGGTTTTCAAACATTTTGGAAGTCAAACGGACTTCCGGAATGGATTAATTTTTGGCACTTTTGTTTTTGCTATTTATTTATTTATTTTTGTTTTTGAGGCTTTTTTGGTTAATTTGTTTTTGTGACTGTGTGGAACCCAGTTCAGCTACTGATTGATTGTGTGACTGTGGAAATGGATAAGAGCCCCCCATCCAAACAATGACTATCATCAGTGCAGGTACGAAAAAAAAATAGTTTTAATTTTTATCATCTACAATACTGTCTTATTTATAGTACAGTACATTGATTATTGCTTTCATTTCATGGATCAATGGTCTTGTTAGAGAGTAAAATTCATGTTAAATTGCTGTTTGAAGGGTTGTTCTTAAAAGTCTGGAACGGATCAATCCGTTTTGCATTACTTTCTATGGGAAAGCATGCCTTGGTTTTGGAACGCTTTGGTTTTGGAACGGATTAAGTTTGAGAACCAAGGTACCACTTTATCTGGAGACTCCTAGAGCAATCATAACCACAGGAAGCGGCATAATTTTGGCCAATATTTCTTAGGCAGTTGTTAAGTCTTTGCCCTCAGTGCACTCCTTTTTGTAGACTTCCTCTGGGTTAATTTCGCCGGGTTTAATTTCCACCCCATTAACTTCTGCTGGTTGAGCCCCGGCTGAACCGGGGCGAGGGACTTGCACATGCGTATCTCCAGCTGAGCCCCAGCTCAGCTGAGAAGGCTCAAGATCCGCCAAACCCAGACTCTTTCATCCCAGCATATCTTGGGCATGCTTGCGCCATTAACGTCTGCAAGTATGAAATTTCTTTAATTCAGGGGGGCACATTTAAATGGATTCTTCTAAACATCCAACCAAGCCATAGCAGTGGTTCCTTATTCCGCAGTGTGCATGTTTGTCGAGGGGAGTGTGCTGGGACGATGCTACTGGAGGAGCAACCTGGTGCCTATCCTGAGATGCGTTGCTGCCACGTTTGATGTGATCATGCAGGACCAGGTAGCCTGGAATGAGGAGTGGCATTACGTCACCGTGAAGGTAAGGAATGGGGCTTCTCCCCAGCGCTTTAAGCTGTCATCCTATATGTCAGGGTTCCCCAACCCCAGGGTTTCTCCAGCTGTTGTCGGACTACAAATCCCATCATCCTTGACTGCTGGTCCTGCTAGACAGGGATGATGGCAGCTGTCTGACAACAGCTGGAGAACCAAGTTTGCATTTCTTAGTGCAGAAAGTATTGATCTGATGTGTAGAGATCTTTCCTATTCTAATTAATTCAAGAGGGTTCTGGAAGCTTTCCTGTGTGAAAGAAACAAGTAGAAAGTCTGTGATGTTTGGGTTATTCCTTCAGAGAAGCTGAGTACAGCTGATTTAAACTGTTCCGTTATCTCTTCTGTCGAGCTCATGCTGTATAATTACAGTGGTACCTCGGGTTAAGTACTTAATTCGTTCCGGAGGTCCGTACTTAACCTGAAACTGTTCTTAACCTGAAGCACCACTTTAGCTAATAGGGCCTCCTGCTGCCGCCGCGCCGCCAGAGCACGCTTTCTGTTCTCATCCTGAAGCAAAGTTCTTAACCCAAGGTAATTTTTCTGGGTTAGCGGAGTCTGTAACCTGAAGCGTATGTAACCTGAAGTGTATGTAACCCGAGGTACCACTGTATAGGCCGGAAGGAGCCTCGGTTTCTTTTTCTCTCGCTCTCCTTTCTGGTGTGGTGTTCTGTACATAGTATGCTATAGTGTTAAGGTTTAGACTTATTATAAGTTATTGTAAGTTTAAGTGAAGTCTGCTGCAACTGGATTTCTTATGGACAGGGCCAATCCTGAACGTATTGGATTTGTGACCAGTTATGCTCATTTGCCTTCAGTAGCAATAAAGCTCGGCTGGATGAAATACAGTTGCCTCTGGTCTGTTGTTTGGGAATCCTGCAACGTTTTAAGTTGTTACTCTGCTAACTATACATTGGAATCTACTGTGGATCAATATTGAGTAGAATTCCACGACAGGTAAACACTGCTATATGTGCTTAATACAGGAACTCAATGGGACTTCCTTCTGGGCAGATGAGTCTAGGATAGAATAGAATAGAATTTTATTATTACGGTCACAGATCATTTCCGGCTCACTTATAATATCAGAGTCTAGGATTTGCCAGTTAATTGACCTCCGGTGCAATCTGGCACACATTTGCTCAAAAGGAAGCAGGAATGAGGTCCATACGTTTACTCAAAAGGAAGTAGCTGTGGGTTCAGTGGAATATGGGGCTAGGAACGTAGGGAACTGGACTTGGTGTAATCTGCACCAAGACTGATGTAGCTGTCTATACCTTGGACCCCAGACATTGTTGGACGACAACTCCCATCATCCCCACCCAGCTTGGCCCAATGGACAGGGTAGCCCAACAACATCTGGGGACCCCAGGTTGAAAAAATGCCAGTCTACACTCTCTGCCAGCTGCTCTCCAGCTTTTCATACCCTCCCAGCCCAAGTTGGAGATTCTGGGGATTGAACCTGGGACCTTCTGCATGCAAAGCAGGTGCTCTGCCACTGAGCCACGGCAACGGATCAGTTAGAGAATTATAGCCTTGATCAGCAGAGGTTTAGCAATCAGCCCCTCTTCCCAGGCAACTCTGGGAATTTCCACTCTCTGCGGGGTAATAGGGGCTTTCTAACGAACTCTCAGCACCCTGAACAAACTCCAGTTGCCAGGATCCTTTCAACAGGATGGTTGTTGAAAGTGGCATGACGCTGCTTTAAATGTACAATGGTACCTCGGTTACATACTCTTCAGGTTACATATGCTTCAGGTTACAGTCTCCGCTAACCCAGAAATAGTACCTCGGGTTAAGAACTTTGCTTCAGGAAAAGAACAGAAATCGTGCAGCAGCGGCAGCAGGAGACCGCATTAGCTAAAGTGGTGCTTCAGGTTAAGAACAGTGTCAGGTTAAGAACAGTCCTCCAGAACGAATTAAATACCGTATTTTTCGCTCTATAAGACGCACCAGACCACAAGACGCACCTAGTTTTTGGAGGAGGAAAACAAGAAAAAAAATATTCTGAATCTCAGAAGCCAGAACAGCAAGAGGGATCGCTGCGCAGTGAAAGCAGCAATCCCTCTTGCTGTTCTGGCTTCTGGGATAGCTGCGCAGCCTGCATTCGCTCCATAAGACGCACACACATTTCCCCTTACTTTTTAGGAGGGAAAAAGTGAGTCTAATAGAGCAAAAAATACGGTACTTAACCCGAGGTACCACTGTATAGTGCATACGAGGCCTAATTCTGCTCACTGTGGCATCTCCTGCTAATTCAGTGTGTTGATATGATGGGAAAAGATACAGTGAGGGGGGGAAGTATTTGATTCCCTGCTGAATTTGCCTGTTTGCCCTCTGACGAAGAAATGACCAGTCCATAATTTTAATTTGGGCCCGAGCCCACCCCTCCTAATAAGAAACCTAGCCTGTGATCTTATGCATCCTGTTACCTGGGTTCCAAGCCCCACTGAGAGCAGCAGGGCTGACTTCAGAGTCCAATATGGATTGGATTGAGCAGAAGCAAACGACCCATCCTGATACGCTTTGTGCTCTCTGTTTGTGCTCTCTAGGTGTGCCTGCAGCTTTTCAAGTGGATGCCAGAAGAGATTTTGCGCCTTGCGTGGGAAGGAACCGAGAACAGCAAAACCCTTCAAAGGATTTTGAGCTCTCTGCTGCAAAGCATTGTGGGAAAGGTGCCTGTTTATGAACCGGTCTGGCTTATAGTCCTGTGCGGTCTCCTTTTTAAAAAACCGAAACCAAAATAAAACGTTGTTGTTACCTGCCTTTCACACGCAGGTCGAAGGGTGGGGTAAAGGTAAAGGTAAAGGGACCCCTGACCATTAGGTCCAGTCGTGGTAGACTGGGGTTGCGGCGCTCATCTCTCTTTATTGGCCGAGGGAGCCGGCGTCCAGCTTCCGGGTCATGTGGCCAGCATGACTAAGCCGCTTCTGGCGAACCAGAGCAGCGCACGGAAACGCCGTTTACCTTCCCAACGGAGTGGTACCTATTTATCTACTTGCACTTTGACGTGCTTTTGAACTGCTAGGTTGGCAGGAGCAGGGACCGAGCAACGGGAGCTCACCCCATCGTGGGGATTCAAACCGCCGACCTTCTGATTGGCAAGTCCTAGTCTCTGTGGTTTAACCCACAGCGCCACCCGCGTCCCTGGGTTACACCAGTTTAAAAATTCAGTTATTAAAAGTAGTTAAACTGCAATCATGGGAACAGAGACCTGTCTTGCAAACCTAGATCTCAGTTGTCAACAGGCCAGGGTAAAGAGGTAGACCCACTTATTCTGCATTGAACACCCCCCTTGTCAATCAAGGCGTGCTTTACACACATGCTTCAATAGAGCCGTGTCAAATGATTCATACAATAAAATACTTAAACACTAACTCATGTACATAAATATAAATAAAATCAGGGAGCATTACAAGGCAGCATAATGCAAAACACCAGTGAAGAAGAAGAAGAGTTTGGATTTGATATCCCTAAGGAGTCTCAAAGCGGCTAACATTCTCCTTTCCCTTCCTCCCCCACAACAAACACTCTCTGAGGTGAGTGAGGCTGAGAGACTTCAGAGAAGTGTGACTAGCCCAAGGTCACCCAGCAGCTGCATGTGGAGGAGCGGGGAAGCGAACCCGGTTCACCAGATTATGAGTCCACCGCTCTTAATCACTACACCACGCTGGCTCTAGAACACCACACAGTCAGTACAACACTACTTGCATGGTGCAGTGGTTAGAGTGTTAGATTAAGATCTGGGGGACCAGGGTTCAAATCCCCACCTGGCCATGAAGAAGGTCACTGGGTGACCTTGGGGCCAGTCACAGCCTTTTAACCTACCTCACAGGGTTGTTGTGGGGGTCAAACAAGGAGGGAGAGAATTATGTATGCAGCCTTGAGCACCTTGGAGGGAAAGGTGAGATATAAATGCGGTAAATGCATACTTAGGTCCATTAATTGCATTGGGTCTACTCTGAGTGGGATTTAGTTGGCTACAACCCCTTCATCTCGGCATCAAATAAGTGCAGGATTATGGAGCATGTACAATTCCCTTCCCTCAAGTCTGCAATTCTAAAAGTTGTTTGACTACATCAGTAAAAGAAGGAGCAGACAAGAAATTCTTGTTTTATATACAGTGGTACCTCGGTTTTCGAATGTAATCCGTTTTTCAAAAACGTAAGAATTTACTTCCGGGTTTTCAGCGTTCGAAAACCAAAACGTTAGGCTTCTGTGACGCTCGAAAACCGAGGTACCACTGTATATAATTTTTTATTAAATTTTCTGTTTTACAATTTAGAATACTCATTTAAACAACCTTAAAATATCAATGAGTTCCCTTTTTTTCTTTCCATGGTTCATTTTGCATAACATAAATCCCTGCATATTTTACATAAACTAAATCATTCAGTATTCCATTATTGCATCCATCAAAACTTACATTGTTGAATTTATCTTACTGCTGCCAATGTTTTCAATGGTTATTCTGTGAACCACCCAGAGACCCCTGGGTATAGGGCGGTATATAAATTCAATAAATAAATAAACTAAAATCCCCCTCCCGTATAGTCAATAAACATTTTCCAATCTTCTTTAAACGTATGTTCTTCTTGTTCTCTTATTCTATATGTTAGGTCCACAAACTGCACATATTCCATCAGTTTAAGTTGCCATTCTTTTTTGGTTGGGCCTCGCTCGTTTTCCATTTTTGGGTTATCAAAACACGGGCCTCAGTAGTAGTGTATATATATAACCTTTTTTGACACCTGGGAATTTCAGTCTGAATTATCCCCAATAAAAAGGACTCTGTTGGGTTTTTTTTAGGAAAGTACCTTTAAACATTTTTTTCAATTCATTATAAATTATTTCCCAATAATTTGCCCTTTTGCAGGTCTACCACATATGAAAGAACCTCACTGCATCTCCAGCACTTATCTGATTCAGTCTTATACATCTTAGCAAGCCTACTTGGAGTTAAATACCATCTACAAAGCATTTTCAAGTAGTTCTCCTTCAAGGAATAACATGCTGTAAACTTCAGATTGCTCTTCCAAAGTTTTCCCCAGAGATTAAAATCTATAGTATGTCCTATATCTATTGCCAATGTGTCATAGAGGCTTTGACAAGCTCGTCTTTTGTTTCCCAGTCTAATATTGTACATTTTGGATATTGGGACGTGGGTGGTGCTGTAGGTTAAACCACAGAGCCTAGGACTTGCCGATCAGAAGGTCGGCGGTTCGAATCCCCACGACGGGGTGAGCTCCCGTTGCTCGGTCCCTGCTCCTGCCAACCTAGCAGTTTGGAAGCACATCAAAGTGCAAGTAGATCAATAGGTACCACTCCGGCGGGAAGGTAAACGGCGTTTCCGTGCGCTGCTCTAGTTTGCCAGAAGTGGCTTAGTCATGCTGGCCACATGACCCAGAAGCTGTACCTTTACCTTTACATTTTAGATAAAAAAGTTTTTCTTTATTTTGTATAAGATCTTTTTCAAATTGTGAGCTTTGGTCCGAGAAACCATTCTTGCTCACGGGGTTTACCTTCGCCATAGGAAACCTGCAAGGACACTCGGCTGCTGGCTGCTACTGCTGTGAGCATGCTGGTCAACACAGCGCCAGAGCCCCAGACAGGAGCCATGGCCGTCCTGGGTCTCTATCAACTTCTGGACCTCAGTGGTTGCTCCGTTGTGAAGAGACAAGATGCTAAAGCAGCTGGCCACCAAGGTGCGTTCAGACGTCGCTTTCCTTGCTGCACAGATCGCTCTGTGTTTCGACTTGTGTGCCTATGAGCTTGTCTCGATCTGTTTGACTGCAAATGAATCTCCCAAGTGTCCTGTGTCTGCAAATAAAATGTGTTTAGCGCTCATTTCTGCATTTGCTTCCAGAAAAGAAGAAATGTTTGCAATGAATGCAGAAAGGAGAAGTAAACGTGCGTCATATTCCACTAAGTGTCAGGGACCGGGAAGAGGAGGAGGAATGGTGGAGACCGCCTCCTCATCCTGACCCTTCCTGGGAGGGGGAAGAGGACGACGGTACAGTGGTACCTCGGGTTACAGATGCTTCAGGTTACAGATGCTTCAGGTTACAGAATCCACTAACCCAGAAATAGTATCTCGGGTTAAGAACTTTGCATCAGGATGAGAACAGAAATTGTGCAGCGGGAGGCCCCATTAGCTAAAGTGGTACCTCAGGTTAAGAACAGTTTCAGGTTAAGAACGGACCTCCAGAACGAATTAAGTTCTTAACCCGAGGTACCACTGTATAGATCTACAACAGGGGTTCGAGGGAGGTCACAGCTCAGAGGCAGATGAGGGGAAAAGCTGGGAAATCATGGGAGAGTCAGAACAACACCACGTCACTAGAAAGCATTCCAGACTCTTCATCTCCCAGAACCCGGCGAGCCTTAAAAGTAGGAGAGCAAAGAGCTCAAAGGCAGAGGGCTCATAGCAGCACCTGTAGAGGAGATGAATGAGGAAGTGGGAGAGACGGGGGTGGAGATTCACTCAGGACAATTCCATTATCCAAGAGGTTGGGTTCTATATCCTCTCTCTGTAATATTGAAATATAAAAGGATGGTAAGAAACTTTCCCTTGTCTTAATACTGGGCAACCAGCCGGGAGCTGCTGACAGCATCCTGACACTCTGTTTCCGGAAGTGCCTTTCACATTGGTTAGTTAGGGGGATGTCAGGGGAACAGAACAGCCTGCCTTATGAATGTAGCTTTGGTCAAATCACCTTGTTAATGGCACAGGAACCCAGTACAGATAATGCTGGGGAGAGAGACTTTGTGCTGGACACCAGGCAATGGCTTTTTCCACCTTCCTTGCCCCAGCCCTAGAAGCCTTTGCCAGACCATGACTCTAGAAACAGCAGAAGCAGCTGGGAAAAGAGGAGTTAAGGGATATTTTGTGTGTGTGTGTGTGTGTGTGTGTATACCGTATTTTTCACTCTATAAGACACACCAGACCACAAGACGCAACTAGTTTTTGGAAGAGGAAAACAAGAAAAAAAATATTCTGAATCTCAGAAGCCAGAACAGCAAGAGGGATCGCTCCACAGTGAAAGCAGCAATCCCTCTTGCTGTTCTGGCTTTTGTGACAGCTGTGCAGCCTGCATTCGCTCCATAAGATGCACACACATTTCCCCTTACTTTTTAGGAGGAAAAAAGTGAGTCATAGAGCAAGAAATATGGTGGGTGGGTGAGTGTATGTGTATATATATATATGTATATATATATATGTATATATACACACATACACACACACATATATATATATACACATATATATACATATAAAATTTTGCTTCTCAGCTTGTATTGTGTTATTTCATGTGCTACAACTTGCTGTTACTTTTATTGATTATAGTTTAGAAAGTAGCGTAATTGTTAAGAGTGCGTTTCTGTTTAATTTGCTGATATTTGATTTTATTGTGTACTATTATATTCTGGTGGATTATTGAAGATTACTTTATTTGGTATAAGTCGTTTATTTTAAAGTTATGCTTTTTATTACAACGTTTTTGTCGTGGGTCAGATCGTTCTGAGGTGCGTGACCTTTCTCGGTTCCTTCAGCTTGTGAAACGCCTTGTGTATACAGAAGGGCGGTGTGCAAATTAAAAGTGAAACGAGCTCTGTGAATCTGAGCCGACGTGAGGACAGATTCCTTTGACTGACTGGAGAAATTTCTTTCTGTGACCAGGAGAATGCTGGTTTGGCACGCTCCGTGTGCCCCGACCTCCTTGGAGCCCGGATGGACTGGAGAGGGTGGTACTCACCCGGGGCTTGTTAGCCTGTTGCAAGAAGGAGATCCTGAGCTGCCGACTGGATGATACCACGCAAGAGGTAGGCTTGAGGAAAGAACTTCTGCTCTTCCATAAACCCAGAGGCAAAATTTGGTAAGCGTCAGGTGTTCAGGGCAAGGGTGGTCCGTCTTGGAAGAGTTAAGGCCAGCAACCTGTACAGTGGCAAGGAAGAGTCTAGGGCAGGGAGGCCAGCGTTTGAATCCCCACTCAGCCATGAAGCTCACAGAGTTGTGGATTAGTCACTGCCTCTTTCTTCTTTTATATACAGTCATACCTCTTGTTATGTTAGGTTCAGGTTACGTCTTTTCAGGTTGCGTCCCATGGTGACCCGGAAGTACCGGAAAGGGTTCACTTCCAGGTTTTGCCACTCCTGCGCATGCGCAGACAGCTCAAAATGATGTCATGCGCAGAAGCAGCTGAGTCATGTGGCCGCATGACGTGGAGTTGCATTCTGCTCCATGCTGCGAAGCGAGGGCTCCCAAAGCGGATCCTGTTCGCAATGGTCAGAGGTCCTACCTACTCTGTATAATAATTTTTATTAATTTTAAATTACCATCCAATAATAGCCTCATTATAACAATACCAAATTATAATAAAATTACTACCACCAATCATTCAAATACCGAATTGTATAATTTAGGTGGCCTCCTGCGTGCTAGAATTGATGGTTTGATTTTTTCCCCTTTTATTTCTGCGTTCCAAAATCTTACTAATTTCAATTACCGTATTTTTTGCTCTATACGACTCACTTTTTCCCTCCTAAAAAGTAAGGGGAAATGTGTGTGTGTCTTATGGAACGAATGCAGGCTGCGCAGCTATCCAGAAGCCAGAACAGCAAGAGGGATTGCTGCTTTCACTGCGCAGCGATCTCTCTTGCTGTTCTGGCTTCTGGGATTCAGAATATTCTTTTTCTTGTTTTCCTCCTCCAAAAACTAGGTGCGTCTTATGGTCTGGTGCGTCTTATAGAGCGAAAAATACGGTACGTTCCGTGTAAAATAATGATCCCTTATACAACAACTGGAATGTTAATAACTTCTATTTGTGTTGACACATTAAATGATTTCTAAAACTGCAAGTGAGGCACTCAAACTATATCCTTGTTCTTCCTGTGTGTGGCAGTTATTCTGTCCATGATGTTTCTTTCTGTCCTTGTAAAATATTATGTCTATCTTTTCCCAGTTGTTTCTGCTCTCCTTCATGCCTTGGGCGGAGCTGATATCCCATTGCTGTTTCAGAAATTTCTCCATCGCTCCGTCCCGTGCTTCGTTGTTTTGCAACTTTAACAACAGCTGCAAAAATCACTCTGTCCATAAAGAACCTGTTTTCACCATTATCCCTCTCTTTTTTAAAAAATAATAATATTTATTAATAATTTCAAAATTGCAGAAAAGAAAGAAAAAAAATTAAAAACAACACTACAATACATAGAAAAAAAGAAAGGGAAAAAAAACAAGACATAAAAACCAATGCAACAATACAGCAAAAAGATAAAAAAGAAAGAAAAAAAGACACAAATCCCATATTACATATCTTTAACTTCCATTTGCTTGTTTCATTGACCTCCTCACACCTCCCTTTTTGTATTCTAGTTTAATTGATTATTTCAGCAAATTCTTTCCATCTTTCTCAATTTTTACTAAATAATTTATCTTAACAATTTACCTATTAATTAACAAATCCTTTCCATCCTTTCCCCATATTCTGTTATTCAAATTACCTTAAGTTATTTAACCTTATCTTACCAAAAAATACTTTAGAGCTTAACACTTAATACTCGATTTTACATAACTCCTGATATCTTTTCTACTAGAGTCATATAGTTTCATTCCAACATTTTCCCTAATGTTCATTAATTTTAGGCTAATTCCCTAGAAAAAAAATTTTTTTCTTTATAAATTTTCTTCCAATCTTCATCCAACGTCTCTTCTTCCTGGTCTCGGGTCGTGTCAGTCCTTACTGTCCATTCCATCTAGTCCATCAACCTGGTAATCTAATGTCCGAGGCCCTTAAGTCTCTTCCATGTCCCTTCTGCAGATCTTCTTCTTGTTGTTTATACTTGCACTTTTCCTTGTCTTTTGTTGGTCTCTTTCTTAGTTTCTTTCCTTTCTCGTTGGGGAGTGGGACTCTGGGGATTCCAACCCAAAATTATCTTCGTCTCCCTTCATCCAACCAGCCCATTCCCCAGAGTCCCACTCCCCACAGTCATCAATGTAGTCCAAAAAATATTTAAAAACATATTTCGAGGTCTCTCCAAAGTTAAGAATCTCCTCAGCTCCAGACTCCCCCTGGCCGACTCCAACTTCAATCTTCAAAGACAGCGGCTTATGCTCCTGTAGGGCCTCGGGTCTCTCCATTTGTATTATTTGAGGTGCAACCGCAACCTCCTCCATTATCTTCTGCACTTGCCCAATCAGTACAGGTTCCTGAGTTGGTCCCTGAATAGTTTCTGTATCAATATTCCCTGTTTGTCCACAGTTATTAGCCACAACAGTCATCAAATCCATTTTCTCATTCATCAAATCCATCTTCTCATGCATCTGTTCCAGCAAGGCACTTGTCTTGCATAAAGCAAGCACCAAAACTTCCTCCCAGCTCATATTTAGTCAAGGTCAAAAAGGCCTGGTCCCACGATCTTAATCTGACAGCTGTAGAGTCCTCAAGTAGACTGCAGCAACAATTTAGCAAGCTCCCTCTAGAGGAGACAATTTCTATTTGTATCCATTTTTTTAAGGCAAGTCCAACAAAGGAAAATTACTTTCGTTTTTCAGATATTTTGTTTCTTTAGAATGCAGAAGGCAACATTGGAATCAATTTATTTCTCTTCTTTAGCTATCTGTCAAAGTATTCCATTCACAGTTAATGAACCTCTCCAAGAATTTCTGTCTCTGACACCCTGTTCCCAGGTTAGAGACGGTGGAAACTTATCTTTCTTCACTCCCTCTCCTGCAGGCGTTAAACAAAGCCCCCCCCCCTTTTTCTCCTGCTTCCAAGGGGGTTTCAGTAATTATAAATGAAGGAAATTTAAACTTTTTTAACGACTTTCCAGGCTTTAGCTTACAGGGTTTTTGCTTCAGTCTATGTACAAAAAGCGGAAGGCGGACTTCCTGTTTTGAACCTTCCCGCTTCGGTGCCAAATTAAAATATTTCTTGATCCAATTTTCCGTTTCTACTCACGGGTACTTGTTTTAAATCCAATTGTCCACAGGAAAAAGTCAGCGCTCTCCGGCAATGGCTGTGCGGCTTCACTCCGTGAAAGTAGCAGTCAGTTCGCAGCACCGCGCCGCTCACCCCACTTTACTTCGGAGCCCCAAAATGGGGTTCCCGGTGCGTGGGGGGGCGCTCCTGGTGCCCTGCTGAACCCCACGTTCCCAGGCTTCCTCCGCCTGGGATTTCTAATGGGTTCCCACCTTTGCCGCGGCGGGAAGACCCAGTTTCCATGGAGCCTGTTCCTCCGGTCGGAGGAACTCCGCCATTCGCCAATGGCGCTGACCCGGAAGTCACCCACCATTATCCCTCTCAGCCTGGGAAGAAGAGTGCTCTGTCACTGCCTCTTAGCCTAGCCTACCTCTCAAGGTTGTTGTGAGGATCAAATACCAGAGAGGGAGAACTGTGTGGATGCCACTTTGCAGCAACGGTGTGGGGTGTAAATGTAACAATACAGTGGTACCTCAGGTTACATACGCTTCAGGTTACATACGCTTCAGGTTACAGACGCTGCTAACCCAGAAATAGTGCTTCAGGTTAAGAACTTTGCTTCAGGATGAGAACAGAAATCGTGCTCCGGCAGCGCGGCAGCAGCAGGAGGCCCCATTAGCTAAAATGGTGCTTCAGATTAAGAACAGTTTCAGGTTAAGAACGGACCTCTGGAAAAAATTAAGTACTTAACCTGAGGTACCACTGTAATTAATATTTTTTTAAAAAACAAGTGTCTTATTCTTAAAACGCCCTGTGTTTTTTCTCATTTTGAGGCTTTTTTCTGCTTCCTTCCATGAGAGACATGCATGATTTTTGTTGGCTTTTCTTCATACTGGGCCTAAAAATATATACAGTGTGTCAGGGAACTGCCATCGGAAGGAAGGGAGGTGAAAGGGCTCACACAGGTTGGGAGAGACTCAGCAGCTGAAGAGGGAACCAGTAGGGGGAGAGGAGCTGAGCTGAGGGAAAGTGAGCTGGAGGGATGGCTCAGAGACACTTCCAGCGAAAACAGTGGGAAGGTTTCAGGACCTCCTGTAGGAACACCCACTCCTCGCCGGAAACTGTCACGCAGAGAGTCCAGAAGACGTGTTTCCGTTAAGGAGCTTTTATGTTGGAAGCGATTCCGAAAGCAACCACTGTCGGAATCTGCTAGTGACTAGAGGAGCCATGTCTGAGGGGCTCCGTCACAGACAGAGGTTTGTGGACTTGAACAAACTCTGAGGGGATACTATTTTACGCACAAGCAGCTCATCATCCCATCACAGCATTCCGACAGTCTTTGAAAGCAGCTTGTGCAGGAGAAGGCATCATGAGCAACCCAGCCGGAACCGGAGAAGCAGGAGCTGGAGCGGGTCCAAGCCTGGAAGAAAGGTACCGGGTGTTGGAGGTCCAGCTAGCGCTGCAGACGGCGAGGCTTGGAGGAGAGGAGGGCTCAGGATGCAGACAAAAGGGGAAAGCCACCCAGCTCGCCAGAAAGGTACCAGGATTGGTGCAGAAGTTTGGGGGGGAGCCCAAAGACTATCATGGCTTTCGGACAGAGATGCAATATGCCCTCAATCTGCAGTTTGATGAATTCCTGACGAGGAATCACGAGTGGCTTTCGTGATTGGGCATCTTGAAAAGGGGGCGAGAGACTGGGTTAGACCCCTGATGGCAGCGAATAGTGACGTCCTAAAGGACACGATGAAGTTCTTTCGCGCCATGGATCTGATGTTTTCCAGCGATATTGAACAGGGAGTGGTGCGCAGACAGTTAATGGCTTGCAAACAGGGGAGCCGATCTGTCCGTGAGTACTGGACTGAGTTCACCATGCTGGTTCACAGATTGGGGTGGGACTTATCGGCGGAACCCATTCAAATGCTCTTTGAAGAAGGGCTTTCTTCGGCTGTGAAAGACGAACTTTCCCGGGCGCCCAGGGCGGAGTCTATGGACCAGCTGACCAAATCAGCGCTGACCATAGGAGCGCGCCAGGAGGCGAGAGCATTGGAGAGGCGGGAAGGGAAGGGGGAACGTTGGAAGGAGTTCCGCATTCCAGACATTCCAGAGCCAACTTTCCCGCCGGCAGAGCCGATGGAAATCGGAACAGCAGCGCGCGCGCAGTTTCAAAGCCCAGTGAGGGGGAAAGAAGGAGGGAAAACGCGCCCGGAAATGCTATCTCTGCCAACAGCCAGGTCACTTTGCCAGAGTCTGCCCCCAGAGGAAGGAATGGCAAGGGATGGTAGGAGCTGTGGAGGGAAGAGAGGAAGAAATACCGGAGCAAGTAAAAGCCAACGCCTGGCTGCCACCGTCGGGGCACAGCAGCCAGGCCAAAGAGCAGTGAGAGTGCCCACGCCAGAACCTCCTAAACCCGCCCTAGTGATAGAAGTGGCGCTAGAGCTGCCAAACGGACACCCTCTAAAGATAAAGGCGCTGTTGGACTCAGGCAGCTCCTGCAATTTCATGAGCAAAGAGTTTGCAGCTGAACACCAGATACAGACGATCCTTTAAGCAACCCCTGCAGGTGACCACGATCGATGGCAGGGAGCTGTTGGGAGGAGAAGTCAGCTTGCAGACCGTCCCAATGATAATGAAGGTGGCAAGGCACACCGAACTGATAGCGTTTAATGTGGCCACCTTGGGAGGAGCTCCCATTATATTGGGGATGAGCTGGCTAGCGTTACATGATCCGCTGGTGGGCTGGCATCAGAGAGTGGTTTCTTTTGGTTCAGCACATTGCTTAGAACACTGCAAAGAGGGAAAGGGTTTGGCAGGGGCCCAAGCCACCCTAGCAGGGACTGAAGTAACGGAGAACGTGAAGGTACCACGACAATACGCAGATCTCCGCGACGTCTTCAGCGAAAGGGAAGCTGACCAACTACCCCCGCATAGACCCTTTGACTGTCAAATCAATTTACTCCCTGGGGCACAGCTCCCTGTAGGCAAGCTGTACGCCATGTCAGACAGAGAGATGCAGGAGCTAAGAGAGTTCATTGACAAGAACCTGAAGAGAGGGTTCATCAGAGAGTCCAGGGCGGTGGGGGCAGCCCAGTGTTTTTGTGGATAAAAACACGAACAAGCCGAGGCTGGTGTGTGACTTCAGGGCCTTAAATGCAGTGTCAGAACCAGTGGCCTTCCCTATGCCCAGGATTGACGACATTTTGACAAGGGTGCGGAAGGGAAAGATTTTCACAAAGCTGGACCTAAGGGGGGCGTACAACCTGATACGAATAAGGAAGGGGGATGAATGGAAAACCACCATGTTCACCCCTTTAGGGGCATTTGAATATTTGGTTATGCCCTTCGGCCTACAAGCAGGCTCCGCATGCTTTCAATCGTTTATGAACCACGTCCTGGGGCCTTTGCTTTACAAGAATTGTGTGGCCTTTTAGACGACGTGTTGGTGTATTCTGAGAATGAGGAGCAGCATGTGAGAGACGTCAGAGAAGTGTTGAGCAGGCTGCAAGCCAACCAGCTGTGGGTGAAACTGGAGAAGTGTCAGTTTCATACCAAGGAGGTGGAATTCCTGGGGTATCGCCTGTCAGACAAGGGATTGGCCATGGATCCCGGCAAGGTCCAGGCGGTGCTGGAATGGAAAACACCCAAAACAAGGAAGGATGTGCAGAGGTTCCTAGGATTTGGGAACTTCTATCGTAAGTTCATCCGAAACTTTGCCCACCTGACGGCGCCCATTACGGACTGTCTCAGCAGTAAGAAGAAGTTCGTTTGGACTGAGGAGGCGGAGCGAGCATTTGAGGAACTAAAAAGGGCCTTCGCCTCGGAACAACAACTCCTGCATGTGGATTTACAAAAACCGATGAGAGTGGAAACTGACGCATCAGACAGAGCGATTGGGGCGGTGCTTCTGCAGCCAGGGAAGGAGGAGTCAGAGTGGAGACCGTGTGCTTTTTTTCGCGAAAGCTGAACAAATCCGAGAGGAACTACACGGTGTATGACCGAGAACTACTAGCCATTCATGAGGCGTTCCGGAGATGGAGGCACCTGCTAATTGGCGCACAACATAAGGTGCAAGTGTGCACTGACCACAAGAACCTAGAGTATTGGAGGACGGCACGAGTGCTCAACCAACGGCAAGTGAGATGGGCCCAGGAGTTCTCCAAATTTAACTTTGAGATTGGTTACGTGCCAGGCCCAGAGAACATTAGGGCGGACGCTCTCTCACGCAAACCTGAATATTTGGAGGGGAGGGAGCACCCGAAGAGAGACATGTCATTCCAGAGGACCGCTGGGTGTGTGGGGCGGCATTGGTGGGACAAAGAGAACTGGTAGAGGAAACAGAGAATGATGAATACGCCCAGAATAAGCTCAGAGGTCTTAGGGGTGAGGGAGAGGAACCAGGGGGTTTCGAGGAAAGAAATGGAGCTTTGTATTACAAAGGGGCACTGTATATCCCTGAAGGAGACTTAACGGGGAGGGTACTCAAGCAGTTGCACGACAGCCCTACGGCGGAGCATTTTGGACAACACAAAACCATGTGGTTGGTCACCAGGGAATTTTGGTGGCCTAAGGTGAGGGAAGATGTACGTGAGTATGTAAGAGGGTGCGAGCAATGCCAGCGAGCCAAAGGGGAAAGGCGGGCGCCGGCGGGGCTATTAGAACCCTTACCAACCCCAGAACGACCTTGGGAGGCAGTGTCGATAGATTTTATGACTGATCTGCCGAAGTCCAAAGGGAAAACAGCCATCATGGTGGTGGTAGACCTACTAACAAAGATGTGCCACTTTGTAGCTTGCTCGCATGCAGTCACGGCGGAAGAGACAGCGAAGTTATTTGTAGAACACATTTTTAGGTTGCACGGGGTGCCATTGAGGGTGGTCTCAGACCGAGGAAAACAATTTACTTCCAGGTTCTGGAGGAAGCTCATGAGCTTACTGCAGGTGGAGGTCAATTTTTCGACTGCCCGGCACCCTGAAACCAACGGGCAGGCGGAAAGAGCAAACGGTGTCCTCCAGCAATACCTGAGGTGTTATGTCAATGACAGAGAGAATGACTGGGTAGAAAAGTTGGCGCTGGCGGAATTTGCCTACAACAATGCCGAGAATGTGTCCACAGGGATGAGCCCCTTCTTGGCTAATTATGGGTGTCATCCCAGGGCTTTCCCAGGGGGAGATGGGGAGAGATGGAGCGTCCCGGCAGCCGAGCATTTTGTGGAAGAAATGGAAGCAATCCATCGTCAGCTCCAACTCAACTTAGAAAGGGCGAAGGAAGAATACAAGAGGCAGGCAGACAAGAACCGAAGGGAAGGTGAAACCATAAGGGTGGGAGATAGGGTGTGGCTGTCAACCCAAGGGTTGCCGTTCAAAGGAGGTTGTAAGAAATTAAGACCCAGGAGGTTGGGTCCCTTTGAGGTCATTCAACAGGTCAACCCAGTGGCTTTCAGGCTCCGGTTACCCAACCACATGAAACTGCACCCAGTATTTCACAGGTCGTTACTGTCACCGTACGAAGGGGGACGAGAAGGGATGGCCACTCGGGACCGGTCATAGAAGAAAGAGAATGCAGCAGCCATGTGGCAGAAATCCTCGACGCCAGGTGGAAGGGGGATCAGGTGGAGTATTTGGTAGCGTGGGAAGGAGAACCGGAGTCAGAAAACACTTGGGTAATGGCCGAAGATATCAATGACGAGGTATTGATAGAAACGTTCCATCAAAGGTTCCCAAGGAAACCTCAGCCTGTGGAGAGGTTCCGGAGGGAATACTTTGGGACCACTGATGAGGAGGAGGAGTTGGAAGGATTCCCGGACTCGGAAGGGGAAGGGGAGATGGACTCTGAGGAGGAGGAGTACTTCGAGACCAGGAACCGCAACAGGTGGAGAGAAGTGTTCGAGACATCGGAAGATGAAGGAAGTTCATTCCGGGTTTTGCCTCCTCACCGCCCGTAGAGGAGGGGGCGAGAGGGGGTGAAAGGGGCCCTGGAGGGGAGGTGGATGTCAGGGAACTGCCATCGGAAGGAAGGGAGGTGAAAGGGCTCACACAGGTTGGGAGAGACTCAGCAGCTGAAGAGGGAACCAGTAGGGGGAGAGGAGCTGAGCTGAGGGAAAGTGAGCTGGAGGGATGGCTCAGAGACACTTCCAGCGAAAACAGTGGGGAGGTTTCAGGACCTCCTGTAGGAACACCCACTCCTCGCCGGAAACTGTCACGCAGAGAGTCCAGAAGACGTGTTTCCGTTAAGGAGCTTTTATGTTGGAAGCGATTCCGAAAGCAACCACTGTCGGAATCTGCTAGTGACTAGAGGAGCCATGTCTGAGGGGCTCCGTCACAGACAGAGGTTTGTGGACTTGAACAAACTCTGAGGGGATACTATTTTACGCACAAGCAGCTCATCATCCCATCACACAGTGGTACCTCAGGTTACATATGCTTCAGGTTACAGACTCCGCTTACCCAGAAATATTACCTCAGGTTAAGAACTTTGCTTCAGGATGAGAACAGAAATCATGCAGCAGCGGCGCGGCAACAGCGGGAGGCCCCATAGCTAAAGTGGTGCTTCAGGTTAAGAACAGTTTCAGGTTAAGTACGGACCTCTGGAACGAATTAAGTACTTAACCTGAGGTACCACTGTACTGTGATTGCTTCCCCCCCGCCCCACGCACCATTTCCCCCCTATAGAATCGTAGGAGTGTAGACTTGAGAAGGGACCCATCTCATCCAACCGCCTGCAGTGCAGGAAGCGCAGCTAAATCACAGCCCTAATACCCTCTTCTGCAGGCTTGTCTGTTGCTGGATGTCCTGTTCCCAGCTCTTTTGGTCCTGATGGAGGAGCCGGATTACTACTGCTTCCAAGGTAGGTGGTTTGCCCTGAAGTCCTCCATCCAATTCAGATGGTCGCAGCCAAAGGAGGCCCAATTTTCAACCAGGAAAGAAGCATCTGAGTCTAATAATAATTATTATTTTTATTATTTTTTATTTATTTATACCCTGCCCATCTGGCTGGATTTCCCAGCCACTCTGGGCGGCTCCCAGCAGAATATTAAAAACACGCTAAAACATCAAACGTTAAAAACTTCCCTAAACAGGGCTGTCTTCAGATGTCTCCTAGAAGTCAGATACGTAGTTGTTTATTTCCTTGACATCTGATGGGAGGGCGCCACCACTGAGAAGGCCCTCTGCCTGGTTCCCTGTAACCTCACTTCTCACAGTGAGGGAACCGCCAGAAGGCCCTCAGAGCTGGACCTCAATCTGTGGGCTGAGCGATGGGGGTGGAGACGCTCCTTCAGGTATACTGGGCCGAGGCCATTGGAGAACCTGTGACCTGCCAGAGTTTTCTGGACTACAACTCACATCCTCCACTGGCTATGCCAACTGTGGCTGATGGGAGCTGGAGTCGCAGCAACATCCAGAGAGCCACATGTTCCCCAATTCTGCTTTTAAAGCATTGCGTATGCAGAACGATGGAGTGGTAGTCATGAGTGTGATTAGCCTGGACCTCTGTTTGCAGTGTTTTCTCTATGGCTTCGGCGCGTCCGAGAAAGTCTGGAGGAGATCTGGGAAGGGAAGAGGAGCCGGGTGCTGGCAGACCAGTCTAGACTTCTCGAGAGACTGACCCAGTTCCTCTGGAACAATGCAGAGAGCCCGGTAATGGTACCTTTTTCATTTCACCTGGACCTTCTTGTGTCCTGTCAAAGCTGCATCCGCAGAGGAGGCTTAACGTTAAGAAACCCAAACGCCTATATTCCACAAAAACAACCTCATGCAACAGCAAGAGCTAAGCAGACCAAAAGTCAAGGGTACCACTTAGATCAGGGGGTATTCAGTGAGGGGCCCTCCAGATGTTTGACTGTAGCAGGGTGGATTTGATTTAAATCAAATAGATTTAAATCACTATTTAAATCATGATTTAAATCACGAGTCAGTAAGACTTGATTTAGATCATTTTTTTCCAGAAAGTCTCATTCTTGCTGGTATAATTTAATATTTAGAACCAGATAAAGGTTTCATTTTTGGAATAATAAATTTTCAGAGTAGTTTTTACAGTTATATCAAAACTACTGATTTGGTTATACTATTAGAAATACATAGACAGATAATTACAAAATTATTGTGAGGTTTAGTAAGTTAACTGTTTATATTTGGACAACTTTTCTGCTGTACTTTATTCGAAGGAGAGAAATAATCATGTCCTTAATAGAATTTTAACAGTTAATGTAACTAGAACAATAACATTACAGCATATGTATCCATGTTTGTTAACTGATGTGGTTAAACAATTATTATTTTTTAAAAAAACCTCAGACTGAGTTTTAGCACACATGAAAAACTTAAAACAAATCCTTATTTCCTGATGAATAGCCTTTGGACTATAATGTAACTTAACTAGAAAACTATAGAAATATTTTTCCTCCAAAAGCATTTTATTTTAAAAATCCAATTTAAATTTTTAAAAATCTGATAAAAAAAACTTATTTAAATTTTAAAAATCTGATTTAAATTTTTAAAAATCTAAGTAAAAAAAAATCCAATTTTTAATTTTTTAAATTAAAAAAAAATCATTGATTTTTATCCACCCTGGACTGCAGCAGGGGATAGCTCAGTCAATAGAGCACAAGACTCTTAATCTCAGACTGTTAGAAAGTTGTGGGTTTGTGCAGAAAGATTCCTGCATTGCAGGGGGTTGGACTAGATGACCCTCGTGGTCCCTTCCAACCCTACGATTCTATAATTCGTACATAATAATGTTACTTTCCCACCCCTCCTCTGCCCACACTGTTCAGGTGGAAGGGGTGTCTGATTTCATCCACAGCTCCTTCCAGCTCCTCCTGGAGATCTACAGCTTAGAGTGTGATCGCTTTGAGGACCTGGAGAGACCCTCTATGGGCACTTCCTCCAGAGAGTCATCCTCATGCCCTGGCAGGCCAGAGCCCGGTATTTTCCTCTCATTTCGGTTCTGCCCTACCTGGGTCCTGAAAAGGTAAGGGGGGGACGACGTTGGTGTGTGAGTGCGGAGCTCAGCCCATAATACTCTGAAAACAGAAAGGGTCAGGTAGCTGGAGATGGAAATTACCCTCTTTGTTAATTTCTTAAAAACAAAACCCACCAAAACCTTTCGCTTCTTTTTACTGCTTTCGTACGTGCCATAATACGAACCGATTTCACCTGTGTGTTTCTATGCACCAGTGCTGTAACAGATTGTACGGTCATATCTTGGTTTTCGAAATGCCTTGGGAGTCTAACATTTCGGCTCCCGAACGATCAAAAACCAGAAGTGATTGTTCCAGGAGCTTCCTGCAGCCAATCAGAAGCTGCCCTTGGTTTCCAAATGTTTTGGAAGTCGAGCGGACTTCCAGAACAGATTCCTTTTGACTTCCGAGGTACCACTGTATTGTTACAACTGTGTTTGCCAAACTTGGGTCCTCCAGCTCTTTTTCGACCACAACTCCCATCACCCCTAGCTGGCAGGACCTGTGATCAGGAACGATGAGAATTGTAGTTCAGAAACAGCTGGAGACCCAAGTTTGGGAAATATTTGAGTTACCGGTAAATCAGTTACCACTTTCAGTGTTTACAGATCCCATTGACTTTAGCAGTGGGGCGTAGCTCCGTGGTAGAACACCTGCTTTGCATGCAGAAGGCCCCAGCATCTCCAGGTAGACCTGGGAGAGACTCCTTGCCTGAAACCCTGGAAAGCTGCTGTCGGTCAGTGCAGTCAATACTAAGCCAGATTGAAGGAATGGGTTTCCCAAACCGAAAAACTGACTGTGCAGGCAGTTTGAAACTGCACCAAAATCCCAATTTTTCCTTAACTAAAATGCTTTAACTCGAGCTCTTGAGCCAAAAACCCAGCTGTATAAACAAGTGCTCAGAGCCCTCTCCTTTATCAGTTTGTGACGGCAAAGATGGCCTTGATTGTACCAGTAGAACAGGGAAGAAACATCTGTGCCTTATCTTATATCCTGACCACAAAGACGCACAGACCTAGTCTGGGAACAGCGCCAGAGGCTGTTCTTAGAGATGGTGACCTCTTGCTCCAAGATAAGAGTAGGAACAGGAAGATCCTTTTTATGGTCAGAAGTACAGGAAGGAATATCCTTTTATGGTCAGAAGTATAGGAAGGAATACCCTTTTATGGTTAAGAGTGCCGGAGCAGGAACATCTGTGATGTCAACCTGCGTGTACAAGCTGACGTGGCTGGATTCCTGGGGAAGGGGGAGAGGGTGCCTGGAGGATATATATACTGCATGAAATTTCTCATTTCTTTGGACTTGCTGTGGACACACCACGCAGGTGCCTTTCTGCTGTTCTGGAGAGCAGAAATAAAGAACTCTTTCTCTGAACCAACCCTCAGTGTCATTTGACTTCCTTCCTCCTGTCTGGGAGCAACGCAGACCCAATTGGTGAACTCCAATAAGGCTACAAGATGGACCAGGGATCTGACAGGATAAGGCAGCTTCTCCTGTTTCTCCTTATTCCAGCCCTTTCTTGTGACTCATGAGGACTAGAATCTTACTCTCTTTTGAGGCGTTCCCAAAGTAAAGGAAGGATTGAACTCTGATTAATAAGAATACACACAGAGGCTTGAACCAGCAAGACTCTGGGAAGGGTGCGTCTAATAATCTCTGCCTCTACCCCTCGGCCCAGGTCATTTTATTCACAAAAGACCTTTTTACAGAGTGTTCATAAGAACCAATCCGATTTCTTCTGAGCATTTCAGCAGACCCCACGTGTGGACAAAGTTAAACTACCAAAACTAATTAAGCACACATATTTCTGGGGTAAACAAAACAGAACTACAGAGGAGTACATTTGGCAACCCCTGAGGTCATGAACAAGCAATATACATGATAAGAAGGATGGCCAGGAAGACAGTGATCATTATTACCTTCAGGTGAGATCTGTTTCCTGGCCCTAAGATTAACATCCTAAGATTAACATATCAGAAAATCTACATCAAAGAAAATGCCCACTGTCTTTGATGACCCAGGATGCCTGCCTGGCGAAGACTGGCAGTGTACGTGACTGGTCAAGAAAGAGAAATGGAACAGGGATGCGGAGGTGTGGATTGATCAGGAGTCATATCAAAATAGTTTAAACCCAGTCAACGCAATGCTTTCATTGCTGACACAGATGGCTTACTCTATATTTGTTATAATTCCTCATAGCAATCCCACCTGATCACTACATCTTTTTTTGCCAGCACTGAGCAAGGGCCCGGCTCAGTACAAGGCAACTTCCTGCGTTTCGTGCCATTTGGTGACCTTCTCTTGTGTTTGTGTAAAGACCCCTGACATCCTGCCGTCTCCTGAATCTTCCCTTTCCGTTCTGCTCAGGTTCTGGATGCATACAAAGATCTCCCGCAGCACCTCTTGAACTGCCTGTCGACCAACCACTTGTGCCCTGCCGCCTCCGATTTGTACAAAACCATCCTCCAGCTGCAGCGCAAAGTTTGGGCCGAGAGGCGGGAGCAGGTCCCAGAGGAAGAGCTGGCTCAGGAGTGGGGCCGCTGCTGGCTTGCGGTCCTCTCCAGCGCCTTGACCTCTCCCTCCCCTTCCCTCCAGAGCAACGCCTCCAACTACCTTCTGGGCTGGACCTTGCGAGTTTTCCCTGCCTCTTACTCTTTGCTGGACGAGAATTTTAGGAGCAGGGAGCCCTCTAAGCTGCGGGCCTGGGTCGCCTTGCTGAATGCCCAGAGGACCATCTCAGGGGCCTTCCCCTCCGATGTGGAGACCCTGGAAAGGCTCCCCTTCTGCCTCTTCTCCAAAGAGGAGAACGTCCGCTTGGCGGCGCTGAACCTCCTCTGCTCCGCCCCCAGGACCAACCAGGCTTTGTCCGAGATGGAGGCCCGGCTCCTGAAGGAAGCTTTGCCGCTGAGCTTGAACTGCGATTCCTCGTCTTTCCGGCAGCTCCTCCAAACCATGGTTAAGAAGGCCCTGGTCAGGCTGAGGGACAGCTCTCTTGCCCTGCTACGGAAGCAGGAATCGGACAAGAAGGAACGCAGTGGCGGGAAGGATCCGGAAACAACTATGGGGCAAGCCGTGGGTGAGTTGACCCATTCTCCACACAACTATTGTGAGAACAGGATGCCAGACCAAATGGGCCCCCTGCTCATCTCACGTTTTTAAATACAGTGGTACCTCGGGTTACATACGCTTCAGGTTACATATGCTTCAGGTTACAGACTCCGCTAACCCAGAAATAGTGCTTCAGGTTAAGAACTTTGCTTCAGGATGAGAACAGAAATCGGGCTCCAGCGGCACGGTGGCAGCAGGAGGCCCCATTAGCTAAAGTGGTGCTTCAGGTTAAGAACAGTTTCAGATTAAGAACAGACCTCCGGAACGAATTAAGTACTTAACCCGAGGTACCACTGTACAGGCAACTCCCAACTCGCATGTGGTTGGTGCCACGAAATCAGTAAACAATTCAGTTCCATCCCAGAAGTGGCGGGATAAAGCTGGAAAGTCCCTGTAGCATGTGAGGAGACCCTCCCTAGAGCCCAAAGAGTCCAGTAATAAAGGCTTAAATGGCTTTTAAAAAAACCACTAACACCCTATGGGCTCCAAAATGGCACATGGGAGCTCTCGCTGCTGCTGCTGCTGCGCTACTCCGCTCCACAGCTGTTGGGCAGGAGGCTGGATTGCAGCTGGCTTGAATGCACTGTTTGTTGCTCTTTCTGGCAATCTGGAGGCAAAGGTACCGTAGAAAAGAAAAAAGAGTATGGAGCATGTTACAAAGGTGGTCTTTGGCTAAGGGGCCGGGCAATTTCTAAAGCAGGCATAGGCAAACCCGGCCTTCCAGATGTTTGGGGACTATAACTCCCATCATCCCTGACCACTGGTCCTGTTAGCTAGGGATGATGGGAGTTGTAGCTCAAAACATCTGGAGGACCAAGTTTGCCTATGCCTGTTCTAAAGTTTTATAAAGTTCTTGGAACGCCTTTGTTCTGAATCCTCACCTCCTTGCGAAGTGGGGGATAACTCTGTTGAAACAGGAAAATAAAGCTCTTCCTTGCTTGCCTTCTACTGGTTCCTGCTTCTATCCATTCTTCTCTGACTGATCATGGACTTAGGGGACGCAAGTGTCTCTTGGGGAGTTGGGCTGCAAAAGCAAACCCCAATTTTTTCTACAACAAGAGCAGGTTAAAAAGCAGGCGTTTAGAGGGTGCTCCTCACTTGAAGCTCATTTCGCTCATGTGGAGGGTGGGGCTGGAATGTAACCCCCATGTAAGTGAGGAGTTGTCTGTAAAATAATTGCCACCCTCTTTTCTTTTCTTTTCTTTTCTTTTTTTGCACTTAATTTATTTATTATTAATGTTGCAATACATATATGAAATATTTACATGTTGATACATATACATTATATTCATAAATTCACATTTTCACATTTCATTATGTACCCACATTTATCCATTTCTTATTTCTTGCCCTGTGTCTTCCCTCCACCCATGCGTAACTTCCTTGTTATTATTTTGTAACTTTATTATTGAGATTGTAATTTTATATCTTAATAATTAAACATTCAATCTTATATATCTGCTTAGCTTAGCTTAGCTTAGTGAAATCAGTCTATACATATCAATAAATTCTTGTTGGAGCATCTTTTGGTCATGTATTCTTCTACACGTTTCCATTCCTGTTTGGGATTTTGATTAGATTGCATTCTAATTGTTGCCGTCGTTTTTGCTAATTCAATCATTTCAAAAATTTTATTTTGCCAATCTTTCAATGTTGGTACAGTGGTACCTCGGGTTAAGTACTTAATTCATTCCAGAGGTCCGTTCTTAACCTGAAACTGTTCTTAATCTGAAGCACCACTTTAGCTAATGGGGCCTCCTGCTGCCGCCGCGCCGGAGAACGATTTCTGTTCTCTACCTGAAGCAAAGTTCTTAACCTGAAGCACTATTTCTGGGTTAGCGGAATGTGTAACCTGAAGTGTATGTAACCTGAAGCGTATGTAACCCGAGGTACCACTGTACTTCTTCTGATTTCCCCCTCATTAAAAATCTATTTCCCACCATAGATTTCGTTGAGTGGCTGCTGCAGCTGTGCATCTCCTCCTTGACGTCGGGCTCCAACTTCCAGAGGAGGAAAACCGCCCTTCTTCTCCTGGCGGCCATCATGGAGACCTGCACAGACACCTGGAGCCCAGAGAGAAAGAAGGGGCAGCCTCCTCGTATGTTGATGGGGAGCCTATGGGCTTGTGGACGTTTCTTGGTCTCCAGTTCCTATCAGACCCAACCAGCAGGGCCAAATGGTCTGGGATGATGTGAGCTGGAGTCCAATAGCATTTGGAGGACCTCAGGTTCTTCCTCTCTATTTTATGCTCTCCTACCTGTCCTGGCAGGGACGCAGGTGGTGCTGTGGGTTAAACCACAGAGCCTAGGACTTGCCGATCAGAAGGTAGGCGGTTCGAATCCCCATGACGGGGTGAGCTCCCGTTGCTCGGTCCCTGCTCCTGCCCACCTAGCAGTTCGAAAGCATGTCAAAGTGCAAGTAGATAAATAGGTGCCGCTCTGGTGGGAAGGTAAACGGTGTTTCGGTGCGCTGCTCTGGTTCGCCCTGCCCTGCCCTGTTCTGGCATTCCATGTGGCAGGGCACTAATGCCTGGCGGAAGTTTCAGGACCACGGAGAGCTCCAAGCGAGCCGGAAACCAAACCGAGCCATTTCAATCATTTGTTCCCACTCCTCTGCCCCCTTTCTGGGAAACGTAGTTTCTTAAAGGTTTCTTTAGCGTGGTTATCTAATTTGATTTCATAAAAAATTATTCCGTGCAGATAAAGAAAAAGTACTTCCTCATGCAGTACAGTTAAAACTGTGGCATCTCCTCCCAAAGGAGTCAGTGGTGGCCGCAAACTTGGATGCCTTGAAAAAAAGAATTGGGCAAATTCCTGGGATAGCTCAGTCGGTAGGACATGAGACTCCAAATCTGAGGATTGTGGGTTGGAGCCTCACATTTGGCAAAAGATTCCTGCATTTCAGGGGGCTGGACTAGATGACCCTTGTGGTCCCTTTCCAACTATGATTCTATGATAATTTGTGGAGGAGAAGGCTATCAGTGATCATGATGGCTGTGTTTTACCTCCACTACCAGAGGCAGTAATGCTTTTGAACCCCAAGAAAGCAACCCCAAACAGTCTAGTCTTCCACCAGTTCTTTAGAGCATGCATTTGGGGGAAATACTTTGTTCCTGTTATAGTCCTTGAGGTTTCTCCTTGCTTTCTACCCCCACCCCCTGTACTGTGCAGGCAGTATGGCTGCGCTACTGAGCTGGGCAAGAAGCAAGGGCCGCTGGGACTTTTTCTCGAGAAGCAATACATTGGCACTGCTGAGCTGCTTGCAGGACAGTACGAACGAGGTGCGTCGTCCACCCATCCTCCCGTGACTCCTGGGCATGTCTGTTTGTGAATGGCAAGAATTTACAAGTGGGGGTGGGGGAGTCACCAGAGTAGCACTTGGAGGCACACTGGCACCACCAAGGTCGTGCCCCGAACACCCATACCCGCTCACTGGCCCCTTAATCATGAGGCAGTGAGAGTGGTACCGTCTCTTGCACAAAAAACACATAGAGCTGAAGGAGGAAGTTGGGAAAGTGATGCTCTGTCCTGCTTCCTCTTCCAACTCTATGTGCTTTTCAAGGCTCAGATTAGTTCTACCGGATCTGACTTTACTGATTAATGGCCAGAGGGGGTGGTCTGTGACACTTGCTCAAAAATCCAAATGTGCCCCCCATCCTAAAAAAAAAAGATATACGCTCAGCTTCAGAGTCTGGTGATTTTCCTTCGGCACAGTAGGGATTTTGGACCTAGCATCTTTCTTTGTGCATAGGCCAAGCCAGTGTGGTGTAGTGGTTAAGAGCGGTAGTCTCGTAATCTGGTGAACCAGGTTCGATTCCCCGCTCCTCCACATGCAGCTGCTGGGTGACCTTGGGCTAGTCACACTTCTTTGAAGTCTCTCAGCCCCACTCACCTCACAGAGTGTTTGTTGTGGGGGAGGAGAGGAAGGGAAAGGAGAATGTTAGCCGCTTTGAGACTCCTTAGGGTAATGATAAAGCGGGATATTAAATCCAAACTCCTCTTCTTCTTCTGTTCTGAACATTGCCCATTGTCCTCGTTTGACTCTCTCTCCCCATGGCAGATCCGTGATCTGGCATCCGAGCTGCTTGTCCACTACTTCCCACCTGCTTTCCCAGAATCCATTGCTGTGGCTCTCTTCGAACGGGCACAGGAAGCCATCTGCAACCCCAGAGTCCCAGAGGCAGAAGCAGGAGCGGTGCTGATGAAAACCATCCTCCAGAAGTAGAATATTTGTTCTCTGAACCTTTTTTTTTAACGACCATTTGAGCCTTTTACAGAATTTAACCCTGTTTGGGGTTGGAAGTTTGGGAGGGCTATGAAGGAGTTTGGCTCAGGAGGGTGTGTTGGACTAGGGTTGGGCGATGTATCAATAATATCGTCCCAAACTGAAATCCATATCGTGATAATGGTTTCGTAATTTTTGACCTGGCAATATATCTTGAATCATGATATGTTTGTGCATGCGCACGCTATGCAAAAATCACAATGTGGGGGAAACCATGGAGCTAGCTGATTCCTGAGAGCCAGTGTGGTGTCGTGGTTAAGAGCGGTAGACTTGTATTCTGGGGAACCGGGTTCGCGACTCCGCTCCTCCACATGCAGCTGCTGGGTGACCTTGGGCCAGTCACACTTCTCTGAAGTCTCTCAGCCTCACTCACCTCACAGAGTGTTTGTTGTGGGGGAGGAAGGGAAAGGAGATTGTTAGCTGCTTTGAGACTCCTTTGGGTAGTGATAAAGCGGGATATCAAATCCAAACTCTCTTCTTCTCTTCTGTTAACTTGCCGACTCTGCTCTCCCCTGCCTCATGCAGGGGGGCAACGAATCACAAGAGCAGGCGCTGGCAAAAATCACTACGCAGGAAAAACCATTGAGACAGCCAGTGCATCGCCCCATAGCTCCATCCCTATTTCAGACATTGTGATATATTGGTATATCACAATGTTTAGCATGCAGTGTTCAAAACCAGATACCGCCCAGCCCTAGTGAAGGCTAGAGAGGCCTGGAAGTTTGTTTCCCAGTCTATGGCTGCCCCATCCCGGTTTGGAGTTATGCTTTTGTTTGTTACTCAGCCTCTCCTTGTCCAGAATACAGACATACCTTGGAAGTCAAACGAAATCCGTTCCGGAAATCCGTTCGACTTCCGAAACATTAGGGAACCAAGGCGCAGCTTCCGATTGGCTGTAGGAATATCCTGCAGCCAATCAGAAGCCGCGGAAGCCCTGCCGGACGTTCGGCTTCCAAAAGAACATTCGATAACCGGAACAATCACTTCCAGTTTTCGATCGTTCAGGAGCCAAAATGTTCGGCTCCCAAGGCGGTTGAAAACCAAGGTACAACTGTACAGTGGTACCTCAGGTTAAGTACTTAATTCGTTCCGGAGGTCCGTACTTAACCTGAAACTGTTCTTAACCTGAAGCACCACTTTAGCTAATGGGGCCTCCTGCTGCTGCCGCGCCGCCGGAGCACCATTTCTGTTCTTATCCTGAAGCAAAGTTTTTAACCTGAAGCACTATTTCTGGGTTAGCAGAGTCTGTAACCTGAAGCGTATGTAACCTGAAGCGTATGTAACCTGAGGTACCACTGTACTTTAGTTTTTGAAGGAACAGCTGCTCCTTTCCCTCTTCTAACTACCTTCACTGTTTTTCCTCCACCAGAACAGACAGTCTTGCGTTGAAACGAATGTTGCCAGGGGCAAAGGAAGATCCGCCTGCGACATGTCTCTACCAGGCGTTCCTCAAGCATCTCCTTGGCGAGCTGCGGACACATTTCGCCAGGGCTGCCCACGACTTGTTACTGGCAGCGCACACCTCACCGATACATGGTCAGCGCCTTGGGGCTTGGGGGATTGCTTGAAGCAGGGCAGGATTGCTTGGGAACTGAGAGAGAGAGGGAGGGGTTGCAACAGGGCCTTCTCTGTGGTGGTTCCCTGTTTATGGAATGATCTCACCTGCGAACTGCGCTTGATCCCTCTCGTTATTATCCTTTAGAAGGGATTTCTTAAAACATCCCTTTTCACCCAGGCATTGGGTGGCTGAAACATACTCGGTTGCAGCCATGTAAATTTTACTCAGAGTAAAAAATGGACCTAAGTTATCCACGTTCATTTCAGTGAGTCTACTTTGAGTAAGGCTCGTGTTGGGTGCAACCCATTGTTTCTGGCAATGTTGGAATGAGAAGTTGTCGTAATATTTGGCTTGCTTTTAAAATTAAAAAAACACCATTATTTTCATTGCTTTTTATGCGTTACTGTTACTACCAGTAATAACAATTTCCCCACTGGGCCACAAAGATCACTGAATAACCTTGGGCTAGTCATCTCTCATAGGCTACTCCTACCTCACAAGGCTGGTGTGAAAATACTGTGGGAAAACTTTTGTGTACAAAATTAAAAACTTAAGGGGAAAGACCCCTATGGAGAACAGACCCCCTCCTGGAACTCATGAGGGGCATGGAATATTAACTGATGGTTGTGGGGGGACTCCTAGACCCCATTTGCACTAGACATTCAAAGCAGTGTTGCACCACGTTCACCAGTCATGGCTTCATGCAAAGGATCCTGGGAAGTGTGGCTTGTTCAGAGTGCTGAGAGTTCTTTGGAGACCCCTCCTCCCCTCACAGAACTACATTTCCCAGAGTCCCCTGGGGAAGGAGGCAGATCTGTTAAGCAAGCCACTCCTCCCAGGATTCTATGGGGCGAAGAAGCCATGACTGTTGAAAGTGGTATCATACTGCTTCAAATGTATGTTCGGACATTGCCTTAACCAGCATTCTTTGTCCCAGCAGGGGTGATTTCTGCTCTGAGGCAATGTCTGCTGGAGGTCCCAGAGGTGGCAACCTCAATGTTGAAACCAGAGCAGGCGGAGAGCTGGCGGCTTTTCCTTAGCAGTTTGGTGAACGCCGTGAGAGACGTCAGCAATTTGCTTTTGGGAGTGTTGCAGAGCAAGCGGCCCTCGAGCTTAGACCAGCAAGGTGAGACCAGGCCGGGATAGAAAGATGTGAAACAGCTGCCAACGCATTCAAATGTAAGCCTTTCTACGCAGGTCTTCAAAACAGTGTGCAGAGATCTTTATGTTCTCCCTCCATCTGGATGGCCCACCCCTTTTTAAATCACCTGTTCCATTCCCTTCCTTCCTTGGTGCCAGTGTGGTGTAGTGGTTAGAGCAGGGGTTGGCAAGGTTTACAGGCCATGGGCCAGATCACTCCCACGGAAATCGTCCGTGGGCCAGACTGGCGCAGCGCGACGTCAGAAATCGCGTCTGCGCATGTCCGTGATGCTGGGAATTGCTTCTGTGCATGCCCAGATGCCCAAAATTGTGCCTGGCAGAAGTGATTGGAAGTGTCTGGACATGTGCAGACGTGATTTCCAGTATCTGTGCATGCGCAGACGCAATTTCCAGCACCGCTCAGCGAGTCCCCGCACTGTGCTGCGCCGGTTTAGCGCAGCGTGCCAGAGACTCACCAAGTGGGTGGCTCAGTTCAGGAGCGGGTCATGGGCCGGTAAAACGGTCTTCGTGGGCCGCATCCGGCCCGTGGGCTGCACGTTGCCGACCCCTGGGTTAGAGTGTCAGACTAGGACCTAAATAATAAAAAAGGAGAACCGTGTGTTCCCAGTCGGAACTCTTTAGGGAGAGGCGAGATACAAAGATAATTGATGAATCAATTTAAAAGACATTACCAGATGGTGGCATAACCATGGCTAGTAAGAACGTTGCCAGGGGAGTTGATTTGATGAGATAAGCAGCTCAGTTAAACCCCCTTCACACACCCACACCCGGAACCACAGTCCTTATCTGGTTCAGCTCTCCTGCGCCAATGGATGCGTTAAATTTTTAAAAGGAGGACTTGCTCACAAATTTATTGACAGCTGCACAAATTATTATTATTATAGCCAGGAAATGGAAGGGGCAGGTAGAATATAAAATGGAAGAATGGTATAAAGAGGGGTGAGATATAGCTGTTAATGATAAATTAACATGTGCCATTAAGGTAAGACGGGGAATATGCAGTAGAAATGATTCTGAGGAGATATGGAAGGTGTTGTGGAATTTGTACTGTTAAAACGGAAAGGGGCTCAAACCTGTTAGGATATTTCCGTTCCACCTTAAAAGGGAGCAGGCTGTGAGTCACAGAGTCTGCGTATTTCCTGTTCACAGGATGTTTATGTTTGTCATGATTGCATAATTCGGTTTTCTACTGTGTCGTAGACACTATAAGCTAGGCAGTTCTCCATGTTTTTTTTCTAGTAGTTCTGATTCAATCGCTAAACAAGTCTTGTACAATCAACAAATTGCTCTACACTCATGCTGCGACTTTTGGCTGCTGCAGTTATCTGCTGATCAGAGTGTTGCATGAGCTCTGGAATGTGGCAAGATATTTTCTAGACAACTCATGTTCGCTAATTGCTCTGATACTGCGTGTCTTACTGGAGATCGATGGATCGTCCAGACCAGACGAGCGTTGGCGGCACATCGCATGGACTTTCAGATCTCCTGGCAGTATCCCAACAAGTCCATCGCCAGAGGTGTTGATATTTCTGGGATGTTGGATAGTTCACAATGGAATGGTCTCGGTGGTGCGTATGCAGTCATTTTCATTCTCTATTTATTTACTGATTGGAATTTCTTCCTGTCATACATCATTAAATCGGAAGTATTCTACTGTGTTTTAAGTGTATAACTTGGCTGCTGTTTCTCCATATTCTTAACACAACTTCCTAACCCCTTCTTGGTTTTATTGCAGCTGCAGCGCCTTCATTTGCAGACATGGGGAATGCGATCAGTTTCCTTATCCATGTGGGGAAGGATCCTGGGCTCCCTAATGAGGACGATTCAGTTCTACTCTCGGAGGAGCACAGTCTGATCCTGACCTGTTGCTGGGTCTCTGTGAAAGTGAGCAGTTTTGAGAGTGTTTCAGGTTTTTAAACATGGCAGGGGCTGGGGGGTGGGGAGTTGGGTTAAATTCGTAGCTGATGGTAGGCACCTCCAACATCAGTTGACTGAGCTGGCTCGACAGCTGGAAATGTTCTGTTTCTCAGGGAACTAAACCGTTTGCAGGCCGGTTTCTGTGAGGGAAAGGGACATGGTCAGTTTGGCTGGGGTCGAAACCACAGAGAGAAACGAGCCAGGGAGAGGTCCCAGTACGTTGTGAAGTTAAGCAACAAGGAGCCAAGAGGCTGGAGAGCCGATAGCACCATGGAGAGTAACAAACTGACTCAAAAAAGAAATCTAAAGAAAGGGGGAGGCGAATAAGGCTTAAGGAATAGGACAGAGAGGAGCGAAACTGTAGCATAGTGAAGCTAATGGAAACTAGGCTTTGAAGGAACTTCACAGCACTTTAAATGAGGAGGGGGTGTTTCCTACAGGGGTGGGAGACAGGTGAGGGGAGAGACTCCATCAGGCAAGGCCTCTTTCCACCTGCCTTGCCCCACCCTCTGGTTTCTGCTTCTCAATTTGTAGTGTATTATTTTATGTACTGTGGCTTGCCGTTGTTTTATTGATTATACAGTGGTACCTCGGGTTGTGAACGGCATCCGTTCCGGAGGCCCGTTCGCAACATGAAAAGAGCACAACTCGCAGTGGCGCGTCTGCGCACGCACGGGTTGTGATTCGTCACTTCTGCACATGCGCGTGACGTCATTTTGCACTTCTGTGCATGGGCGAGCGGCAAAACCCGGAAGTAACCCTTTCCGGTACTTCCGGGTTGCCACGGGACATAACCTGAAAGAATGTAACATGAAGCAAACGTAACATGAGGTATGACTGTAGTTTAGAAATTATTTATTGTAACTGCTGAGTGGATTTCCGTTTAACTTTTATATGTTATTATTATTATTTAATACTATTCTAATGATTGTTGAATGTTACTTTATTGATACGTTACCTATTTTAAAGTTACGTTTTATTATCACATTTTTGTATTGCATTAGATTGTTATAAGATGTACATTTTTTGTTTCTTCAACTTGTAAACTGCCTTGAGTATTGTAAGATAGAAAGACGGTATACAAATTGAAAATGAGGAGGAGGAGTATTAGGGAGGTTGATCAGGGGGCTGAAAAAAGTAGGACGAAGCAAAGGACCAGCTGAAAAGGACCATACAGTGGTACTTCGGGTTACATACGCTCAGATTACATACGCTTCAGGTTACAGACTCCACTAACCCAGAAATAGTGCTTCAGGTTAAAAACTTTGCTTCAGGATGAGAACAGAAATCGTGCTCCGGCGGCGCGGCAGCAGCAGGAGGCCCCATTAGCTAAAGTGGTGCTTCAGGTTAAGAACAGTTTCAGGTTAAGTACGGACCTCTGGAACGAATTAAGTACTTAACCTGAGGTACCGCTGTATAGGACCATAAAGCTTAACACCGCCACCCAAATTGCGAAGGTACAGTGGTGCCTCGCAAGACGAAATAATCCATTCCGCGAGTCTCTTCATCTTGCGGTTTTTTCGTCTTGCGAAGCAGGGCTATTAGCGGCGTAGCGGCTATTAGCGGCTTAGCGGCTATTAACGGCTTAGCGGCTTTAAGAAAAAGGAAACAAACTCGCAAGAACTCTCAAGACGTTTCGTCTTGCGAAGCAAGCCCATAGGGAAATTTGTCTTGCGGAACGACTCAAAAAACGGAAAACTCTTTCGTCTTGCGCGTTTTTCGTCTTGCGAGGCATTCGTCTTGCGAGGTACCACTGTATCATGGCACTCTCTGGGGAATTAGATGCACTGGACTCATCCACAACACAAGAGAAGAGAGGGCTCCCTTATTCATCAGACTTCTCCCCTCCCAATCTCACAAATTCTATTCTTTTTAACTACCAAGGAAATCGGGCTGCTTTTGGGAGGCCTGGCAGAGAAGATTTTGCCCCTGGCGCCCCCAGGAGGCTGTCTCCTGCCGCTCCAGGTTGTAAAGATGGCTGCTGAGGCGTTTCAGGATATCCTGCTGACGTGCCGCCATTGGGTAAGGCTGTCTTCCTGCTGGTACAGCTGAAGTCTAAACGGGCTCTTCAAAGCCTTGCTTAGATTCGTGTTTTGTACTTTTACAAGTGTCTTATAGCAGCAGCAGAGCACACAGCAGCAGTTGCTGGTAGCGGCCATTTTGTTTCACCCCAGAATGCCTCAATTCGGTGTAATTCGGGGGGGGGGGTTGGGGGTGTGTGGAGAGGTGGATACAGCCAAAAATAGGGGCTGCCATGCTTTTTGTGCTGTCTGCCATTGTGCCCCTCAATATACTCCCTGGTCACATCCTTTATGAATACAAATGGCTTCCCCCAAAGAATTCTGGGAACTTTGTTAAGGGTTCGGGGGGGGGGAACCATAGCTCTGTGATGGGCGAGCGACACATTTCCCACGAGTCTTTGGAGGAAGCCAGTTACGTTAAATGTATGATATATACTGTGACCCTTAATTAACAAGGCTGGTTTGGGGCATTGGGGGGAAAGCAAAATGGTGGTCGCTAACAACGGCTGTTCATGTCAGCTCTGGCTTCTGTCATTGCTGTACACCACCCTGATGTTCCTGGGAGTTGTAGTTTGTTAAGGGTGCTGAGCGTTGTTAGGAGATCCCTAACAGAGTCGCAGTTCCCAGAGTTCCCTGTGATGAAGCATGGATTGTTAAACCACTCTGGGCAGTATAGTTCTGATAGGGGAATAGGACCCTCTTAACAGCTCTCAGCACCCTTAACAAACTACAGCTCCCAGGATTCTTTGGAGGAAGCCGTGACTGTTTAAAGTGGTATCATATTGCTTTAATATATGATGTAGATGTGGCCTTATTTTGTCCCCTCTCCTTCCCATCTTTTTATCCTCTCACTTTCCACGTGTCTCGGTATTGCCTGGATTTTTAAGGTTGTCCGTTGGCAGCCTTCTACTGACCAGTAAGGTAGCTGACTCGTTCGTTTTGTTTTCTCTAGGGAGCAGTGGAAGGCTGCAGCCTGGGATTCACAAAATTCTGTGCCACTTTGCTAAACAACCCAGACCCAGAGCTCCAAGATATACCAAGGAAAGCGCTGGAGCAGGTACCTTGGCAGTTAAACATCCCATCTAGGTTAAAAACATAGGAAGTTGCTTTATACTGAGTCAGACCACTCGTCCACCCTGTGCAGTATTGTATGCACTGACTGGCAGTACAGTGGTGCCTCGCAAGACGAAAAGAATTCGTTCCGCGAGTCTTTTCGTCTTGCGATGTTTTTCGTCTTGCGAAGCACGGTCCGTCGCAACTGCGCCTCTTCAAGCGGCTTTAAAAAAAAAGCCCAAGACGTTTTCGTCTTGCGAAGCAAGCCCATAGGGAAATTCGTCTAGCGAAGCAATGCAAAAACGGAAAACCCTTTCGTCTAGCGAGTTTTTCGTCTTGCGAGGCATTCGTCTTGCGGGGCACCACTGTAGCTCCATAATAATATTAATAGTAATAAAAATTTATTACTTTTACCCCGCCCATCTGGCCAGGCCTCCCCAGCCACTCTGGGTGGCTCCCAACAGAATATTAAAAACACAAGGAAACATCAAACGTTAAAAATTACCCTAAACAGGGCTGCCTTCAGATATAAAAGTCAGATAGTTGTTTATTTCCTTGACATCTGATGGGAGGGCGTTCCACAGGGAGGGAGCCACCACCGAGAAGGTCCTCTGCCAGGTTCCCTCTAACTTCACTTCTAGGGAACTGCCAGAAGGCCATCGGAGCTGGACCTCAGTGTCCGGCCTGAACGATAGGGTGGAGACGCTCCTTCAGGAATAGTGGGCCAAGGCCGTTTAGGGCTTGAAAGGTCAGCACCAACACTTTGAATTGTGCTCGGAAACGTACTGGGAGCCAATGAAGATCTTTCAGGACCAGTGTTATATGGTCTCGGCGGCTGCTCCCAGTCACCAGTCTAGCTGCTGCATTCTGGATTAATTGCAGTTTCCGAGTCACCTTCAAAGGTAGCCCCACATAGAGCGCATTGCAGTAGTCCAAGCGGGAGATAACCAGAGCATGCACCACTCTGGCAAGACATTCTGCTTGCAGGTAGGGTCTCAGCCTGCATACCAGGTGGAGCTGGTAAACAGCAGCCCTGGACACAGAATTACGATAAGAGTAGTTCCAACAGTGGAATGGTCTCCCTCAGGAGGTGGTGGACTCTCCTTCCTTGGAGGCTTCTAAGTAGAGGTTGGATGGCCGTCTGTCATGGATGCTTAGCCTGATATGACCTGCATTGCAGGGGGTTGGACTAGATGACCCTTGGGGTCCCTTCCAACTCTACAATTCTGTGATTCTATCCCTGAACTACCTCCACATTCAGAGGCAGCAGTGCTGCTGAGTACCAGTTTGCTGGGAATCACAGGAGAGTACAGTGCTGTGGTGCTCAGGTCTTCTGGGCTTCCCTGACAACATCAGGCACATCGCGGCCTGTTTTTGGGTCATTTAACCACTTGTCAACTGGGTTGGGGGGGCTTCTTTTTCTTTCCAGGGTTTGGCTTTGTTAAGCAGCCCCAGGAACTGCTCCATCACCCGCAGGGCAGCTGGCTTCCCCATGCTCTTCCTGTGCATCATGGTTGGGGAAGACCCCTCCAAGACGCGTCCTCTCCTGGCGAACTGCGTTCAGAGGCTGCTGGCTTTAGCCGGCGAGCCTCTCCCCGGAGATTGGGACCAGACGGTGGACTTGCCTCAGGTAAAAGAGAACAAGTAATGGAAGGTCAAAGAATGGCGGGCAGGTTTTTGGCAGGGCAGAATCTGTTCATTGATTTCATCACTAGCCAGGAACCTGGAAGGGTCAGTTCCAAGTAAACAGAAAATGGTTTGGCCTTTTTACAGCATCAGTCAAAGAGGGGTTAGATGGAGTAATAAAAATTGAAATGCGGATCCCAGTAGTGGAGTAATTCGTTTTGATTTATAGGTCACAAAGAACACCATAAAAGAAAAATTAGTAGATTGAAAACAGTGGTACCTCGGTTGTTGAATGTAATCCGTTCCGGAAGACCGTTCGACTTCCGAAATGTTTGACAAATGAGGCACAGTGGGCAGTCGGCAAAATCCATTGAGAAAATGGAGAAACGCACCTCAGAAGCCGCTTGACCTTCCAAGGCGTGTTCAAAAACAGAAGCATTCACTTCCGATTTCTGGCGTTCAAAAACTGAAACTTTCGGCTTCTGAAGCATTTGACAACCGAGGTACCACTGTACTATGTTGAACAGAAGATTTATAAAATATATTGTGTTTTACATATCCTGAGTCCTGAGGTGCTGTTCACGGATGGGAGGAAAGTAATTTGTGTCTGAATATAAAAGGTCCAGTCGTGACCGACTCTGTGGTTGCGGCGCTCATCTCGTTTATTGGCTGAGGGAGCCGGTGTACAGCTCCTGGGTCATGTGGCCAGCATGACTAAGCCGCTTATGGCGAACCAGAGCAGCGCACGGAAACGCCGTTTACCTTCCCGCCGGAGCAGTACCTATTTATCTACTTGCCCTTTGAGGTGCTTTTGAACTGCTAGCTTGGCAGGAGCAGGGGCCGAATCACCCCGTCACGGGATTCGAACCGCTGACCTTCTGATCGGCAAGTCCTAGGCTGTGTGGTTTAACCCACAGCGCCACCTGCATCCCGTCTGTATATATATTTATACCCTAATTGACATTGCTTTCGGTCTTGAACATTAAAAAACAAAATGAAGCGCAGGAGATTATATGCATAGATGTTGAGCGAATAATAAAACCCGCGCCAGTTTTGTTTTTAAGGTGAGGGAGCCGAACGCCCAACACCCAGAAAAGTAATTTAAAAAATGTGTTTCTTTTGTAGCCCCAGAAGGGGTCCTGGGCCCGATTCACTTAGGAAGGATGTTAGTAGCTGCTGGTGTGGTGGAACAGAGCAGCACTCCTAACATGGCACCACTGCAGCTTCCCTGGATGTTAAGCTGCAAAACAACCTCTCTTCCTTTTTCCTGCACAGGTTTCGGCTCTCCACGTGCTACAGACCCTGGTCCGTGGCTCCGGTCTTGGCACAGCCCTGAACCAGTACGTTACGTCCATGGTGGTGTTATTTCTCGAGGCGCTCCGCTCCCCCAGCTGGGCCATGAGAAACGCAGCCATCCAGCTCTTTGGTAGGCAGTTCTCTTCCCATTACCCCAGGGGTGAGAGCTCCGTAGGACCCTCGTACCTACGGGACCGCCTCTCCTGGTATGTCCCACAGAGGAACTTACGGTCTTCAAACAAAAACATCCTGAAGGTCCCAGGCCACAGAGAGGTTAGGCTGGCCTCAACCAGAGCCAGGGCTTTTTCGGCTGTGGCTCCGATCTGGTGGAACGCTCTGTCACAAGAGATTAGGGCCCTGCGGGACTTGACATCTTTCCGCAGGGCCTGCAAGACAGAGCTGTTCCACCGGGCCTTTGGTCAGGGCACAGCCTAACTCCCTCCTTTGGCAATCTTCACAGAACTTTAGCCTAATGGTTGCCATTAATTTGAGTTGAACTAATTTTATAATGAAATGATTTTAGAATGTTGTACTATTTTATTGTTGTTAGCCGCCCTGAGCCCGGCTTCGGCTGGGGAGGGCGGGATATAAATAAAAATTATTATTATTATTATTATTATTATTATTATTAGTGGCTGCGCTGTCAGCCTCCCAAGGCCCGCAGCCCCACTCAGCTGTGAAGCTTCCTCGTTGATGACCTTGGGCCAGCCCATTGCCTCCCAGCCTGCTCTACCTTGCAAGGTTGTTGTTTGAATTAAATACGGAGGGGTGAGTGGGGAACCACGTACACCACCTCAAGCTCCTTGAAGGAAAGAGGGAGTGCAAATGCAATTTAAAAAATAAATGAAATACGTCAGGACCACATTTCTTCTGCACATACTCATAGCCAAAGATAGGATAGGTAGACAGGCTGCAGGCTTTCCCATCAGGTCAAATGGGGCACTGCCCCACTGACCTGCCTTTTTTTAAAAAAATATTATTATTATTGATACTTATTCAATGATATGCAAAAATACATACCCATTGCAAATATATATAATATACTGAGATAAAACAGCTACTTAGTCTAAAAGAGAAAAAGTCAGAAGACAAGGCAAGGAGAGGAGAAATCTGAAGGAAGTGAGAGAAAAGGAAAAGAAAGAAAAACTAAAGACTGATAAAGGAGAAGAAAATAAAAGGACCTTTAGCTCTCTGTCCTATGATATTCATTCCTTAAGATATAACCATTCCATCTTCTGTAAACCATTATTTTTTTCCATCTCCAAATCTGAATATTACAAGTTCGTTTTCTCCTTCACGCAAAAAGTCGGTAAGGACTTTCCAAGCCTTAACAAATAATCAGTAATGATTTGCCTCTGATTAAACATGTTCACTTTGCCACCTCAGCCAAGCACAATAGTTTTATCAGCCTCCATAGTGGGTACAGCTCTGGCTTTCCATCTTCGTGCATATAGCAATCTCACCTCTGTAATCATATATTGAAGTAATCTTCCATAATCCTTTTCCAGTTGTCTGCCCTAAAAAAAAAAGAGTTCTGGCTTCAGCTGAACATTAACCTTTAAAATCTGCTGTATCAATGTACATATTTGCATCCTTTTTTTTTTAGTCGTTTTACATGTTACCTGTCCTGAGTCTTCGAATCACACCTATCTTCTTACTTCCAACCGGTCCAGAGGGGTTGCCCTTCCTGGCTCCTTTGTCCTCTTTAGTCTCCATAGAATTCATGGTGGAGGAGGGTGAGAAGAAAAAACTAGAATTTGTTGGCTTCATTCTTTTATTGGCCACTGACTGTTTGGGCTCCCTGCTTCCTGCCTTACCAGTTCCAATCCCCTGGAGATATATCTATTTAGGTAAAGGGACCCCTGACCATTAGGTCCAGTCGTGACCAGCTCCGGGGTTGCAGCGTTGATCTTGCTTTATTGGCCAAGGGAGCCGGCGTACAGCTTCCGGGTCATGTGGCCAGCATGACTAAGCCGCTTCTGGCGAACCAGAGCAGCTCACGGAAACGCCATTTACCTTCCCGCCGGAGCGGTACCTATTTATCTACTTGCACTTTGACGTGCTTTTGAACTGCTAGGTTGGCAGGAGCAGGGACCGAGCAACGGGAGCTCACCCCGTCATGGGGATTCGAACCGCTGACCTTCTGATCAGCAAATCCTAGGCTCTGTGGTTTAACCCACAGCGTCACCCGCTTCCCATATATCTATTTAGGTACAGATAAAAGACAAGGTTCCTGGTGCCATCACTGGATATAACATGGCTCTGTGTTCTTTTCATCCTGCTGTTATTTTCCCCCCAGGTGCCCTGACTGTCCGTCTGCTCGGTCGGACGCGGAGCTGGGACGATGGCTGCGATCAGGATGGGGTGAGCCCTGAGGCCCTTTTCACCCGCTACCCTCAGCTGAGGAGCATCCTGCTCAAGGAGTTAGTCGTGGCTGCTGAAGAGTCCACAGGGCCCCAGAGAGGGAGGTTTCGACTCTGTCCATCCCTCTACGCCATCCTCACCTTTCTGGCAAAACTCCAGACTGGTGGCACAGATACGTGGAATAGGTAGGCAACTCAGGCAGAATCTTGCCCATGGCGGGAAGGAGGCACTAAGGGCAGTGCTGGATTTACGTATAAGCTAAGCAAGCTTTAGCTTAGGGCCCCAGTCTCTTGGGGGGGGCCACAAAAAATGTAAAGGGGGGAAAACTGGATGTACATTTCCAAAATATAAGATAAAAAACAAATAACACAAAACCTACACAGCAACAGTGTTTTGCGTTGTGTAGGCTCCTATGATGTAATTAATGGGCCCCACCTGCTAGCCTGCTCCCTAAAATATCACTGGTTTGCTCCTTTCTATATGGCTTTAGATACCTATTAGGTCCATAAATTACCACATAGCATATATTCCACACAAAGAACAGCAATAATTTGTTGTTGACAAAGGACAGCTGGACATATAAAGGACCCCATTACCTTCAGTAGCTTAGGGCCTCATCAAACCTAAATCCGGCACTGACCAAAGGTGATTGGACAGTCGCAGTCGGGTTTTGTGCAGGTATTTTTGCTTGCACACCAAGGCACATGGATGGAGCTCAGCTCAGGGTTGTGGGTCAAGCCCCAAGTTAGGCAAAAAATAATAATATTCCTGCATTGCAGAGGGTTTTATTCAATGACCATCGTGGTCCCTTCCAACTCTTCGATTCTGTGATTCTGTGGTATCGGATCGAATATTTATTGTTATGACTGGTGACCTGCGTTAAAGAAACAAAATAAGAAATACGTTATCCAGAGGTGTGAGTAGCCTAGAGTGAAATAAGATTGGCATGAACACTTGAAAAGTAAGGGTCACGTCACAAACTCTAGACCTGGTGAGTTTTGCTTGCTGCAGCAAAGTACTTGGCCATACTGAGAGTGATAGATGCATTTTGGTCTCAAAGGCATAGTGGGACTCGCACACTGAAAGCTAGATACGTACACTTCAGGGGCAAAAAGCCTGAGGCCTGTAGTTTGTTAAGGGTGCTGAAAATTGTAGCTCTGCAAGGGGTAAACTATAATAGTATTCTTTTTTTGAGGGTAGGAAATGTGCTTTCAGTTTATGGCCTGTACATTAGAGATATAAAACATGTGACTTCCTCCCAAAAAATCCTGGGAGCTGTAGTTTGTTAAGGGCACTGGCATTCTGAAAACACTGTCTTTCGTCTGTTCCTTGTTCTGCAGCGATACCAACGCCTGCTTCCTGGAGCCCCTCGTCCGGCTTTCCGGAAACCCCATACATGCCGTGAGGGTGATGGCAGCCAAGGCCTTGGTCCCGTTAGTTCCTGCGACGGAATATGGAGGTGTCCTCTTCCGACTGGCCTCGGGTTTGGCGCTGCCGGGGGATGTGCTTTGCCACAACGCCCTGCATGGCAGACTGCTGCAGATCCATGCCGTGTTGGCTCAGGCCCTGAATGCAAACTGGTAAGAGTGGCTCTCTGGTAGTGCCACCCCTAATACTTAGCTCTTTTCTTTTCAAAAATTTTATTGGTTTTCACAAAATTATAAACAGACAAACAAACAAACAAACATAAATCATGACCTTATTAAAATTACACTTATTAACTTTGTTAAGTGACTTCCTCGCTTCCCCTTGGTTGAATTTCAATGCATGTCCTTTTAACGGTTTTCCAATTCAGAGTTCTTGTACACTTAACATCGTTCTATCTTTCCAATTCAAAATTAAACATATTAATTCATCACTTAACTTATATAAAATCCTAAGCCAATCTAATACTTGCAAGCTATTTCCGATTAATTTAACTTAACGAATACTTACCTCTTTTCAGAGGTAAGTCACGCCGGGTTCAAGGGAAGCTTCCTCCTGGGTAAGCGTCTGTGGAATAGCAGTCTAATTCTGCGTACATAACCAGACCTTTTGAAGGACAGGGTTTCCCCCAAGGAATCATAGGAAGTGTGGTTTATTGCTCACAGAGCTACAATTCCCGGCACCCTTAACAAACTACAGTTCCCAGGATTATTTGGGTGGGTGGTAGTCATGTGCGTTAAATGTATGGTGTATACGTGCATTTTTGTTTCATTCGAACGCCTTCTGTCTGTAGCTGGGTTTAAATTCTGGGAGGTTGGATAGTTAGAATGGAATGGTCTCGGTGGTGGGGTGCACATTTTCATTCTTGTTTATTTATGATTATTACTTTGCCAAAGTAAAATAGATAAATAATGGAGTCTCCTTCGCTAGATACCTCCCCTGTGATCAACGTTAGCCCGTCACGCGAGAACTACTAGGGAACTCTCTGAGATTTCTGTAACCAGCCAGTCCAACCTAAACACATCACAACGCATGCAAGCGTTTACAATTTCAGTGAATTAAATGACTGCGCTTAACACTAATATGGTGGTCTTAACTTCCTTTCAGTCTTCCCCCCGACGTGCTGTTCTCCATCGCTGGCCAGTTGGAAGACCGTCTCTGGTTGCTCACCCCCACGCAGCCATGTCCCCTCGTTCGCACGGCCTACCTCCAAGCTGTTTCCCTCCTGATTGGAAGCTGTTCTCGAGATTTTGAGCAGCGAGTTCGAGAGGTGGTGAGCAGCGAACTGGCCAACTCCGAGCCCTTAGTGAAGCCTGGTGCATCTCAGGTTCAGGTATATTTTTTAAAAAATATATATTTAATCATTTTTTCAATACAAACAACCACCACAAAAAACACGTACAACAAAAACCACTATAACACTAATAACACAATTTAACAATTCAGATTTGAGTACTGATATACCTATGACTACACCTTTCTAACAATATTTCCCCAACTCTCCTCCCCCTACTTCCCACCACTGCCCGCCTTATCGCTTAAATATTCCTTCCAGATTTCTTCATATTTATCCATTCTTAATTTGCGTCGACATGCAATTTGTTCGTATGTAGCTAGTCTGTCCATATTATCAATCCATGTGCTCAATGGAATCTTTTTGCGGCTCTTCCAATTCATCAAAACAAGTTTTTTTGCTTCTAATATGGCACGGTACATCCATTTTTTTTTACCCCTTGTAATCTCCCACGTTTCCAGTATATAATTTAGAATTAAATTCAATTCCCCTAAATAACAATTCCTTTTTATTATTCTTGCTATATATATCTTCACCTCGCACCAAAATGATCTTATCATCGGGCAGTTAATCATCATATGTACTAAGTTCGCATTTTTACTCCCACATCTCCAGCAGTTGTCTGAATTTGTTATTAGGTTCAGGTATATTTTACATCTGCCAAGGCCGGCAGAACTGACAAATAGCAGCGGGTGGAAGCCAGGAGTCCAGCTGGAAACGCTCCATAAAATTTGGCAGGATATAAGATGGTGGTTGACAACTTTTGGGGGTCAGTGCGGGCACATTTTGGGGGTTTTTTGTTCCGCGGGGATGGGCTGCGGGCGCTGGTCACAAAATGGCTGCCATGGGACCTAACATAAAATGGCTGCCCTGGGGTGTGTGGCACAACACACGGCCGTATCCAAAAGTGCAGGAAAAAGAGACCGGGATGCATAATGGTGCATTGTGTGGATTTTAGAGGGGGATAGTTACCGTATTTTTCGCTCTATAAGACGCACCGGACCATAAGACGCACCTAGTTTTTGGAAGAGGAAAACAAGAGGGAAAAAAATCTGAATCCCATAAGCCAGGACAGCCAGCAGGATCGCTGCGCAGCGATCCCGCTGGCTGTCCTGGCTTATGGGATAGCTGCGCGCAGCCTCTCCCGGGCAGCAGGTTAAAGGCTCCCCTTTCCCGAGAGAGTCTGCGCAGCTAAGGCTCCCCCAAGGGCCGCGCTCCCTTTAAAGAGCGTGCAGAGTATGTGTGGCTCTTGGGGGCTTTCCCCCGAAAAAGGGCTGCCCTTCTCCCTCCTCAGGGAAAAGGGACACACGCTCTATGCGGCTCTTTAAAGGGAGCGCTGAGCAGAGCCTCCCGCCTGCATTCGCTCCATCAGACACACACACATTTCCCCTTACTTTTTAGGAGGGGAAAAGTGCGTCTTACAGAGCGAAAAATACGGTAATGGGATCTTCTGCAAGCATGCTTTTGCAGGGACATGCTTGTATACGCTGGACTGGCATTCCCTATGCGAGGAATAAGGATGAAATCGGTTTTGAAGGCCCCTGCAGAGATGCTTCATTGCAGCAGATGGTGGCAAATAAGACCAAAACAATCCGTAAGAAATTTAGGGTTGCCCCGTTGTTTCCTATACTATTTGTTTGAATGCTGACGCCTACACAGTTTTGATCCTCTATCCGTGCCTCCTGCTGTTATTTTTTTACAGAATTATTTCTTCATAATTTCACCGTCCTTCCAAGGAGCTTTGGGGCAATGTGCATGGCTTTCTTACCCTCAATTTCACAACATCCCTGTGAGGTAGACCTAGGGCCAGTGCAGGGAGCTTCGTGTCTGAGTGGAGATTTGAACCTAGGTCCCTGCAGTCCTAGTCCAGCACCCTAACTGTTACACCAAACAGGGCTGTCTGAATACACCCAAACCCTGCTGTTCTTGGTTCTCTCCCAGATTGGTTCTGCCACATTCTGCCAGCATGCGGCCTGCTTCCTTTGTCACGAGGCCGCGAGATCAGGAGCTCCTGAGAGAATTGGCGAAGTTTGCTTGCTCCTGCAAAGGGGGAACGTCGATGTGCAAGTAGCCATTCTGACCTGGGTGACTGAAAAGGAGGAGGAAAACTGTCTGAATTCTAGCAAGGAGTTGCAAATAGTGTTACTGGTGAGCCTTGGCTTATTTTTTATTTATTGGCTTTACCGTATATCACCCTTTACCCTTCATCACAAGATCTCAGGACGGTTCACCGAATAAAATACAGGATAAAGGTAAAGGTAAAAGGACCCCTGACCATTAGATCCAGTCGTGACCAACTCTGGGGTTGCAGCGCTCATCTTGCTTTATTGGCCGAGGGAGCCAGCATACAGCTTCCGGGTTATGTGACCAGCATGACTAAGCTGCTTCTGGCAAACCAGAGCAGCGCACAGAAACGCTGTTTACCTTCCCGCCAGAGCGGTACTGTCAGGGAACTGACATCGGAGCCAGAGGCGGAGGCTAGGCTCTCAAGCGATGCTGGAGAAGGGACCAGCAGGGGGAGAGGCGGCTCACCAGCTGGGGAAGGAAATCAGCGTAACACCAGGAATAAAGGGAGGCAGATGGGGGAATTGGCGAGGGGGCTCCAGGACTCCTCGCCGGAGTTCAGCGAGGAGAGCACGGGTCCTCCGCTACCCACGCCCTCCCTGCGCAGAAGACTTCCGCGCAGGGAGAGTAGGAGGAGACTTGGAGTCAAACAACTTTTATGCTGGAAAAGATTTAAGAAACGCCCACTGACGGATTCTGCTAGCGACTGAACAGCCACGAAGTGTAGGGCTGTCCAGACAGAAAAGGTTTAACAAGGCAACCTAGCCAGGAGTGGCACCAACTTGCGCACGAGCAACCCCTACGTTTATGACAGGTACCTTTTTATCTACTTGCACTTTGACATGCTTTCGAACTGCTAGGTTGGCAGGAGCAGGGACCGAGCAACCGGAGCTCACCCTGTCTCGGGGATTTGAACCGCCGACCTTCTGATCAGCAAGTCCTAGGCTCTGTGGTTTAACCCACAGCGCCACCCGCATCCCAAAATACAGGATAAAAACAAGTAAATAAGTAAAACCAAACAGCGAAACAATAACCCCCCGCCCTTCCCACAGACACATTTAAAGGATGTAGGATATTAATCAGCCAAAGGCCTGGTTGAAGTTTTTGCCTGATGCTGAAAAATATATAGTGAAGGTGCCAGGCGAACTTCCCTGGGGAGGGCATTCCACTGACGGGGAGCCACTGCAGAAAAGGCCCCGTTTTTGTGTTACCACCCTCCGGACCTCACGTGGAGGATGTACACGAAGAAGGGATTCAGTTAATGAACGCAGAGTCTGGGATGGTTTATATGGAAAGAGGCGGTCCTTCAGGTATTGCGATCCTGAGCCGTTAAAGGCTTAATGGTACTATTAACAGTACTATTTATTAAATTTACAGATCACTTTTTTTTTTTTACCGGTCTCATGCTTGACCAACTGAGCTGTTATTGAACAAATTTGTTTCTTAATTTTTGGGCTGCAGAGGCATGTAGGTTGGTTCTCTGTATTGGGAGGCTAACCTGTGGTCCTCCAGAGTTTGCCATGCTACAATTCCCATTGCCCAAAATGTTGGCCATGCTGGTCTTTGGGGCTGATGGGAGTTGTAGTTCAGCAACATCTGGAAGGGCACAGGTTTCTCCCCATCATGTCCTAGGTTATAAACCTTATTAGGTAAAGGTAAAGGAACCCTGGACGGTTAAGTCCAGTCAAATGTGACTATGGGATTGCAGCGTTCATCTCGCTTTCAGGCCGAGGGAGCTGGCGTTTGTCCACAGACAGTTTTCCAGGTCATGTGGTCAGCAGGACTAAACCGCTTCTGGTGCAACAGGACACCGTGACAGAAACCAGAGCGCACGGAAACGTCGTTTACCTTCCCGCCACAGTGGTACCTATTTATATACTTGCACTGGTGTGCTTTCACAACAAGGTTGGCAGAAGCAGGGACAGAGCAACGGGAGCTCACTCCATCACGGGGATTTGAACCACCGACCTTCCGATTGGCAAGCCCAAGAGGCTCAGTGGTTTAGACCACAGCGCCACCCGTTCCCAATGTGAAATATGTTTCCCTTCTGTTGAATTAGGAGAAACTAGGTCAGATGATGAAAGGAGGAGCCAACAACGTGCTTCTGAAGTTATACCTAGAAGCTTGTGTGCACCTCTGTAGCAAGCTGAGCTTTCGGAGCCCAGCTTCTTCTCACGAGCTGCGGGGAGCTGTGCTCGCAGAGACCAAGAGAGACCTGCTCTCCATGGTGGGGAACGATGATCTCAGCCCAGAGCTTCTGGGACATGCGCTGTGTCTTACTCCTTTGCTCCTGACTCCAAGGTAAGTAGATTAATTGCCAGAGGAGCCAGTGTAGTGTAGTGGTTAAGAGCAGTGGACTCGTAATCTGGTGAACTGGGTTTGCTTCCCCGCTCCTCCACGTGCAGCTGCTGGGTGACCATGGGCCAGTCACACTTCTCTGAAGTCTCTCAGCCTCACTCACCTCACAGAGTGTTTGTTGTGGGGGAGGAAGGGAAAGGATGTTAGCCGCTTTGAGACTCCTGAAGGGGAGTGATAAAGTGGGATATCAAATCCAAACTTTTCTTCTTCCGAATACCTGCGGATCGCAGGTGGGCAGACTGCTGTTGTGCTCATGTCCAGTATAAAGGCTTTCCACAAACGTTCAGCCACTGTGAGAACAGGATGCTGGACTAGATGGGCCATTGGCCTGAGTTAGCAGGGCTCGTTCTTAATATCTTTTGTGTCTGGGGTGGGGAACTTCGGCCTCCCAGATGATGCTACACTGCAGGAATGGCAGGTGAAATGGATGGAAAATGCAGAAATGGCTAAATTAACTGACAGAATCAGCAAGAAAGAGTATTTAAGGAAGATTTGTAGACTATCTAGAAAACTATTGTAAACAAAGACGTTGGCAGGTTTAGAATAAATTCAGCAGTATATAGTTAACTGAGATAAGATTGAAAAAGAAAAGCACACCGATTGATTAGAATGTGCAGCAAAAAAAGGGTGACCAAAACAAACCATGGAAGGGGTGGAAGGGAAGTCAATATTAAATGTATGATATGTGTTTTGGTGACCATAAAAGTTGTTTTTTAAAGAAAAGATATTTTATTTTATTTTATTTTTTAAAAATTATTGGTTTTCCAAATTTATAACAAACATATCCACAAACATAAAAAGAAAACATCAGAAAACAAACAAACAAACATTTATCCTAATTCGACTTCCTCGAATCCCCCTGGCTGAGTTTCCATATAAATCATTGTAGTAGTTTTCCAAAACTATTTTCACATAAAATTTACTTGGTCCATTAACATCTTTCTTTCTTTTCATTTTGACTTTTGTCCATAATATCCTACAACATCACATATTTAGATCCTAGGCCAATCTGATACTCGCAAGTAATTCTATTTAAGTTATAACCAAATAATCTTTGAATTTCTTCCATTATTTATTTTTTATTTTTTAAAGATGTCGCTACACTACAGCTTTTATCATCCCTAGCCATCTGTCATGCTGACTGAGGCTGATGTGAGATTGAGTCCAGCAATGCCTGGAGTGTCACGGTTTCTCGGCACAAAAATATAAAGGTTCTCCCTGTTCCCAGCACAAAAAAGCCCAAAGGCAAGGGTGGCATGGAACGAACTTGAGGGATGGTTTGCTTTCAGTTTTCCGCAAATAACATACAGCCGTACCTTGGAAGTCGAACGGAATCCGTCCGACTTCCAAAATGTTCAGAAACCAAAGTGCGGCTTCCAATTGGCTGCAGGAAGCTCCTGCAGCCAATCAGAAGCCGCGGAAGCCCCATCGGACGTTCGGCTTTCAAAAACAGTTCGCAAACCGGAACACTCACTTCCGGGTTTCAAACATTCGGGAGGCGATTTGTTCGAGGCCAAGGCGTTTGAGATCCAAGGTACGATTGTACTAGAAAAACGACCTCCTGGCATCATTAAGGGCCACGTGCTAGAGATGGACGCTTGGAAGTTAGTGTTGGCCTTCACTCTCGTTTATTACAAATGTTCTTTCCTCTTGTGACAGTACTGAGGATTATCCTTTACTGGAACAGTGGTGTGCAGTTATCGACCAGTGCAGCAACCCCCTGTCTTCAGAGGCGCTCAGAATGGCTGTGGCAAAGTCGCTGAGAATATCTGGAGCCGATGTGCTCTGGAGAGCCCAAACATCCTCCAGCTCGTCCCTTCGTGCCCTGGCAATACGGTACGTAGCTATGGGGCCAGGGGGCCAGCATCCTTGGGAAACTGCCACGGCCATAGCTGTCAACTTTCAGATTTGAAAATAAGGGATCAGCAGCCTCGAAAATAAGGGATCAGCAGGCTCACCTGTCCCGGGGACAGTCTACGGGATATCTAACAATCCGGGATAGCAGCGGGAAACAGCGCTGGAATAAGGGAATTTCCCACCAAAAAAGGGAAGGTTGACAGCTATGGCCAGAGCACGGCCGACACCTCTTTGCCTTGCCTCTCCCAGCACCCACGTTTATTCCCCAAGCAGCACCATGGGGCTTGATCTACCTACCCATTTAGTTTGCGTGGCAATTCCCGCCCCCTCCCACAGATGGAGTAAATAAAGACACCGGACACCAGAATTTAGGTTAATGGGCGAAAAATGGCCACAACTTTATTGGTTACAGGTAAGAGTGGTATTGGCTTTAGGCATTGGCCCTAACAGACTATCCGGTCTAACCGGGAAGGGTTAAGCACCAACAGGGGGAGCCCCCGAGATGCACATCCCTAGGCGCTCCCCAAGGGGTTACCGCTCGGGAGCGCGCTTTAGGCCCTAGCCTCCGTAGGTTTCGGACGAGGCGACGCCCCCCCGGAGTCCTTTAATGAACTACCCTTCAAGATTTGGGGGAGGTGATGGCGTTCCTCCCCCCCGACTTCATTTGCATAACAATACCCCTGCCAATGCCTACCGCCAAAACCGAGGAGTTGTGACGTTTTGCTACGAGGGAGGCGAAAAAACCAAGTGGCTTCTAAAATACAGCCAATTAGCCAAATGGAAAAACTCCTACCAGGCCACTTGCGGCGACCAGCCGAAGCCCATAGCAAAGTCCGAATGCAAACCTAGAGGACGGGTGGGTGGGAAACCGCAGCTGCTGTAAGGAGAGAAAAGGGGCGAGCCAGGGCCGCCCCTACCGCCAACCAATCGTGACGACGACGACCCAATCGTGGGTGACGACTATGAATGAGAATGGGAATCCCTGAGTCCTGCGGGGCTGGCGCCAGCCCCGCGAGAATGTAGACGGGGGTGTGAGCCCGCAACCCCCCCCCCTTAGGTCGGGAGTGGCTTTCCCCCACAATGAAATCTCTGACCCAGTGTCACTGTGGGAAATCAGGTCAGCTTTCTGTTCATTGCACAGGGCTGAGTTCTTTTGAGACCTCGCCTTCCTGCCGCCCGCCAAATCGATTTTGCTTTGATTTGAATTTCACTGCCTGATTTCACAGCCTGATTGGTGTGGCCGTTTGCCTGCTTCAGGACGAAGACCACGAAGTGAGGCACGAGGCCTCCATCTTTGCCAGCCTTGTGGCGCAACGACGGCAAGCAGCCTCGGGGGTTCCGCCTCAAAGCGGCTGCATCTTGCTTCAGAGCAACAAGGGCCTGGTTCTCCTATTGCAGTTCCTGCTGGAGAAGTTTGGGGATTGCCCAGAAGCCTTTCCATCTCTGGTGTGTCACCTTCCCTCCGTGGACCTCAGAGATGCCTTGACAGAGTTAGAAGCCAAAGGGTGAGGAACAGAAGGAGCCATGGAACTGGAAGGGGGGATAGAGAAATTTGTTGCAAACAAGGAAGAAGGTGCTTTATACTCTGGTTACCAATTTTTTTCCAATGAATCCGGGGACCCCCTTTTTTTTTTTTTTTTTGAAGCTGAGGAGCAACAGGGAGTCAGTAGTGGGGATGGTGAGGCAAAAGACCCTGGGCCCAAGCACACATAAGGTAAAGGTAAAGGGACCCCTGACCATTAGGTCCAGTCGTGGCCGACTCTGGGGTTGCGGTGCTCATCTGACGTACAGCTTCCGGGTCATGTGGCCAGCATGACCAAGCTGCTTCTGGAGAACCAGAGCAGCGCACGGAAACGCTGTTTACCTTCCCGCTGGAGCGGTACCTATTTATCTACTTGCACTTTGACGTGCTTTCGAACTGCTAGGTTGGCAGGAGCAGGGACCGAGCAATGGGAGCTCATCCCGTCATCGTGGGGATTCGAATCGCTGACCTTCTGATCAACAAGCCCTAGGCTCTGTGGTTTAACCCACAGCACCACCCATTTTTGACTGATCGGGCAGGCTCGGGAGTCACGGGCGGGCAGGCGGCTGTTGCCCAGGTTTTTTTTAAAAAAAACCTGCACATTTTTGTTTCACAAGGTGCAAAAGAAGGGCTTTGCACCTTGCCTGGCAGAGAAACCACGTGCCTTGCACCCCTCCTGGGCAATGCCCGCCCGTGACTCCCAAGCCTCTCCTGATCTCTCAAAACAAAGGGGGCAGGGGGAAGGAGATCTGTACCGCCAGACATCCCTGGTTCCCCTTCAGCAGTGGCAGCAGCAGTGAGCAGCTCCTGAAGCCTGCCAGAGCCAACTGCGCTACCAGGCTGGCTCCGGGCTGCTGAGGCTGCCACTGCCACGTTTCCCGGGGACAAATTTGCAAATCTGGGGACATTCCGGGGACGGAATTTGTCCAGGAACAGATTTGCAAATCTGGGGACATCTGGTAACCCTGCTTTATATTAAATTAGACCAGTTGGTCCATTCAGCACAATTTTGTCTACCCTGGTGGGCAGCAGCTCTACAGGGTTTGGGGCAATTGCTGGGACCACCACAACCCTTCTGGTGAAGGGCAGTTAATAATCTAACCACCACCACAAGGACTTCCATATGTTATTGGACTACGGTTTTCATCACCCCGATCATTGGCCGTACTGTTGAGACTGATGGGAGTTGGAGTCCAACGACATCTGGAGGGCACTGAGTTAGGGAAGGCTGCTCTGGAGTATGACCCAATGAATTTATTTGTTATCTTGCTTGGGATTTGCTAAGGAAGGCCATATAGCTCAGTTTTAGAGGGTGGCGCTGTGGGTTAAACCACAGAGCCTAGGACTTGCTGATCAGAAGGTTGGCGGTTTGAATCCCCGCGACGGGGTGAGCTCCCGTTGCTCAGTCCCAGCTCCTGCCAACCTAGCAGTTCAAAAGCACGCCAGTGCAAGTAGATAAATAGGTACCGCTCCGGCGGGAAGGTAAACGGCGTTTCCGTGCGCTGCTCTGGTTTGCCAGAAGCGGCTTAGTCATGCTGGCCACATGACCCGGAAGCTGGACGCCGGCTCCCTCGGCCAATAAAGCAAGATGAGCACCGCAACCCCAGAGTTGTCCGCGACTGGACCTAACAGTCAGGGGTCCCTTTACCTTTAGAGGATCTGCTTTGCATGCCAAAGGTTTCAGGTTCGATTCCCCGGACTCTCTAGGAAGAGCAGAAGACCTTAAATGAGAACTTTATTTAGGTTCTCATTTAAGAAAAAACCTGAAACCTTCCTCCTAGGCATAATGCCACCAGAAATCAAAAAAAGAAATTAGACCCCTTTCTATGTACCCGACAGTAGCAGCCAGGATCTTAATTGCAAGAAACTGGAAAAGTAATAAAACACCTATGATAAATGAGTGGCAGGTCCAAATGATAGAATATCTGCAGCTGGCCATGATGACAGGCAGTGTCAGGGGTTATCCAAAACAGAAAGTACAGAAAGAATGGGAAACCTTTAAAGAATACCTGGAAAACTATTGTAATAATAAACATATCCTGGCAGAACTAGAATGGTTTTTGCAAAATAAGAAATCTAATATTTTTGGTATCTGATGAAAACAAAGAAAGTAATACAGTAATCTGGAACTGTGTGTGAAAAAATAATAGAAATAATAATACAATGAGTCTAATCGGAAGTCAAATGTGTTTATTTCCCCCCCTTTTATTTATTTATTTATTTATTTATTGAATTTTTATTGGAATTTTATTTACAACATAACACAACCCCCCCATACACATTAGACGTGAACATAACACACAGTGAACATAACACACAACAATACAAACAGCCAAATAAAGACTTCCTTTATCGTGTATCTGGCCTCCTTATTTACTTCTTATAAACTGTGTCCTTTATGAATAATTATTAAGAATTTTCTGATTATAACTTAAATAGCCACAAAGTCTTTTCATTCTTTCTTTAAATCTTTTTCTTCTTCTTCTTCTTCTTTTTCTCTCTACCTTCTTTTTTTTTTGGCGCTTTTCTTTTTGATCTGCTAAGAAAGAGATAAAAATTGAATATGAAAATTTGAGTAAGTTAAAGTTCAACTTACTCTTTTAATTTTTCAACTATTGTTAAAGATGGTTGTCAGGGGTTCAGGGAGAGAGGCACAGGGTAGGCAGGAGACGGAGAGCGATGGGGAGGAATTCCAAGCCAGCGAGGAAGAGGATGACAATGACTCAAGAGATTCCATGAGTCTTTCCAGCGAATCAGAGGATTCCCAGAAGGGGGCGCCGGTGGTTAAGGCCAGGGGAGCCCCAGGGGGGACGTGTCAGGAGCAGGGGGCCAGAAAGGATCCCAAAGTGGCAGCTGGGCGTCAGGACCAGCCTCCCCACCAGAGTGCAGCGAAGGGGGTGGAGTTTCCAATGTGTCAGAGGAAGCAGCTCCGGGAGCAGAGAAAGGAGGGAAGTCAGAGCAAGCCACCCTTCCGGAAGGGGAGGGGAGCAGTGAAGGGAGTAGTGTAACTGTCAAAAGGAAAGTTAGAGGTTTGGCGCGCGCGCCTAGTTCAAATGTAGAGGCGCGCGGAAGTACAGGGAGCCCGGAGGAGGGGCCAGGTCCCAAAGCCCGCAGGAGGGGGAAGAGCAGTCTGGGGATTCAGCGTCAGAGGAATCCAGGAGGGGCGAAACCCCAGCGGGCAGAAGGACCCTGCGGAAAAGGAAGGAGAGAAAGAGGTGGAGCAGCGCAAGCCTCTTAAATTGGTGCAGGGGAGGGACGGATTCAGAGGGGACTTCAGCGGTCTAAGCGTAAGAGACGTAAGGCTGCGCGCCTAGGATGTCAAGCAAACAATGAACTGCAATAAACACCTTGGTATATAAGAAGACATAGGCGTTGGTCTTTTGTGAGCTGAGACTTGAGGCAGCTTTGACAATGGTCAGTTGTAATGAGCTGATGTAGTAATTATTGTGGATTTTTTGTTATTGTTGAATCTTAAATAAAGTATTCAAAGAACAACAACAACAACAAAATAGGAAGAGGAGAAGAAAAATGTTATTTAGCTTGCTAAATCAAATACAGTGGCTTTTAAGCACATCTCTCTCTCTCTCTTTCAGGGTCGTCAGTCTTTACAAAGAGGACGAGCCCAACGTTTACGCAGAACCAGTTATCTTTTCTCAAACGCTGCTGCCTTTTCTCCTCCAGCTGCTTGGCAAAGCGTCCACCTCCCTGAAGCTTTGGGTACCAATGCAGGACTGGCTAAAAGCCACTGGGCCCGGAGTCTTCTCAAGCCTCCATCACTGCAGGCTGTGGTGGAGCCAAGGTGAGTTTGAAACCTGCAGAGCAGTTATTATTACTGTTTATTCAATTTATGTACCGCCCTTCATCGCAAGATTTCGGGACGGTTCACAGAATAAAATACAAGATGAAACACAAGTAAGTAAATAATTAAAACAAAGACTACAAAACAGTAAACCCTCCCCTTCCCACAGTTGCGTTTAAAAAGCCGTAGGATATTAATCAGCTGGGAACATTTTTGCCTGGCATCTAAAATATATATACCTGAAGGAGCGTCTCCACCCCCGTCGTTCAGCCCGGACACCAGGGTCCACCTCAGAGGGCCTACGGTGGTTCCCTCACTGCGAGAAGTGAGGTTACAGGGAACCAGGCAGAGGGCCTTATCGGTAGTGGCGCCCGCCCTGTGGAACGCCCTCCCATCAGATGTCAAGGAAATAAACCACTATCTGACTTTTAGAAGACAGCTGAAGGCAGCCCTGTTTAGGGAAGCTTTTTATGATTGATGTTTTGTTTGATGCTTTATTATTATTACTATTATTATTAATTAATCACATTCTGTTGGGAGCCACCCAGAGTGGCTGGGGAAACCCAGCCAGATGAGCGGGGTATAAAATAATAATATTAATAATAATAATAATAGTTGTTGTTGTTGTTGTTGTTGTTATCATTATCATCATCCTCATCAATGGGAATTGCCACCCCAAATGTCTTGAGGGCACTCAGTTGGGGAAGGGCTGGCATCAGCGCTCAAAAATGTCTTCTGCATCTTTCAGCTGACAGCACTTCTCTGCACCTGAAGGCTCTGGGTTGTCCAAAAGTCCATGTTGCCATCGCAGCACTGCTGGTCAAGGCTGTCCTTGTGGCAAACATGCTGGAGGTCCTGGAAAAGACGAGTCAACCCAACGTCGAAGGGATTGACTTCACTGCCCAGAAGCTGAGATGCGTGGCTTTGTCTACTCAGAAGCTGCTGACTCAACATGGAATGACTCTTGCAATCAACTTAGAGACAGGGCAAGACTCGTTCTGATTTATTTCTTTACTGACTCACCAAGGGCTTTTTTTTAACAAAAACCATAAAGGAGAAGGAGGCTGCTACTTGGGAGATCACTATTGCATCCTCTTACACAGAATAGAGGGATTTGCTGGCCCAAAATCTAAATCTCCGTTGATGCAGGTCGCTTCCAAATGGCCAGGACCAAATGGAATATCTTTCCTTCCACCTAAAGATGTTTTGGAGGTTTCTCAGTGTTAAGTTGTGGGTGAACATATCAGACGACACAGCGATTCTTCAAACAGCTCTTGTTTATTCACAGGCCAGAACAGAACTGAACTGAAGGGTTCAGCCAGCCTGCTTATATAGAGCTCCACTACAATGCAACTGTAACACTTTCTGTAACTACCCAATCACTGAATGTCACTTTCAATCCCTTCTTTGCATATGTGGACCTGAGTGAAAACTATCTACAGTATCCCCCTGCTGGCCCAGGGTGAGAACTTCAGTACATAACACTCAAGATGAAAGGCTTGCATGTCAGAGCTCTGCTATAAGAAGCTATTGGGCAGGAGGTGGGAAGTCAAGCCAGGAAAGACCACGCAACAGACAGGAAGTCTCTATGGCTCTTCCTGTTGAGGCCAGTCAGTAGCCTTGGTGGGTGGAATCATGCCAGTGCCTTGCGATCCTCTGCTACAGGCAACGAGAACTGTTGGTGCTCCAGGTGTATTGATAAACTACAACTCCAGCCCCAGCAAGCATGACCAATGGCCAGGCATGATGGGAGTTGTAGTTCAGCAACATCTGGGGGTGGGCAAAAGTTTCTTCTTTCCTGCCGTAAACAGTGTTGACTTCCCCCTTCTCCACCCCACCCCCACCCCCCGGTAAACCTTGTGCTTTCAGGGTAAGGAGGACAGTCTGCAACTTAACAGTCTGCCCTACTGTGGGCTAGATTTTTACTGTGATTGCAGCTCAGTTTTTTTCTCAGCTGGCTGCATTTTACTGCATCCGTTTTCAAGGCTCGCTTCTTTGCTCTTGTTCTAAAGAGCTCAAGATCCCGCTAGAGGGCTGAGGAAAATAAACTTGTCAAGCGGAATATGAACAAAATGAGTTTGTACCAGATTTTCTCATTTTAATAGAGTGGGATTCTTTAAAAGGAAGGAAGGAAAGAACTAACATGAATGTTGTTAATTCCTATGAATTGATTTCTGTGTGTGTGTGGTTTTCAGTCAGTTAAGAATGGAGACATTGACATAGTCATCATGACTTACTGGCTCCCAATATGTTTCCAAAGACAATTCGAAGTGTTGGTGCTGACCTTTAAAGACCTAAACGGCCTCGGCCCAGTATACCTGAAGGAGTGTCTCCATCCCCATTGCTCACTGAAGTCCAGCTCCGAGGGCCTTCTGGCGGTTCCCTCCCTGTGAGAAGGGAGGTTACAGGGCCTTTTTGGTAATGGCACCCTCCCTGTGGAACACCCTCCCATCAGATGTCAAGGAAATAAACAACTACCTGACTTTTAGAAGACATCTGAAGGCAGCCCTGTTTAGGGATGTTTTTAATGTTTGATGTTTTATCATGTTTTTTAATATTCTGTTGGGAGCTGCCCAGAGTGGCTGGGGAAACCCAGCCAGATGGGCGGGGTATAAATAAATTATTATTATTATTATTGATCTGTGAAAAATTCACAAACATATGGAGTCCATCTTGTGGAATGCTCTGCCAACGGAGATTCAGCAGGAGCCTTCTGTTTCAACTTTTAAATACCTGCTAGGGGAAAAAAATCTATTCTGTCAGACTTCTGCAGGCAATTCAGAACACACCTTTCCATAACAGCTGGTTTTCCATTTTCATATGCTTATTACTGGATGGGTGGCACTGCTTTACAGGGGTTCCAGTCCTACTGGAGAGCCAGTGTGGTGTAGTGGTTAAGAGTGATGGATTCATAATCTGGTGAACCGGGTTCGCGTCTCCGCTCCTCCACATGCGGCTGCTGGGTGACCTTGGGCTAGTCACACTTCTCTGAAGTCTCTCAGCCCCACTCACCTCACAGAGTGTTTGTTGTGGGGGAGGAAGGAGGAAGGGAAAGGAGAATGTTAGCTGCTTTGAGACTCCTTAGGGTAGTGATAAAGTGAGATATCAAATCCAAACTCCTCTTTTTCTTCTACTTGGATGGTCGTTTCTAGAGGACTATGCTTGGGGAGTGCTTTTTGGCCCCATGGAGCCTTCAATGTGCGGTTCCTCAAGGTTCGACTTTATCCCCCATGCTGTTCAACATATACATGAAACCGCAGAGTGGGGTCATCCGAAGTTTTGGAGCACCTTGTCAGCAATATGGTGATGACACACAGAGCTCTACTTCTCCTTTGCATCTGCAGGTAAGGCAGTGGAAGTGCTGGACTGGTGTCTTGCCTCGATAATGGACTGGATTATTTAGCCAACAAACTGAAGCTCAATCCAGATAAGACTGAAGCACTGCTAGTGGGTGGTTCCCTAGACCAGATGGATGGGAGGTTGCCTGCTCTTGACGGGTCACGTAGCTTGCAAGTACTCCTGTATCCTTTGTTGTCAATTGAGGCTCAGGTGGCCTCAATGGCCCAGAGTGCCTTCCATCAGTTTCGGCTGGTGGCCCAGCTGCGCCCTCTATCTGGACAGGGTTAGCCTGACAACCACAGAGCCTAGGGCTTGCCGATCAGAAGGTCGGCGGTTTGAATCCCCGCGATGGGGTGAGCTCCCGTTGCTCGGTCCCTGCTCCTGCCAACCTAGCAGTTCGAAAGCACGTCAAAGTGCAAGTAGATAAATAGGTACCGCTCCGGCGGGAAGGTAAACGGCATTTCAGTGTGCTGCTCTGGTTTGCCAGAAGTGGCTTAGTCATGCCGGCCACATGACCCGGAAGCTGTACGCCGGCTCCTTCGGCCAATAAAGTGAGATGAGCACCACAACCCCAGAGTCGTCCGCGACTGGACCTAATGGTCAGGGGTCCCTTTACCTTTACCTAGGTTAAATTACTGCAGTGTGTTACCATAGAACTGTAGAAGACGGAAGGGACCTCAAGGGGCATCTAGTCCAACCCCCAGTTGGTGCAGAATTAAACAGCCAGGTTGCTCACTGGGGCAAGACAGTTTAATACCAATCCCGGCCCAACTGGACTAGCTACCAATCAGTATCCAGGACCCATTCAAAGTGCTGGTTTTGACCTATAAAGCCTTAACGTTGTGAACCACCTTGAAATCTTCGGATGAACAGTGGTATACGAATTTAATAAATAAATAAAACAGCTCAGGACTGCAATGCCTCAAGGACTGCCACTCCCCATATAAACTTACCCAGACCCTGTGATCATAATCTGAGGCCCTTTTCTGTGTGCCTCCAAAGGGCAGCAAAACAAGAACAGGGCCTTTTCTTCGGTGGCTCCCTGTTTGTGGAATACTCTTCCCTGGTTCTGTCATTACATATCTTTAGGTGCCAGGCAAAAGCATTCCTCTTCTTCCATGCTTCAGCTAACTAAACCATCTGTGGCCTTTTAAACTGGGTTGGGGGTCAGGGGAGGAGGTTTATTAATTTTTTCCTACTACGGTACCTATTTTTGTGACTATATCACACACCACCCTGTGATTCTCTGACGAAGGGCAGCATAGAAATTGAATAACTAACTAACTGGTTTTACATAACATATGGCTGTTGCAAACCACTCTGATATTTTTATGAACAGAAATATGCAATTTAAAAAAAAAAAATAGCCTTAATTTTAAAAAAGGAACACCAAACCGTGGAAGGAAGAACACACGAATTACGGATCGTTGTGGGGATTAAATGGCTCCTTGGTGTAATAAAAAAAGTGGGGCATAAATGCAAAATAAACAAGCAAACAAGATTCATTCCTTTCAATGGTTCTATTGTGGGCAGAGTTCTGTTGCATGCGCCCCGATGAGTCTACTCTGAGTAAATGCTAGACACGTTATTTTTTAAGGCTCCAGCGCACTGGCTGAGGTCAGTTCTCCACGTCGTCGTCCAGGCGGTGACAATCCCGTGCCTTGAGCAGCGGAGGGTTAACCCGGACCCCCACTTGCCTGCCCCCTTTGCAGAATCTGGCGGATCTGGGCTGCTGCGCCCGCACTGCGCCCCGATGGCGCACGGGCGAAGCCTTGCGCGCTCCTGCGCTTGGAGCCGCCTCTCTCCTCCTCCGCCGCCTCCTCGCCCTTCTCGGACCAAAAAGGTGGGAGAGGAAATACCATCGAGCGAGAAAATCTAAGGGAAATACCGCGTGGCTTTCTCCGGAGCCATTTCCTCTCCCTCCTCCCTTTCCCCCCCTCTGTCTTGTTATTATTATGGGTATGGTTTGTGGCTATCATTGCTTTTGCTGTCAAAAACGACCGGAACGGGGTCCCCCTCCTGCATCCTCGCCATCGGTGGCACCAGCACTTTGCACATGCTCAGGGGGCGCTGCCTTCAGCTCCAGAAGTTGCGGTTGGTAGGAAGTGGTCAGAAGGGAGGCGGGTAGGGGGGGGGTGTGCGTATGCGTGTTTGGCTCTACACACAACACACTGACACGCAACGCCCCTTGTTCTTCGCTTTGGAGCGTGTGATGAGGACGAAGGAGACGCGAGAGCCCCGAAACCCAGCAAGCAGGGGAGGCGGTAAGTTTCTTGCTATGTTGTTGTCGTCGTTTAGTCGTGTCCGACTCTTCGTGACCCCCTGGACCAGAGCACGCCAGGCACTCCTGTCTTCCACTGCCTCCCGCAGTTTGGTCAAACTCATGCTGGTAGCTTTGAGAACACTGTCCAACCATCTCGTCCTCTGTCGTCCCCTTCTCCTTGTGCCCTCCATCTTTCCCAACATCAGGGTCTTTTCCAGGGAGTCTTCTCTTCTCATGAGGTGGAGCCTCAGCTTCTGGATCTGTCCTTCCAGTGAGCACTCAGGGCTGATTTCCTTGAGAAAGGATAGGTTTGATCTTTTTGCAGTCCATGGGACTCTCAAGAGTCTCCTCCAGGACCATAATTCAAAAGCATCAATTCTTCGGCGATCAGCCTTCTTTATGGTCCGGCTCTCGCTTCCATACATCACTACTGGGAGAACCATAGCTTTAACCATACAGACCTTTGTTGGCAAGGTGATGTCTCTGCTTTTTAAGATGCTGTCTAGGTTTGTCATCACTTTTCTCCCAAGAAGCAGGCGTCTTTTAATTTCGTGGCTGCTGTCACCATCTGCACCATCTACAAAAAAGTAAAGTCTCTCACTGCCTCCATTTCTTCCCCTTCTATTTGCCAGGAGGTGATGGGCCCAGTTGCCATGATCTTCGTTTTTTTGATGTTGAGCTTCAGACAATATTTTGCGCTCTCCTCTTTCACCCTCATTAAAAGGTTCTTTAATTCCTCCTCACTTTCTGCCATCAAGGTTGTGTCATCTGCATATCTGAGGTTGTTGATATTTCTTCCGGCAATCTTAATTCCAGCTAGGGATTCATCCAGCCCAGCCTTTCACATGATGAATACTGCATATAAGTTAAATAAGCAGGGAGACAATATACAGCCTTGTCGTACTCCTTTCCCAATTTTGAACCAATCAGTTGTTCCATATCCAGTTCTAACTGTAGCTTCTTGTCCCATATAGAGATTTCTCAGGAGACAGATGAAGTGATCAGGCACTCCCATTGCTTTAAGAACTTGCCATAGTTTGCTGTGGTCGACACAGTCAAAGGTTTTTGCATAGTCAATGAAGCAGAAGTAGATGTCTTTCTGGAACTCTCTAGCTTTCTCCATAATCCAGCGCATGTTTGCAATTTGGTCTCTGGTTCCTCTGCCTCTTCGAAATCCAGCTTGCACTTCTGGGAGTTCTCGGTCCACATACTGCTTAAGCCTGCCTTGTAGAATTTTAAGCATAACCTTGCTAGCGTGTGAAATGAGTGCAATTATGCGGTAGTTGGAGTATTCTTTGGCACTGCCCTTCTTTGGGATTGGGATGTAGACTGATCTTCTCCAATCCTCTGGCCACTGCTGAGTTTTCCAAACTTGCTGGCATGTTGAGTGTAGCACCTTAACAGCATCATGTTTTAAAATTTTAAATAGTCTGGAGCTCTCTAGCTTTCTCCATGATCCAGCGCATCCTTGCTATGTAATTCGGTAAAATTTCTTTTTTAAAGCTATCAGGGCGCTCTCGAGACATCAGTGTAACAAAATCACAGTTAGGCAAACTGCGGTGCTGGGAAGTGAGCTGAAAACACCAGCAAAACGGCCAGCGGGAAGACCCACGCAACTGATCGTACGTGTGAAACAGCTTGTGAAAAGTTACAGGTCCCAGAAAAGAAGGAATTGCTCAGAGGCAGAGCATCTGATTTGCACGCAGAAGGTCCCAGGTGGCACCAGCACTTTGCACATGCTCAGGGGGCGCTTCCCTTTAGCTCCAGAAGTTGCGGTTGGTGGGTTCAATCCAGGAGATGCTGAGTCCCTGGAGAGCTGCTGTCGGTCATTGTAGGCAATAACTGAGCTAGATGGGCCAATGGTCTGGCTTCAGTAGAAGGCAGCTTTCTATATTCATAAAGGAGAGGCAGTGTGGTGCAGTGGTTAGTGCGTTGGACCAGGACCTGGGAGATCAGGGTTCAGATCCTCCACTTGGGTGATCTTGGGGTACTTGCTATCCTGATGTATCTCACAGGGTGTTGTGGGGGGGGGCTAAATAAGGGGGAGAGCCATGTGCTCCAGTTCCCCCCGTTTTGCTTTTCGGAGGGTAGTTAAGTTCATTGGGACGCCGGACAGAGTGAGGGCAAGATTGGAACAGTGATTGTGTATATTGTGAAGTGAAAGAGGCATTCGATGATAACACTTCCTGTTTTGTCAGTTACTTACTAATTAAAGCATCGAAAGCATGTGACCCCCCCCCAAAAAAAAAAAATTAGGGGAACTATAGTTTAAGGGGAAATTTTTAAGAAAGCAGGGATATTTTTAAAAATCATTATTGAATGATAAAAAGGTAAAGGGACCCCTGACCATTAGGTCCAGTCGCGGACGACTCTGGGGTTGCGGCGCTCATCTCACTTTATTGGCCGAGGGAGCCGGTGTACAGCTTCCGGGTCATGTGGCCAGCATGACTAAGCCGCTTCTGGAGAACCAGAGCAGCGCACGGAAACGCCATTTACCTTCCCGCCAGAGCGGTACCTATTTATCTATTTGCGCTTTGACGTGCTTTCGAACTGCTAGGTTGGCAGGAGCTGGGATAGAGCAACGGGAGCTCACCCCGTCGCGGGGATTCGAACCGCCAACCTTCTGATCGGCAAGTCCTAGGCTCTGTGGTTTAACCCACAGCGCCACCCACGTCCCTTATTGAATGATATTCCCTCCCAAAAAAATTCACACCATAAAATAACAGTAAAGAAAAGAACAACTTAAAACAAGTGAAGCCGCAAGTATCGTAAAATCATACCAAATAAAGTGGGGCAAAGAATGGAGAATCAAGCAATATTGAGCATTACACTGAACTTAAACTAAAGACTGATATAAGAATTAGAGACCCCGGGTGCATATTGCGATTTGAATGTTTTAATGTGTTGTTTTAATTGCATTTAACCTTTTAGGTGGAATGATCTGAGAAAAGGTTTTCTTTCTGTGCAAGAATCTTGTGGGACTGCAATTTACAACTCTTTGCTCTCTAGCCCATAAACAAGAGATTTTATCTATGCCTGGGAATGCATAAACCCAAAGAGCCTCAAAGAGGTTGTTCTTAAGAGAGACTTAGCAACTAGGGTGTTAATCAGAAATCCCTGAAGCTTCCTGAAAGGTAGATGGAAGAAATGTCAGTAAAGACTGATCATGGGCTAAGTTGCCATGGTAACGTGGGACATCCAATACCTAAATTGGGCAAATGGCCTGAGCATTTCTGGTCACTTCAAGATGGGGAAGCTGAAAGCAGAAAGATGCCATACATGTTTTTAATCCCATGACCTGTAACCATTTTTTGTTTTTATGCTTGTAAGATGGATGCTTTATGTTGTGAGACTGTTTTGATGTTTTATGGCTCTTTGTGTGCTCTGCCTATACTGTATAATCTGCCTTCGAATTCTACTTGGGGAAGACACTTGGCTTGAGGTTCAGTTAAAACACCCAGGTTAATTTGAGCTCTGCCCTGTTGGAATAGGATAAAGTACTGGGCCATAATAATAATAATAATAATAATAATAATAATAATAATAATAATAATTTATTTATACCCCGCCCATCTGGCTGGGCTTCCCCAGCCACTCTGGACGGCTTCCAACAAAATATTAAAATACAGTAATGCATCAAACATTAAAAGCTTCCCTAAACAGGGCTGCCTTCAAATGTCTTCTAAAAGTCTGGTAGTTGTTTTTCTCTTTGACATCTGGTGGGAGGGCGTTCCACAGGGCGGGTGCCACTACCGAGAAGGCCCTCTGCCTGGTTCCCTGTAACTTGGCTTCTGGCAGTGAGGGAACCACCAGAAGGCCCTCGGCGCTGGACCTCAGTGTCCGGGCAGAACAATAGGGGTGGAGACACTCCTTCAGATATACTGGACCGAGGCTGTTTAGGGCTTTAAAAGTCAGCACCAACACTATGAATTGTTCTTGGAAACGTACTATCTGGATGCTGGGCCCACCTGTTTATTCCTTGGTTCCTAGGGATGCAGGTGGCGCTGTGGTCTAAACCACTGAGTCTCTTGGGTTTGCTGATCGGAAGGTTGGTAGTTCAAAACCCCGCGACGGGGTGAGCTACCGTTTCTCTGTCCCAGCTCTTGCCAACCTAGCAGTTCAAAAGCATGCCAGTGCAAGTAGATAAATAGGTACCGCTGTGGTGGGAAGGTAAACGGCATTTCCATGCGCTCTGGTTTCCATCACTGTGTCCCTTTGCACCAGAAGCGGTTTAGTCCTGCTGGCCACATGGCCCAGAAAGCTGTCTGTGGACAAACGCCGGCTCCCTTGGCCTGAAAGCAAGATGAGCGCCGCAACCCCATAGTCACCTTTGACTGGACTTAACCGTCCGGGGTCCTTCACCTTTTTACCTTTACCTCCTTGGCTCCTACCCACAAACACTCTGTGCAGGCTATTTTCAATATACAGTCGTACCTCGGGTTACAGAAGCTTCAGGTTACAAACGCTTCAGGTTACAGACTCCGCTAACCCAGAAATAGTACCTCGGGTTAAGAACTTTGCTTCAGGATGAGAACAGAAATTGCGTGGCAGTGGCAGCGGGAGGCCCCATTAGCTAAAGTGGTGCTTCAGGTTAAGAACAGTTTCAGGTTAAGAACGAACCTCCAGAATGAATTAAGTTCTTAACCCAAGCGTCCACTGTACCAAGATTCTGCTTGTCTTTTGAACTGCAGGAGCCAACATGGCAACGGCCAAGGCAAAGAGGATCAAGTTTTCTGATGAGGAGAAGTTCCTGATCCTGGAAGGATTTGCTCTCCGCAAGGACATCCTGATCCCGAAGAGCGGCCGCTACAGCAACACTGCTGCCTGCCAACGGGCCTGGGAGGAGATCGCCGCGGCCGTCAACTCTCTGAATCCTCTCATTCAGCGCACTCCGCAAGAGATCCTCAAGAAGTGGAAAAACATGGTGGTGGACGCCCGTAAAGGTCTAAGCGTGGAGAAGCACCCTCTGCTGCAGAGGCAGCCCCGGGAACGCCTCTTCCGCGATATCGTCGCTCTCCTCAATAAAACGGACCCCACGCTCCCCAGACCGTTGCTTTACGGTCCTGACTTGAGAGCTGAGTCTCCGGGCAGCCCCAGAGGAGACGCGTCGCCAACAATCCACGCCGAAGTGCTCTCAGGCTCGCCTTGCCTGTCGTATCTCCGCAGCGACAGCTACTACCGGCAGCCTTGCCGGATTGAGGCTCCCGGAAACCCCAAAGCCAACGGGGGATCGCCGCAGGCAGATTTAGCAAGGCAGAACTTTGCCAGCCTCTCGCAGTCCGGGGACGACATCGAACGACGTGCAGAGGGCACTCGAGAGAGAGGGGGAAAGACGTCAGCGGAGCCCTGCAAGGGGGTCTCATTGAGCTACGTTCATCACTCGGACCAGCCGCACTGTGCACAAATCCCCAGGATGCTTTTGCCTCAAAGGGGGGAATCCGGGCGGTCCAGCGTTTCTAGAATGCCAGAACCTAGTACCTGCCCATCAGAATTCCCTTTGTCATGTAAGCTTGAGTGCCCTCTCAGCCCTCAGCAGGAATGTCCTTGTCTGGGAACTACCTGCAGCCCCTTGATTCAAAGCAGTGGCATTGCGAGTTTCGGTGCCAAAGGCACCCCCTCCGCCCTTGATGATCACGGTGAGGTTCTCTACCCAACTCAGGTTGAACTGCTTGTCTGTTTAGTCATTTAGTCGTGTCCGACTCTTCGTGACCCCATGGACGTCCCCTTCTCCTGTCGTCCCCTTCTCCTTGTGCCCTCCATCTTTCCCAACATCAGGGTCTTTCCCAGGGAGTCTTCTCTTCTCATGAGGTGGCCAAAGTACTGGAGCCTCAGCTTCACGATCTGTCCTTCCAGTGAGCACTCAGGGCTGATTTCCTTCAGAATGGAGAGGTTTGATCTTCTTGCAGTCCATGGGACTCTCAAGAGTCTCCTCCAGCACCATAGGGAGGAGGCCAAGCCCACGGTGGGCCGCGCCAGGTGCAGAAGTGGGCAAAGGAATGCATGTAAAATTGACCTCTAGTTTCTGCACACACTCGCAAACCCCTGTCAGTCCTCTGTTCAAGTGTAGAATCCTAGAACTGCAGAGTGGAAAGGGACCCCCGCAGTCATCTAGTCCAGCCCCCTGCAATGCAGGAAATATGCAGGTGGCCTGTATGGGGACGGTACCTGCAACCTCGACCTGAGATGCGTGGATAGCACAGTTGGTTGGAACGTGGTGCAGATAACGCTAAGGTTGCAGGTTCGATCCCCGTATGGGACAGCTGCATAATTCCTGCATTGCAGGGAGTTGGATCAGATGATCATTGCATTGGGGGGGGGGATCCATGATCTGTAAGTGAAGCAAGCAATTATATATAGTCAGTATGGGAGTGGGGACACGGGTGGCGCTGTGGGTTAAACCACAGAGCCTAGGGCTTGCCGATCAGAAGGTTGGCGGTTCGAATCCCTGCGACGGGGTGAGCTCCCGTTGCTGGGTCCCTGCTCCTGCCAACCTAGCAGTTCAAAAGCACGTCAAAGTGCAAGTAGATAAATAGGTACTGCTCCAGCGGGAAGGTAAACGGCGTTTCCGTGCGCTGCTCTGGTTCGCCAGAAGCGGCTTGGTCATGCTGGCCACATGACCCAGAAGCTGTACGCCGACTCCCTCGGTCAATAAAGCGAGATGAGCATCGCAACCCCAGAGTCGGCCACGACTGGACCTAATGGTCAGGGGTCCCCTTACCTTTAAGTATGGGAGTACAGATGGGCTTAGTTGAAGTTTTGACTGTTTTGTCTAAGTTGCACCTTGCTGGTGTTTCAGACAGGTTGCCCTGGCTCTCTGCTTTAACCCTCTTTTTCTTGGGCTTCTGTTTGCTTGCAGCTGAAGCTTTGAACCCCAGCCAGAAGGGTTGCAGCACGTCAACCAGAGGCCCATCCAGAGAGCTTTTGGAGAGGCAGAGCCAGCTGCAAACCGAGGTTCTAGAACTGCAGAAGGAGACCCTCCAGCTGCAGAAGGAAAAGATCCTTCTGGAGAAAGAGAAACTGTTGCTGGAAATCCTCAAGCTCCGCCGTGACCTGGGCACATGAGAACAGTGTCTGAGAAGTTCTTCTCTTCTCTGAATTTGAGCTTTCCACCAGGAACTTGATGCATCTCAGAGGGAGGGCAGGACTCGGAGCCAGACTCATTGTGGGTGGGTGTGAAATCGTCACCACCATCACTGTGCCCTTGAGCATGCACAGAGTGCCTTTCTCATCACCAAGCGCCCGCAAATCACTGATTGGTTTCTGGGCTTAGGAACAGGGCTTTCAGATGATGAAAAGTGGTACCTCGGGTTACATACGCTTCAGGTTACAGACTCCGCTAACCCAGAAATAGTGCTTCAGGTTAAGAACTTTGCTTCAGGTTAAGAACAGTTTCAGGTTAAGTATGGATCTCCGGAACGAATTAAATACTTAACCCAAGGTACCACTGTATCCCGGGTGGCGCTGTGGGTTAAACCACAGAGCCTAGGACTTGCCGATCAGAAGGTCGATGGTTCGAATCCCCGCGACGGGGTGAGCTCCCATTGCTCAGTCCCGGCTCCTGCCAACCTAGCAGTTCAAAAGCATAAATAGGTACCGCTCTGGCGGGAAGGTAAATGGCGTTTCCGTGCGCTGCTCTGGTTCACCAGAAGCGGCTTAGTCATGCTGGCCACGTGACCCGGAAGCTGTACGCCGGCTCCCTCGGCCAATAAAGTGAGATGAGCGCCGCAACCCCAGAGTTGGTCACAACTGGACCTAATGGTCAGGGGTCCCTGAACCAGAACCTGAACGACTGTATCCCATTTGGCCCTCCAGATGCTGATGGAACACATCTCCCAACAGCAAGGGATGATGGGAGTTGAAGTCCATCCACACCTAGACAACCACACATCTCCTAACCCTGCCATTTGTCAAAGAGACACTACAGATTCAGAGCATCTTTCTCCTTCACGTAAACGGTGAATTGTTGAAGTTGGCGAACATCAACGTTCTCCTTCCTTACAGGGCCGGGGAACCATGAGGGCCTCATTCCCCATCCGGGGAGCCTTCCGAGGACCATGTGATTGTGGGCGGAGCCAGAGGCAAAAGTGGGCGGAGCAACAGATTCCGCTTCCACCTGGTGCATTCCATTTGTGCCTCATCCTTCCTCCTGGAATGTCTTCTGAGGACCGCACGGCAGGGGTGGGCGGGGCCAGAGGCAAGTGGGCGGGGCAACAGATGCTGCTCTCACTTTGCATGGCAGGGACATGAGCCAGGGGCAGATCAGTACAGTGGTACCTCGGGTTAAGTACTTAATTCGTTCCGGAGGTCCGTTCTTAACCTGAAACTCTTCTGAAGCTGAAGCACCACTTTAGCTAATGGGGCCTCCTGCTGCTGCCGCGCCGCCAGAGCACGATTTCTGTTCTCATCCTGAAGCAAAGTTCTTAACCCGAGGTACTATTTCTGGGTTAGCGGAGTCTGTAACCCTGAAGCGTATGTAATCTGAAGCGTCTGTAACCCGAGGTACCACTGTAATAACTCAGGTGGTATCAGTGAAGCGAACTATGTATTCAAAGAAACAAACAGCTCAGGAGACCAGACTTAGCACAGCAACTCTTCCCGGAAGATCTTGCCCCAAGGCGGCAGTTGTGAGGACTGAAGGTCCCCCTGTCTTCCCGCAGCTGCCTAAGTCCCCTCCTCTCCAGGGTTTTCCCCAAGCAGTCATAGACAGCGATTGCGCATAAACAACCCCATGCTCTGCACGTTTGCGCTGTGTTCCGGTTACGCAAAAAGTCTTCTTCACACCCGTGCCCAGCTCTCCACCCAGGCAAGCAAGAACCATTATTGCAGTACACGGACAAATTCCAGCCAGGCTTTTTAAAAAAATTAATCACTAAAGGAGGGCATGGAGCCAACGTCAGCAAGAGGTGTAGCCTGTGGGTGGGTTTGCGGCCCAGGGAGAGTCTTGTGGGACCGTTGGAGAAACCTGGAAAACCCCAGGTTCCCCACCTTTGCTTTGAGCTTTTTGTTGTTGTTGTCGTTGTTTAGTCGTTTAGTCGCTCCAGAAGTTGCGGTTGGTAGGAAGTGGTCAGAAGGGAAGCGGGTGGGGGGGGTGTGCGTATGCGTGTTTGGCTCTACACACAACACACAGACACGCAACGCCCCTTGTTCTTCGATTTGGAGCGTGTGATGAGGACGAAGGAGACGCGAGAGCCCCGAAACCCGGCAAGCAGGGGAGGCGGTAAGTTTCTTGCTATGTTGTTTAGTCGTTTAGTCGTGTCCGACTCTTCGTGACCCCCTGGACCAGAGCACGCCAGGCACTCCTGTCTTCCACTGCCTCCCGCAGTTTGGACAGACTCATGTTTGTAGCTTCGAGAACACTGTCCAACCATCTCATCCTCTGTCATCCCCTTCTCCTTGTGCCCTCCATCTTTCCCAACATCAGGGTCTTTTCCAGGGAGTCTTCTCTTCTCATGAGGTGGCCAAAGTCTTGGAGCCTCAGCTTCAGGATCTGTCCTTCCAGGGAGCACTCAGGGCTGATTTCCTTCAGAATGGATAGGTTTGATCTTCTTGCAGTCCATGGGACTCTCAAGAGTCTCCTCCAGCACCAGAATTCAAAAGCATCCATTCTTCAGCGATCAGCCTTCTTTATGGTCCAGCTCTCACTTCCATACATCACTACTGGGAAAACCATAGCTTTAACTATACGGATCTTTGTTGACAAGGTAATGTCTCTGCTTTTTGAGATGCTGTCTAGGTTATCATCGATTTTCTCCCAAGAAGCAGGCATCTTTTAATTTCGTGACTGCTGTCACCATCTGCAGTGATCATGGAGCCCAAGAAAGTAAAGTCTCTCACTGCCTCCATTTCTTCCCCTTCTATTTGCCAGGAGGTCAACAAAGGGGCAAGATAGTTCAATAGGCTTGCCCACCTGCTTAGGAACCTTAATCAGGGTTCCTCACTGTGTGGAGAAGCCTATGCGTGCTAAATGTGTGGGTGTTGGGGGAGCTCATGGTCCTTGTGGAACATGTGAGAAGGGGGGGTAGAGAATAGTCCCTGTTCTCGTTTTGTTTGTTTTTATTATTATTTACATTTTTTAAATTTGGTTTTTCAGATTAAAACTACATTCACATATCGAACGTACAACATAAAAACAAGATTCCAAAGAATCTATAGGACTTCCTTCCTCGCCTTCGTGGATCCTATTGTTAATCATTTCCTCCTTCATCTTTTATGATGATCCAAATCTTTTACCTCTCCATAGTGTCCAAAACTGTGTCCAGTATCAACTACAAGTGTTATTCCAATCCTACTAACGATTTTAACTGTTATAAATTTCCCCCATTCCTTATTAAAATGTTGGTCTTCCTGGTTTCTGATTCTTCCGGTCATTATAGCCATTTCAGCATAATCCATCAACTTGATCTGCCATTCCTCTCTGGTAGGGAATTTATCTTCTTTCCATCTCTGGGCCAAAAACATTCGTTTTGTTTTTAAATTAATTTTTACTGAAGATTTTCTAGTGTAACAAGCAAACAAATAAAGTACATCTCCACCTTCCAATTCATAGAGTGTTTTCCAGAGTTTGTTGACATTCAGTATGAGGAACCATTGCCATGTATATTGACCTTATTTTAAAAGGGCTTGCCCTTGAAAATTCCTGATTGACGGTCCTAATAAATGAGAGGACAGACGCAAGGAATGTTTTGTTTTTCTTGAACTCCTCCTGCCCTTCTTACTATTATTTGCATTTATCAACCTCTTTATGCAACAAAAAGTCTGAAGGCCACTGGACAAGGTTTAAATCATTAAAACAACAAGATCCGTCCGTCTCACTAAAAGGTGAGCAACACCCTTGGCGGCAACACTTAATTAACCAAGGGCCACTAATTAACCAAAAAAGGCCTTGGCATGGGACCGAAAAACTGACAAGGACAGCACCTGGCGTGTCTCCCTGGGGAGAGCATTCCATCAATGGGAGGCCATCACAGAAAAGGTGGCTGTTCTCCACCCCTTCTTTGGGGTGGGGCACATGGAGAAGGGCCTCTGAGGAACACCACAGGGTCCAGACTGATTCGTGTGGAGAAAGACAGCTTTTTCCTCGCGGTTTTTGTTTCTCTCAGTGATCACATGGACTAGAAACTTAGTTAATGGATACTAGGAGTTCAGTAATAATAATACAGTCATACCTTGGGTTACAGACGCTTCAGGTTGCGTTTTTTCAGGTGACGGACCCGCCAAAACCCGGAAGTACCGGAGCGGGTTACTTCCGTGTTTCGGGGGTTGCACATGCGCAGAAGCACCGCATCGCAACCTGCGTGTGCACAGATGCGCCACTGCAGGTTGCTAATGTGCATCCCTCACGGATCAAGTTCGCAACCCGAGCGTCCACTGTAATAATAATAATAATTTATTATTTATACCCTGCCCATCTGGCTGGGTTTTCCTAGCCACTCTGGGCAGCTCCCAACAGAATATTAATAATAATAAAAGCGATAAAACATCAGACATTAAAAGCTTCCCTAAAGAGGGCTGCCTTCAGATGTCTTCTAAAAGTCAGACAGTTGTTTATTTCCTTGACATCTGCTGGGAGGGCGTTCCACAGGGTGGGCGCCACTACCGAGAAGGCCCTCTACCTGGTTCTCTGTAACCTCACTTCTCGCAGGGAGGGAACCGCTAGAAGGCCCTCGGCGCTGGACCTCAGTGTCCGGGATGAACGATGCGGGTGGAGACGCTCCTTCAAGTATACTGGGCTGAGGCCATTTAAGGTTTTAATATAGAACGCACAGAGAAGACTACATAAAATGCATTCCAGGATCCAGTTTGTTAAGGGCAATGAGAGTTGTTCGGAGACTCCCTATTCCACTCACAGAAGTATCACAGAACTACAATTCCCCTATTCTCAGAGAAGAGAATAGGGGAATTGTACTTCCTCTGGGAAGAGGGATTGAGTGTTAAACCAGCCCTGTGAGGGGGACGCGGGTGGCGCTGTGCGTTAAACCACAGAGCATAGGACTTGCTGATCAGAAGATCAGCGGTTCGAATCCCCGTGACGGGGTGAGCTCCTGTTGTTCGGTCCCTGCTCCTGCCAACCTAGCAGTTCGAAAGCACGTCAAAGTGCAAGTAGATAAATAGGTACCGCTCCGGTGGGAAGGTAAACGGTGTTTCCGTGCGTTGCTCTGGTTCGCCAGAAGCGGCTTAGTCATGCTGGCCACATGACCCAGAAGCTGTACGCCGGCTCCCTCGGCCAGTAAAGCGAGATGAGCGCCGCAACCCCAGAGTCGGCCACGACTGGACCTAATGGTCAGGGGTCCCTTTACCTTTACCTTATGACTGGTTAAAGTGGCATGATGCTTCTTTCAAAGCATAGTGAAGATGGGGCCTAAATTGCAAATAAAGTTTCAAAGTTTAATATGCATGTGAGCCCAGCAGAGGGCGATAATATGCAAGCTGACGAAGTCGCTTCCTTTCCGGTATGATTGGTCTGTCTAGCTCCACATTTCCTGCACTGACTGGCAGTAGCTCTCTAGTTCCTGCACAGCCCTACCAGAAAACAGCAGGGATTGAAACTGGGATCTTGTGAGCAGCAGCTCTTTCCCTGAACATACCAAGAGGCCTTATATTACTCATTTATTTATAGGGTTTCTTATCCAGCCTTCACCATATTGTCCCAGGGCAAGTTACAGCAGCAGAATATCTGGACAAGGCTAAAACCTCTGGAGACTTTTTAGATTATCGGTATTCCTTTATTACATATACAGCAGAAGCATCATTTCCAAGACAACTCACAAGCCCGGCAGATTTGGAACTCTACTTGACAATCAGGGAACACCACTAATATTCCCCCTTCGTGTGAAGACAATTCTTATTCTTTTTTTTCATGACTTGGACTTTTGTTATTTAACCCATACGTAACTGTGCTTATTCCACCTGCATGCTTTGTTGTTGCTGTTTAGTCATTTAGTCGTGTCCGACTCTTCGTGACCCCCTGGACCAGAGCACGCCAGGCACTCCTGTCTTCCACTGCCTCCCGCAGTTTGGTCAAACTCATGCTGGTAGCTTCAAGAACACTGTCCAACCATCTCGTCCTCTGTCGTCCCCCTTCTCCTTGTGCCCTCCATCTTTCCCAACATCAGGGTCTTTTCCAGGGAGTCTTCTCTTCTCATGAGGTGGCCAAAGTATTGGAGCCTCAGCTTCAGGATCTGTCCTTCCAGTGAGCACTCAGGGCTGATTTCCTTCAGAATGGATAGGTTTGATCTTCTTGCAGTCCATGGGACTCTCAAGAGTCTCCTCCAGCACCATAATTCAAAAGCATCAATTCTTCGGCGATCAGCCTTCTTTATGGTCCAGCTCTCACCTGCCTGCTTTACGCTTTTGTTTTTCACCTTTTAGTTTTCACCTGTCCTTAACAGTGTGAATGTGACCCTACTCTGAGTAAACCTACTGAGATGAAAGGGCATGGCTGACTTTTGTTTCATTCATTTCCATTGATCTGCTTTGAGCAAGACTATTAGGATAGGACTAACCCTCATCAGAACATCTATAACCACCTTTCATTTGAAGATATATGATGTCATATATACATGAGTGTGTGCGCATGTGTTCTAAATTTCTTGGTTAAAAGGTAAAGGACCCCTGAATGGTTAAAGTCCAGTGAAAGGCACAGGGGTCAGCAAACTTTTTCAGCAGGGGGCCGGTCCACTGTCCCTCAGACCTTGTGGGGAGCTGGACTATATTTTTTGGGGGGGGAGGAATGAATTCCCATGCACCACAAATAACCCAGAGATGCATTTTAAATCAAAGGACACATTCTACTCATATGCTGTTTCCCTGACTGTCTGCAGGCCGGATTTAGAGGGCAATTGGGCCGGATCTGGCCCCCGGGCCTTAATTTGCCTTCCCATGGACTATGGGGTTGTGGCGCTCATCTCCCTTTCAGGGCAAGGGAGCCAGCGTTTGTCCACAGACAGCTTTCCGGGTCATGTGGCCAGCAGGACTAAACCACTTCTGGCGCAACAGAACACTGTGACGGAAACCAGAGTGCACAAAAATGCCTTTACCTTTCCGTCGCAGGGGTACCTATTTATCTACTTGCACTGGCGTGCTTTTGAACTGCTAGGTTGGCAGGAGCTGGGACAGAGCAACGGGAGCTCACTCCGTCGCGGGGATTCAAACCACCAACCTTCTGATCGGCCAGCCCAAGAGGCACAGTGGTTTTGACCACAGTGCCACCCGCGTCCCTGTAAAAGTTCTTGGTATACTACCCTGAAGTCCATTTAGGGATTTGTGGTTTTCATGTATTTAGCGGAAAATAAATAATTTGCAATTCAAACCTCTGGTTTTGACCTATAAAGTCTTACATGGCTTAGGACCCTAATACCTCAAAGACCACTTATGAACTGACCCCGACCCTGAAATCATCACCTGAGGCCCTTCTTTGTGTACCCTCTCCACAGGTGGTCTGGAGAGTTACAACCTAAGAATGGGCCTTTTCTGTGGTGGCTCTACACTTGTGGAATACCCTCCCCAGAGTGCCATAATTACATATCTTTAGGTGCCAGGCAAAAACATTCCTTTTTAATCAGGCACAACCATTTTTTGAATGGGTGGGATGTTTTGATGCAGAACGGTCTTTCAGATTTGTCCCCCACACCCCTGATGCTGGTTTCAATGTGTGTTTCCTTCTCACTTAAAATATTTTAAGTCTCTTTGAGTCACCATGGCTGCTATGTACTGAAGTTCTCACCCTGGGCCAGCAGGGGGATACTGTAGATAGTTTTCACTCAGGTCCACATATGCAAATAAGGAATTGAAAGTGACGTTCAGTGATTGGATAGTTACAGAAAGTTGTTACTGTTGCGTTGTACTGGAGCTCTATATAAGCAGGCTGGCTGAACCCTTCAGCTCAGTTCTGTTCTGGCCTGTGAATAAACAAGAGCTGTCTGAAGAATCGCTGTGTCGTCTGATATGTTCACCCACAACTTAACAATGGCAAAAAAGAAGCAGCAACTAATAAATTTAGTAAATCATAATAGAGATAATCAATAGCTGGGATTTATTTTCATTTCATTTCTCTCTGCCCTTCTAGCTGTTCAATCTCTCCTCCCCCCACCCCCCCTCCCCGTCCTTTCATTCTCTCATCCAGTAACACCTCTGAGGAAGGGGCACATGTCACACCAAGCTTTCATTTTGCAAATCATGCCTCACCGTGACACTGCGGGGAGGGAATGTGCAGATAGCATGCCAAACTTTTGCACACAGCCATCAGGGATTTGCCTGCAAAGCACGACTCCATTGTTCCCCGTTGCCGATATGGCTGCAGCTATTCAGATGTGCCGAGCTGACTTTGGAGGTGTCAAATTAATTTGCAAGATCGCCCTCAGCTTTTTACTTGACACCAAAGGAAAAGCCCTGGACTCCTTGGGAAGGGAAATTAGGCTTTGCTCATGAGATAGAGACTTGTGCTTTTCTTTGCTAGTGGCTCCTATATTTGATAAATTTCTGCCTCCCTTGTTTTGCCCCTGTTTCTGTAGTAGTTTCTGCTTTGCAGGGCAGCGGGGGACTCGGTTACAAGTTTGAATTTAGTTTAACTTTAAAATATATATTTTAAAGGGACACCAGACATATATGTGTAGAAGAAAATAGCCTTTTAAGCATCCCAGGTCCAAGGTATTCAGGGCTTTAATGATAATATCCAGCAGGGTATGCTGGAATTTATAAAGACTCTTTTCACACTTGGGGGGTATTATGGTGAATCTACCATTTCCTCAAGGATTGCATATATTCATTATTTTGTCCCAAGATAGTCACTGGTCAAATGGGATTTGCAAGTTTCTGAAGCAATGCAAGAATGGAATGTGCCCCAAATAGCCATTTTTGGCAATGTTTCATTCTTTCAATGTGTTTGCAAATTCAAGTACAGCCACAGGCTAGGTGAAAAACTTCACCATTGATTCTAGCCCTTATTCCATAAATAATTTTAGCTGCAACCCCATGCCCAATGACTGGGGAGCAGGGGGTGTGAGAAGGCACAATTTTCACCACACCCAGCGCTCTTGTTTTGCTGCAGTTCACTTTCTGCCAAAAAAACAATGTTATTTGTCTCACTGTCCGCTGTCGCAAAATTGCACGCCTCACGTAATTTGCAAAGTTAATTATGTAAATTTACATTGCTACTATGTGATACCGCTCCATTCGTTTCAGTGCTGAGGATACACAATGCAAATATGAGCCAAACACTGGCAATCTACATTTTCATTCCTGTCTGAATTCCCGGACATCCCTTGCCTGAAAGTAAGCCTTACTGAACTTGTATTTTTCAATAGTATGTATGGAGTGTGGTGCTAGTGATTTGCAGCCATGCCCCTTTAAGTCTGGTTAATTCTGATGGGTCTTGTTAAGTACAAACTACATTCGCTGGACTGTAAAACTAAGAGATAGAAATGATGAACTTTTAATGGAAAACTAGAGGCCTTTTTTTGGACTTTCCGATGAAGTATTATTGCGATATAAAATAGTGAGCAAGATTCGAGATACGAACGGCAGGAGGCGGGGAATAAAAATACCGATAAGGATGGTGTATAGGGGTTTGGTAACAAGTCGGGTTTTCCACAAATGCATCCTCTTTGTCAGGCTTAAAATTTCTGTCCAGGTGGATTTTTAAAATTTGGCAAAATGTCCTGGTTTTTAAAGCAGCATTTTTAAACCTAGTACCAAGTATAACGCAGCAACCAACAATAAAAGAACAAAAACATCAAGGAGGGGAGGCTGGGAAGTCAAAAAGAAAAATATAAGAGACATGGTATATTGTCTGTTAAAATCTTTGAAAACTTAATTTTAAAAATCAATTGAAAGGGGGTGGAGATAAGTCCCCCTACATTCCCACACATAGACTCTCCCCCTTTGTGTTTAAGGTTCAAGAAATGAAGAAGCAGGCAGCTGCTGGTAGCTTCTTGTCTTAAATCGAGAAAGGGCCGAGTGTGGCCCTTCAACACCTCTATACCTGGCCCCTGGGAACCTCCCCAGGCCACTTCCCTCAGCAACCTTGCTTTACACACACTTAACGTGAGGTACCACTGTATTGGGGAATGTACTCTGCTGCTGACTCACAAGCATGAGTTAGGAAAGATACTACAGTGGTACCTCGGGTTAAGTACTTAATTCGTTCCGGAGGTCCGTCTTTAACCTGAAACTGTTCTTAACCTGAAGCACCACTTTAGCTAATGGGGCCTCCTGCTGCTGCCATGCCGCCGGAGCACGATTTCTGTTCTCATCCTGAAGCAAAGTTCTTAACCTGAGAGAGAAGAGAGATTTTAATAAATATCTTAACCTGAAGCACTATTTCTGGGTTAGCGGAGTCTGTAACCTGAAACGTATGTAACCTGAAGCGTATGTAACCCAAGGTACCACCGTATTACATCAATATATCCTCTCCTAGTATTCACAACATTCCCACAATGCGCGAATATAAAATTGACATTCCTTGCTCTGCCCGCTTTTGACTCTGGCTCCACCCATAATGGAGATTTGACCCCTGGAACATTGCCCAGAAGGGAATATGTTTCTTGGGCTGGGGTGTGTGTGGAAAGGTTCCCTGTCTTAAATAAAGTCAGGAGTCGTTGTGGAAAGCAGACAAAATATGCCATCTTCCATTTTAGCGGCAATGGTGGAGGTAGGATACCTTTTTCAGAGGTATATAATGTATATATATATGTATATATGCAGTTCTTTTTGTCTTTTTTTTAACAAAGAGAGATTGAATCAGACGTTCTTGTGCTTGAAAACGATACACGGTCAGGTGTCCATTATAAAACAAGTGGAAACAATGAGTTTGCATAATGATTGGCAAAATGTAGCTTGACTCCTTCAGCTCTCTTCTTTACCAAAAGAAAACAACCCAAAACAGCTGCGGCTGACGTTCAGTCTTTCCTCTCTTTCTTAAGATTGCCACTCAGCTCGACAGGACGTCATATGAAGATAAAGGAGAGTTGAGGGCACACACATTTCTCCTGTAGAGACTCCTGCACCCAAGATCCCTGGCAGCCAGCGATGGACGCTGCAGTCCAGAATGTTCTAGAGAAAGACAGAAAATAGGATGGAGTCGATGAGGTACAGTTTCCAGTTCCTTCTTTTAATTTTTTTTTTTATTTGTTACAAAAAGCAATCTAAATGAATAAAGCGCAAAGATAACAAAAAGTAAGAAAACAGCGAGTAAATAAATAAATACAGTGGAACCCCTACTTACAACCATAATCCGTTCCGGCGGCCCATCCTTTAGGCGAAACGGGACGCTAGTAGAAGCGTCGTTGTGCACAGGTGCATTCGGCGGCGGCGTGCTTCTGCGCATGTGCAGACGGCGGTAGGCGCTTCTGTGCATGTGCAAACCTCAGAAACCGCTTCTGCATGTGTGTGAATCGCGGCAAACCCGGTACAGTGGTACCTCGGGTTACATACGCTTCAGGTTACATACACTTCAGGTTACAGACTCCACTAACCCAGAAATAGTACCTCGGGTTAAGAACTTTTTTTCAGGATGAGAACAGAAATCGTGCTCCGGCGGTGCAGCGGCAGCGGGAGGCCCCATTAGCTAAAGTGGTGCTTCAGGTTAAGAACAGTTTCAGGTTAAGAACGGACCTCCAGAACGAATTAAGTACGTAACCAGAGGTACCACTGTATTTACTTCCAGGTTTGCCGCGGTCGCGACTTGGATCGGGCCCAAGTAGAGGCGGTCGTAAGTAAGAGGTTCTACTGTAAATCAAATCATAATGTTTCATGGCCTGGAAGGACAGAAGTTCAAAGATACAGCACAGCTTCAAAGGGTAATAAAGCAGTAACTCATACAAAGGACTCAGCTAAATTAGTAAAAAAACAACAACCAGCGATTTGAATGTGTTATAAACATGCAACAGCAGATGGCGCAGGAGAGCAAAAATATATTTCTAAGTGATTTTCCATAGGTTTTTATTATTATCTTTTGTTATAATGATATAATTTCTGACTTATTTATAGCGTTCCCCCCCCTTTTAACCCAAAATTTACAAATAATAAATATTTATGAAAATCAAAGTATTTCTCCACCTGTGAATTCCATCGTTGAGAATAAAGATAGACTTAAATATAGTCTTAAATGAGCCAGACATTAGAATATACTGATAGCACTGAGTGACCGTGTGCCTCAATACTTATATAAGAAATAAAATCGTGCCATATGTATGTATGTATGCATATATATGTCACCACAGAGTTGTTAAATCGGGCTAAATTCCCCTCAGAGAGCTACAGCAGAAATTACATATTTGTGCAGGATAATAGTTATCTAAATGTGCAATCTGTTGTTAGATTAGGAAACAAAAGACGAACTTGTTAAAGCTTCTATGACACACTGGGCAATATAGGACATAATATAGATTTGAATCTCTGGGGGGAACTTTGGAAGAGCGATTTGAAGTTCATAGCATGTTATTCATTGAAGGAGAACTACCAGAAAATGATTTACAGATGGTATTTAACTCCAAGTAGACTTGCTAAAATGTATAAGTCCGAATCAGAAAAGTGCTTTATATGTATCGAGGTTGATGGTATATTTTACCATATGTGGTGGACTTGTAAAAGGGTAAAAGAATATTGGGAAATAATATATAATGAATTGGAAAAAATGTTTAAAGGTACTTTCCTAAAAAACACACAAAAAACAGATTCCTTTCTGTTGAGGATAATTCAGAAAGACGACTGGAAAATGTTTCCTGAATATATGGGTGAAAATTGTGTTCATTTAAAAACGTTGGTAGCCTGAAGATAAATTCATCAGTGTAAATAGGTTTTGATGGATGTAACAATGGTTTACTGAATGTTTTAGTTTATGTAAAATATGCAGGGATGTTTGGTATGCAAAATGAACCACGGAAAGAGAAGAAGGGAAGTCACTGGTTTAAGGTTGTTTAAATGAATATTTTGAAATGTAAATTATAAAATTTAATTTAAAAAATGTGTGTGTGTGTCCGTATAGTTAAAGCTATGGTTTTCCCAGTAGTGATATATTGAAGTGAAGTGAGAGCTGGACCATTAAGAAGGCTGGTCGCCGAAGAATTGATGCTTTTGAATTATGGTGCTGGAGGAGACTCTTGAGAGTCCCATGGACTGCAAGAAGATCAAACCTATCCATTCTGAAGGAAATCAGCCCTGAGTGCTCACTGGAAGGACAGATCCTGAAGCTGAGGCTCCAGTACTTTGGCCACCTCATGAGAAGAGAAGACTCCCTGGAAAAGACCCTGATGTTGGGAAAGATGGAGGGCACAAGGAGAAGGGGACGACAGAGGACGAGATGGTTGGACAGTGTTCTCGAAGCTACAAACATGGGTTTGACCAAACTGCGGGAGGCAGTGGAAGACAGGAGTGCCTGGCGTGCTCTGGTCCAGGGGGTCACGAAGAGTCGGACACGACTAAACGACTAAACAACAACAACACACACACACACACACACACACACATATATATAAAGGTAAAGGTAAAGGTACCCCTGCCCGTACGGGCCAGTCGTGACCGACTCTGGGGTTTGCGTGCTCATCTCGCTTAAGAGGCCGTGAGCCAGCGCTGTCCGAAGACACTTCCAGGTCACGTGGCCAGCGTGACAAAGCTGCTCTGGCGAGCCAGCAACATCGCAGCGCACGGAAACACCGTTTACCTTCCCACTATAAAGCGGTACCTATTTATCTACTTGCACTTAGGAGTGCTTTCGAACTGCTAGGTAGGCAGGAGCTGGGACCGAACGACGGGAGCTCACCCCGCCGTGGGGATTCGAACTGCCGACCATACGATCGGCAAGTCCTAGGCACTGAGGTTTAACCCACAGCGCCACCCGCGTCCCCATATATATATATATGTGCAGGAAAAACACAGCCGCGAGCTAGCCTGGCAGAGAGTCGGCATACTGTTCTTGCTGGATCTCTGACAATGCAGACATGCTTTCCCTCTGAGAACATGACTTAATTTCTATGCATGTGTAAAACTAAGGCAAGGGAAAGCCTCTGTAGAAGCCTGTGTGATTTATGGGCCTGCAGAGTCCACTTTTGTGGGTTCCGACAATGGCTGCTGTTGCTCTGGACCAAGTGAAGCTGTCTCAAAGATCACAGGGGTCTGTTTATTGAAGGAGTCTGCAAGCACACACCTGGCTCCCTGCAGACCGTCCCCTTGGCAGCGTTTCTTGCTGCCCACGGCATTCCCTTGGCATTCCACGCAGACACGACGCTCTCTCGCCAGCGGCCTGCTCCAGAAATGCAGGCGGCAGGCGGCGCTCACCTGCGTCAGGCGGAAGTAGATGCAGTAACTGGAAAGCACAAAGAGGGAGGAAGGAAAGGGTTAGGTCTCCATGCTTGGTTAAATTGACTTCAAACCATTCCTGCCCTCCGCACCCCAGACGTAAACAAATGGAGGTCATCGTCTCTCAAGACAGACGGATGCCGACAACAACAGGATTGGGGGGAGAGATGCAACACAGTTCCCGTTCAGAGAACAATCCACTTAAGAGCTCATGCACACTTGCATTCATCCTGTGATTTCTTCTAGGTACAGGTCCAAGAAGTTTTCCCCTGGGAAAACCCTCTGTTTACCACTGACTCGGAAAAAATGTGAATCTGTGCAATACCCAGTGGATGTTTGTTCTAATTCTGCGGCCGACTGCGGGTTTTCCCTGGGGAAAAGAAAAACCTTTGAGCCCCGTACTGAGAAATCATGGGACAAGTATCGAAGAGCCCTAAGTTGCCATTATACCCAAGTTGGTCATTATACCAGTATACCTGAAGGAGCGTCTCCACCCCCATCGTTCTGCCCGGACGCTGAGGTCCAGTGCCGAGGGCCTTCTGGCGGTTCCCTCATTGCGAGAAGCAAAGCTACAGGGAACCAGGCAGAGGGCATTCTCAGTAGTGGCGCCCGCCCTCTGGAACACCCTCCCATCAGATGTCAAAGAGATAAACAACTACCTGACATTTAGAAGACATCTGAAGGCAGCCCTGTTCAGGGAAGTTTTTAATGTGTGATATTTTAATGCATTTTTAATCTTTGTTGGAAGCCGCCCAGAGTGGCTGGGGAGACACAGCCAGATGGGCGGGGTACAAATAAATTGTTGTTGTTGTTGTTGTTGTTGTTGTTGTTATGTTCAACAGAATTTACAAACTGAAACACAGCCGCCCACTAGGAAGGAAGGTTGTCACAGCTATTGGGTCTTCTTTTCTAGGCAGAAGACTCCAGAGCGAGGGCAAGGCACATTGCCCTCACTCTGGTCTGGCTTCATGGTGACACTGTCGTGATGATGTGGAGTTGATCACGAAGCCACACCCAAGCGAGGACAATGCTCTCTGCCCTGGCTCTGTCGAGCCTTGTGGGAGGGGGGAAGATGGCTAGCAGCCTAGGTACCCAGGAGTCTGAAGGATGCTACTGATGGGACCACATAACGGAGCAACTCTGCTAGGAGGCAAGGTGGCAGCATTTGGGACTTTTTAGCTTAAAGAAAATGTGAGCAAGAGGTGGCATGATAGAAACATATTGTCAGCCTTCAGGAAATCGGCTTCTTGCCCCCATGGCAGTAGATAAGCAGAACAAAGGAAAAGGAGTCTTCTTACCAGTTAGTAACTTTCATAATCACAGAGAGAGAACAAAGAACACATCACCTAGAAATGGTGGTGCTCCCAATTAAGGATTACACCCCCCCTTCCGTCCCTATTAATCTACGTCTCTTCTACGTCTTGTAATCTGAGTTTGTACTCTCTGTGCTTTCTGTTCTGCCAGTTTTTGAGCTCTCTGGGACTTTGGAGAAGGGGGGTGAATGCTGTCCAGAGACTGTGAATCTGTTAATACTCTCTCTTCCAGTGTTCCTTTTGCTAGCTGTTCCCCATCCAGTATTTCCCAGCTTCTGACTTCTGAACTATGCCCAAGAAATGCTACTTAGATATTTCTCTTGGGATTCATAACCCAAAGCTTCTTATTTGCTTCTGCGACTTCCTGTTTATTCCTGGCTCCCAAACAGCATTCCCGGAGGCAAAACAGACCATCCTGTTCTGTGGTGGTCCGGGCCAGGATAAAGCTCTGTGAAGGGAACAGGGTCCTCCTAAAAAAAACCTCTTAACAAACTACAGCTCCCATAATTCTTTTGGGGAGGCCATGACTGTTTAAAGTAGTATCAGAGGGCTTTAAAAGTACAGTCATACCTCATGTTACATTTGCTTCAGGTTGCGCGTTTTCAGGTTGCGTCGCATGGCGACCCGGAAGTACCGGAAAGGGTTACTTCCGGGTTTCACCACTCGCGCATGCGCAGACACGCATAATGATGTCATGCGCAAGCGCAGAGGCAGCAAATCACGACGCATAGACGCAGGTTGCGTTCTTTTCAGGTTGCGAACGGGCCTCCGGAACGGATCCCATTCGCAACCAGAGGTACCACTGTATGGTGGAACCAGACCTGGAGAACCCTTCAAACATAAATGCTTTCAGATAGAGAACTGTCTCTGTGAGGTAGGGCACACAGCCAACTTCACCTCTGCCTTCCCTGCACGGGGGTAGATACACACATATCTCCATCGGTTTGGGCTGCGAATTTATTAAGTAAATTTCTGTGCTCACCAACACCAAATGGGGTGTGTTGGGTGGCTAATGGGAGACAGGGCCTTTTTGGTGGTGGCCCCTGTTGTGAAATGCCCTCTCAAGAGTGTCTGGCATGGCTCCATGCCATGATTATATCAGCACTAAGGATTGTATTCACTATAATGATAAGTACGCTGTTCCAACAGCACAAGGATTTCTCCTTACACAATGGAGTATTTTCACACTCTCCTCCCCCTGAATTTGGGCTGGGTTTCCCACCCAGCCTTCTGGCACAGCTTTGGAGATGGCACAGGACACCTGGGTGGGAGTCCTATTACACTAACACTAATCCTTGCCCTGGCACAATTATTTAGTTGAATAACACTCCAGAAGAAGTCCTTTAAAAAAATAACAATTGCTGGCATTTAAAATTGTTCAGGTCTTTTGTAAAGTTTGCTGCTGGTGGGTTTATCTGTTTACTGTGATGGTTCAGTTTTTTGTTTCATTCATATATATATATATATATATATATACTTTTCAAGTTTATACATTTCACTAATTTTACAATCATTTTGACGTTTCAAAGGTGTGTCATTCTGCAAAGGAGCAGATTGTGTACATGTGCGTTTTTGTTGGGAGAGCACATTTTGGAAGAACCTAACTCAAAGGAGCAACAAGGAGAAATGATGGATCTGACCCAAATATTTATGTACAACAAAAATAAAGGTGACTAGTTCTGCACACACAAATGGAAAAAGAAAAACTTGCCTTCCTTCCTCTTCTTTCTACAGTTCCTTAAATTTATATTTAATATCTTCAGCATATCCAAATGAACTTAATTTGCTCATTTATTCATCTTCTTTAGATATATACTCTTATGAAACTGCAGGTTTTTTTATCCAATGTTTTTTTATCTGTTTACAATTTATCTGTAAATATTCAATAAACCATTTCTATTCTTTTATTTTTTAAAAAATTGTTATCTTGATTTCTTATTCTTCCAGTAAGTTTTGCCATTTCTGCATATTCCACAATTTTTTGCACCCACGGTTTTTTGTTTCTTGAGAGCGCCGTGTACGAGGGAGGCCTGTTTTGCCAGATGTCACGCGACAGCTCCGGGAGCAATGCACGGACATAGCAAATCCCGTCTGCTGTATCTCAGCAACACCAAAGCATCTCCCTCTCGGAGCCGCGGGCTTTGATTGCGTCTCCCTAATTAGGCCAGAATCTCTGGCTGGCACGACACTCTGGTGCGAGAATCCGGTGGCCGAAGACAATCGATGGAACATCAGAGGGGAAGGCGACATCGTCCAGAAATTGCTTGGCCTTGGCTGCTTTCCTCTCTCTCTCTCTCTCTGCTCTGGTTCTGTTCCAAGGAAAAGAGAGCCGGGAAGAAGTGTAGCTATGCAAGTAACTATGCAAAAGAGGGGCCTCTCTCCTCAGTCCTCCAGCCCAGGATTAGATACTGCTTGTGTGATTGAGCCAGCAAAGACTATACTCTCCAACATTTCTCCAATGAAAAATAGGGACATCCTATTCAATAATAAGGGATGCGGGTGGCGCTGTGGGTTAAACCACAGAGCCTAGGACTTGCCGATCAGAAGGTTGGCGGTTCAAATCCCCGTGACGGGGTGAGCTCCCGTTGCTCGGTCCCTGCTCCTGCCAACCTAGCAGTTTGAAAGCACGTCAAAGTGCAAATAGATACCGTATTTTTTGCTCTATAAGACTCACTTTTTCCGTCCTAAAAAAGTAAGGGGAAATGTGTGTGCGTCTTATGGAACGAATGCAGGCTGCGCAGCTATCACTAAAGCCAGAACAGCAAGAGGGATTGCTGCTTTCACTGTGCAGTGATCCCTCTTGCTCTTCTGGCTTCTGGGATTCAGAATATTTTTTTTCTTGTTTTCCTCCTCCAAAAACTAGGTGCGTCTTCTGGTCTGGTGCGTCTTATAGAGCAAAAAATACAGTAAATAGGTACCGCTCAGGCGGGAAGGTAAACGGCATTTCCGTGTACTGCTCTGGTTCGCCAGAAGTGACTTAGTCATGCTGGCCACATGACCCGGAAGCTGTACGCCGGCTCCCTCGGCCAGTAAAGCGAGGTGAGCACCGCAACCCCAGAGTCGTCCGCAACTGGACCTAATGGTCAGGGGTCCCTTTACCTTTATTCAATAATAATAATAATAATAATAATAATAATAATAATAATTTATTATTTATACTCTGCCCATCTGACTGGGTTTCCCCAGCCACTCTGGACGGCTCCCAACAGAATATTAAAAACACAATAAAATATCAAACATTAAAAACTTCCCTAAACAGGGTTGAGTTCAGATGTCTTCTAAAAGTCAGATACAGTGGTACCTCGGGTTACATACGCTTCAGGTTACAGACTCCGCTAATCCAGAAATAGTACCATAGTACCTCGGGTTAAGAACTTTGCTTCAGGATGAGAACAGAAATCGTGCTCCGGCGGCGCGGCAGCAGCAGGAGGCCCCATTAGCTAAAGTGGTGCTTCAGGTTAAGAACAGTTTCAGGTTAAGAACGGACCTCCGGAACGAATTAAGTACTTAACCCGAGGTACCACTGTAGTTGTTTACAGTGGACGCTTGGGTTGTGAATGTGATCCGTGCGGGATGCACGTTCACAACCCGCAGCGGCGCATCAATTTGGTGCTTCTGCGCATGCGCAAAGCGTGATTTAGCGCTTCTGTGCATGCGCGACCGCCAAAACCTGGAAGTAATCTGTTCTGGTACTTCTGGGTTTCGGAGGGTCCGTAACCCAAAAAACAACAACCTGAAGCTTCTGTAACCCAAGGTATGACTGTATTTCCTTGACGTCTGATGGTAGGGCGGGAGACACTACTGAGAAGGCCCTCTACCTGATTATAGTTATAATTTTATAATTTATACCCTACCATCTGACTGGATTGCCCCAGCCACTCTGGGGGCTTCCAACATATATAAAAATAATAATAAAATATTAAACATTGAAAGAAAACCTTCCATATACAGAGCTGCCTTCAGATGTCTTCTAAAGATTGTATAGTTACTTATCTCCTTGGCTTGGGGGTTGCCTACCTCCATAAACCTCCAGCATTTCTCCAATGAAAACAGGGACGTGCTAAGGAAAAGCGGGACATTCTGGGATCAAATCAGAAACCGGTACAGCTTCTGCAAATCTGGGACTGTCCCTGGAAAAATAGGGATACTTGGATGGTCTGAAATATTGGTTCACTAGGACAAATGGGGCACTGCCCCACCAATCTGTCTGGATCAGAGGTGCAGTGGTCCCGGGTGGGTGTCAAAGACTAGAAACCAACCAATCAGCATGGAAGAGGTGCTTTTTAGCCACCGAGAAGAGGTCTTCTCCCGCTTTGTCCTGATTGGAGCCAATCAGAGTCAGCCGCTGAGGCTTGGCTCCCCGGGCCATTCTAGAGAAGGTGAATGTGGGGAACAGCAAGGATAGGTTCCCCTGTATCCTCCAAACATAAGCATCAAGAAAAACTGAAAACACAAGGTGCTTTACTTTCAAAAGAATGATGTGCAAGCCTTGTAGAGTACAATGGAACTTCAAGGAAAACACAACTTCCTTCTTCTTTCTTCTTCTTAATTTCATTTTGTTATGTACTGAGTTGAATAGGATCCAAAAGGCAGCAGTCTGATTAGTCCTAGAACAATAGGATCCAGAATGCAGCAGTCTGATTGGTCCTAGAACAATAGGATCCAGAATGCAGCAGTCTGATTGGTCCATAGGAGCCACCCAATCCAGCTCCAGGTGGAAGGGAATCCGCAACCTGATTGGCCTACAGCAGAATCCCGGAATTAGCCAATCACGTGGTGCCCCTTGTGTAAATAATGTATATAAAGCAGACATTCTGGGGGAACTTCCATTCCTCCTCACCACTATGAACTGAATAAAGAGCATGAAATCCACTCTCGATTCCGAGTATATTTCACATTTCTATATATGTACATTTCTATACATTTCTATGTGCATTTTGGTCCACCTTACAAGGCTGGAGAACCGCCTTGCAAAATTCAGAGAAATGATAATATCGAAGGGCAGCTTACCTATCATTTTTAGAAAGTGTGGATTAGGTAGATGAACTGATTTGAATCCCTTCTCCATTCCTAACTGGGGGTGGGCACAATTTGATTTGATCCTGAAGAGTCAAATGCTTTCTTTCTCACAGCCTTCCCGCCCCCCCTGCCCCCACCCGCTTTCCTGGCTTCCTTCTTTCTTTGCAGCAAGCTGATCCTGAACTAAAAGGACCTCTATTTGAGGTTCAAGCCATGCAGGGAATTATTTCTCTCCCCCGACACCCCCCCCAACCTCACTAGCAAAGCCGGCCAGCTATGCTGAACATGTGTCCTAGCACATGATGCCAACTGGAGCCAAACAATGAACTTTGGGGCTGGCTGCTTAGTTAACTAGGCTACCCTAAGCCCTCCGGCAACCCCTCCCCACAGAAACGCGATCTGGCTATGTTCCATGTTATGCACGGGAGACGGTGAAGAAGAATATGCAACCCAGCCACCCACACTTTTTCTTCTTTTTCTTGCTTTTACTTGGAAAAGCCTCTCCCAGATAATATCCTGCTAATGTTCCTGCTTAAAATTCCATCCTCGCATTTACTAAAGCCGGTCACTGAACAAGGGGAGGGGGAGGGAGAGAAGGGGAGGAGAGCAACTCGCAGGAGGTCTCAAGATGAAAGGAGGAGAGGCATTAACAGGAACATAAGAGCTTAAACGCCTCAGGACCGCAATACCTCTTCCCATATGAATCTAGCCAGCCCCTGAGATCATCTTCTGAGGCCCTCCTTCGTGTGCCTCCTCCTCAATTCGTGGGGAGGGTGGCAACATGAGAACGGGGTCTTCTCTGCAGTGGCTCCCTGTCTGTGGAATGCTCTCCCCAGGGAAGTACGCTTGGTGACTTCATTATACACCTTTAGGCACCAGGCAAAAATGTTCCTTTTTAACCAGACCTTTGGTTGATTTGAATGACATCCCATGCCCTTTTAAAATGTGGCTCTTTTGGGGGGGGGTGTTATTGGGTTATTGTTCTTATTTTGATTTTATATATTGTGATCTTTTCTGTGAAGCACCCTGAGGTATAGGGTGGTATCAAGGCCAGATTTAGGTTTGATGAGGCCCTAAGCTACTGAAGGTAATGGGGCCCTTTATATCTCTAGCTGTCCTTTGTCAACAACAAATTGTCACTGTTTGTTGTGTTGAATATATGCTATATGGTAATTTATGGACCTAATAGGTATCTAAAGCCATTTGCACTTGCAGAATGCAGGCACTCTATATATAGAAATGAGCAAACCAGTGATACTTTAGGGAGTATCCCATTACTTACATCATAGGAGCCTACACAACACAAAACACCGTTGCTGTATGTAGGTTTTATTTTATTTTATTTTTTATCTTATATTTTGGAAATGCACATCCAGGTACATCCTACCTTGGCAGCTTCTCCCTCGTTAACATGTGAGGTCTTCTCCAGGGGTCCTTAAAATCCCTTTTAAAAGAATCAGGCAGGATCTTAGCCACCTCTGTCAAAAGAGACATGGAAATAAAAGGAGCCGTGTTCTGATTAAAGACACTCATCATACAGTGGTGCCTCGCAAGACGAAAAGAATCCGTTCTGGGAGTCTCTTCGTCTAGCGGTTTTTTCGTCTTGCGAAGCAAGCCCATTGATGGGATTAGCGGATTAGCGCTATTAGCGCTATTAGCGGCTTTTAGCGGCTTTAGCGGCTTTTAGCGGCTTTTAGCAGCTTATCAGCTTATCTGATAAGCAGATAAGCGGCTTAGCGACTTAGAAAAGAGGGAAAAGGGAAAAAAAACCCAGGAACTCGCAAGACATTTTCGTCTTGTGAAGCAAGCCCATAGCAGATTCGTTTTGCGAGGCACCTCCAAAACGGAAAACTCTTTCGTCTAGCGAGTTTTCCGTCTTGCGAGGCATTCGTCTTGCGGGGCACCACTGTATCAGGCTAGCACAGAGAATTTAAGAGGAAAGAGCAAGCTGAAAATTAATCAAAGGGGTACACAGTATTGACAGCATAGCTAGAGCAAAGTTATTTCTTATTCTCATTAGGAGCGCCATAAATTTACATACAGGCACTTAACTGCCTTTCAGTACTTCAAAACCTGCAAATTAATCAGCATTTACTTTATTTAAAATCAACCCATGCACATTTGAGCAGGTCAAATTATAACCATTCGTTGGGAATTGTTTCTAATTACAACCATCTTTGAATCTCAAAGCATGCACCATTCGTGACTTAATGACACCATTTTGATGCTATAAAACAGCACTATGTAAATCTTCCAAAGAATTGTTCACAGCAAATGAATTTGTGGAAGGAGAGCAGGGCAGTGTAGACCCAAATGTCATTAGTGCATTTCTCACCCAAATTAACTTAACAGGCCGGGGGGATGAAACGACTGCACTGTTAAGTTGTGGGTGAACATCTCAGACGACACAGTGATTCTTCAAACAGCTCTTGCTTATTCACAGGCCAGAACAGAACTGAACTGAAGGGTTCAGCCAGCCTGCTTTTATAGAGCTCCACTACAATGCAGCAGAAACCACTTTCTGTAACTATCCAATCACTGAACGTCACTTTCAATCCCTTATTTGCATATGTGGACCTGAGTGAAAACTATCTACAGTATCCCCCTGCTCGCCCAGGGTGAAAACTTCAGTACATAACATGCACATTCTTGATTAGTTTTAACAAATGTTGCTTAGAACAAACCACAGTTCCCTGGGTTTTGACATACTGTGAAACCATGGCTTGTTCCAAAGTCAACTTGGGAGATTTTGCTCTCGCTCACAGAAGAGGAGGAGAAGGAATGAGGAGTGGGCTAGCCCAAGGCTCACTGAAGCCAGGGAAATTTTGCTGCCTGAAATGAATAACAGGGTGACGGTGATTCTCCTTGCATGTACAGATAATGAAGCTGGCAACAGAAACTTAAGGCTGTTGCACAGCAACCTTCCGTTTTCCCTTGCACCACCTTGAGCTCCGTGGAGAAAAAGGAGGGATATAAATTCCATAAATGAATAACAGGTAAATAATCGCTATATATAAAATTTATTTTATACAGTGGTACCTCGGTTTTTGAATGTAATCCGTTCCGGAAGACCGTTCTACTTCCAAAATGTTCGAAAACCAAGGCTCAAAGGGCGGTCTGCAAATTTAATTGAGAAACACCCAGTGGAAGCCATTCGACTTCCGAGGTGCATTCGAAAACGGAAGCATTTACTTCCAGGTATTCAGCATTCGAAAAACGAAACGTTCAACTTCGGATTCATTCAAAAACCGAGGTACCACTGTATATGCAATTGTTTTAATTGCATTTAGATATGCACCTGTTAGATATACATGCGTTTTCATTATATTGTAATCTCGCCACTGCTATCAGCATCGTACCTTTGGCTGTATCGCAGGCGGAGTTCTCCCCAAGGCACCCCCGTCTCTGCTTCAGGTCTGGGCAGGGGGTTCCTCCGTTTCGAGGCGGCACGGTGACCTGGCGAGTCCGGTCTTTGCTGCCCGTACCGCAAAGAGCGTTGCATTCGCTCCAGGGACCCCATGGGCCGACCACACAGTCAACAGCTGCTAGAGATGAGGGAAGAAGGGGGTGGAATAGGATAAACCAGGAGTGGGAGAGAGAGACGGAAAGGACAGTTGCAGCCAAGGGAGATCCCCAAGTAAGAAGGGGAAAAAATAGAAATGTTGATAAAGAGCAGAATGAATCAGGGTAGGTATGTGAAGGGGGGGAGAGAGAGAAGGATGGGAAACAGATCAGTAGAGTCACCAAAGTTGGCACAGAACCTTTCTCACCTGTAACTAGAGGCAGGCAAATCTATTTCCATTTCTCAGTTCCTCATTTTTCTAGACTTCTATTCAGTTCTCTATCTGTCCTCAGCAATAATAATAATAATAATAATAATAATAATAATAATAATAATAAACAACTTACTTAAGCTTCCTTACTTAAGCATTTTAGTGCAACTTTATCCTAACACATTTTTGCAAACGGTTTTCTCTAATACCCAATGGTTTTTATTTACAGTCGTACCTTGGATCCCAAACATCTTGCGAGTCAAACGTTTTGGCTCCTGAATGCCCCAAACCCAGAAGTGACTGTTCCGGTTTGCGAACATTCTTTGGAACCCAAATGTCTGATGTTGGTTCCACGGCTTCCGATTGGCTGCAGGAGCTTCCTGCAGCCAATCGGAAGCCGCGCCTTGATTTCTGAACGTTTTGGAGGTCAAACAGATTTCTGGAACGGATTCCATTCGACTTCTGAGGTACCACTGTGTTTATTTGGTATGGTACAGTCAAGGACATAAGCACAGACATTTCTGCTTTACATATGCATTGTTGTACACTGCATTCGGTTAAAAAACGGCAACATGAAATTCAGACATGTGTGACTTTCTGAGGGTAGTTCAAAGGATAGTGGCATACCAGTTCAAGAAGCGTGAATCGGGAAGCTTTGCATTATAATACAACCAAAGTTGGATTTCTCCTAGATCTCTAACTGCGACGAAGCCACAGAAAGCCCCACCTTTTCTCCCTCCCACCCCCTGTTCAGCTCATGGCTCATGTCTGACTCGAATGGGCATCACTCAAAGAGACAGCGCTTGGAATCCTGAGGATTTTGGCGAGGCCAAACAGACCCGGGTATCCCCGTCGAGCAATAAGCCCCCTGTCTCCACTGGCAAAACATGTTAGCTTGCCCTTCCTTCTGACTCACTGCATCCAGTTGTCTTCTTGAGGCCTCATCCCATGGCTGTCTAGCCTGCTTGCTCCGAAATCCCACGCCCCACAGGGGAGGGTACCGTTGGCAGCCCAGCTCCCATACCAAGCCCCCAACATGCTCATCATCTCTTCCACCCCTTTCCCTATAAAAAAAAACACTCCATCGGGCAAAACGGAGATCTCATCCTGAAGCAAGAGACTTTCAGGGCAGTTCACAATCCAGGACAGGCTGCGTTTGATCCCTGTCATCCGAGAGGCGGATTCAGAAATGCAAGACACATTTTTGCAAAATATCCCATCCTTGCTTGTATTTTTGACTGGTTTACCAGGGACAGATTGGGACGCGGGTGGCGCTGTGGGTAAAAGCCTCAGCGCCTAGGGCTTGCCGATCGAAAGGTCGGCGGTTCGAATCCCCGCGGCAGGGTGCGCTCCCGTTGCTCGGTCCCAGCGCCTGCCAACCTAGCAGTTCGAAAGCACCCCCGGGTGCAAGTAGATAAATAGGGACCGCTTACTGGCGGGAAGGTAAACAGCGTTTCCGTGTGCTGTGCTGGCTCACCAGATGCGGCTTTGTCACGCTGGCCACGTGACACGGAAGTGTCTCCGGACAGCGCTGGCCCCCGGCCTCTTGAGTGAGATGGGCGCACAACCCTAGAGTCTGTCAAGACTGGCCCGTACGGACAGGGGTACCTTTACCTTACCTTACCACTGTAGTGCGAGTTTGCTAAAATTGTCCTCTTTTAGGGTTGAAAGTGGGATGATTGCTTTAAATGTAGAGTGCAGATTGGGGGGGAACTTCTGAAACTGGCACTCAGCCTGGAACCTACAACTTTGTTACATATATATTAAGTTCCTTGTTTATTTAGGGGGCGGAAATGGCGATCCATGTATGTGTGGTATCAATCACCTCCTTCCCCTCTTCTCCTCCTCTGAACGTCGCCGTCTGAGTTGATATTTTATCCGTTTTCAGGCCAAGCGGCCCAATCTAAACATAAAACGCTATCCCCAAATTATGCTACTTCCGTCATCGGTCTTTAATCCCTCGCTCGTGAGAAATTCCAGATGTGCTGACATCTGCTTCTCCTTTGCCAGGCTGAGAATAGGTTGTCTATCCATCGCACGGAGGCCCCCATTGTCCTGAATTAAGCAGAGAGGGGCCAGTTAATTGTCAAAAACCGCCATGTTGGGTCAGTTCAAAGGATACAAGGCCGTGGTTCTTAGGAGCTGAGGAGGATTAAGCTGCCGTCAGCCCCCTCATCAACCTTTGAGGCCACTGACACTAGAACGGTCCCTTCCTGAAGGCCATGTAATGAGATCTACTTTTATTTCTTCTTTTTTAATCACTTGAAAACTCCACACCAAGGGAAGTGGTGGGTACAGAATCAGATAAGGATTTGTTTGAGACACAAGAGCTCGTAGATGCAAAAGATGCCTTTGAAGGAGAACCACTGGAAAGGATTAGATCGTGATGACTGGGGTGAAGTGGTGAGAATGTCCTACTATATGACCTGGGAGACACGGGTTCAAATCCTCACTGAGCCATGAAGCTCACGGGGTGACTTTGAGCCAGTCACTGTCTCTCAGTCTAGCCTACCTCACAGGGTTGCTGTGCGAGGATTAGATGGGGATGAGGAGAGCCGTTTATGCCACCTCGAGTTCCTCGGGGGAACTGTGGGGTTTAAAGGATAAATAAATTAAGTAAACTATAGAGAGGTGGGCAGGGCGAAAGCAGAGATGTGTGCATTTGTCAGTTTTGCTTTCCCAGTTCTTCCATCTTAAATTGCGTTACTCCACATTTCTGCATCAGTTTGCGAATTTCTTGTTTAAGAAGCTGTCACGAAAAGTTGTCAACATCTTAGAGGACACTTATCCAATCTTTTGAATGCAGCTTTAAAATGCAAAAAAACCAGTAACTCACTAGTACAGCACCTCCTTATTACACTGAAGGTCCCTGGTTCAATCCTGTCATTTCCAGGTAGGGCTTGGGAAAGAACCCAACCTGAAATCTCAGACAGTCACTGCCAGTCAGTGTAGTCAGTACTGAGCTAAGGTAAAGGTAAAGGGATCCCTGACCATTAGGTCCAGTCGTGGCCGACTCTAGGGTTGAGGCGCTCATCTCGCTTTATTGGCCAAGGGAGCCGGCGTACAGCTTCCGGGTCATGTGGCCAGCATGACTAAGCTGCTTCTGGCGAACCAGAGCAGCAGACGGAAACGCTGTTTACCTTCCCGCCGGAGCGGTACCCATTTATCTACTTGCACTTTGATGTGCTTTCAAACTGCTAGGTTGGCAGGAGCAGGGACCGAGCAATGGGAGCTCACTCCATCGCAGGGATTCAAACCGCCGACCTTCTGATCGGCAAGCCTAGGCTCTGTGGTTTAACCCACAGCGTCAACCGTGTCCCTAGTACTGAGCTAGATGGACCTATAATTTGACTAAGGCAGCTTCTTGTGTTCTCACTGTGTCCTATGTCCTAATTTATCCTAACCCAAGCAATTCTACCTCAATGAAATGCATTTTTGGCATGCTATTTTCACACACACACACACACATATATATGTATTTATTTTATTTATTGAATTTATATACCGGGGGGGGTTCAGGGGGGTTCACACACAAAACCACAACATATAAAATCAAACCAAAAACAGTAACGCAATAACCCCCCCCCCCAAAAGGGCACATTCTAAAAGGGTGTTGAATGTCAATAAGATCAACCAAAGGCCTGGTTAAAAAGGAATGTTTTTGCCTGGCACCTAAAGGTGTGTAATGAAGGCACCAGGCAAACTACCCAGGGGAGAGCATTCAACAGATGGGGAGCCACTGCAGAGAAGGCCCTGTTCTCGTGTTGCCACCCTCCAGACCTCTCAAGGAGGAGGCACACGAAGGAGGGCCTCAGAAGAGGATCTCAGGGACCGGGTAGGTTCATATGGAAAGAAGCGGTCCTCAAAACCACAAAATGCATAAAAAAATAAAAACAACAACCCACGCCCCTCCACCCCCCAAAAAAACACATTTTAAAAGGGCATAGGATGTAAATCGGATCAACCAAAGGCCTGGTTAAAAAGGAACGTTTTTGCCTGGCACCTAAAGGTGTATAACGAAGCTCAAATGCCATACTTGAACATTTTTACACACACTGGAGAACCGGCACACCCAATTTTGGAGAAGTGCAAATTCCAAAGGATGGCTGCATTCTTTTGGTTTGTATCTTTTTTCAGGAAGTGCAAACCGAACTAAATTCTCCCCAATCTCTGCACCTGGAAGCCTTCTTGATGCCCTCAACTTAATGGCATTAGTAACTAACCACAGAGAAACTGAAATGGACAGATTTTCCCATCCCTAGTTAACAACGGAAACTTTCCCATGGCGAAGCCTCAAAACACGAAGGGTACCCATTCTTTTTCCCTCCCAGCCTCCAGACGATTCCGCCCCTCTCTTTTTCTCCCACAGCTCTGTCCAGTCATTCATTCATGTGTGGTTCATCTGCCATCAGCACTTATTTGCTCTGGCCAGAGAGAGACCCACAACTTCTCCCAAGAGCTTCACACGTGGTTTTCATCTGCTGAGAAACAATCTGCAACAGTTCGTTGTCTGCAACCGATTCCATTTGGCTGAATGATTTGGGGTGGAGGAAAGACCCTATGTTCCAAACACAATGCCACCCCGCTTTGCAAAAAAGAAGTAAGCCTTGAGAACATGAAAAGTCTTTGCAGGCTTCCTAGTTTCCAGGATACTCACCTTACCATATCAACAGCGGAGCTCGGCTTGGAAGCCTGCTAAAAATATTTTGTTTAGAGGGGTAACTGAGGACACCATTTCGTAGTCTGATTCCCATGGTTCACAGATGTAAACAGGGATGCGCTTGGAACACTGATCAATTTTGTTCGTAATTTAATGAGAAAGTACCCAATTCACACTTCTCGAATTATTATTATTATTATTATTATTATTATTATTATTATTATTACCACCCTTCATCCAAAGATCACAGGGCAGTTTACAATGTAAAAATGCAAATATTTGTTGTTGTTTAGTCGTTTAGTTGTGTCCGACTCTTCGTGACCCCATGGACCAGAGCACGCCAGGCACTCCTGTCTTCCACGGCCTCCCGCATACATGCCATAATAGCAGACAAAAACAATGCCCCCCGCTACAGTATTACATGATTTCAGACTCCAGCTCTTCCCTTTCATTTCAGATATGCAGACAGAAACACAGCTATCCTTTGAAATTCACCCTTCTCTGAATTTTGCAGTGTGGTTCTCCAACCAAATAAAACGCATATGTTCAGGAGGAAATGTGCCTAAAAATGCATATATTGGTGAAAATTACATACAAATGCATGATATTATGGGAAATTGCTCATAAACACTTTAGGAAAAACTCCATACAGATACATAAATATTAGAGCAAGTCACACTAAAATGTTGATGAATGTTTATGAGGACTTTTTTTAAAAAAATCTTTCACAGACCGATGCTGAATTTAAGATTGGAAGAATGAGAAACTGAAATAGAAAGATCCGTCCATTCCTAATTATCGCCCACTCCTGAGACTGCCCACATCTTCTATCCAATCAGAGTTCTTTCTTTCCTGTTCCATTTCCTCCTTATTTTCCCTGAGGGGGTTATTATTATTATTTTTTAAGTGTGTCCTTTCTAGAGATGGGTGGACCTTTCATTTCTGGGCCACATTAAAAGCATTATGTGGCCTCCCCCAAAGCATTGTGTGAGCTATAGTTCCCAGGAGTTGTTAGGAGACACCCATTCCCCTCACAGAGCTACAGAACTCAGAGTGGCTTAACAATCAATCCCTCTTCCCAGGGAATTTTGGGAATTGTAGTCCTAGAAGGGGAAGAGGGGTTCTCCTAACAACTCCTAGCATCTGTAGCAAACTACGGCTCCCAGAATTCTTTGGGGGAAGCAACGACTGCTTAAAGGGGTATTAGGACGCTTGTTTTTATTTTGTATTTTTATGCTGCAAACGGCTCCAAGATCTTCGGATGAAGAGCGGCATGCAATTTTAATAAATAAATCTTAAAAGTAGATTGTGAATGTGGCTACTCTCATTTTCTCAATATTCATGCCGGGGACGGCGTCTGTGAGGCAACCACCCTTTTGGTACCCAAAATGCCCCCCCAACACGTGGCTATGACCCAGGGCATTGTGGGAAATGAAAACAGTGGCGCCTGCGGTTCCTTTCGGTCACCAGCAGTCCTGTTTAGGGAAGTTTTTAATGTTTGATGTTTGATTGTGTTTTTGATATTCTGTTGGGAGCCGCTCAGTGTGGCTGGGGAAACCCAGCCAGATGGGCGGGGTATAAATATTATTATTATTATTATTATTATTATTATTATTATCTCGCTAGGGGGAGCATACCAGTGGTCCCATCAAACTGTCCTTTGCCAGGGGTCCTTGGGTCATCGGTATGAGGAAAGGAAAGCAGTGGTCATCTCAGCCGCTCTCACTCTGAGCTTGTCCATGCTCTTGGGAGTGAATATGTTTCTAAACCAACAAGGTGCTGCTAGCGCGGTTTCTAGCTTCCTGACTCTTTTATTCCCTGGCAGAGACCATTGCTCGGTAATTGAGCTGAGTTGTGACTGGACTAATCTCCCTGGAGATCAGGGGTGGCTTACTGAGGCCGTTCCCTCTCCTCCCCCAAATCCCTCATTCCAACCGCGCTGTGTGAACATCAACAACAGACGAATTTCTTTGCAACAGACACTCTCCAAAAGGCAGGAGCGGCACAGAGATTTCCATAGGAGTCAACTCCCAGGAGCCAAGGTCGTGCTTGAGGCTTTAAGTTATTGTTGTCCAGGTTGCTATTATTATCATTATCATTATCCCTACTAGGTAAAGGTAAAGGGACCCCTGACCATCAGGTCCAGTTGTGACTGACTCTGGGGTTGCGGCGCTCATCTCGCTTTATTTATTGGCCGAGGGAGCCGGCGTACAGCTTCCGGGTCATGTGGCCAGCAGGATGAAGCCGCTTCTAGCGAACCAGAGCAGCGCACGGAAACGCCGTTTACCTTCCCGCCGGAGTGGTATCTATTTATCTACTTGCACTTTTATGTGCTTTCAAACTGCTAGGTTGGCAGGAGCAGGGACCGAGCAACGGGAGCTCACCCCGTCGCGGGGATTTGAACCACCAACCTTCTGTAAGCAGATGAAAACATTAGCATCATTATATTAACACTTGTAATGTAGCAAGTACTATGGAGACATCGGAGTGATATAAAACAGGGGGCCAGTCCACTGTCCCTCAGACCTTATGGGGGGCCGGACTATATTTTGAAAAAAAATAATGAACAAATTCCCATGCCCCACAAATAACCCAGAGATGCATTTTAAATAAAATCACACATTCTACTCGTGTAAAAACACGCTGATTCCTAGACCGTCCGTGGGCTGGATTTAGAAGGCGATTGGGCTGGATCTGGCCCCCGGGCCATAGTTTGCCTACCCATGATATAAAATATAGATTATGGGGAAAGATGCAGTAGAAAAGGCTCAATAATAGGACCAGTGCTTTTTTTCTTAAAAAAAAAGAAAAAGTTTAGGGGTATTCTCATTTTGCTAATCATATTGAAATACTTCCCCTCAATGAGGCCAAACTTAGATTCACAAAATGTTTAGGGGTATGCGTACCCCTACGTACCCCCAGAAAAAAAGCATTGTATAGGACCCACAGAGAGGAGGTGGGAAGTCCAGAGATTCGGAGGAATCTGTAAATGTGGAAGTGTATGGTGGTATTGTTACGATTTTATACTTGTAAAACCAAATAAAAAATATTTCAAAAACAAAAGCAAAAAACAAGAACCCAGTAATCCACCCCTCCTCAACCCATTTTAAAAGGATGCCGATGCAAATTTTGTAGGGCATCTCTACGCACACACAAACACATACACACAATCAGATCCTCTTCCTGCCGCACGTCGTAAGGCTGTGTGCGCTCAAAACTGTCCTCGCTGCCTTTCTGTTGACAGTAAACCTGGACTCTCCACATCAATGTGGGAAGCCATGTGTGAGAACAGAGATGCCAGACCTATTCAGGACCATTCACAAGCTTGGCCGGAGGCTTCCGATTGGCCAGGAGAAGGGGCTGGTAAATGGGAGGGAGAGGGTTTGGGTTTTAGGGTGAGTCGGTCGCTGGGCTGAGAACGGTGCACTACAAACAGATTACATCTATTCCGCAGTTCAGTGCTGAAAGCTTTGGACCACTGAATCCAACCAAGATATACATAGAGAGAAGACTTTATTTAAATTTATAGACTTCAGTTAAGCCCTGTTTATTAATTTCAGTGGGTCTACTGTGCAACTTAAGCCCCATCCACAGTACACATTTGAAGCTAGATCATACCACTTTAAACAATCGTGGCTTCCCCACCCCCAAGGATCTTGGGAACTGTAGTTTCTTAAAAATGCTGACTTGCTCGCAAATTTATTGACATCTGCACGAATTATTGTAGCTAGGAAGTGGAAGGGGAAAGCAGAATATAAAATGGAAGAATGGTATAAAGAGGTGTGGGATATAGCTGTTAATGATAAATTAGCATGTGCCATTAAGGTAAGACAGGGAATATGCAGGAGAAATGATTCTGAGGAGATATGAAGTGTGTTTGTGGAATTTGTACTGTTAAAACAGAAAGGGGGTCAAACTACTGCAAGGGGTGTTGGAATTTTGGGAGGTTGGATAGTTATAATGGAATGGTCTTGGTGGTGGGGTGCACATTATTTATTTATTTATTTATTTATTTATGATTATTACTTTGTCAAAATGAAATAAAAAATTTAAGACAGACAGACAGACAAACAAACAAACAAACAAACAATGCTGAGTGTAGTTAGGAGACCCCCTATTCCCCTCAGAGCTGCAATTCCCAGAGTAGTTTAACCATCAGGCCCCCTCCCCAGGGAACTTGGATTTGTAGTTTTGTGAGGAGAATAGCAGTCTCTGAACAGCCCTTAACAAACTATAGCTCCCCGGATCCTTTGAGGGAAGCCACAACTGTTTGAAATGGTATGATATTTCTCTGAATGTGTTAAGTGTAGGTAGGGCCTTAACCAACATGTTTTGTCCCTGCAGGGGTGATTTTATCTTCTCTCAGGTCTTTGGCGAATTAAACAATCCATGGCCTTTTAATTTTGGGGAGGAGGTATTGTTTTTGTTTGTTACTATGATACGTATTTTTGTGTTTTTATAATGTGAACCACTCTGTGATCCTCAGATGGTAAGAAATAATAACAATAATAATAATAAGATGAGGATGATGATGTCTATGGTCAGCAGAGAATCCCAAATGTGATAGGGTTGGCTGACTTTGTTTTGAAGTAAATGAAGTCATCCATGTTACTGTCTGTACAGGGGCATCTCCACAGGCCATTAAGTTCAGATTCCAAAATTATCTAAGTGCTCCCAGCTGTGAGTGATCCAGTAGATACCTTGATCCCAAGCTGTGAAGAGCTTTAAAAAGATTATTTGTTTGCTTGTTTGCTTATTAAATGAGGCCCCTCCATTAATACTACAGCCCAGCAAGGTAGGCTAGGCTGAGAGGCAGTGACTGGCCTCCAAGGCGAGCTTCATGGCCAAGTGGGAATTCGAACCCTGGTCTCTCAAGGTCCTAGTCCTGATGCTGTGACCACTACACCACATGATTACACAGGAACCAGGCAGGGATGGATGAATATGTCAATTTTGTTTTCTGTTTCCCATTTTTCCAGTCGGTTCCCCCACAACTTTGTGAGAATTCATCCCAATAAACCCATTTTTTACAAACTAGCCCCCACAACGAAATGCATTTTTATACATCTATTTTCGCTAAGAGATGCAGTTTAACACACACTTTCCCCTAACATACATGTTTCTGGGTATGTTATTTGGTTGGGGAACCACACTACAAAATTCAAGGAAATGCAAATTCGGACAGATTCCTATCATTTGTTTCAGGCTGCGTTTCAGGAGTGCAAATTTGGACGTTTTGTATTAAAATGTGCCCTGGACTGAATGCCTCCCCCATTTCTAGCACTGGGACATGTTGGAGATTCCCCTTTCTGGAACCTGTTCTGCCTGAGAAGCATCCACAGCTTCCTGAAGGTCGAAGGGCACATTGCACAGCCACCAAGAGACATCCCTCTGCAGTCATCCCTTCTCACCCAGAAGCGCCAACTCACCCGAGATCTGGCAGGCGGAGTGATAATCTTCGCAGCAATCCCTGGTTTTCTCGCAGTAGGTGTCACAGTAACACGGTGTTTTCCTCAGAGAAAAATCGGAGCAATCGTTATTCCGGCCCGGGCAGCATTTGTGGGCCTCTCGGTCGCCACATCCACCCTCAACGAGGCCGTGCACCAGAAGCCACACGCAGAAGACTAGCTGGTACCCCACACCGGTTCCGGGTTCCCTCATGGCTTGCCTCCCCTACGAAACCGGCTGCTAGAAATCGCCGAGTGTGGATGACCTTTCGTCACCACAAGTCACACCGGACAGCCTTCAACAGCTCTCCAGACGTTTCGCCCGGTTTCTCTCTCTTTCGCACTCGCTCCCGATCCAAAGCCAGGCCCTCCACGGAGGGAATGGGCTCCCCAGGCAAAGGATTAAAACAGCATGATGTCCCACGACAGAAGCGACTGGGTGGAAGCCTTGAACTTCTCATCTACCCGGCCGACGGCGTGTGAGAGGAAGGAAAGACGCCTCTTATTTAAGAGACTGGCGGCGCTGGCAAGCGGTCCTCAGTGACTGAGCATTGGCATCTGGGTCGCTGGAGAGATTTTTGCTGCTTGAAGAGAAGGCTCTTTGCCTTTCGCCCCTTTCATGGACGGCTGGCAGCAAAAGCTGTCACCGCTCAACTGGGCTTCGAACTGGTGATGGCCTTTTATACAAGAAACAACATCGAACGGGTGTTGTTCCCAATGCACACAAGGGGATTGGCTGGACATTTAGCACCACCACCACCCCCTTCCAAAAAAAGTTATTCCCCTCCTTTCAGTTCATGTGTAAAAGTTTCTCCTGGGTCTTAAAGCCAGATTCTCTAAGAATCTGGAAATATTTTTTTTAAAAAGGCAAAAGACCCTCATGGTGATTTATATATATGCATATTCCAGACAACCTGCTAATTGACTCTTCTTCTTTGCAGGGAGATGAGGTGACGTTGGGTAATTAATTAGCATTCTTTCCAATTTGGTTGCGGGGAAGTTACAATGCTGTTGGGTTATTATCGTCTCAATTTTAATGTACGTATGTGGGGGTTTTGCTTTGTTTTTTTGGAAGTCACTGTGAGTTGCCGTGGCAAGAAAAAAGTGACTGGTAAATTGAAATATAATGATGCTGCAACAAAGCTAGAATTATCCCACCCTTTTCAGTTCCCCGTCACTTTCCATATCACAAAAGTCTGATCTTAACGCGACTTTCATTCCCTGGGAAGAGGGATTGATTGAATGGTTTCTCCTCCTCCTCCTCTCTCTCTCTGTGTGTGTTTAAAAAGTGTGTCCTCTCTAGAGATGAGTGGATCTATCTATCAGTTTTGGTCTCAATCACATATTTATGAAACCCCCGAGCAAGACATCTGAAGGCAGGCCTGTTTCAGGAAGTTTTTATTGTTTGATCGCAATTTTCATACTCTGTTGGGAGCCACCTAGAATGGGTTGGGCAAGCCAGAGAGATGGGTGGCATACAAACAACAACAACATTTAAAGCATTACTATACTACTCTAAAGGGATGCGGGTGGCGCTGTGGGTTAAACCACAGAGCCTAGGACTTGCCGATCAGAAGGTCGGCGGTTCAAATCCCCGTGATGGGGTGAGCTCCCGTTGCCTGGTCCCTGCTCCTGCCAACCTAGCAGTTCGAAAGCACGTCAAAGTGCAAGTAGATAAATAGGTACCACTCCGGCGGGAAGGTAAACGGCATTTCTGTGCGCTGCTCTGGTTCGCCAGAAGCGGCTTAGTCATGCTGGCCACATGACCCGGAAGCTGTACGCCGGCTCCCTCGGCCAGTAAAGTGAGATGAGCGCTGCAACCCGAGTCGGTCACGACTGGACCTAATGGTCAGGGGGTCCCTTTACCTTTATACCACTCTAAACTGTCATGGCTTCCCCCAAAGAATTCTGAGAGCTGTGGTTTAGCCAAGGTGCTGAGAGTTGTTAGGAGACCCCTGTTCCCCAACAGAGCTACAATTTGCAGTGACTTAATGATTGATCCTTCTTCCCAGGGAACTCTGGGAATTGTAGCCCTGGGACTAGGAGGAGGTCTTTTAACAACTCTCAGCACCCTCAATAAACCACAGCTCCCAGATTTATTTGGAGGAAGCCATGACTTTTTAAGTGGTATGCTGTAAATGTGGCCGAGCGGTCCCTATTGAGTGTTTCAGTGGCTGGGAACATCAGAGGCTTCTGGTTCCTTGTTCTTTAGTGTGCAAGTCTTGGTGTCCTCTCCTTGCTGGATGAACCCTTTGTGATACTGACTGGGGGTACCTGCCTGACCTTGCCCCCTAGATCATGTTAAGGCCTAGACTGATTCTATGGGCTTGGCTCGACTTTGCAGCCCTGCCCTCAATGGTGAGCATTTTGGTGAGAGGCTCTTTGGACTGAAGATACAGTGGTACTTTGGTTCCTGAATGGCTTAGTTGTCAAACAAATTGGCTCCTGAACGCCGCAAACCTGGAAGTGTTCCGGTTTGCGAACATTTTTCGGAAGCTGAACGTCTGTTTCAGCTGTCGGCATTGTTTCTGGGGTCAATCAGCCAACTGGCTTTCGAACGTTTTGGAATTCGAACAGAGTTCCAGAACAGACTGAGTTCGGGAACCAAGGTACCACTGTACTATGTGGAGCACAACACATCCCCACATCTCCCAGAAGCAAACAAAAGTCAAGAGCGCTCTTAAGAGCTGCCAAGAAACAGTGGTTAGGAGAGAGCGCTCTTGCACCCGTGCCCCACTTGTTGGCTTCTTCGAGGCACCTGGTTGGTCAAAGGCAAGAACAGGATGTTGGTGTTGATGGGCCTTTGGCCTGATCGCCGGCAAAGTTCTTCTGATCTTAATGTGTGTTAGGGCTGGGCAATGTATCATCCAAAACCGGTTTCAAGTCCATCTCATGATATTGGTTTCATAATTTTTGACCTGGCAATGTATTGCAAATCATGGTGTGTGTGTATGTGTGTGCTATGCAAAAACCACAATGTGGGGAAAACCGTGAAGCTAGCCAATGCCTCTACATAGCTCCATCCTTATTTCAGACACTGTGATATGTCAGTAAGTATATCACAATGTTAAGCAGGAGATATATCACAGATGTTTAGCTGGTGATACATCACAGAGTTGAAAACCAGCTCCATCCTTGTTTCAGACATCGCGATATATTGGTATCTCGCAATGCTTAGCTGGTGATATATCACAGACGTTGGTGATATATCACGATGTTGAAAACCAGATTACTGCCCAGTCTTTGTAGTCACAGTGGCTTTGCTCTGCCCTTTCACAGCCAGAGACAGGAATGCTTCTGAATACCAGAAGGAAGAGGCTTCTTGTGCTTGGGCCCTGGGTTTCCCAAAGGCATCTGGGCAACTGTGATGCTGGACTAGAAGGGCCATTGGCCTGATCCTGCAGCCTCTTATGTTTGTGTGCATGTGCAAGCATTGAGGTGCAGGCATTCATTGCCCGGGACGCAGGTGGTGCTGTGGGTGAAGCCACAGAGCCTAGGACTTGCCGATCAGAAGGTCGGTGATTCGAATCCCCGCGACGGGGTGAGCTCCCATTGCTCGGTCCCTGCTCCTGCCAACCTAGCAGTTCGAAAGCACGTCAAAATGCAAATAGATAAATAGGTATCGCTCCAGCGGGAAGGTAAATGGCGTTTCTGTGCGCTGCTCTGGTTCGCCAGAAGCGGCTTCGTCATGCTGGCCACATGACCCGGAAGCTGTACGCCGGCTCCCTCGGCCAGCAAAGCGAGATGAGCGCCGCAACCCCAGAGTCGACCACGACTGGACCTAATGGTCAGGGGTCCCTTTACCCTTTACCTCTTCATTGCCCACTAGAGGTGCAGGAATTCCTCCTGCGAGACAGAGAGAGGGGGCAGTTGCAGCGCCCTTCCAAGTGAAACACAAACTGCCAAGCGACTCACTAAAACAGGCAACTTTGGCTTTATTGGTTGGCGTCCTCACCGCAGGGCTGAGAAGTTCCAAAACCATTCTAGTATCAGGCTGCCGGTGCAGACAGTGAATTAAAATAAAAACAAAAAAAACATTCAATTCAGAAATCCTCGGTCTGTGTAAATAAAAAAACCACGCAACAAAAAAACAAGCAACAAAATCCCCATCCCAATGCATCACCTTCCTTTGCTTGCCACATGGTCAGCACAAAAACATAGCCTGGACACCTGTTATCCAAGCCTGTAGGACAGTTAAGAGTCCAGGTGTTGGTTGGCTACAACTCCTATCATCCCTGGCCATTGGCCATGCTTGCTGGGGCTGAAGTTCACCAATACCTGGAAGCCCAAAGGTTCTCCATCCCTGCCATAGGAAGTGGAGCTGGCTATAATAGCACACCTCCATAAACGGTTGGGTTGAACATGTGTGGAAATACGGGCAGGGACACAGCCAGGATCCCCATTTCTGTGAAATTGAAATTATGCAGCAAGTAAAGTCTACTGTAAGGATGAGGAACCTGTAAGTTCTCCAGATGTTGCTGGACGACAACTGCCATAACCCGCCATCAGGGATGATGGGAATTCTAGTACAGTGGTACCCTGGTTTGCGAACAGTCTGGTTTGCGTACGTTTTGGATTACGAACACGTCAAACCAGGAAGTGTGTGTCCTGGTTTGCGAACTGTTTTTGGATTACGAACAATTTTGGGGGGATTACAGAGAAATTTTTTGGGAGGCCCCATTGGTGAAAGCACGCCTCTGGAACGGATTATGGTCGTAAACCAAGGTACCACTGTATAGCAATATCTGAGGTCTATAGGTCTCCCCACCCCTGATCTATCACTTGCAGCCAATATGCTCATAAAGGTGTATTTGGACAGATGAAACTTAATTCTCGTTCAAAGGGTTTCACATAGTGGTGCAGCTGCAGCCCACAGCTTCTTCGGAGCAGGCTTATCGTTTTATTAACTTTGCAACTGGAATGCACCTTAAAATATGTGGTGGTAGGGAAACAGATCTGGGATTTGTTCTCTAACCCTGAAGGTGCCCTCCGGCTGCCTTCAACTGCAGCTCCCATCAGACCCAGCCAGCAGTGCCAACAGTCAAGGATGATGGGAAATGTAGTCCACCCCATCTGGAGCGCAGCACGCTGGTGGTCCCTACACTAACCGCTACCCCTATCAACAGCTGGCTGCATTTAGTAGCCCACAGTGCATAGCTAGCAAAGACTGGAGCAAAAGGGGGGGAGGGGAAGGCCCCACGTGTACTGAAAAAGGACGAGAGACACATAAAATTTGGCACAGATCCATAACGGAATCGTCGGCGAGTTTCCTTGGCACCTGGGGAAAGGTCCCTTCCTAGTACAGAAAAAAGCACGAGTGAGCCAGAGTAGTGTCTGCTAAGCCTACAAGTTTCTCCAGCGAGTCATCAGGGTCTTCGAAAGGAGGAAAAAGGGAGGAAACGTCCAAGGAGAGAGGGAGGAGAAAAGACAATCTGAAAAGGAGCAGTGGTACTGCTCCCCTTGACTCCTAACATCAGTGTCACTGCAGCTTACGGTGAGCAGCAGGGGGCGAGGCTGCAGCAGCGCAAACACACCAGCAGAACCAGTCTTGTGCTCCTGCAGATGCGTTTGCACCAACCTCACCCCTGCGTTGTCCACCTTCTGGGTAAGCCCCAGCAGCACCAGAGAGAGGGCAGCTAGGTCCCTCTGGCCAGTACTCTGTTTAGCTGGGGGATCCCTTTTCCACCTGGGACACAAGAAACAGGGGCTATCACTTCTGTTTTTCATATCCCTCTTTCCCTCCCCTCCCCAATGTAAACAAGTGAATTCTATGGAATGAGTTAATATTACGGGCTGGGTGAACGCGTGGGAATTAATTCGACTCTCCCGACTCAGCAGATACATTTATGGAGGTCAGGGGAGTGGGTCCCCCAACTTTGGTTCGAAAGAAGCTTTTATCAGCACGAGTAAGAAAAACACCAATCGCAACAGATCTTTGGGATGCAGACTTTAGCAGGGGGGAGGCATAGAAGGCATGAGCGTAGGATGGGGAAAGGCGAATGTCATCCCCACCCAGGGCTGGTGTTAGGAGTCAGAAGGGCATGGAGCCCAAACAGTAGGCAGCGAATTCTAATCTGCCTGCTTGCGTCCTACAAGGACGACACAGAGACTAAAGTTGACAGGCAGGGTCGCCACCGTTGCCTGGTTGTAAGAAGGCAGGCGGTGATGGGGCGGGGGCAAGCTGAGGTTGATGGGGCAATGTCCCATTCACCAAAATGGACCAACTTCCACTGCTGAGGCTACTGTGCTTCGGAGCCTGCAGAGGTGGCAATTCCTTCTCTTCCTCTACGTCATTCAAAGAGAGCACAGATGCGGAATCAAAGGACCTCCAGCTGTTGCTGGGTTCCTAACTCCCATCAGCCCCAGCTAGGATGGTCCAAGGGGCAGGGACGATGGGACTTGTTGTCCAGCAACACCTTTTCTAGGGACCCCCGCATTTGGCAATACTAAAAGCTACCTGGCGATAAAATACTATTGGAGCAGGACTCATGGAATGTACTCAAGTATTTTTTGCGGGGTGTGCATTTGTGTCATGACCTCCATGGCTTTCTTCTCTGCTGGCAGCAACTGGGGGAAGGGGCATATGAAAGACTGGCGAACACCCAGATGTCTGACATTCTTTCCCTACCTCTGCAAGCTTTCTGAGTTGGCACCGTCGGTCAACAATTCACAAGATCTTCTTTGGCTGGTAAGCCGGAGCTCAATGCCCTGGCAGTCGCCTTCTGGTAAACAACCAGGGACTTCTTCTTAGCTCATGTTTCAACGCCAGCTTCTCAGAAAGCCAGCAGAGGCACCCCAGAAGTCATTGGACTCCAAGTCCCATCAGCCAGAGCCACCATGGCCAACAGGCAGGGATGATGGGAGTTGGAGTACATCACTATTTGAAGGGCTGTACTGCCACAAGATCTGGAAGGCCATCCTTGCTCTAGACCAGGATTTCCCAACCTTGGGTCTCTAGCTGGTTTTGGACTACAATTCCTATCATCCCTGACTATTGGTGCTGCTAGCTCGGGGTGATGGGAGCCGTAGTCCAAAAAACAGCTGGAGACCTAAGTTTGGGAAACTCTGATCTAGACCAGCGATTGGGAACCTGTAAATTCATGTGTGTGTTTGTTTCTAAAAGGGAAAAAAGCTTCTTGAACTTTTATTCTAGCGGGTGTTGGCGTTGGTGTGGGGGACAGGGTGTGTGGGGGGAAAGTTCCCTTTCTCTTTCTGATGGGCACCAGTCGAACTCGCCCCACCTCTTCACCCTGTTCCCCCAACTTTAGCAGCTGGAGATGTAGCACGAAACCATCTCCTCTCTGTTCCCCCATCCAATCTGGTCACATTATCATATCATCAGTAATTAAAAGCAAGCAAGAACCAGCAACACGGCCACAGTTCATTCGGATATAAATAAAACGTGTCATTGAGCTTGATATGAAGGCAGCGGGTCGGGGACGTGATCCGTATCCAGATCCCACCTGTGGAGCTGAAGGAGCCCTGGAATGCTGGCACTAACTTGCCGGGTGGGCGGGGGGGGTGTGGTGGGTAGGACCCCCCCCTGGTCTGTGGTGAGTCGTGCCTTCTCCTCCCTGCTGTTGCCTGGCGGGTGGGGAGGAGGTGGTGCCGCCCTCGGCGGGCGCTCAGTCCGTTTTCCACACCTTGTTGAGTACCTTGACGACTTCGTCGTAGATGATGAACACAATGGCCACATCTAAGCAGACCCGGCCCAGGCGGGGGATCGTGCCCTTGTAAAACCTGCAGAGGAACGGACAGAGGGGGGTGAGAAAGGGGCATTTCAGAGAATCCGAGCAAGCTTTGGGAAGAGGTGAGCCAACCAAGAGACAGTCTGGTATAGCGGTTAGAGCCGTTTGTTCGAGAAACAAGCAAGGCAGCTTAGGCCTCCTCTCTCTCAACCGTCACCAGAGAGCAGAGCCGTTCCTTCAGATGGCCTCAATGGGAGAGATGGGGGGGAGGGTTCACTCCAACAGTTCTGCTGTGGAAGACCAGCTCCATCACGAACTCCCTAACCCTGGACTGTGCCAGCTGGCCATTACAAGAACAATTGACTTGATAATAATAATTTATACCCAGCCACTCTGGGCGGCTCCCAACAGAATATTAAAAACACGATAAAACATCACACATTGAAAACTTCCCTAAACAGGGCTGCCTTCAGATGTCTTCTAAAAGTCGGAGAGTTGTTTATTTCCTTGACATCTGATGGGAGGCCGTTCCACAGGGTGGGCACCACCACCCAGAAGGCCCTCTGCCTCCCTGTAACCTCGCCATGAGGGAACCGCCAGAAGGCCCTCAGAGTTGGACCTCAGTGTCCGGGTAGAACGATGGGGGTGGAGATGCTCCTTTAGGTATACTGGGCCGAGGCCGTTTAGGGCTTTAAAGCTCAGCACCAATACTTTGAATTGTGCTCAGAAATGTACTGGGAGCCAATGTAGGTCTTTTAGGACCGGTGTTAGGTGGTCTCGGCGGCCGCTGCCACTCACCAGTCTAGCTGTTGCATTCTGGATTAGTTGTAGTTTCCAGGTCACCTTCAAAGGTAGCCCCACGTAGAGCGCATGGCAGTAGTCCAAGCGGGAGATAACTAGAGCGTGCACCACTCTGCCCCTCTTCCCTCCCTGCCTCTTTTTCCTTGTGTGTCATGTCTCTTAGATGGTACGTCTGTGGGCAAGGGACGGTCTTGTTTTACTTGAGTACAGGCAACTCCCCATTTACAAGGGGGTTACGTTCTGAAGCGCTTTACGGACTCCCTCCAAACCTCCTTGATCAAACTCCAACTCTCCACAGGCCTCAAAGGCTCATGGGATTTCACTTGTGAAGCTCTTGTGGGATTGCTAGATGCAGTTTTTGTAACCGTTCTTGCCGTTTACGTGCTCTTTTTTGGAGGGGGGCTTTCCGCCCCTTTAAAAGTGCCACTTCCGGGTTCACAGCGATCCACACAGTCACTTGAACACACATAAATGGGGAGTTGCCTCTATAGGCAAGCTACGCTGGGAGCCTTTTGGGCTGAAAAGTGGAGCACAAATGCTCTAAATAACTAGATAAATATAAAACCAAGATACACTCACGCAAGAGGGCCTTCATATTTCATGATCTGATAGGCACAGTCCCAAGTGCTCTTGTACTTGTGAGACTCCAGACCCTGTATAAGAAGATTGGCCGGGGGAGAGAGAGAGATTGAATTGAAATACTTTATTGTCACTTGTACAACTTGTATACAGTGGTACCTCGGGTTAAGTACTTAATTCGTTCCGGAGGTCCGTTCTTAACCTGAAACTGTTCTTAACCTGAAGCACCACTTTAGCTAATGGGGCCTGCTGCTGCGCCGCCGGAGCACAATTTCTGTTCTTATCCTGAAGCAAAGTTCTTAACCCGAGGTACTATTTCTGGGTTAGCGGAGTCTGTAAACTGAAGCGTATGTAAACTGAAGCGTATGTAACCCGAGGTACCACTGTACAGTGAGATTACACGAGCACCCCCCACTCAGCTCTCTTAGTCTTAATTCCCCTCATTTACTGATGCACACCCACCAAACCCGAAAGTCAGTTGCCCCGTTGTTATCTTTTCATTCAGCAGCCTAACAGCCCATGGATAGAAGCTGTTCTTTACCCTGTTGGTGCGACTAATCATGCTTCTATATCTTCTGCCTGAGGGCAGGAGATCAAGAAAGTGCTGGCCAGGGTGTGAATCATCTCTGAGAATTTTCCTCACTCTCCTGTGGCAACATTCTTCCGCTATTTCATCCAGCGGATTCACGGGACAGCCCATAGTATCTTGTGCTGTCTTCACCACCTTCTGTAGGCACTTCCTATCAGTTGATGTCAAACCAGCGTACCACACCGTGATGCAGTATGAAAGGTCAGAATATGCAGAAAGATCAGGCATATATAGGGATTAATTACCTGGTGGGGAACCTCTGGTTCCTGGGCTTAATCTGCCCCTCCAGCCCCTCCATTTCTAGCAAACTCCACCCACATGGGCCACCACTTGACGTCACCTGTCAATCCTTTTGATCCACCCTGCCACACTCCTACAATTGGGCTTTCCCTTTCACGTGCGCCATTCCCACTCACGTTTATATAAAAGAGTGCAGGTAAAAAGCATTTTTAACCCCACCCCACCCCCCCGCCTCTAGCCATGCCCACCATTCAAATATGGCCAGTTGGAAGGTTGGCCCAGAGTGAATCTGACCTACAGGCTTCCTTTGCAGAGAAGTTTAGAGATTTGGGCATACCTGCATCCTGGTCTTCACGACATCCAGTGGCGTGTTGCCAAAGACGCTGGCTGCACCTGCGATCGCCCCAAACAACCCAGTGACAAGCGGGTTGATGGCTTTATTTGGATTATCTCCTAGAAGGGGAAGGGGAAGGAAGATGAGGAGGAGGCATGTGAGGAAACAGAGCAGAAAACAAAGGTGTCAGGAGTCAACTCACTCTGAAATGGAAATCTGGCTTGAATTTAAAAAGTGCATGTTGTTGTTGTTGTTTGCATTTATCTCCCACCTTGTTCTCCAAGGAGCTCAAGGTGGCTCTCCCAATCCTTATTTAATTCCCACAACAACCTGCGAGGTAGTTTAGGCTGTGAGTGAGTGATGGGCCCAAGGTCAACCAGGGAGCTTCGTGGCCCAGTGGGGATTCGAATCCTTGTCTCCCAGGTCCTAGCCTGATACTCTAACCACTACAACACCCTGCATCTCATGACGATGATAATGTTGATAATACTAAATAAACTTTATTAGTTGCAATATTGCACTTTAGCGCCTCAAAGCGACTTACACAGCAAAAATAAAACAAAGACATTCAAACCAGCAACAAACTAAAAACTAAAACACTGATCTGAGAACCTTTTGCAAAGGAACAAGTCCCAGCCACCTTACTTAACAGATAAGCACAACAAAGGCCACAGATATCTCAACCTATCCCCCAATTAAAAACCGTATGCCTGGGTAAACAAGGATGTTTTCACCTGGCACCTAAAATGACACAACACTGGTGCCAGATGTGCTTCCCTGCAGAACAGGGAGCCAACACTGAAAAGGCCCCTTCTTCTACTGCCACTTTCGGCACTTACTTCACAGAGAGCGCATGAACAAGGGCCTCTGGTGATGGACTCAGTTTCTGATCTGATTCACGTGGGGAGCGGCAATGTTTGAGGTATTGGGAGCCACAAAAGTCTTGATAGGTCAAAACCAGCACTGAATCCCGAAAACTAATTGGCAGCCTGTTATTGGCACCACACTCGAACAAACTGATCTACTGTATTTATAGGAAACTGCAGTTTTTTTGTTATTTGTTTAAAGGTAGAGAACACTCAATCGACTCAAGAGCAGGGGAGAAGCACAGAGTTTATCTGGATCTAAAGACCTGCTTTTTGTTAAATGTGGGGTGTCCTCCCCACCACCACCACCCCTGAGTTAAGGGAATCTATTTTATTTTTAGAATAGCACTTTCTGCAAAGGTGGATTTAAAAATACAGGAAAAAATGAATAGGTGGGCATAATTTGTTTGGGTCTTGTGCTTGGCACTCAGCTATGCAACACTGAACAGGAAGCTGGGTGAACAGTGCCCCTTAGTGGCTCAGCTGCAAAGAACAGTATATTATTTACATGCTATTATTTTATATATGAAGGGATGCGGTTGGCGCTGTGGGTTAAACCACAGAGCTTAGGCCTTGCCGATTAGAAGGTCAGCGGTTCGAATCCCCGTGACGGGGTGAGTTCCCGTTGCTCGGTCCCTGCTCCTGCCATCCTTGCAATTCGAAAGCACATCAAGTGCAAGTAGATAAATAGGTACCGTTCCGGCAGAAAGGTAAACGGCGTTTCCGTGCTTTGCTCTGGTTCGCCAGAAGCGGCTTAGTCATGCTGGCCACAAGACCTGGAAGCTGTACACCGGCTCCCTTGGCCAATAAAGCGAGATGAGCGCCGCAACCCCAGAGTCGGCCATGACTGGACCTAATGGTCAGGGGTCCCTTTACCTTTATCTATTTTATATATAAAGCCACCCACTAACACTGTTCTTTGTTCCAGCATGTTGTCTACCATCTCCAACATGTCTGGTTTATGTTGATACTGTTGCCATATTTTACTGTTATACGTGTACATATGACCTAAAATGTTTAAACTCCTAAAAAAATAAAAATAAAATAAAAGACAAAACACTGTTCTCTAAGTGGCAAGCAGCATATAAAAACATCAAATTGAATGTTTCTGCCTTGCTGGGATGTGGTCCTTGAACCCTGCTCATGCCTCTTGCTTGTCTGGATGGAGGCTCGAGAAGGGGGTGCGTAGAAACTAGTCTACTATACAAAGGTGAACATTCACATTGGTTGTTCAGCATGCTTACGCCTCTGGCCCACTGCTGGCATGTGGCCTCTGAAAAGCTGCACAGCAGGGAATGTGGCCCTCAGGCTGAAAAATATCCTCCAGCCCTACTCCAGATACGTGGGACAGAAGCTGGTGACTGGCACCAGTGCATGCTGGGAAAAGAAAACCCAGGTGTCCGCTTGGATATTTCCGAGCACAATTCAAAGTGTTGGTGTTGACCTTTAAAGCCCTAAACAGCCTCGGCCCAGTGTACCTGAAGGAGCGTCTCCACCCCCATGGTTCTGCCCGGATGCTGAGGTCCAGCTCCGAGGGCCTTCTGGTGGTTCCCTCACTGCGAGGTTACAGGGAACCAGGCAGAGGGCCTTCTCGGTAGTGGCACCCACCCTGTGGAACGCCCTCCCATCAGATGTCAAAGAGATAAAAAACTACCAGACATTCAGAAGACATCTTAAGGCAGCCCTGTTCAGGGAAGTTTTTAATGATTGATGTTTTACTCTGTCTGATGGTTTAATCTGCTGAAAGCCACCAAGAGTGGCTGGGGCAAACCAGTCAGATGGGCAGCATATAATAATACTAATAAATAATGTGTGACATCTTAGTGTATTTTTGGTCTTTGTGGAAGCCACCCAGAGTGGCTGGGGAAACCCAGCCAGATGGGCGGGGTACAAATAATATATTATTATTATTATTATTATTATTATTATTATTATCCTTTTTGCCATAGCAAAAGCCTTGAGGTTAGAAGATCTGGGACACCGTTCAGATTACCGCCCAGAAGATGATATCTGAAAAGGTGAATTCCAAATACCTTTGTACCAATTCCTGAGAGCTGTCATAACGAAAAAGCGAATAGCCTGGTTGGATCCCTGTTTCAGGACAGTCGCTGTCAAACCTTGGTAAGTTCCCCTGAGGCCTGCAGAAAAAAAGGAAAAGAAGATCAGGAGGAAGAACTAGGCAGCAGGAAAACCAACACTGTTGTTTGTTTATGAAAATATTTATAAGTCACTGACTCATAAAGAAAATACCAGAGCCGTTCGCAACAACTGTACATAAAAGTCCTATGAAAAATTAAAATCAAGAATCAGCCAACTGTTGTGGAAAGAGATGTTATTCTTCATTGCTTGCATAAGCCCGACGGAATAGAAAAGATTTCTGCAGGCGTTTAAATGCTGAAACAGAAGGTGCCTGCTGAGTCTCTATTGGCAAGTGTGTTCCCATAAGGCTGGGCTCACGACACGAAAGCCTCAGTTCTGTGTTCTTGTCAAATAAGCCTTGCCAACTTGGGTAATGATAAAGAAGGCTCCAGCAGGTGATATCACAGTGACTTGACACATATGAGTTCAGGTGGCCGCTGAGGTACCCAGGGACTGAAGTTGTTTAAGGTAAAGGGACCCCTGACCATTAGGTCCAGTCGTGACCAACTCTGGGGTTGCGGCGCTCATCTCGCTTTACTGGCCGAGGGAGCCAGCGTACAGCTTCCGGGTCATGTGGCCAGCATGACTAAGCCGCTTCTGGCGAACCAGAGCAGCGCACAGAAACGCCGTTTACCTTCCCGCCAGAGCAGTACCTATTTATCTACTTGCACTTTGACGTGCTTTCGAACTGCTAGGTTGGCAGGAGCAGGGACCGAGCAACGGGAGCTCACACCGTCACGGGGATTTGAACCGCAACCTTCTGATCGGCAAGTCCTAGACTCTGTGGTTTAACCCACAACACCACCCGCGTTTAGGGCTCTGTAAAAGAATACAAGAACCTTGACCCTGGGCTTGGCGGTGGGTGGGCAGCCAGTTGCAGATGCAATGGATCAGTGTGCCTGACTGTTAGCCAGAATGTGGGTGGTTCAAGGCCACCTAGCAGTGGTTATGGGCAAGATTCCTGCATTGCAGGGGGTAGGAAATTGAACCCAGCTCTCCTAGGTCCTAATCCAGCAACCTAATCATTAAGTCACACTGGCTCTTAATTATTCCCCTTCATTTTATGGCCATTGGACCAGAAGTAGCAACAAGATCTGAAGGCTCATAGGTTCCCCATCCCTGATACAAGCAAAAGAGCATTCAAGAGACCCCAAACTGAGAGATCTGAAGCTTCACCTACTTCTGATTTGAAGGCAGACAGCTCCTTTCTCATTCCCAATTATGCAAACCCCCCAAGTTCTCCTTGCAAGGACGTCTCCCTGCTAACAAACACCAGGTCTCACCTTGTTGCCGAATGATCTCTCGCACCCCATGGAAGAAACCTCGATATTTTGGCTGCGGAGAGCACTGATCGTGGATGAACTTCACCTGTGGAGGAACAGCCACCAGGTCACTTACTGGCAAGTCAAGAGAGACTTCCCAACATCAAGAGAGATTTTTAAACTCACTCAGCCTCTTCTAGACTGGGTTGTTTTTGAAAGGGGCAGCTGCATTCTGTAGCCCATCACTCACACAACAATAGCACACAAGTGGTGGGGAAAAACTCCCGGAGAACTGTAGTTTGTTAATGGCGATGATGTTGTTTTAACCTCCACAACTTTTCACATGCACTCTAGTCTAAAGGCGGCAAGCTCCCATTTCTCTTTCTGTGTGGCAATTGGCATCAGGAAGATGAGCTTCTTTCTCCCAAGCCCAGATAACAAAGACGGCCAGACCACAGCTGTCAACTTTTCCCTTTTCTTGCGAGGAATCCTATTCTGAATAAGGGAATTTCCCTTTAAAAAATGGAAAAGTTGGCAGCTATGGGCCAGACCCAAAAAAGGAAGGAGATGGGTGGGAAATGCCCTTGCAATGTTTGCTGTTCACCACAAGGTGGGTTCCGATGTTAGGAAGTCCCTGATGCTCAACCTGATGTCAGCTTCACAAAAGATTCACACATCTTTTTCCCCCTTTGGGAGCTGTGTGGGAAACCGCCCCATGGAAAAAGCTGCCCGAGCATTTATTTTGCTGCAACTGCACGTCTTCAGAAGGTTGCTGTTCTGCCCTTTTCCAAACAGGTCATTCATTCGGTGTGTCTGTGTTTGTGTGTAGCAGCTTGAACAGTGTGTGAGGATGTGTGTGCAAGAAAGAGAGAGTGTGTCTTAAATAGGGAAGGGACGTCTTGCATGCAGAAGATCCCAGGATCAAGTCCCTGGCATCTCCAGCTGGGGCTAAGAAAGACCCTTGCCTGAAATCCTGGAGACCTGCTGCTGCCAGTCAGTGTAGACAATACTGTGGTATATTAGACCAATGGTCTGACTCAGCAGAAGGCAGCATGCTAGGCTGTGGGCTTCCCATGGCATCTAGTTAGCCACTGGAAGAACAGGATAATGGACTAAGATGGGCATATGCAGGCCAGCAAGGAACTTTTTAGCTCCTTAATCTCTCAGATTCTATCTTCAAGTATTCATCATCATCATCATCAATTAAATTTGTATAAGGGCGGATACAGCATAAAATCACAATATAGGAACACAAAATACATAATAAAAACTAAAACACTAAAACAACCCAATAAACCTGCCCCCCAGGTAGGAGACGGGAGTGTCAGAATCCCTAGAGAGCTATCTTTTCTTTGGCGATCACTCATAGCCGAGTAAGATTGTCTTCCATAAACACGGTTTTAACAGTGAGTCTGCAAATGACTGTGGAGGCCAATTCTGGATCCACACGTCCTTCCACAGTGGGGACATAGGTTTCTGGGTGGGAGTTGATCATGGTGTGGATTTGCCAAGCGTGCCTTCCTCTTAGCACGTTTCTCCCTTTTGTCCTGAGTTTGAGCATCTTCAAAGCCGCCTTTGGTAAAGGCTGTTCTCCAACTGGAGCGCTCGCAGGCCAGTGTTTCCCAGTTGTCAGTGTTTATACTACTTTTTTAAAATAGATTTGCCTTGAGACAGTCTTTAGACCTCTTTTGTTGACTCACCAGCACTACGCTATCCATTTTTAAGTTTGGAATAGAGTAGTTGCTTTGGAAGACAATAATCAGGCATCCGCACAACACGACCAGTCCAACGAAGTTGATGTTGAAGAATCATTGCTTCCACACTGGTGATCTTTGCTTCTTCCAGTACACCAGCATTAGATCACCAGCTATAGCCAGTCAGCAGTTTGTATCCTACTGAAATTAATGGACACAACAAACTTAGGTCCATTCATTTCAATGGGTCTGCTACGAGCAGGACTTAGTTTGGCACCACATGGTATCAACACCACTGAGATAGATCAACCAATGATCTCATTTGGGATAAGGGCAACTTCCTATTTGATGATTAAAAGGTAAAGGTAAAGGGATCCCTGACCATTAGGTCCAGTTGTGGCTGACTCTGGGGTTGCGGCGCTCATCTTGCTTTATTGGCCGAGGGAGCCGGCGTGGCACTGTGGTTTAAACCACAGAGCCTAGGACTTGCTGATCAGAAGGTCGGAGGTTCGAATCCCCGCGATGGGGTGAGCTCCTGTTGCTCGGTCCCTGCTCCTGCCAACCTAGCAGTTCGAAAGCACATCAAAGTACCTCCGGCGGGAAGGTAAACGGCGTTTCCGTGCACTGCTCTGGTTTGCCAGAAGTGGCTTAGTCATGCTGGCCACATGACCCAGAAGCTGTACGCCGGCTCCCTCAGCCAATAAAGCTTTTCAAGAACTTCTCCACAAAGCAGTTTACACAAACACACACACACATATTTATTTATTTGATGATTATTTCAGATAAATAAATATGTGTGTGTGTTTGTGTAAACTGCTTTGTGGAGAAGTTCTTGAAAAGTTGGATACACATTTAATCAACCCAAAAACAAACAAACAAAGAAATAAACACCACATTTTGTGTTTGTGTTTACTTTTATGGTTTCCATAGGGCACACCACAAGCACCGCTTCGGCCACGCCAGCCCCCAAGCCTGCCAGGAGCCCTCGTTTGCTGTCCAACTTCCCTTCTGCATCTCTCATGTGGTTGCTGAGGAATTCAAACATGCCAAACCTGGAAAGAGAAAGAAGGTGGCTCGTGAAAGCTGAGGAGCACGGCGGGTTGGGGAGAAGAGAACACGCTGCTCTTGCCATTATTATATTATTTATTCAATTTATTCATCATTCGCTGCTTTAAGGAGTCTCTGAGCAACTTAGCCCAAATTCCAGTATACATTTTGTATTTTAAAAAGTGACTAAGAAGTTCAATACAACAACTACTACTACTACTACTACTACTACTGAAATGAATAAAAATCCAAAAGTGATTACCTCACGGCGGCTTTCGGTATGGAACCATAAACCAGAGAGCTGAGGCCACGATAGAGTCCCTTGATCCCATGATCTCGGACGGTCACCTTCACACAGTCCGCTGAAACAGGAGAAAAAGAGTAACGTGACTGGGGAACGATTTATTGTTAATAATACTGCTTTCTACTTCAGCAAGAACATATGCCCAGCCCACACCAGAAATATATATTACCAGGTGGAGCGAAATAAATCCAGTGAAACAAATCCCTGCTTAACATATAGGCCTCATCTTCAGAAGTTTTATGCAGCCATGGCTTCTCCCAGAGAATTCTGGGAACTGTAGTTTGCTGAGAGCTGTTAGAAGACCCCATGTAATAAATAATTAATAATAATAATTTATATCCTGCCCATCTAGCTGGGTTTCCCCAGCCACTCTGGGCAGCTTCAAACAAAATATTAAAAAGGTAAAGGGACCCCTGACCATTAGGTCCAGTCGTGACCGACTCTTGGGTTGCAGCGTTCATCTGGCTTTATTGGCCGAGGGAGCCAGCGTACAGCTTCCGGGTCATGTGGCCAGCATGACTAAGCCACTTCTGGCGAACCAGAGCAGTGCACGGAAACGCCGTTTACCTTCCCGCCGGAGTGGTACCTATTTATCTACTTGCACTTTGACGTGCTTTCGAACTGCTAGGTGGGCAGGAGCAGGGACCGAGCAACGGGAGCTCACCCTGTCGCGGGGATTCGAACCGCCGACCTTCTGATCGGCAAGTCCTAGGCTCTGTGGTTTAACCCACAGTGCCACCCGTGTCCCTTCTAACAAAATATTAAGAATTAAATATTAAAATCTGCTCAGGGAACTATAACTCCCAGAATTCCCTGGGAAGAGGGGTTCCCTACACCACTCTGAGAATTGTAGGTCTGTGAGGGGAACGATCTCCTAATAACGCTCAGCAGCAATAGCAAACTATATTCCCCGGAATTATTTGGGGAAAGCCACAACTGTTTATAAAGTGGTTTCGTAGCGCTTTAAATGGATAGTGCAGATGGGGCCCAAATCCTATACCACAGATGGGGAAACGTGCGGCCCTCTGAGTTTTGCAAGACTACAGCTCCCATCATCCCTTAGTATTAGCCGGTCTAGCTGAGGCTGATGGGAGCTGGAGTTCACCAGCATCTGAAGGACCACGGATTCCCTTTCTCTGTCCTATACAAAACAACATGGAGGTCTGAAGAAAAATTGGTGTCTGCCTAAATAAGCAGAACTGGAACTAATAACCCTGAGAAGCTCACCAACTATGATTCCCTCAGCAGATGCCGGGCTAACATTATTATTTTTTAGGACAAATGTTCTGAGGCAGTTTAGCCACTGCTGAATTTCTCTTATTTTTAAAAAATGCTTTTCCTAGTCTAAAAAAAGCCAATTTTCCTGGGTCTGAACTCTCCTGCTTCTTGGTCCATAAACTTCAGCAAACAAGACAAATGACTGTTCCCCATTTTAATTTCTTCTGAGATTTTAAAACAAAGTATATATATATTTTTACCGGCAACAAATCCCCATCCACACGCAGCCTTGAAATAAATCTTGTCTAAACGTAGCTATTTCTTTCAGTCTCCTTGGAAGGGTTTGTCATCCCTAGACACTTATCATCAGCTATGTACTCTGTCTTTGCAATTAGATCTGGCTTTTCGCGAGGCCAAGATGAATAACAAGAATCAAACTGGGATTTTTTTTTTGCTGGGCCATAATTAAGAAAGATTCTCATCTCATCTCACTTCTGAAGACTGCGTGCAATGTGCCCTAAACAAGTTAGACATTCTGTACTCAAGGCAATCCAATTTCTGCGCTAAGGAGAGAAAAAAGAATTCTATTTCCTGAACCAATTCTTAAATCCACATAGGCCATTTTAGTAATTTATTGCATTTATAATCCGCCTTTCCTCCAAGGAGCTCAATGGTGGCGTACATGGTTGGAGCATGCTGCTGATAACGGCAAGGTTGCAGGTTCGATCCCCGCATGGGACGACTGCAAATTCCTGCATTGCAGGGGGTTGGACCAGATGACCACCCAGGGTCCCTTCCAACTCTGATTCTACGATTCCCCTCTTCATTTGATCCCCACAACAGCCTCGTAAGGCAGGTTATTTATTTATTAAACGTCATTTGAAGGACTCAGGGCGGTTCACAACAGAAAAATACAGGATGAAAATGCAAAAAGAATAGTTAAAAAACGAAAGAAAACACTCACCCACCCCGCCTTCCACAAACACATATATGCCTCCTTGAGCTCCTTGGATGAAGTAAAGGTAAAGGGACCCCTGACCATTAGGTCCAGTCGTGACCGACTCTGGGGTTGCGGTGCTCATCTCGCTTTATTGGCCGAGGGAGCCGGCGTACAGCTTCCAGGTCATGTGGCCAGCAAGACTAAGCCGCTTCTGGGGAACCAGAGCAGCGCATGGAAATGCCGTTTACCTTCCCGCCGGAGCGGTACCTATTTATCTACTTGCACTTTGACGTGCTTTCAAACTGCTAGGTTGGCAGGAGCAGGGACCGAGCAACGGGAGCTCACCCCGTCATGGGGATTCGAACCGCCGACCTTCTGATCGGCAAGTCTTAGGCTCTGTGGTTTAACCCACAGCGCCACTCGCGTCCCCCTTGGATGAAAGGTGGGTTTTAAATGTATACAGAAAATAAAACAAAAACGGGAAGGGAGAGTGGGCAGGAAAAAGGGCATACATTTATAATGCACTATTGAAAGCCATTTAAACAGTCGTGGCTTCCCCCAAAGGATTCTGGGAGCTGTGGTTTAAGGCTGCTGAGAGCTATTATTCCCTTCACAAATCCCGGAGCAGTTTAACAATCAATCCCTCCTCCCAGGGGACTCTGGGAAATGTAGTTCTGTAAGGGGAATAGGGGGGCCTCCCAACAACTCTCAGCACCTTCAGCATACTACAGCTCCCAGGATTCTCTGGAGGGAGCTGTGGCTGTTTAAAGTGGTACCGCAATGCTTTAGCTGTATGGTGTGGACATGGTAAAGGTAAAGAAGGTAAATGACCCCTGGACAGTTAAGTCCAGTCAAAGGCAACGATGCGGTTGCGGCACTCATCTTGCTTTCGGGCCGAGGGAGCCAGCGTTTGTCCACAGACAGCTTTCTGGGTCATGTGGCCAGCAGGACTAAACCACTTCTGGCACAACAGAACACCATAACGGAAACCAGAGCGCACAGAAACGCCATTTACCTTCCCGCCACAGCGGTACCTATTTATCTACAGTGGTGCCTCGCAAGACGAAATTAATCCGTTCCGCGAGAGTCTTCGTCTAGCGGTTTTTTCGTCTTGCGAAGCAACCCTATTAGCGGCTTAACGGATTAGCGCTATTAGCGGTTTAGCGGCTATTAAAGGCTTATAGGCTTATCGGATTAGCTGCTAAAAGGCTATTAAAGGCTTAGCGGCTTAGATAAAGGGGGGGAAAGCGGGAAAAAAATCTCAAGACTCGCAAGACATTTTCATCTTGCGAAGCAAACCCATAGGGAAATTCGTCCTGCGAAGCAACTCAAAAACGGAAAACCCTTTCGTCTAGCGGGTTTTCCGTCTTGCGAGGCATTCGTCTTGCGGGGCACCACTGTACTTGCACTGGCATGCTTTCAAACTGCTAGGTTGGCAGGAGCTGGGACAGAGCAATGGTAGTGGCACGCGCCCTGTGAAACACCCTCCCATCAGATGTCAAGGAAATAAACAACTCTCTGACTTTTAGAAGACATCTGGAGGCAGCCCTGTTTAGGGAAGTTTTTAATGTTTGATGTTTTATTGTGTTCTTAATATTCTGTTGGGAGCCGCCCAGAGTGGCTGGGGAAACCCAGCCAGATGGGTGGGGTATAAATAATTAACAACAACAACAACAACTGTTGCAGGGATCCGATCCACCAACCTTCCAATTGGCAAGCCCAAGAGGCTCAGTGGTTTAGACCACAGCTAGGTGAACAAAGGGGACGCGGGTGGCGCTATGGGTTAAATCACAGAGCCTAGGGCTTGCCGATCAGAAGGTCGGTGGTTCGAATCCCCACGATGGGGTGAGCTCCCGTTGCTCGGTCCCTGCTCCTTCCAACTTAGTAGTTTGAAAGCATGCCAAAAGTGAAAGTAGATAAACAGGTTCCGCTGTGGCAGGAAGGTAAACGGCGTTTCCATGCGCTGCTCTGATTCGCCAGAAGCGGCTTAGTCATGCTGGCCACATGACCCGGAAACTGTACGCCGGCTCCCTCGGCCAATAAAGCGAGATGAGCGCCGCAACCCCAGAGTCGGCCACAACTGGACCTAATGGTCAGGGGTTCCCTTCACCTTTAGATGGACAAAGAGTCTGACCTGATATAAACTAGCTTCTACTGCTTCAGTCCACTAGCTCTCTGCAGGGTGGTCAAGGTCGGCCCTGCGGAGAGTTTGCAAAACAGGCCACGTCAGGCCGAAAACTCTGCAGCCTCTCCTGTGATGACCTACAAGGGGAGCTGAGTGTTTATCCTGCCAAATCAGAACTGCTCCGTATCCTTGGCTACCCTCGAGCCCTTGCTTTTAAATCGTGTGTTTCTGGCTACGTCAGAAGGACAGGGAGGGAAGATGGAACATGAAGAGCAGCGGGAAACCAGAACAGCACAAAGCCCACTTCAACGACCCCTTTTGTCCATGCACGAATTTAACGTGGGCACACAGCTCTTCCCGCACGACTCTCCCTTTCCTTGCCATGGCTCCGGATTGCAAGCAGCCCCTGTGCTGCTGCTACCTGCAGAGTGACGCCGGTGCCAAGCCGCTAAGGGGGTTCTACAGCACAGCGTGTCTCATCGGTTGCAAATCCGGCACGCTCCAGCCAGGCTGGAACGCCGCCAACCTCCTTAGCGAGTCAGCCGGGCAAACAGGCTAGGCGATGAGTCATCAAGCCACTGCCTGCAGCAGACGAGGTCCCCAGTCACTCCTTTCCTTCTTGCTATCGTATGGTAGAACGGTCAGAGCTCAAGGCTATATTAAGGGGGGGGTGAGGGGGCATCCGTCAGGCTCAACTGAGCGGCTACATTGCACGCCACTAGTGAACGCTGCAAGGGACAGGGTGGTCCTGAAGGGCTTTGTTTCCTTGGGCTGGATAAATAAGGGAGGGGGTGGAAACCCCCCCCCCACACACACACCATGACCTGCGGCGTCCAATAAGGAAATTTTGTCCGTGGTATGATTATTTTCCACCTAGTCATTTTGGCACTTTGGCACCCTATTTGCAAAATGTAAACAATTCCAAAATACAGGCACGCCTTCGCAAGATTCAGTTGTACTTGAGGGTCGATTTCCCAAAAAAATCCACTGGAAAAAAGGTTGTGTCCCTATGGAGATGGCAGTATTGAGTCAGTGGCTCATGTGCTTCTGGATTGCACTCTTTATAAAGATTTGAGGATTAAGGTTATTAAAAAGGTAAAGGTAAAGGGACCCCTGACCATTAGGTCCAGTCGTGACCGACTCTGGAGTTGCAAGATTCGGTTGTACTTGAGGGTCGTTTTCAAAAAAAAAAAACCCAATGGAAAAAAGGTTGTGTCCCTATGGATATGACAATACAGTGGTACCTTGGGTTAAGTACTTAATTTGTTCCGGAGGTCCGTTCTTAATGGAAAAGCTATTTACCTTCCTGCCGATCTACTTGCACTTTGGTGTGCTTTCGAACTGCTAGGTTGGCAGGAGCAGGGGCCGAGCAACGGGAGCTCACCCCGTGGCGGGGATTCGAACCGCCGACCTTCTGATCGGCAAGTCCTAGGCTCTGTGGTTTAACCCACAGCGCCTCCCGCGTCCACTTGAAGGGCTGCATGAAGCTAGTACATATCCCTGCTCAAAACCCCAATATTTAATTGTTTAAATAACCAAGTAAATAACCACACATTCATCCACCTGCAAAATGTGGCTCTTCTCCTATGGCACCTCTCTGAACAGCCTGGCCAGAGTCATGTTTCGGTTTGCTTGCGGGAATCGGTTTGGAGCAGACAACGGACACTGAGAGATCTAGTGGGTTTCAGTCCTGCTGCCTGGTGAAGACTTACCAATTCCTTTGTAGCGGGGCGGGTTTGCTTTCTCATCCAGCTGAAGCTGCGTTTTCACATACTCTGTGGGGAATGTAATGCAAATCTCAATGCCGCCAGCGATGCCACCTAGGGGAAAAAATAAAGCAAAGCAAAATAAAAACAACCCCCCATTTCCAAAAGAATTGCATCAACACTCTTTTCGCCTTCTCCCTGGGTGAGCATACCTTTGTCATGGAAATTCTACTCAATATTCATCCAGAGTAGATTCCAACATATAGTTAGCAGAGTAAAAACTTAAAACACATTGCGGGATTCCCAAAATATAGACCAGAGGCAATTGTATTTCATCCAGCAGAGACCAATGGTGTCTCTTTTTTGGAAATAAATTTGTATTTGATTTTCAAACATATAAACAAATCAATTCCAAATCCAAATGTCGAGATTACTCTTAATCTCCTGACTCCCCCCCCCCCAAATCCCTTCCGTGGTCCTATTGTTACTATTTTCCACTGCATATCAATACTACTCCAATTTTTAGTCTTTCTAAATTATCCGTACATTACAAGTATGTTTAAAATCCTGCTAATGTTTTAACCTGCTTACAATGATCTTGTATATAAATTATACACTTTCCCCATTCTTTTTTTAAAGATCTTGTCATCTTGGCTCCTGAGCTCCCCAGTAACCACAGTGGTGTCAAAGTGCCACCATTGTATGATAAAGAATTGGAAATCGCATCCATGGCCAAGTTCGCAAAATATTTGAGAATATAAACCAAGACGATATGGTTTTGCAAGGACATAACATAAGAAGAGCCCAGCTGGATCAGGCCAAAGGCCCATCTAGTCTGGTATCCCGTCCTGGCGGTGGAAAATCAGATGTAGAAAACACTGAGAAGTTCAAACACTCCCACATTAAATGAATAAGGCAATATTGGGTTCAGCTGAATACTTCCTGAAGGTAGCAATACCCAATCTGGGATATCCCATTGGAAACTGCAAGTGGGTGATCAACATAATGGACTCCTCCCCCATAACAATAACAATAACAATAACAACAACAACAACAAAAATTATGCACACAGAAATCTAGCATGTCGGGGAGACTGCTAGGCTAGAACTCTTTTCTGTGACAACCCTTTTCTTGAAACTTCTGTGAAGGAACACTCAGTCCTCTCAACCCTCACATTTATTTATTGATACAGTGGAAGCTTAATTGTTGAACGTAATCCATTCTGGAAGACCGTTTGACTTCCGAAATGTTCAACAACCGAGGTGCAATGGGTGGTTGGAAAATTCAATTGAGAAAACTGAGAAATGCGCCTCAGAAGCCATTCAACTTCCAAGGCGCGTTTGAAAACGGAAGCAATTACTTCCGGGTTTTCGGCGTTCAAAAACTGAAACGTCCGGCTTCTGAGACACTCAAAAACTGAGATCCCACTGTATTTACGTTTATATCCCACCTTTCCTCTTCTTCTTCATTTTATACTCACAAGAACCCTTTGAGGTAGGTTAGGCTGAGAGAAAGTGACTGGCCTGAGGAGACCCTGTGAGCTTCAGCGCTTATTGTTTTTAGGAGACCCCTAGTTCTCTCACAGAGCTACAATTCCCCAGAGTTTCCCCTGAAGGGGGATTGACTCTTATGTCACTCTGGGAACCGCACTGTGGTTGGAAATAAAAAAGGATCCCTCATTCATTTTATAGGCTTCCCGTGTGCATTAATCCTCATTAGTTGCAGAACACTTAATGAGACAGATGTTGTAAGCTGCTGCCAGGCATTTTCTATCCTTTGTGATCAGCTATCATTTCAGCCGCCTCTAACCTAACCCAACCTCTCCCCTGCTCAAAACTTCCAGATTTCGCAAGCAAACATCAGATAGGATTGCAAAACGCATTAGCCAAGAATATCATCCTGTAGTGACATGGAGAAAGAGAGTGGTTGTCTAGAGAATGGATGGCGGCTAACAGATTGAGGTTGAATCCTGACAAGACAGAAGTACTGTTTTTGGGGGACAGGGGGTGGGCAGGTGTGGAGTACTCCCTGGTCCTGAATGGGGTAACTGTGCCCCTGAAGGACCAGGTGCGCAGACTGGGAGTCATTTTGGACTCACAGCTGTCCATGGAGGCGCAGGTTAATTCTGTGTCCAGGGCAGCTTTCTACTACCTCCATCTGGTACGCAGGCTGAGACCCTACCTGCCCGCGGACTGTCTTGCCAGAGTGGTGCATGCTCTGGTTATCTCCCGCTTGGACTATGCAATGCTCTCTATGTGGGGCTACCTTTGAAGGTGACCCGGAAACTGCAATTAATCCAGAATGCGGCAGCTAGACTGGTGACTGGGAGTGGCCGCCAAGGCCATAGAACACCGGTCCTGAAAGACCTACATTGGCTCCCAGTACATTTCCGAGCACAATTCAAAGTGTTGGTGCTGACCTTTAAAGCCCTAAACGGCCTCGGTCCAGTATACCTGAAGGAGTGTTTCCACCCCCATTGTTCAGCCCGGACACTGAGGTCAAAATCTGAGGGCCTTCTGGCGGTTCCCTCACTGTGAGATGTGAGGTTACAGGGAACCAGGCAGAGGGCCTTCTTGGTAGTGGTGCCTGCCCTGTGGAACACCCTCCCACCAGATGTCAAGGAAATAAACAACTATCTGACTTTTAGAAGACATCTGAAGGCAGCCCTGTTCAGGAAAGTTGTTAATGTTTGAAAGTTTCTTCTGTGTTCTGTTGGAAGCCGCCCAGACTGGCAGGGGAAACCCAGATGGGCGGGGTATAAATAATAAATTATTATTATTATTATTTCGTCCAAGACTGGCCCAGTGAGCTCCATGGCTGCGTGCGGATTTGAATCCGGCTCTTTTGCCACCCCAAGTGCAAAACTCTGACTGCTAGACCCCATTGGTTCTCAGCAGCAAGAAAACAGCTCTCCTCATAACTTTTAGCACAGTCATGTTCCAAAAATCAGGCGCGTCCGGCAGCCTATGCATGTGAACAGCTTTGATGTGCTATATTTGTAATCTCCAGCTGGTCGGCCCCCACACAGAGACCTTCCTGAAACCTGACCTCCCTCTGTGGCTATGGAAATCCGCCTTCACGTCCTGACCCTGTCAACTGGCCGAGTCATTCTTTCCTCTACTATCATTCACCAAAAGGAACACACCACCCAAGCATGACTCAGGCATTTGCCCGTTGCCATTGGCTGGGACAGGAGCATGCCCAGTCAACGCCCAGGCCAGGAAATTAGGAGGAAACAGGATCTGCATCAGCTGAGCAGGCTTTCAGGTCTCACGATGATGACAAAGCTGTCGGTGGGCCCGCAAGGGGGAAATATTCCATGCATGCTGAAAATTCGATTAAATGAGGAATTGGCCCCCGGGACTGGCTTTCAGCACTGAAAGCACCACAGATTGTTCCTGCGCCAGACTTTGAGAGATGGCCCACACAACCGCTGAAAGATTTTTAACAGGGGAGGGTGGGTGGAAAAATTACAGAACTGCCGAGTTGGAAGGGATCATGCGGTCATCTAGTCCAACCCCCTGCAATGCAGGAATCTTTTGCCCAATGTGGATCTGGCGTAGGACACCTAACAATTAGCTTCACCTAAACTTAGATCCCCCCGGTCTAATGTCCCTAGTGCTGCAAGATTGTCACAAGAGCGCCTGGACTAAAACCGTCTATCAAAAACTTCACCCTTGTGGTTTATCACCACAACAGCTACTCACTTTGGGTTTTAGTAAAGCAAACAGTCTAATTTGCCCACGCCTAAATGGTATCGAGCGTCAGAACAACTTGGCCACAATAAGGAAATTTTGCCCATGGTATGACTATTTTGCGCCTTCCCATTTCGACTCTCTGGCACCCTCTCTGCATCACCTAGGAATTCCAAAATATAGACATGCTTTTACTCTCTCAAGATTTAATGTATTGCCCTTGGCTGTACTTGAGGTACGATTCCTACAGATTCCACACAAAAAACGCTTGTGTCCCTGTGGAGATGGCAGTACTGAATTGGTGGCACATGTCCTGCTGGCTTGCGCTCTTTATAAAGACTTGAGGAATGAGATTATCACCCCTCTTTTATTGTCCATTCCGGGTCGCCCAGCCACTGCCACAGTGTCCGTTCTCTTGGCAGATCAAGATGAGCAGGTGACAGCAAAGGTTGCAAGGTTTTTAGCTGGGGCAATCAGAATAAGATCCACTGCTTGACTATTGATTCAAAACTCTAAAATGTATTTAATATAATTGACTTTTTATTTCTATTCTTTGTATATTGTACAGTTGTTTTATTGCTATGGCTGACGCAAATAAAGATTCATTCATTCCTCATTCCTTTGCCCAATGTGAGTCTCGAATCCAAGAGCCTGAGATTCCGTGTCTCATGCTCTTCCAGCTGATCTATCCCAGAGATGGCCCGTTTACAGAAATGAGAATTTCAGGTAGCTAAGGATGGCAGAAAGAGGCTCCCATCTGAATATTCAAAACAGCATCATACCACTTCAAACAGCCACAGCCTCCCTCCAAGAACCCTGGGAACTGTAGAGTTTTGTCCAGGGCACTAAAAGTTGTTGGGAGATCACCCAGTCCCAATACAGACCTACAATTTCCACAGAAATGGAAACCACGCTGTGAATTTTAGCTCTGTGAAGGGGACAGGGGATTGCATGCCAAATTTCTGCACTCTGAACAAACCACATTTCCCAGAATCCTGGCACAAGCATGGAAATGCAAGCGAGATCGCTTTTAATTTATTTACAATATTCGCACGCCGCTTAACGTGTGAAATCCCTAAGCTGTTTACACAAAACACAACACCATCATTTAAAAAATGGAAAAGGAGGGGGAGCCCACCGTGCCCCAGGACAATTTTTATTATTTATGATTCACCCAATTAAAAGAACTATTATTACGTTAATTTATATATACAGTGGTACCTCAGGTTACATACGCTTCAGGTTACAAATGCTTCAGGTTACAGACTCCGCTAACCCTGAAATAGTACCTCGGGTTAAGAACTTTGCTTCAGGATGAGAACAGAAATTGTGCTCCAGCGGGAGGCCCCATTAGCTAAAGTGGTGCTTCAGGTTAAGAACAGTTCCAGGTTAAGAACGGACCTCCAGAACGAATTAAGTACTTAACCCGAGGTACCACTGTATATATATTGATTCATAATTGAAAGAAATCTCTGAACGACACCCAAAAATTATCGCAGAACAAAGTCAAATGCAAAAAAGAAAAAGAAAAAAATTGCAGGAGCACAGAACAGGAATGATAACAATATTTAATTTTTCAAAAGTCTTTAAACCGGGCAGCACTTTAAAAGGACGATGGTCCCCTGTGAATTAGGCCAGCTAGCTGCCCTAACCTTAAATCTGAGCTGAATGGAACGTGTTGTTGTTTTTTAGAGCAACAAGATTTCAAGGCGCCTCTCACTAGAGAGATTTTCTACAGGGCAGGGACTGAATCAAGTCTATTTGAATGCTTGTTTCTGGCCGCTTATCCTGTTACCTGATAAACTAGTTCTGGGTGCACTCAGAATAAAACAGCAGCCATTCCTCCTCCAGATTCTTCTCACGCCCCCCAAGCCTGGGAGCTCTCTCATCTCCTTGACCTGGTCTAGCAAAAGATTACGCCTGCTTTCAAAAGGGTCTTCCATTCTTAAAAAGGCAACAGGGCTCCAAAGTGAGGCCTCTCTATTATTTTCGGGTTGGGGGAAAACCCCCCCGCATTGATCCAACTTGGCCCTTGTTCCCGCCGTCTGACGGAGGGAAATATAAAAGGCTGGACTTTGGGAGTTTGCCAGCTCCGTTACTTCTCACAACATAGAAGCAAGATTCTTCAAACCCTCAAATACGGTGCTAGAAACCCAAATATATAAAGCTTATCGTCAAATGGCACATTAAACCTAGGTTACGGTCGCCACAATGGAATGGTCTAGCCACCCTTTTATTTAATTTTTTTGCAGTGAAATTTATAATAATAATTGTTATTATTATTATTCCTTTCATTTCTAGACAGCTTTGTATTTTAAGGGGGGGGGGAATCTCAAAACGGTTTGCAACACATTAAAACAACCAACATAACAATGCAAAGTAAAACCAATTCAAGTCTAACAATGTTCCAATAATATCTCAAGGGAACCATGTTTGCTACCCCTGTCCTGTGCCATTTTTTCCAATGAAGTCTATTATTATTATAGTCATTATTACTTCATTCCTATACCACTTTATATTTTAAAGAACAAACCTCAAAGCACATTAAAACATCAAATAAAACAATCCAGAATAGAAACAATTTCAAGCTTCTAGGAAAATATTTCAGATCCTTCTCTAAGTGACGTTTTGCTTTCCACATATTTATCGGCCTACTTTATACAGCTGCCCCATAGCAGAAGTATTCTGGGAAGGCAGTGTGGGATAGCGGTTAGAGTGTCAGACTAGGACCTGGGAGCTGAGGGTTCAAATCCCCACTCGGTCATGAAGCTCCCTGGGTGAACCATGGAGTCAGTCTCAGCCTCCTGGCCTATCTCACAGGGTCGTTGCAGCAATTAACTGAGGAAGGAGGTGAGGAACCACGGGCTCCTTGTCGAAAAAGGTGGATTAAAGATGCACTAAATTAGCTTTTCTGCTTAAGAAAGCTGGAGGCGCCAGTCAGATGGAGATGTCGATCACGAACCCAGCATCCAGAGATCTCCACGTGGTCGCAGTTGGACCCATGTCTCTCTCTTTTAATCTTTCTTCTATCTCTCTTTCTTTCCCTCCCCTTCTTTTTTCTTTCTTTCCCTCTGGATCTATGTATTTATTTTATCTAGGTTAGTGTTTTAGTCTGGAGAACAAAAAGATATTTGATAATAATCTTTGTAGTGATGTATGGAAGCGAGAGCTGGACCATCAAGAAGGCTGATCACCGAAGAATTGATGCTTTTGAATTATGGTGCTGGAAGAGACTCTTGAGAGTCCCATGGACTGCAAGAAGATCAAACCTATCCATTCTGAAGGAAATCAGCCCTGAGTGCTCACTGGAAGGACAGATCCTGAAGCTGAGGCTCCAATACTTTGGCCACCTCATGAGAAGAGAAGACTCCCTGGAAAAGACCCTGATGTTGGGAAAGATGGAGGGCACAAGGAGAAGGGGACGACAGAGGACGAGGTGGTTGGACAGTGTTCTCAAAGCTACCAACATGAGTTTAACCAAACTGCGGGAGGCAGTGGAAGACAGGAGCGCCTGGCATGCTCTGGTCCAGGGGGTCACGAAGAGTCGGACACGACTAAATGGCTATACAGCAACAACAATAAAATCTAATAAAAATTATCCTCTCCCCATAGCTGCCAAGTGTCCCTTATTTGAAGGGACAGTCCCTTATTCCAGCGCCATGTCCCTTATTGATGGATGTCCCTTAAATGTCCCTTAAATGATTTCCCTTAAATCTCAAAGGAAGCAGCTCCTCTCCCTCCCTCCCTGCCGGCCAGGGAGGAGGGAGGCTCCAACTGTGTTGCTTGGCTGTGTTGCTCACCCAATAAGAAGTCTAAGAACGACTGGGGGGTGGAGCTTGCATGCCTCGTGCATGGCTAGTTAATGCAAGCTGAAGGGGTTTTTGAATGTTGGATGCCATTTTGTTGCACGTGCTGCTGCAAACTTTGCAGTGCAAAGCCAGGCCGGGGAGCCATCCTAAGTTGAGGCTGCATAGGCCTTGTGGTGCATGTGATTCAGATTCTATTCAGTTGAACCTCTGGTTACAAAGTTGGTTGGACAGTGTTCTCGAAGCTACCAGCATGAGTTTGACCAGACTGCAGGAGGACAGGAAGACTGGAGTGCCTGGAACAGGTGAGGCTGCAGGTCCCTTATTTTGGCTGCTGGTCCCTTATTTTCAAGGCTGCTGGTCCCTTATTTTCAAATCTGTAAGTTGACAGCTATGCCTCTCCCTCCCAAAAGAACATCCCTACTACAAGCCTTGAAATATCCCCGTCTGTTACTCTGGAGAGCTGTTGCCAGTACTGAGCTGGACTCCCTCTCATGTTCCTATTTAATTTGGTCCTTTTGTCCCATGAGGACTAGAATCTTTCTCTAGCTCTTTTTTAAGGGGAAAGGCCACTTAACATTCTGCTCAGGCTGACACATGAGAATGTGTGTGCCCCAGGCCGACCTAAGCACTGCTTGGCTGAAACAATGGGTGGTTTTGACTTTAAGCCGCTAAATCTTTCCCTATTGTGTTGCTGTCCTCCAGGGCTGCTGTTCAGCAACTCTCGGCTCCCCCAAGAAAGAAACCGCTGAACCCTGCCTTGCACAGAGTGGGCTGAACAAAAGGATCTTTCTTCAGGCTGACTCTTTGGGATGCAATACCCCAGGAAGCCCGAAACTCAACTATGGCAACACAGCCCAGCCTTGAGCAAATGCTTCTTGCAACAGAGCTCTATCCCAGTTCAGTAAATCTTAGTTCAAATCCCAGACTGATGAGTGCGAGTGGTCTGAATATGTGGATTCCAGGACCACAGTTCACTCCATCTTCGACTGGCTGTATATGCACAACCGGAGAAGTGCTTATTTATTTATTTTTACTTTGGTAACCAAAGGAGAACGTAGGCACAGACTAGGCAGAAGTGCTTAAAGGATTAAAAATCCTAGGAATATCACAATACAGTGGTACCTCGGGTTACATACGCTTCAGGTTACAGACTCCGCTAACCCAGAAATAGTACCTCGGGTTAAGAACTTTGCTTCAGGATAAGAACAGAAATCGTGCTCCGGTGGAGCGGCGGCAGCAGGAGGCCCCATTAGCTAAAGTGGTGCTTCAGGTTAAGAACAGTTTCAGGTTAAGAACGGACCTCCGGAACGAATTAAGCACTTAATCTGAGATACCACTGTATACTAATATATCGCAATGCCTTTTCCTGCATTGTGATTTTTGCCGGCGCCTGCTCTTGTGGTTCACTGCCCCCCCCCCTTCGTGAGGCTGGGGAAAGCTGATCCGGTTGAGTTAACAGGGGCTGCAGGAATCGAGAGAAGCATTAGCTGGCTTCGTGGTTTTCCCCATGTTGTAATTTTTGCACAGCGCACGCACACAGGACTCAGCTACATTAGTCAAAAAACAATGTTTAGAATGTGTTATAAACATGCAACACCAGGTGGCGCTGCAGAGCAGAAAATTTTTCTATGCGATTTTACATAGTTTTTTTCTTTTTCTTTCGTTATAATGATTTAATTTATGACTTATTTATAGCGGGGGGGTTTTCCCCCTGTGTGTGGGGTTTTCACCCATCGTGATTTGTGATCAATAGCCAGGTCAGAAATTATGAAACCGGTATGACTATATGGACTTCAAACTGCTTTTGGATGGTATTATTGATATATCGCCCAGTTATTTAGCACCTGCTTAAAATATTTTGTGTAGGGATGGAGCCAAAGATCACCTTGAGAATAAATCAAGAGCCAAGAACAATTGTTGCCCCAGCCTGTATAACAAAGGTAGGGAATCTATGGCGTTCCAGATGCTATTGGTCTCTTAACTACCATCCGCCCCAACCTGTATGGCCAGCACTCAGGGCTGTGTTAGCAAAGTCAATTAAACAGCATAGATGGAGTCCAGAAAAAGAGGAATGTGTGTTCTCCACAAACTGAACAAAAATATTTTATTATTTGAGGAGAAAGGGAGAAATATCGTCTGCCTTACCTTCAGGCCTTACACATAGCAGGCAGACAGGCAATCAAATATACAGAGGGAAAACTCCCTCAGAACGACATAGCCAATCACGTGCTGCCTCAGTGAATATCGTGCTGCTCAGCTTGGTTGCTAAGCAACGCTTCAACCAGTTCCCACCTTTGGGCTAGCTGACTTTAGCACTAACAGAATTAAACTGAATGGTCCCTGCTACACTTCCAACAAGATGATGGGAGCTGGGTCTCCAGCACTAGCTTGGGGGGGTGGGGTTTAGGTTCCCCATTCCTTCTGCACAGGAACCTTTTAGATTACTTCCTAGAAAGCGGAGAAAACCACCAGAACTGACATTTTATATTTCTTTTAGAGATGAGCAGGTTTCCAACAATAATATTTAATTTTTGAATCTTATTTTTTCTATCTTTATCTTTCAACCTTTCTTTTCTTTTCTTCTTTCTTTCTTTCTTTCTTTCTTTCTCTCTTTCTCCTTCCCTCCTTCTATTCCTTTCTCTCTCCCACCCCTCCTTTTATGTTTTATTGTATCTAGATCAGTGGTTCCCAACCTTTTTTGGCCATGCACCATCTAAGCATCTCTAAAATCCTGACGCTCCCCCCCGTGACATATAATTCTTATTATTCAAAAAGTGAACTCCTAGTCACATGGAGGAAGCCTAAAAGGCCATTCACTGTTAATAACTCATTCTCGAATTGCCCCCCTTAAAAATCAAATTGCTCCCCTTAAAATCAAATTGTGGGGTCTGTGCCCCACATTGGGAACCACAGATCTGGATCAAAATCTTTGTTTGGGTAAAAAAAGAGAAAGATATTAAGTTTTGTATTTTTCTCCATAAACCTTAATCAAATAATCGATTGAAAACCAGCAGGAGTGGTGGCGGCGGCTGTAAATCTGACAAATAAAATAACTGCAAGGAGTAGAAATCTTGTGGACTTCAAAATAAGCAAGCTTCCCCCAAAATAGAGGGGAGAGGAGAGTTAGGCCCCCAGGTCCTCTCAGCTGAAAACTGGCTTGTTCAAATCTCAGCTGTGTAAGCAGGGAGCTTTGAGTAGGTGAAAAGCCGTCCCTTCCTTCAAGCAAGGGATTATACATGATTCAGCTGGGCTCTGTGCCCGCCACTCGGAAGACTCTTAGCATAACTGCGGCACCTTGCCCCTCGCGCGCGGAGGAAAGGTTCTTCTGAAGTGCCAAGATTTGGCAATCGTTTTCCAGCTGGCAAATCTGCCGTGTGAACTTGGAAACAACCAGCGCAGGGGAAGCGATTCCCATGCAGAGACTTCAGCCCCAGTTTTCAAAGCCTGCCTCTGCAGTCATGAGAGCTAGCAGAATGGATATATTTTATTTTATTTTATTTTATTTTTATTTTTATTTTATTATTTTATTATTTTATATTATTATTATTATTATTATTATTATTATTATTATTATTATTAATTATATTTTATTTTTAAAAAGTGGTGGCCAAGAGCAACTCGCAAGGAATACGTCTCAGAGGACACCAGAATTTTCGTGGAGAAGTCCATGAAATGGCAAAAATTTACTTAAGAGAACACTGTAAACAGCTAAAAACTTTGGGCAGGATTTGAGTCACGCTTGTAATGTACTAAAAACTAAGGTAAAAATGGATGATTTAAGAAAAACAGAGAAAATATGTAATGCAGTTGAAAAAGATTGAACATGGAAACCATGGAAGGGTGGAAGGGATCTAAGAAGTAAGGGAATCCTAAATGCTGATGGTGATGTCTAATGTTTGAATTTAAATGTGTAGTGTAAAACTGAATAAAAAAAGATTGTACCAGAATTTTCATGGAGAAAACCACTTCCTTGCCTCCAACATTTCCTGCTTCTTGTTGTTGTTGTTGTTTAGTTGTTTAGTCGTGTCCGACTCTTCGTGACCCCATGGACCAGAGCACGCCAGGCACTCCTGTCTTCCACTGCCTCCCGCAGTTTAGTCAAGCTCATGCTGGTAGCTTCGAGAACAGTATCCAACCATCTCGTCCTCTGTCGTCCCCTTCTCCTTGTGCCCTCCATCTTTCCCAACATTTCCAGGGCGTCTTCTCTTCTCATGAGGTGGCCAAAGTATTGGAGTCTCAGCTTCAGGATCTGTCCTTCCAGTGAGCACTCAGGGCCGATTTCCTTAAGAATGGATAGGTTTGATCTTCTTGCAGTCCATGGGACTCTCAAGAGTCTCCTCCAGCACCATAATTCAAAAGCATCAATTCTTCGGCGATCAGCCTAATTTATGGTCCAGCTCTCACTTCCATACATCACTACTGGGAAAAGCATAGCTTTCACTATACGGACCTTCGTGGGCAAGGTGATGTGTCTGATTTTTAAGATGCTGTCTAGGTTTGCCATCGCTTTTCTCCCAAGAAGCAGGCGTCTTTTAATTTCGTGACTGCTGTCACCACCTGCAGTGATCTAACTATCCACAAAAAACCCAAGTGGGAAGGTTTGGTCCACTAACGCAGCAGTAGAGGAATATTTTTTGCAGCTCAGGGGCCACATCGCTTCTCAGCAAGCATCCGGGGGCCGAATACAAGTGATGGGCGGGAGACAAAAGTGATCAGAGCAATTACTGTTAATTTTTTAAACTTTAAAGTGTAGGATCATTTCTACACCATCACACATCTCAAGGGAAAATGGAGCAGAATGTCAAGGGCCAGACCAGAGGTCTGGAGGGCCGCCTTTGAAACAGTAGGACATGTTCTGAAATGTGATTGGCAGAGGAGACGGGCAGAGGGGGACTGACCCCCTGGCCTTTCATGATGTTTCCACCTGAAATGACTATTATGGAGGGGGTCATGATTTGGCTAAAACCGGTGTGTGTGTGTGGTGGACCCAGAGGTTAGGTCTGGAATGAGCCCGTGGTTTCAAAAACTCAGCTAAAAATAAAACAATGGCGAGAGTTTCTCCCCGAAAGGCATCAGTATTAATGGGAAAGTTTAAATGAGAATTATTGTTTAAGGCAGGGGTAGGCAAACTAAGGCCCCGGGGCCGGATGCGGCCCAATCGCCTTCTCAATCCGGCCCACGGACGGTCTGGGATTCAGTGTGTTTTGACATGAGTAGAATGTGTCCTTTGATTTAACATGCATCTCTGGGTTATTTGTGGGGCATAGGAATTCGTGCATTTCCCCCCGGAAAATAATAATAATAATAATAATAATAATAATAATAATAATAATAATAATTTGTTATTTATACCCCGCCCATCTGGCTGAGTTTCCCCAGCCACTCTGGGCAGCTCCCAATCAAGTGTTAAAAACAATACAGCATTAAATATTAAAAACTTCCCTGAACAGGGCTGCCTTCAGATGTCTTTTAAAGAGAAGATAGCTGCTTATTTCCTTCACATCTGAAGGGAGGGTGTTCCACAGGGCGGGTGCCACTACTGAGAAGGCCCTCTGTCTGGTTCCCTGTAACCTCACTTCTCGCAATGAGGGAACCGCCAGAAGGCCCTCGGCGCTGGATCTCAGTGTCCGGGCTGAATGATGGGGGTGGAGACGCTCCTTCAGGTATACTGGACCGAGGCCGTTTAGGGCTTTAAAGGTCAGCACCAACACTTTGAATTGTGCTCGGAAACGTAATGGGAGCCAATGCAGATCTCTCAGAACCAGTGTTATGTGGTCCCGGCGGCCACTCCCAGTCACCAGACTAGCTGCTGCATTCTGGATTAATTGTAGTTTCCGGGTCACCTTCAAAGGTAGCCCCACGTAGAGCGCATTGCAGTAGTCCAAGCGGGAGATAACTAGAGCATGCACCACTCTGGCGAGGCAGTCCGCGGGCAGGTAGGGTCTTAGCCTGCGTACTCCCAGGCTATCGGTGTGAAATCCCCCAAAAAGAATGTTACTTTTTTTCTGTATGCCAGAACAGCCGTGAGAATATTGCTAGCAAAGAATTGGAAGAAACAAGATTTACCAACTATCGAAGAATGGCAGATGAAGATGATGGACTATATGGAACTTGCCAAACTGACCGGGAGACTCCGAGACCAGAGAGAAGAGACGGTGGAAGAAGACTGGAAGAAGTGTAAGGAATATTTGAAAAAATATGTTAATATTTAAATCTTAGAATAGCTTTGGAAGTGGATATAGGCTGTAGGGTTAGAAGTAGAAGATAGTGTGTTTTAAAATAATGTTATTTGTAAGCGATATAATGTGAAGTTATCTTAAGTGTAATAAAAAAAAAGATGGTTAGAACTATGATACAGTGGTACCTCGGGTTAAGTACTTAATTCGTTCCGGAGGTCCGTTCTTAAACTTAAACTGTTCTTAACCTGAAGCACCACTTTAGCTAATGGGGCCTCCTGCTGCTGCCGTGCCGCCAGAGCCCGATTTCTGTTCTTATCCTGAAGCAAAGTTCTTAACCTGAAGCACTATTTCTGGATTAGCGGAGTCTGTAACCTGAAACGTATGTAACCTGAAGCGTATGTAAGCCGAGGTACCACTGTATATGTAAACTGCTAAAGATGAAGTAATATGAAAATCACATAGGTGGGACTTGGGGAAGCCCATTTAACAATGTTTAGAAAAAAAAAGGATATGACAAGAATTTGTTTGTATTTCTTGTTTTTCTGTTTGTGTGCTTTATTTGTATTATAAAATGAATAAAAAAAAATTGGGGGGAAAAGAGAAAGAAATGTGGCCATCAGCCTGCATTAAAAAGCCAGCCCTTCAAAGTTTACCCCAAGGGTGCTCTTAGCTTTCCCCATTAGTGGCTCCTGCAGAGAACCTTTGCCACTTGCCGAGAGACAAGTAGGTAGGTGGAAAAGAGGAGAGAGAGATATACTGATTGGCAATTGCATAAAAGCTCTGTTGTAACCTCCAGCCACCCTCCCCGCAAGCACACACAAACACAACACAAAAACCCTGCACTTAGCTTATAAAACTGCAAATAATAAAGTCATGCAAAAAAACAATTCTGGCTAGGACACGCTGAAGCATGAAAGGCGCCACAAATTGTGTTCGAAAAACAGTAGAGAGATTTACCAAGACCCACAAAGCTTCCCACTGTGGATTCAACTCATATTCTAGATCATGAGAAGGCAAACTAAGGCCCAGGGCCCCGGCCCAATCGCCTTCTAAATGCCGCCCGCGGACAGTCCAGGAATCAGTGTGTTTCTACATGAGTAGAATGTGTCCTTTTATTTAAAATGCATCTCTGGGTTATTTGTGGGGCCTGCCTGGTGTTTTTACATGAGTAGAATGTGTGCTTTTATTTAAAATGAATCTCTGGGTTATTTGTGGGGCATAGGAATTCGTTCATTTCCACCCAAAATATAGTCTGGCCCCCCACAAGGTCTGAGGGACGGTGGACCGGCCCCCTGATGAAAAAGTTTGCTGACCCCGTTCTAGATTCTCCCATAATTGCTCAATCAAACACATATAGGGATTAGTAGAAGCGCTCATGTGCAACTTCAATACTACAAAACCCTTGGTGCAGCTGAGTGCGAGCAAAATATGAACGGAAGGGAACTAGAGTGCAATTAATTGTAGAATATATGTATATCGCCCGAAAGCTGGGCTAATAGAATCAATGAAAACTCCAGGCAGGTTTCTCATGGAGTCTACTAGCAAAGCAGAATTGTTAAAGATTTTTTAAAATGGACTAATGCATTCCTATTTGGTGGTGCTGAACGGGAATCCCCACCAGCGCCATTTCAGCCTGAATCCTTGCGTGGCACTACACTACAATTTAAAGCGTGGCTTACAAAATTCCTCTGTGCTCCTTGTAACCCACAGAATTAGTACAAGCACAGCCAATTTGCATAGCTTATTCAATCACAAAGTTCAGCTTTCTTTTGTGCAAGATCAAGGTTACTTTGGGGCAGGGTGTGTTTGGATGATGATGATGATGATGATGATGATGATTATCATCATCATCATCATTATTGGCTATTGGAGAAGACAAAAGCTCTGCTAACTTCTTCACCAGCTCTAGAAATAGGTCAGAAGAATACAAAATGTGAATCTACCCAATTTGTTCTTCTTCAACAATATGCACACCGAAAGCACAGTCGTTCTTCAAAATCCACACTCCTCCAACCAAGTAATGTGTACACAAAAATGCATAGACACTAGGTAAGTGTGCAAAAAATGAATATACACGTGAAAAGTATGTACACAAATGCATTGTATTAGGGGGAAACTACTTGCAAAAATGCGTTTATTACAGTAAAAATGGCATACAAACATTATGAGAAATCCAAGCTAAAATGCTGACAGATTCATCCATTCCTACCTATTAAGGCTTTTGGTCTTAATAGGAGAAACTGAACTTGAAGGGACTTCATGCAAAGTAAAAATGGAAGGGAAGGAGCTATAAGATTTTCTCTGGGTGCCCCGCTCCAACTTCCGTTAGTGCATGGAGGTCAAAGTTGACACCAACAAAGTGCAGGGTTCCAGTGGTGGTGACACCCGGGAATATATTTTTATCAATTTAATTTAATTTAATTTAATTATTCATACATACATACATACATACATACATCTGGCTGGGTTTCCCCAGCCACTCTGGGCGGCTCTGAACAGAATATTAAAAACATGATAAAGCATCTAACATTAAAAACTTATCTAAACAGATTCTGTTTAGATAAGGTAGCCTTCAGATGAGGCTGCAAGACTTAACATACAGTACAGTGGTACCTCAGGTTAAGTACTTAATTCGTTCCGGAGGTCCGTTCTTAACCTGAAACTGTTCTTAACCTGAAGCACCACTTTAGTTAATGGGGCCTCTCGCTGCCACCGCACGATTTCTGTTCTCATCCTGAAGCAAAGTTCTTAACCCGAGGTACTACTTCTGGGTTAGCGGAGTCTGTAACCTGAGGTACCACCGTACAGCGTTTGGGAGTCGGGGTGGGTACAGTGGTACCTCTGGTTGCGAACGGTATCCGTTCCGGAAGCCCGTTTGCAACATGAAAAGAGCGCAACCCGCAGCGGCACGTCTGTGCACGCGTGGGTTGCGATTCGCCGCTTCTGTGCACGCGCGTGATGTCATTTTGTGCTTCTGCGCATGCACGAGCGGCGAAACCCGGAAGTAACCCTTTCCGGTACTTCCGGGTCGCCGTGGGACGTAACCTGAAAGAACGTAACATGAGGTATGAATGTATTTGCTAAACGTCTTTAATGTTTTATTTTTGACCCTCAAAATTCAATGGGCACAGATCCGCTGGTGGTGGCTGTTGTTGTCCAGAACATCTGGAGGGCACTAGGTTAGGAAGGCTGTGTTCAAGCACGGCTGGGATTTTGCTCCCCATTCTCGTTTTTGCCTCCTTTTAAGAGCCTGAAACGGCACGGCTGCCAGCTCATCAGCGACAGGCATGAGTTCCTTTTCAAGCCTCCAAGAGGAAAATTAAAAGGACTAACTGTGGGAGGCTGGCAGCTGGAGCCATTTTTTATGCCTGGAACAACAAACAAAAACCCCACAGGGCTAATACAAAGGTTCCACCCTGCGCTTTTCCCTGGGATTTCGCTGCAATTAAAACCCGACTCTGATTCAAGTTGAACCATTTAGCCCTTAACCATTTCGTGCATTAACAGGGATTTGCATTTGAGAGAAAGTGTTTCGAAAAGGCCACACTTTTTATTTTTATTATATCGTCTTTTTAAAATAAATATCTTTATTAATTTAAAATAAACACGTTTATGAAAAAACAGACATACATACAAGTAAACATGCAATCATACAAACAAATAGCAGAAGAATCAAACAAACCACCACACTATAAGATACAAGAAGATTAGTATAATTATCATCATATATACTCCTGATACTGAACACAGTTATAAAACTTAAATAGGAGAAATTTAAAACTGACTTCCAATTAATCTCACTGTACTTAATCTATCCATTACTTTATACCGCACAGTTACATATTTCTTATATAATTTCTTTTTACCTCCCTATGAACTTATATTTATACAATACAGGGATCAGTCTAATTCTGCCAAGATGTTTCCTTTTATTCCATAGTTTTCTAAATATTCTTTTAACAATTCCCCGATCCTTATAGACTTTTCGTTTTGGTTGGCCTCTTACTTTCCTGTCGCCTTCGCTAGCTGCAGATATTCTACCATTAGGATTTGCCAATCTTCTGTGTTGGATATTGTGTCTTTAAAAGTAAAATGGTACCTTACTTTGATCCTGATCTTTTGGGGGAAGCAGGCGGACTTTGCCACCCCAATCTCTGAACGGTACAAGGTTCCCGGGCTTCCAGGCCTTTTGGGAAGGAGGCTCAGCATATATATTTGTATATTTATACAACCTGAGCCTAAAATGGAGGGTTTTCACAACATCAACACCCCAAGAGGCTCTTGCTTCTCTCACAGCCACCCCCCTGGATTCATGCAAACACCAACCATCTTGTTCTGACTCTCTCTTCAGCTTGCCGCTTTTAAACAGCCTGACACCTCTAGGTCACAACATAGCCAACATTACAACTCTACCACAATATCTGAAGGATCGCCTCTTTCCATATGAACCTACCTGGACCCAGAGATCCTCTTCTGAGGCCCTTCTTCGTGTCCCTCCTCCTCGAGAGGTCTGGAGGGTGGCAACACAAGAACAGGGCCTTCTCTGCAGTGGCTCCCCATCTGGCTCTCCCCAGGGAAATTTGCCTGGCGCCTTCATTATACACCTTTAGGCGCCAGGCAAAAACGTTCCTTTTTAACCAGGCCTTCACTTGACCTGATTGACATCCTGTGCCCTTTTAAAATGTGGCTCTTTGGGGGGAGGGGGAGTGTTATTGGGTTGTTGTTTTTATTTTGATTATATATATTGATCTTTTCTGTGAGCCACCCTGAGACCTCCGGGTATAGGGCAGTATATAAATTCAATTAATAATAATAATAATAATAATATTTCAAACTCTGCCTGTTTTCTAACTGGCTCCAAGCTGAAGCAAATAGCTCCCTTTTCTTTGGCTTTCCAAATGGCTCATCATCACAGTCAGAGGCAGCACTGCTTCTGAATGCCAGTTGCCAGAAACCTCAGGAACAGTGTTACAAACTCAGATATACGGTGGTAATTCTGGTTGCGAACTGGAACCGTTCCGGAGGCCCGTTCGCAACATGAAAAGAGCGCAACCCACAGCGGTGCATCTGTGCACATGCAGGTTGTGACTCACTGCTTCTGCGCATGCACGTGACATCATTTTGCGCTTCTGCGCATGCGCCGAAACCCTAACCCTAACCCTTTCCGGTACTTCCGGGTCGCCGCAGGACATAACCTGAAAGAACGTAACATGAAGCAGACGTAACATGAGGTATGACTGTATAAGCTAGGTGCCCAATGGCTCCTTAAACCAGGGTTAGGTAAAGGGACCCCTGACCATTAGGTCCAGTCGCGGACAACTCTGGGGTTGCGGCGCTTATCTCGCTTTACTGGCCGAGGGAGCCGGCGTACAGCTTCTGGGTCATGTGGCCAGCATGACTAAGCCGCTTCTGGCGAGCCAGAGCAGCGCACGGAAACGCCGTTTACCTTCCCGCCGGAGTGGTACCTATTTATCTACTTGCACTTTGACGTGCTTTCGAACTGCTAGGTTGGCAGGAGAAACCAGGGTTACAGTCGCCAAAACGGAATGCCTAGTTTTGCCTAGAAAGCCGTATTTTTCAACACGACTTTTGGGTCCCTCACATTCATTCCCACTGCCCAGATAAAATATCACAGACAGAATTCTGTTAAGTGTGTGAAAGCCGGCAAGATCCAAGGGTCCCCAAACATGCACCTCCAAGACGTTGGAAATGTCAGGTGCCATCCTGGTGCCTGGCCATCCTCACTTGGTTCCAAGTAGCCGAGAGCCAGGTGCGAAATGCGACTGGCAAATTTCGAACGCTGCTCGGGAAGGAAGAGGGCTCTTGCGTTCGGGTCTTGATTTTGAGCTTTCCCTAGGCATCTGGTTAGCCACTATGAGAACAGAATCCTGGACTAGATGGGCCATTGGCCTGATCCTGCAAGCTCTTATATTCTTAAGACAACATGATAGGATGGGAACAGGCTGTGGTAGCAACCCACGGGGAGCCGAGCAAAATCTTTTTGCCAGCTTTCAAACAAGCAAAAAAACCAACCACTGCTGATCAGCCAGGGCAATTCTGGTGTCAGTGATCTCAGGCGACATTTTTCACCGCCAATGAGATATAACCGGCCGTGACCTTCAGCACAGTTTCTCCTTTGGCTCCGAGCTAAAGATTAAGCACGCACAGTCCAAACGCCACTCATCGCCTGCCCCGGAGATTGCAGAAGAGGGGACTCAAGTCCAGGACTTTTGCCCCGTTGCGAGAACCAAATCGATGGGTTCAAAGTCCTCATGGGAGGGAGAAAAACACACAGAACGTGAAAGGTTTCTGCAGTTGCACCAAGCATCACAGATCAGGGGCTATTTGAGCCAGCTAGGGTGCCCATTCTGTTCAAACAGGCAGTGTGGTGCAGTGGTTAGAGTGCCAAAAGAGGACCTGGGAGAGCACAGTTCAAATCCTAAGTAATTATAAAAGGTAAAGGGACCCCTGACCATTAGGTCCAGCCGTGGCCGACTCTGGGGTTGCGGCACTCATCTCGCTTTACTGGCCGAGGGAGCCAGTGTACAGCTTCCAGGTCATGTGGCCAGCATGACTAAGCCGCTTCTGGCAAACCAGAGCAGCGCACGGAAACGCCGTTTACCTTCCCTCCAGAGCGGTACCTATTTATCTACTTGCACTTTGACGTGCTTTCGAACTGCTAGGTTGGCAGGATCAGGGACTGAGCAACGGGAGTTCACCCCGTCGCGGGTATTTGAACCGCCGACCTTCTGATTGGGAAGCCCTAGGCCCTGTGGTTTAACCCACAGCGCCACCCGCGTCCCTGTAATTATGTATAACCTTTATTGCGGTCCAAAGTCCCACACAACAATTTCAGAACAAACAAGTAATTTGCTTTCTAAAAACTACACAGAAGCAGCTTCAAAGGGAACCTATCTCCTAATTCAACCAAGCATGCACCACTCTGAACTGTCGTTCAGACAACACACAAACACACCCAGTAAAGTCCGTGGGCTAGAAATAAGCTGCTAGCCACATGCCCCAACAATGTCTGGGTCACCGGCCAAGCCCTCAGCAACTGTACATTTGATGCGTGACCAGGTGAAACTGCAACAAAATGTTACAGCACATAATATTAATATTAATAATAATAATAATAATACTTTATTTATACCCCACCCTTCCCGGTTCAAAAACTGGGCTCAGGGCGGCTAACAACAAATTTAAAACGCTTTAAAACACTTAATTATAAAAGCAGCATAAAATACAGTATAAAAACATGAATAACAATAAAATTTAAAAATCAAAAATCAATTAGAGACACTATTCCTCTTTAAAAGCAACACCCAATATATTAAAAACGGCACAATGCAAACTCAAAACAAAGCCACATTTCTATTGCTAGGACTTGGCAAATGTCATCGTAACTCGTGGACTGTTTAATCCTAGAGCATAATGGTCGATATGTGATGTTTCACAGATTATTTGCAGGACGTAAATTTTGTCATGCTTGGTCATGATGTTTCTGCCTCCCGAGTGGATGGAAGTTACCAGAGGGGGAGAGGACTCTTGTGCTCAAATTCTGCTTGCATAACTTCCCCAGGGATTCTGGTTGGCCACTGTAAGAACAGAATGCTGGACTCCCAGTACGTTTCCGAGCACAATTCAAAGTGTTGGTGCTGACCTTTAAAGCCCTAAACGGCCTCGGTCCAGTATACCTGAAGGAGCGTCTCCACCCCCATCATTCTGCCCGGATGCTGAGGTCCAGCGCCGAGGGCCTTCTGGCGGTTCCCTCACCGCGAGAAGCTAAGTTACAGGGAACCAGGCAGAGGGCCTTCTCGGTAGTGGCGCCCTCCCTGTGGAATGCCCTCCCACCAGATGTCAAAGAGAACAACAACTACCAGACTTTTAGAAGACATCTGAAGGCAGCCCTGTTTAGGGAAGCTTTTAATGTTTGATGTATTACAGTATTTTAATATTTTTTTTGGGAAGCCGCCCAGAGTGGCTGGGGAAGCCCAGCCAGATGGGCGGGGTATAAATAATAAATTATTATTATTGTTGTTGTTGTTGTTGTTGTTGTTGGGCCACTCAGGGTCTTTGTGGTCTTAAATGGCTCAAACAGATACCAGGAGAGGGGAGGTCTGCTCCTAAGGACTGGGCATTGTGCCAGGCGGTTCAATTTTTTATTTTTATTTTAGCTGCTCTGATCACAGGCGGTTCTCGGCTCACCCTGTCATTTTGTTTGTTCTGGAGATGATGGCTTTCCTTCCCCGAGCAGAAGCTTCTCAAACTGCCAATTCAGCAGCCCGAGGGAAAGCCAGAAAAACAGAGGCAGAAATCAATGTCTAGGAGGAAAAAGCAGCACAACCGGGGGCATATTTGAAGGGGACCGTAGGAAGCTGCCTTATTCCGAGTCAGGCCATTGGGTCATAGAACTATAGAGTTGAAGGGACCCTAAGGCTGACCCGGGACGCAGGTGGCGCTGTGGGTTAAACCACAGAGCCTAGGACTTGCCGATCGGAAGGTCGGTGGTTCGAATCCCTGCGACGGGGTGAGCTCCCGTTGCTCAGTCCCTGCTCCTGCCAACCTAGCAGTTCGAAAGCACGTCAAAGTGCAAGTAGATAAATAGGTACCGCTCCGGCGGGAAGGTGAACGGCGTTTCCATGCGCTGCTCTGGTTCGCCAGAAGCGGCTTAGTCATGCTGGCCACATGACCCGGAAGCTGTATGCCAGCTCCCTTGGCCAATAAAGCGAGATGCGCCGCAACCCCAGAGTCGGTCACGACTGGACCTAATGGTCAGGGGTCCCTTTACCTTTAAGGTTGACCCAAGTCCAACCCCCCTTGCAATGCAGGAATCTCAACTAAAGCATCCACAACTCCCAAGTTCTGCTTGAAAACCTACCAGGAGACCAGGAGTTGATATCACTGTGAATCAGCTCTTACTGTCGGAAAGTTTTCCTGATATTTCATCGGAATCTCCTTTCTTGGAACTCAAATCCATCGGTCTCGATCCTACCCTCTGGAGCAGGAGAAAACAAGCTTGCTCCATCCTCCACGTGACGGCCCTTGAGATATCTGAAGGTGGCTCTCATATCTCCTCTCAGTCTCCTCTTTTCCAGGCTCAACACACCCAACTCCCTCAACTGTTCCTCATCAGGCTTGGTTTCCAGACCCTTGATATCCTTGGTCGCCCTCCTCTCCACATGTGCTAGCTTCTCAATATCCTTCTTAAATGATGTCACCCGGAGCAGGACACAGTGCTCCAGGTGTTGTCTGACCAAGGCAGAATAGAGAGGTACGATTACTTCCCTCGATCGAGACCACTATACAGTCATACCTCGGGATAAATATGCTTCAGGATAAGTATTTTCAGGTTGCGCTCCGTGGCGACCCGGAAGTAACAGAGCGTGTTACTTCCAGGTTTCGCCGCTTGCGCATGCTCAGACGGTCAAAATGACGTCACGCGCATGCGCCGCAGCGCCGAAACGCGACCTGCGCAAGCGCAGACGCGCAGTCACTGTTATGTACTGAAGTTCTCACCCTGGGCCAGCAGGGGGATACTGTAGATAGTTTTCACTCAGGTCCACATATGCAAATAAGGAATTGAAAGTGACGTTCAGTGATTGGACAGTTACAGAAAGTTGTTACTGTTGCCTTGTAGTTGAGCTCTATATAAGCAGGCTGGCTGAACCCTTCAGCTCAGTTCTGTTCTGGCCTGTGAATAAACAAGAGCTGTCTGAAGAATCGCTGTGTCATCTGATATGTTCACCCACAACTTAACAGTCATGTCTTATTCAGGATGCGAAAGGGGCTCCAGAACGGATCCCGTTCGCATCCTGAGGTACCACTGTACTTCTATTGATGCAGCATAGGATAGTATTCGATTTTTTGCTGCTGCATCACACTGTTGGCTCACGTTCCGCTTGAGGTCTGACCCCAAAATCCTTTTCACTGGCTAGCAAGGTGTTCCCCATCTTCTAATTGTGCAGCTGGTTCTTCCTGCCCAAGTGTAGAACCTAAAGTTGTCCCTACTGAAATTTTGTTAGTTTGGGCCCAGTTCTCCAATCTGTTCAGGTCATCTTTGAATCCCGATTCTGTCTTCTGCGGCATCTGCTGCCGCTCCCAATTTGGTGCCATCTGCAAATGTGATGAGCACCCCCTCAGTTGCTTCGCCAAAGTCGTTTACAAAAGTCGCTGAACAACAACAGGCCCGGGGCAGAACGACAATACAGTCGTACCTTGGTTCTCAAACTTAGACCGTGCGACTTCCGAAACCGTTCGAAAACCAAGGAGCGGCTACCGATTGGCTGCAGGAGCTTCCTGCGCTCAAGAAGAAGCTGCATCGGAAGTTCGGCTTCCGAAAAACGCTCGCAAACCAAAATACTTACTTCCAGGTTTGCAGCATTCGGGAGAAGATTTGTTCGGCAACTAAGCCGTTTGAGAAGCAAGGTACGACTGTACCTGTAAGGAGAGGACATGGCAACCATTCTTACCTTCCTAATCTCACCTGCCAGTAGTGAAGAATCCACCATCCCACCCCCACCCCTAAAAAACAGGGACTGGCCCTGATCCTATGAAATCAAGGCACCAGCAGCTGCTGGTGGGAAGCAAAGAGATACCGTATTTTTTGCTCTATAAGACTCACTTTTTCCCTCCTAAAAAGTAAGGGGAAATGTGTGTGCGTCTTATGGAGCGAATGCAGGCTGCGCAGCTATCCCAGAAACCAAAACAGCAAGAGGGATTGCTGCTTTTGCTGCGCAGCGATCCCTCTTGCTGTTCTGGCTTCTGGGATTCAGAATATTTTTTTTCTTGTTTTCCTCCTCCAAAAACTAGCTGCGTCTTATGATCTGGTGCATCTTATAGAGCGAAAAATACGGTAAGTATAAGGACAACGGGGCCTCCTCTGTTGTGGCCCTGCTGGATTCAGCCAAGGCAATGTCCAGCATCCTGTTCTCACAGCAGCCAATAGGAAGTCCACAACCAGGACCTGAATGCCACAGAAACTCGCCTAACTTGTGTTTGCCAGAAACTGGTATTCAGAGATGTGCAGAGGATATAGTGCACGGCCATCTTGGCTAGAAGCCATTGACTGCCTCCCTCTCCCAAGAATTTGTCAAGTCCTCTTTTAAGGATATTGGTGGTCATCACTACGACCTCTGTTTTGTTCCAGAACCAGGGGGGGTGGGGGGGAAGCATTTTTTAACTTCTGCGTTTGTTTTCTACAAGTAGTTTCATGCTGCCTATTTGATCCTCCAATTCTGCGATTTTATCTCCGTTATTGCAGTTTTATTGCAGTGCCGTTTCACTGCAATTTCTTTTTATAAGTTCCATTTTACAAGCTGGCTCCAAGCAGTTTGGCTAGAGAACGGCCAGCAGGAAAAACTAAGCAGGTAACTTTGAAAGAATGGGGGAGGTGAAAGAGTGAGAGTTGACAAGTCACGTACAGGCACGCACTTCAAAGCTGGCTGGCCTGTTGTTGTTTGTGGGCTGTCGGCCAAGCTGGGGCTTAAATTAAGCCTGCAATTTACCCCCGAACCCATTTTCAATTCCAGGACTTGGTCCTCAAGGAAGTCATGTAGCTGCTGGAAGTGCAACAGCAGGGATCATTCGGTGTGTAACTTAAGGGTTAATCATATTAATGCAAAAGTCAGCTAGCAAGGGGAGGGGCAATGGAGGTGTTCGTTAACAACCAAGCAGAGTGGCTTGATCCTCACTGAGCCAGTACTGCGTTCTGATTGGCTGCACAGTTCTGAGGTAGTTTTCCCTTTGTATGTTTGGTTGAATGCCTCCCTGCTATGCACAAGGCCTGAACTAAGAAAGACAAAACCTTGTTGAATTTACATAGAGCACAGTGGTACCTCGGGTTAAGTACTTAATTCATTCCGGAGGTCCGTTCTTAACCTGCAACTGTTCTTAGCCTGAAGCACCACTTTAGCTAATGGGGCCTCCTGCTGCCGCCATGCCACCGGAGCACAATTTCTGTTCTCATCCTGAAGCAAAGTTCTTAACCCGAGGTACTATTTCTGGGTTAGCGGAGTCTGTAACCTGAAGCGTATGTAACCTGAAGCGTATGTAACCCAAGGTACCACTGTAGTATATTTTGGGATATGCTTGCATTTGTTGGCTCTCTTGGTGAGGGGGGTTTAACGTAAGTGAATTGGGAAAACCTGTACTTGAAGTTTGGACGACAGACATCTTTAGATAAATGTTGTTCATATTAAAACTCAATAAAGATTACATTTACAAAAAAAGAAACCTCTCACTTCCTTTCCCCTCAAATTATACGCTGTTTTTGTTCGATTTCTTCAGTAGAATGCCAACAGGACTTTTCTCCCCAGACTGCATCTGGTAATTTAAACAAATCTGCTAACAATAATAAGAATATGCACCTTTCCCACACTGCAGAGAACACACACACATACACACACACCAGCTCTACGGATCATGGATGCTTTAGCTGAAATTCCTGCACTGCAGGGGGTTGGACTAGATGACCTTTGGGGTCCTTTCAAACCCTACAATTCTAATATTCTATGATTCGCATCCAATGCCTCTCCCACTTTTTCCTCTGTCTACATCCAGCATGCGGCCCCCGAAGCTTGCCTAAAAGCAAATGAGGCCCCCAAGCTGAAAACATTCTCCCAGCCCTGCCATCGCTCAAGACTTTGAAATAAAAAAATGTAAGCGTGCAAGGTTGATAACACTCCAATCTAATCAGACGCCTTTGCTATAAATCAGACGGGAGAATTCTTCATTTGCAGCGCCGTGTCGGCTCATCGAGGCAACCGATTCCAAGCCCCTGCCAACATCTCTCCTTTCCAGCAAGGCCTGGGGCCTGTCATTTAAGATGTTACAGTCCAATGGTAAAGGAGCCTTTTACGCCCAGAACACTATGCAGGCAGGCAAGAGTGGAAAATACTGGAAAGTACGAAATGGGAGCCTTCTTCTGAGCACACCGTTTGCTCAGAAAACTGGACTGGTAAACACAGTGGGTCAACAATCGCAGAAGATAACACAGGGATGGTGAAGCAACCTGTTCTGTCCCTTACTTTACAGGAACTTCACGTGTCTCTCGCTTGCACAATCTCTTTGCTATTAAGAACGGGGGGGAAATGCATTAGCAAGTATGACAAAGGGGTTTTTCTACATTTCAGACAAAGGATGCGAAAAAGCTCAAGGCTGCTTTTACAGATTTCTACTTGATAGCTAAAGCACCCACCGGCCTTGAATCCTCAGAAGAACAGAACTGGATCAGTCCAAGATCTCACAGCGGCCAACCAAATGCAAATAGGGATCCCACAGACAGGGGTATAAGAGAAACCACCGTTTCTCTCTAGTGTTCCCCAGCAACTAGCGTGATTTATTTGCAACCCATACTGTGCTGTAAAGTGCCAGAAAACATTACAGTGGTACCTCGGGTTACATACGCTTCAGGTTACATACGCCTCAGGTTACAGACTCCGCTAACCCAGAAATATTGCTTCAGGTTAAGAACTTTGCTTCAGGATGAGAACAGAAATCGTGCTCCAGCGGTGCAGCGGCAGCAGGAGGCCCCATTAGCTGAAGTGGTGCTTCAGGTTAAGAACAGTTTCAGGTTAAGTACGGACCTCTGGAACGAATTAAGTACTTAACCTGAGGTACCACTGTACATCTAAATAAAAGGAAAGTGTATGGAAGTGAGAGCTGGACCATAAAGAAGGCTGATCACCGAAGAATTGATGCTTTTGGATTATGGGGCTGGAGGAGACTCTTGAGCATAGCTGTCAACGTTTCCCTTTTTTCAAGGGAAATTCCCTTATTCCGAATAGGATTCCTCGCAAGAAAAGGGAAAAGTTGACAGCTATGCTCTTGAACAGGGGTAAGCAACCTTTTTCAGCAGGGGGCCGGTCCACTGTCCCTCAGACCTTCAGGGGGGGCAGACTATTTTTTTTGGGGGGGGGAGAACAACTTCCTATGCCCCACAAATAACCCAGAGATGCATTTTAAATAAAAGGACACATTCTACTCATGTAAAAACATGCTGATTCCTGGACCATCCGTGGGCCAGATTGAGAAGGCGATTGGGTCGCATCCGGCCCCCGGGCCCTAGGTTGCCTACCCCTGCTCTTGAGGGTCCCGTGAACTGCAAGAAGATCAAACCTCTCCATTCTGAAGGAAATCAGCCCTGAGTGCTCACTGGAAGGACAGATCCTGAAGCTGAGGCTCCAATACTTTGGCCACCTCATGAGAAGAGAAGACTCCCTGGAAAAGACCCTGATGTTGGGAAAGATGGAGGGCACAAGGAGAAGGGGACGACAGAGGACGAGGTGGTTGGACAGTGTTCTCAAAGCTACCAACATGAGTTTGACCAAACTGCGGGAGGCAGTGGAAGACAGGAGCGCCTGGCATGCTCTGGTCCAGGGGGTCACGAAGAGTCGGACACGACTGAACGACAACAAAAGGAAACACCAAATAAGACCATCTCACCCCAAAATATCATAGAATAGTACACCATAGTACACCATATGGGGCACATAAACCTCGGCAGGTAGCCCATCTAGGGGAAGGAAAACTCTGATCCTAAACTTCCACTGCCTTGCAGGATATCTTCAGGAGAAGAAACAGCTAATGAGCAAACTCTGCACAAATCTGGAGTGGAGTCCTTAAGATGGTTGGATGACGCCTTGTACGCCTCCTTCCAGCAACTCCTGCAGCCAAGCTGGTGCCAAACGTATCGTTCTGCTTTCCTTTGGTGATGAGGAGGAAGGGAAAGAAGGAACCCGGGTGATCTAATACCTTAAGAGTCACGTCAGGATACCTTCAGGAAGAAAAGCATTGGCTCTTCCAAAGCATTGGCTCACTTAAAATGATACATTGACTCAAGAGTTTACAAGCAAATCAGGCTTGGCATTAGGGAATGGATACATCAGTCAATTTCAGTTCCCTCTCCATTTTTCACTCAGATTCAGTTCTCCTAATTTTTGCAGCAATTAGCAACTTAAAAAAATAAAATAAAAAATCTCGTGAAAATTCACCAGCCAATCTTAGTGCAAATTTCTCCTAACGAAACACACTTTTTGTAGGCTGTTCGCCCCAACGTACAGAATTTTTGCGAGCCGTTTCCCCCCAGTATAAAGCACTTGTATATGTTAAGTTTCCCCAATACATGCATTTTCGTGCAGACTTTCCCCTAATATGTACATACTGTTTGGCTGGAGATTTGCACTGCAAAAATTCGGAGAAGTGTTCAGCTGACATGCAGGTTTGAGTTTTAGCCTCATTAAATTGCAAATTGCCCCCCGCTGCCCACAGCACTGCAAGTAATGGTTGATCTACCTGGCCTTTTCATAGGATTACTGTTCTCGGCAGATGGATTGTCCCAAAGGACGCTGTTGGTTCACCACAACCCATGGTCCTCTATAAAGAACAGCTATGGCTGCATGCTGGGAGCACACAAGGATGCGCTGCGTGCGCAAGCAAAGGGATTGCCCAAGAGACTCCCGTGTGTTTGGGGGATACACATTCTGCTCACATCCCAGAATCCTCCGCGATATGCAAACCATCCTTGACAGATGGATCGACATTAATAGCATTCCTTGGCAGCTGAAAAATCTGAATTCCACCAGACTAGTCTGTGTGGAAAAAAACAACCACTCAGCTTTTCAAGACAGCCTTTGTTCTTTTCACGGCCACAATCAAGCCTTTATTACACTCATTTTGCCGGATCGCCAGCCTACCCACACAAAGCCCACACCTTAAGTGGGTCTCCCTTTCTTACCTCTACGAAGCCCCCCACTCTCTCTGCCCCCACGTGCTCTCATACCCTTCATCGCTCAAAACTATTCCAAATTTTTGCAAGGACACACGAAACAAGATTTGTAAGCCTGCTCTCTTGTCAGAATCGCTCTTTTAGAGTGTTCTGGGCATGGAGACGAATGCCTTTTTCCGTATTCAGAGCGCGCAACCTTTCAAACTGAAAAATGAAGGGTACATGCTGGCAACGTCAGCCAGCTGTCAGGAAGAGGTGCCCACAAAAGCGAGGGAGGGTGACGGATGGATCATTTCAAACCTCTGTGTGCTCACAGAATAAAACCACCAAGGCCTCTCCAAAAAGGGAATTGGTTTTAACCGCTACCTCCCCGGGACAAAGAAATTTAAGAGCCAAGCAAATACGTTGGTGGTGGCAAGGAAAAACTTGACCCAGTGGCAGGGTGTGCTAAAAAGATTGGGATAAAAAAAAAGTGGCAAACTAATGTGAATTCATACCCCCCCCCCAAAAAATGAATGGGTTTAAAGACCGACAAGAAAAAAGCAGCACACATCTATTTATATCCTAAGCAAAAGAATGCAATCAGTTGTCAAGTAGGTAGCACGGAGACCCCTAAGCTAGACCAAGGTCAAAACATCTTTGGGTTTTGTGACAGTTTATCTTCCTATATACATAAAAGATGTAGGATGTCGTCACGCTCTGCAGCCACAACAACTGCACTGTGGGGAACGGCTGGCTGGTCCAGGCAAGCTGTTTAATGGAGGTGTCTCTCCCCCTTTGGCAAACGTGAGGTTTAACAAAGGGGAGAGAGGCTTTGCGAAGGGCCTCCCACTGCCTTTAAAAAGGGAGGGGCTCGGAGAAGGCGGGGCTTGAGGAAGAGGGGAGGGGCTTGGGGTGCGTTGTGGGAGATTGGCAAGGAGGGTGGGGCAAAGCGAGGGGGGTGATCAGGAGCGGGGGGAGGCTAGGCGGGGTTGGTGTGCAATTTTATTTGTCCGGTTTGTTGGCATTTTTGTGCTACATGACACTTACGAGCTACATTGGTGCAGTTTGAGCATATTTTGCTAATATGCACTGTTTGTTTGCTGAACGGGGTATGACACTGCTTTAAATGTACGGTTCAGATGCGGCCAAAAGGAGTCAATTGGGATGGAGCGGCAATCTGGGAATATAAAGAGAGGTGCCAGAATACTACACTTTTTACTCCCAACTGAGCCCAGGGATGGGAAGTCTGGCAGGTGACAAAAAGGTACTTTCAGATCCTAGGACAGGTGAACGGAAGGAAAAGAGATAACTCTCTGCAGGACAGTTTTGACGCAATGCCTGTCAGTTCCCAGCCTACAATTCTCCAAGCATCTTCAGTCAGGGCTGGTAAAAACTACAGACTGAAGCTTTGGTGAACTAAAGTCGGTCAGTGTAGACCAGAGCTAGTCAACATGGCGCCGCTTCCGTAAGTTGTTGGACTCCAAAGCCCATCAGCATAGCCAGTGGTCAGGGAGGATGGGAGTTTATTTCTATTGAATTTGTCTACAGTGGTACCTCAGGTTAAGTACTTAATTCGTTCCGGAGGTCCGTTCTTAACCTGAAACTGTTCTTAACCTGAAACACCACTTCTGCTAATGGGGCCTCCTGCTACTGCCGCGCCGCTGGAGCCTGATTTCTGTTCTCATCCTGAAGCAAAGTTCTTAACCTGAAGCACTATTTCTGGGTTAGCGGAGTCTGTAACCTGAAGCGTATGTAACCTGAAGTGTATGTAACCCGAGATACCACAGTACTGCCCTCCATCCGTAGATCTCAGGGCAGTTCACAACATAAAAATAGAATTATTATTTTTTTAAAATGCAAAACACGTAATAAAAACAAGAACAGAAACCAACCAACAACACCCTCCCCCAACTTCCAGAAGGACATATTATTCCCCACTTGTTTATGGGGAGGGTCTCAGCTCAGTTTCAGAGAGCGTCCTTTGCATGCAGAGGTCCCAGATCTATCTGCAGCAGTGTTCAAAATTAGCCAGGTGCCAGGCTCGTTTTGCTACTGGCGCAGGTCCAATGCGATTTCCCAGTGAGATTTCTGGGGGCCAGGTTAGCAACCACAGTTCTCTGTCCTAGTCCACAGTTAATACCATTTCCGTTTCCACTGTGTGTTCCCCCTTCTTGCATACTGGGACTAGGGAATTGTTGTCAAGCAGTGTAGTTGAGATAATATAAGCGTAGAATTGTAATTATTATTATTATTATTATTATTACTTATACCCTGCCCATCTGATCAGGCCTCCCAGCTACTCTGGCCAGCTTCCAACAGGATATTAAAAGGTAAATGGACCCCAGACCATTAAGTCCAGTCGTGGCCGACTCTGGGGTTGCGGCGCTCATCTCGCTTTACTGGCCAAGGGAGCTGGCGTACAGCTTCCGGGTCATGTGGCCAGCATGACTAAGCCGCTTCTGGCGAACCAGAGCAGCACACGGAAACGCCGTTTACCTTCCCGCCAGAGCAGTACCTATTTATCTACTTGCACTTTGTGCTTTCGAACTGCTAGGTTGGCAGGAGCAAGGATCGAGCAACAGGAGCTCACCCTGTCACGGGGATTTGAACCGCCGACCTTCTGATCGGCAAGTCCTAGGCTCTGTGGTTTAACCCACAGCACCACCCACGTCCCAACAGGATATCGAAAACACAATAAAACATCAGACATAAAAAACTTCCCTAAGCAGGGCTGCCTTCAGATGTCTTCTAAAAGTCAGATAGTTGTTCATTTCCTTGACATCTGGTGGGAGGGCGTTCCACAGGTCGGGCTCCACCACCGAGAAGGCCCTCTGCCTGGTTCTCTGTAACCTCACTTCTCGAAAGGGAGGGAACCGCCAGAAGACCCTTGGAGCTGGACCTCAGTGGCCGGGCAGAATGATAGGGGTGGAGACGCTCCTTCAGGTAGCACTGGAAGGGATCTTGAGGGTCATCTAGCCCAACCCCCCGGGCCAGTAGACATTTTGTTGTGGTGGCCGCAACCTAGATTCTAGCTGCCATTTGGCACCCAGGTTATATACCCGAGTTTCTAATGCTGAAGTCTCCAGGTAAGACAAGGAAAGAGGCTTGCCAGAAACCCCGAAGAGCTGCTGCCAGTCAGTACAATAAATAATAATAATAATAATAATAATAATAATAATAATAATAATTTATTATTTATACCCCGCCCATCTGGCTGGGCTTCCCCAGCCACTTTGGGCGGCTTCCAAAAAAATATTAAAATACTGTGATACATCAAACATTAAAAGCTTCCCTAAACAGGGCTGCCTTCAGATGTCTTCTAAAAGTCTGGTAGTTGTTGTTCTCTTTGACATCTGGTGGGAGGGCGTTCCACAGGGAGGGCGCCACTACCGAGAAGGCCCTCTGCCTGGTTCCCTGTAACTTGGCTTCTTGCAGCGAGGGAACCACCAGAAGGCCCTCAGCGCTGGACCTCAGTGTCCGGGCAGAACGATGGAGGTGGAGACGCTCCTTCAGATATACTGGACCGAGGCCGTTTAGGGCTTTAAAGGTCAGCACCAACACTTTGAATTGTGCTTGGAAACATACTGGGAGCCAATGTAGGTCTTTCAAGACCAGTGTTATGTGGTCTCGGCGGCCGCTCCTAGTCACCAGTCTAGCTGCCGCGTTCTGGATTAGTTGTAGTTTCCGGGTCACCTTCAAAGGTGCACATAGTGCAGACAATTCTATGCAAGATGACCAATGGTTTGACTTTGTACAAGTCTGTGCTCCTCGGATATCGGGGAAGGGCCACAGCTCAGTGACAGAACATCTGCCCTGTCTCCAGCTTCAATTCTGCCTGGTTCAATTCCCGGCATCTCCAACAAAGTTTGGGAATGTTTCCTGTCTGAATCCCAGGAAAGCTGCTGCCAACCAGTGTAGGCAGTACTGAGCAATATAGACTCATGGTCTAGTTTGATGCAAGACAGCCTCCTATGTTCTTGGCTGCTCTGGAGTTGGATAGGAACCATTTTTAACAAGATAAAGGCATGCCCTGAATTAATTCCCGCCAGTCTAAGAGGACTGGCGGCCGGGAGGCAGCTGATTACCTTTCTCTGGCAGATCAGCCTGTTTAATGCAATTAAGCACTGGAACAATGCTAGCCATGCGCTCTTGCTCGCTTGCAGATATTTCGCGATTGGCTTTGCAAGAAGGGAAGAGCCCAGCTTGTTCAAACAGCCCTGTCTACAGAGCCGCTGGTGCAAGATTAATGCCGAAACACAAACCCCACAGCAGCCATCACTGGGGGAAACTGTTCTAAAATTAAGAGAAAAATATGTATTCTAATATTTGGAAGGAAACTGGAGTGAGGGAATCTTCCCCATGCTGCCCCCACCCCAAAAAAAACTGACAAAAGGCTCAAGAAAGTGGAGTCATTCTATAGGCTTAGGCTGAGTGCACAGCATACATTTAAAGCACCTAGAAAAAGCAGCACCCAGGAAACTGTAGTTTGTTAAGGGTGCTGGGAGTTATAGTTGTTTGAGGGTAAGCTACAGCTCCCAGAATTCTTGGAATGCGTGTACTTTAAAAGTATGATATGTATACAGCCTTAGGTAGCTTTAATAGGGGATATAACAGTTTTACGGTGGACAGAGATCTACCAACAGTCCAAAACATTCATATTAATATACGAGCTGCTCATTTTCTCTTCCTTTATTGTGCTGTTGCTCTAATAAGAAACTGTTTTGTTATGAAAAACTGTATTCCATCACACATTTCTTAATATACCGTATTTTTTGCACCATAACACTCACTTTTTTCCTCCTAGAAAGTAAGGGGAAATGTCTATGCGTGTTATGGAGCGAATGCCGGCAGGTGGCAGGGGGGATCTGCTGCAGAGGATCCATGGTTCCCCTTCCTTCCCTCCTCCGTGGTTACAATGCATGGATCCACATGGATCCTCAGGATTTTTGCATTGGGCTACTCCAAACTCACTGTCAGATCACATGTCTGTGGCCACAGCATGAACCACAAAAATCATATACAGTATCCACTATTTTGTTTAGAATATTTTTTTCTTGTTTTCCTCCTCTAAAAACTATGTGCATGTTATGGTCTGGTGCGTGTTATAGAGCGAAAAATACGGTAATAATTTGATGTTTTATAACCGTTTTCATTTCATCAGTAAAAGAAGTTACACACAACTATTTAAAATATTAAAAAATAATCACAAATGAACCACATGCTAAAAAGCAGATGCATGTTCACATTTTACATGTCTGGATGGGCTTGCCTAAACAAACATTTAATTATTATTAATTATTATTATTACCATTATTATTAATACCCTGCCCACCTGGCTGGGTTTCCCCAGCCACTCTCGGGGGCTTCCAGCAAAATATTCAAATACAGTAATTAATCAAATATTAAAAGCTTCCCTAAACAGGTCTGCCTTCAGATGTCTTCTAAAAATCAGATAGTTGTTTATTTTTGTAGGCACCAAAAAGAAAGAATAGTGAAGGCACCTGCCTGGTGTCAAGAGGCAGGGAGTTCCAAAGTCTGCCTGTGCTGCACACTAAAATATTGATTTCTCACAAGTGCAGGTGTTTTATGTGGAACCAGTAACTGTGCCAGTTTTCTCAAATCAAAGCAGTTGAGTTGGGAATACGTGGGAGAAGGCAATCTCTCAAGTAAACAGATCCCAAATTGTTAAGAGTTTTGTAGTCCATCATAAGATGAGTGGGATCAGACCAAAGGCACACCTAGCCCTCGAAACATGGCTTTAGAAAAAAATAAAGAATAAACCAAAACAGGAATTTGTTTCAAAATGGGAGGTCATTAAAGTTTATAATTATAGCAGTTTAAATTCTGTTGCAGCATTTGAAGAATTTCACAGTAATAGTTTCAAGTTAGACATGAGGCTTAAGATATATTTAGAATTAGTTAAATTATGATAAAAGTGTGTATGGGCAACAAGTAATACATAAATGAAATAAGGAATAGACAGGAGGTCGGGTCTATAGCTCTAAGACCAATTTCCGCTTTATTATTTTGTTAAGAAAGTTTTGTGTTTATTGTTATTTTTGCTTTCTTTCCTTTTTTTCAGTTGTATCGATAGAAAATCAAATTTAAAAAGAAAGAAACATGGCTTTAGGAATTATTTTTTTAAAACAAAACCTTTTTTTGCTAAGCATCTGCCATTATCCTCAACACCAGAACAAACAAATAGTCATGTTAACCACCAGTCAGGAAGAAGACCCTCCAAAAGCAGTGTTGTCGAGCAGAGACGGAAAAGACAAGTCTTTGGAAGCAGCCAGATTTTTAGGTGTCAAAACCAAAGCACCAGGCATTGCATTAAAAGTCCAGGGAACATTAGGTGCTTTTCATTGGACATGCATCTATATTATTTGCACCTGCAAAAGTTTGGGGGCTGTTGCACATACTTCCTTTTCAACCAGCGCATATCCTAGAAGAGGGATCAGCAAACTTTTTCAGCAGGGGGCCAGTCCACTTTCCCTCAGACCTGGTGGGGGGCCGGACTATATTTATTTGGGGGGGGGGAGAATGAACTCCTACGCCCCACAAATAACCCAGAGATGCATTTTAAATAAAAGGACACATTCTGCTGATGTAAAAACACACTGATTCCTGGACTGTCCGGGGGGCGGATTTAGAAGGCGATTGGGCCGGATCCGGCCCCTGGGCCTCAGTTTGCCTACCCATGTCCTAGAACTTCCTGATGAAATCCTATAGCTTTTCACACCACAAATGTTCTAGCGGAGAGTCCACTCTTTTGCTGTGCCACTCCAGAAACCGACAATATGCTAGCCACAGGGAACAACTACAGTGGTACCTCGGGTTAAGTACTTAATGCGTTCCAGAGGTCCGTTCTTAACCTGAAACTGTTCTTAACCTGAAGCACCACTTTAGCTAATGGAGCCTCCCGCTGCCGCCATGCCGCCGGAGCACGATTTCTGTTCTCATCCTGAAGCAAAGTTCTTAACCCGAGGTACTATTTCTGGGTTAGCGGAGTCTGTAACCTGAAGCATATGCAACCTGAGGGCCCATTAACTGTTTCCCTAGAAAGGCGGCTACAGTGGTACCTCGGGTTAAGTACTTAATTCGTTCCGGAGGTCCGTTCTTAACCTGAAACTGTTCTTAACCTGAAGCACCACTTTAGCTAATGGGGCCTCCAGCTGCAGCCGCGCCGCCGGAGCACGCTTTCTGTTCTCATCCTAAAGCAAAGTTCTTAACCTGAAGCACTATTTCTGGGTTAGTGGAGTCTGTAACCTGAAGCGTCTGTAACCCAAGGTACCACTGTACAGTAATAAATTAGAATTAAATCCACTGTTGACGCGCTGTTATGTCGTCTAGAACGCTTTGCAGAACGCACCCACAACGGAACACCATTGTGGAAGGGCCCCATTAACTGTTTCCCTACAAAGGTGGCTACTCCCATAGCTCATGAGGCAAAGCAAACCCCAGGGACTAGGAACTTGAGCATCCAGCCAACTAGTCAACAACAGAGAGGCTCGCGCGGGGCGCAGCCCATTCCCATCCGCCAATCAGCTCTGAACAGCAGCCTAGAAGGGGCGTGGTCGCGAGTGGCTTGTTGTTTCATGTACTACCGGTTGCAAAAAAAGAAGAGGAAAGGCGGCTGGAGGGGAGAGATAATAGACGCGCACAAACACACACCTCGCAAAGCGGCACCATCTGATCTTTGCAGGATTCTTTCCACCAGTCCAGACTTGCTCTTGCAAAAGAGAACTTGGCCCCATCAAGAAGGAGCTCTTAACAAAATCCGCTTTTGGAAGGGGGAAGTTTTGAGTTGCAAACTTTTCCCAGAGGGTGGGGCGCAGTGGGGGGGGGGGCAAGAGAAGAGAAGTTTTTTTGCGGCACGTTTAAAAAAAACATTAAATGCAGCAAGCTTTGTGAGCCGATCCACTTTAGAGACGATCCACTCCCTCCCGTCCAACAAAGTCACAATATAAAATGTTTCTGCAGCCACTCGGGTTTGTTTACCTGCTAAGATGGCTTTGCCCGGATGGGTAAGTTTGGTTTTGCCCGCCGGAGCCGCTGCAGCCAGGCAGCGAGGTCTGGCGAATGGGCTGGCGAAGGGCGTCGAGGATGGAGACATGATGGTTGCAGGATCCGACCCACCGACAGACGGGACAGTTTTGCAAAAGCAGCAGAACTGGCAGGTGGGGGTGAGTTGATCCAAGTGCAAAAGAAGCAGGAGCTGGAGGAAATTGCCAGGTCGCTGCCGCCGCCGGATCCCCAGCCAGGGCTTCTTCTATATACTGCCGGGAGCCGAGCCGATCCAGCTAGCCAAGGCGGGCGCCGCCGCCCCCTTTTCCCGCGAGCGGAGGTGGGGCAGCCCCTCGCCACGCAGCTAGCGTCACGGGCTCGCCATTGGCTTTTAATGCTGGAAGGAGGGACGGGCGGAAAAGAAAAGGAGGAGGAGGAGGCGGCGGCAGCAGCTGACAGGATTGGGGCTGCCTTGCTTTTGCTTTCCCCGAAGATCGCGCAGTTGGAAGGGACCACGCGGCATCTAGCGCAACCCCCCCCCCAAATGCAGGAATTTCCCCCGCCGCGCGGGATTCGAACCCAGGACTCTGCGATTAAGATTCTCACGCTGTGCTGCTGAGTGAGCAACCAGGGATTGCAAGCGATCCGCTTCTCGGGAGTAGGTGGGGCGTCCGGTTTGCTGGGGGGTTTTGGGGGGGGTTGCAAAGAGAAGCATGGTGTTAGCGAAGGCAGCGTTGCACAGTCCCTGCTTCGGAGCAGCTGCTTGGCTTGCAGAAGGGACCGGCTTCAATCCGCGACATCTCCCTGTTTGTGAACCCTGGGGAGCTGCTGCCAGTCCGTGTAGACAACACGGAGCTAGGCAGAGCGGTAGGTCGGACTTAGGAACTCAGGGAAGGGCCTGATTGCGAAGTCTGCTGCTGCTGCTACTGGAGCTTTAAGAACCTGCCTACAATTTAAGGTGGCGCTGCGATTTCTGCAGGGTGAGCAGAAACTACGGAGAAAGTTGCATTTGTTTTGGTTTTTAAAAAATCAGACTCGCCTTTATTTATGAATTAAATTTAACACTTCCATCCTCCGGGTGGTACTTGTGGTCAGACTCATTCCCTGCCTTCCACGTGCCCCCCACCCCGTGCTGGACCCAGTGAGTCCCGTGCTGGGATGTTTCTCTTTAATGGGGTTTGCCAGTAAAACGTTCTTCGATAACTTTGCATTGTCAGTTTCACAGAACGCTCAGTTAGCCTTAATGAAGTACAGAGTGTTTAGGGAAGTTTTTTATGTATTTTTAATCTTTGTTGGAAGCTGCCCAGAGTGGCTGGGGAAACTCAGCCAGATGGGCGGGGTACAAATAATAATAATAATTATTATTATTTATTATTATTTATTATCCTCCTCCTCTGTTGAGCTAATTCAATACCCATTAATTCCACTCCACTCTCTCAGGTTTCCCACTTTTGCACTCAAGAAGGCATTCATTTTATAGGGAAGACCCACAGCTCAGTGATAGTGATGGGCTTTCCTGGAATCTCTCATTATGGTCAGAGGGATTAAGGCTTTCCCCAAAACCTACTAAGATTGCAGAGTAAGGGCGGTCAGGATAGGCAGGTTTGGACTACATCTGGGAGTCAAGATGCAATCCAACAGGATCTGGAAGATACAAGCTTCCATCTCTGGCGCCACCTACTGGTAGCCTCCTTGCCTTCTGCCCTACCAGTAATGGGCAACTGCCACCACAGCCCACTTCCTAAATAGTAGGGTCTGTTCAGCACCCCAGTGTTCAAGGAACACAATGAGGTTAAAGGGGCACTGGATGAATTTTGATTACAAGTGGCTATTAAATTTATGCTGGCTCACAGCATTTCAATTAAGGTACACTCCTTCATGAGATGGGAAACTCACAATTAACAAAACAAACTCTAGAACCGTGGTGTGGTGTTGCAGCTCTCCTAAAAAAAGGAAGCTTAATTCTTTTATTTCAATTTATTAAAACTTGTGGGAATGATGGTATTTCTAAAACAAGCGTTTTCTTTGGTACGATGCACACACATGCCAAGACAGACAGACAGACAGGTTAAATGGCTCACTGGCTTTGGTACTTGCTTTCTGCAGTTTCTAAAAGGTCCTGTAATTATGGTGCTGGAGGAGACTCTTGAGAGTCCCATGGACTGCAAGATGATCAAACCTATCCATTCCTAAGGAAATCAGCCCTGAGTGCTCACTGGATCCTGAAGCTGAGGCTCCAATACTTTGGCCACCTCATGAGAAGAGAAGACTCCCTGGAAAAGACCCTGATGTTGGGAAAGATGGAGGGCACAAGGAGAAGGGGACGACAGAGGACGAGATGGTTGGACAGTGTTCTTGAAGCTACCAGCATGAGTTTGACCAAACTGTGGGAGGCAGTGGAAGACAGAAGTGCCTGGCATGCTCTGGTCCATGGGGTCATGAAGAGTTGGACACGACTAAATGACTAAACAACAACAATTATTGTACTTGTGTTTTAGTTCTGCTATACAATCATGGCACTTCGGTTCCTAACGCAGACACCAATTAAAATGCAGCCTGACAGTTTAGGGAAATGAACCTCAGATGTGCTGTGCCCATGCAAGGATAAACCCACCACTAATTCCCATCTTGGCAGATGCAAGGGACTTGAAGCATCATTGCAGCCCTTCTATTAACCTCTCAACAGTGAATCCCTGCCTCCTTCCCATCAACCCTAATCCCTTTATCTGCTGCTTTGGCAACTGCTGGCACAGTAGTGCGTTGCACAACCATCTCAAGTCCTGTAGAGTCGTACCTTGGAAGTTGAACTGAATCCGTTCTGGAAGTCCATTTGACTTCCAAAACATTCGGAAACCAAAGTATGGCTTCTGATCAATCGGAAGCCCCACTGGACGTTCGGCTTCCAAAAAACGTTCGCAAACTGGAACACTCACTCCTGGGTTTGTGGGCTTCAGGAGCTAAAACGTCCGAGTTCCAAGGTACGATTGTAATGGGCCGGAGAGACCCTGTTGCTGAAGTCACTGCTGGGTACTGTCTTGTTAGCACTGACCTGTGACGGGGCCTCTTCAGCCGTAGTTCACCATTTTTGTATGGCCTTTTCTGGTGAGGTGGTCTTGCCCACCCCCCCTTAAGAGACAGGAGGAATTGAAGAACATTCAACATTCCTGTTCACCTGGACAACTGACATCTGAAACTGTTCTCAGCCACCTTGAAATTATTATTTTGTGAATATATGAACATTTACAAATGTTTTCAGATATTAATGCTTTTATTTATTTTGATCATATGGTTTTGCTGCTTTTTTGTTTGCCAGCCTGGGCTCCTTGGGGAGGAAAAGTCAGGACCAAAGTTTTAGTGACAACCACTATGAAAATCCTACTGTGAGTGGCTATGTATGTACAAGTATCTTTAAAAAAAATATCAGTTTTTCACTGGGGGATTTGTGTGTGTGTGTGTGTGTGTGTGTGTGTGTGTGTGTGTGTGTGTGATTTCCCTATAACACTTGTTTTTACTTTTTAGTTCAATTGCTTTTTGCTTATTGTAAGCTCCACAAAAATCTCGTGCTAAGGGCCAGCATACACGTCATAAATAAATCAAGTTTCATTAAAGACAAAGCAAAACCCACAACACCTTTGAACTTAGGAATCCTGTACACAGGACTACTGAATGCCTGCCTGCAGAAAGTTACTTGCCATTTTATTCAGTTTAGCAAGGTTTTAAAAAGGAAGAACGAACAGAGGCGGCATAGGAAAAGGGAAATCACATGTGGCTGGTGAGCCTTTTAACCATCCAGAAACTTCAAGCATTCAGCCGAGCTTAGTGTTATGAGCTTTCAAGGAGCTCTTGCTTATTATGGTAAAATAGGACCTTGCAAGAGACCAAGATACTTTCAAGGGCAGCAAATGCCAACTGTTTTTGTGCTGTCCTAGACTTGGCCAGTATCTTTGCCACCACATGCAAGGGAATAATATTTGGTAAAGGTAAGGCGTCGTCTTTGGACTCCAAACTACATCAGAATTGGCACCCCTGCGCTTCACAGTTCCCAAATACGAATCAATGGGAAGTTTGGTTTTAGCCTTAGGTGACATATTCTCTTTCGTGGGAGCAGGGAGAGCATTAAGAAAGCTACAGTGGGGAAAGCAAGCACACTGAACAGTAAACACATCACTGCAAATTGAAGGCACTTGCTAGATTTGACAGTAGTGCTGGGCGATACCTGGTTTTCAACATCGTGACATATCAGCAGCTAAATATCGTTATATGCTGATATATCAGTGTCTGGAATGTATCTTGGCTGCGTCACCCAGCCCTACTGAGGAAGCCCCCATATCACTCAGGCTCACGTGAGCCAGATGGGCTCCTCTGCCCCCCAAGCTGAGCGAGCCCCCATACCGTTCTGGCTTGCATGAGCTTTACAGGCGGGGGGCTTCCTCAAAGGCAGAGGCGGGCAGGACGACACAGCCTGAAAAGGTGCCCGCTGAGAATCTTCTCAGGCTGTCTGTCTGCCTGCAGGCAATTTGCAGGCAATTTGTACTGCCAGCTCAAATTGTCTGAAACTGGTATCGCGATCTGACGCCATGCTGGTTTCAGACAATTTAGCAACATGCCACCCAGCTCTGACACTCATCGGTTTACTAGCACAGCGTTTGGGGCTTACGCCACTTTCCACGATTGCATAAAAGCCGTTGCACTTCCACAGCTATGGGAGCCAAAGCTCAGCCGATTCCAGTTTTGACTTGAAAACAACCCCTTTAGTCCTAGAACACGGCCGAGGAAAAGAATTGTGGGCATTTACATGGTTGCTACAAGCACCTCCTTAGGCTGACACAGCACCTCCCCTCCAGCCCCCTTGTTTCAAACCACACAGTGGACACTGGTTTGATTTATGTTTATAATTGGATTTTCATAATATCCATGATTAGCACAAGAGTCATAGCCATAAATTATACATTATCTAGTTTTAAGTACATAAAATGTTAATGATATATGTCTCTGAAGAGTGGCACAAAGTAGTAACATCCCTGTTGGCATTCTCTATTGGGAAGAAGAAGAAAAGCGAGAGTGCATTTGGTGGGCAGACCATCTGATCTCACAGAATTCCTGCACAGAGCCAGAAGAGGGGTGGGGTGGATGGGAATTGGAGCTGTTGCCGGCTCAGAAAGGTATCTCCGAACGCCCGGAGGGTTTTACAGCAGGAATTGGGAACTTGGAGTCCTCCAGATGCTGTGGACTCTCCAGCTCATCTCAGCCAGCATGGTGTGGTTAGGGATGATAGGAGCAGCCTACGCCTGCTTTAGAGTTTCAGGTCAAATACAGCCAGCATAGCAGAAGACTTGCTTTCAAGGTGAGACTTGAAGTCACGCAAGGAGGTGCACCCCTACTTCCCGGGGACTCCAAACTCATTTCTTACCATAGCTGTCAACTTTTCCCTTTTCTTGCGAGAAATCCTATTCGGAATAAGGGAATTTCTCTTTAAAAAAGGGGAAAGTTGACAGCTATGTTTCTTACCAACACGGTCCTCTCTGCCGCACACATTTACAATACTTATGGCTGCCCAGGCAACACACTCTTTGACATTTGCTTGTCAAGAAAAAAAAGTCACATAGCCAAGTTATGTTGTTGAAAATGTGTACCATTTGATGCCAATGAGTATCATGCTATTACTTACTACAGGAACAAAAAATATGGGGAGTGTCTGCTCTGAGATATGATCCAATTTATTCTCCAAGGAAGGTTTTTTTTTAAAAAAAAGAAAAGAAAAACACAAAAAAATCCAGAAGGCATAGATGCTTTTTTTTTTTTTGCAACATTCTGTAAACTGTGTCACCTCTCCCCCCTGTCGCCCCCAAATACACTTTTTAGTTCCTTTTTTTTTTTTGCACAGCGCTACAAACAAATGGGGAGAAGGTGTGTGTTACATACAATTTTCATATATCCCACCAGTTGGAAGGTTCGGCTTCATCTGTTACAGTACTTTTTAACACGTTAACAGCTTGGTGCCAGAGGACGCCCCGGCATGCACGTGGCTAGAGAGAGGACCCTGGAAGGAGAGAGAGGGAAAAAGCAGCACTAAAACGCCCAAAACCACCACCAGAAATCCTCCTAGCCCCCAGAAGTTATTGCTGGGTTGTTGGTTTTAGTTGGAGTGTTGCCTCCGCTTCAGACAGAGCCTTGAAATGTCGCTAACAGAAAACAAGATAAAAGGAGAGGGGGGAGAGCTGCCTTTTGAGGTTGAAATGTAACAGGACATAGCAATAAATAACACAGTGTCCTTTGGGTGTCTCTGAACCAAGGGGGGGGTAGGGGGGGGCTGAAAAGGGCATTCAAGCCAACGCAGGGAGTCATCTGTGCCTTCTTGGAGAAAAAGTAAAAAAAAAAAAAAGAGGGACGGGAAAATGATGATCCGAGACGGTTAAAGGTCTCGCAGCGCGAGTTACATATTGAAACCGTAAACTGGTGGCTGGGTGAATCCTGGCGCCGTGTAGCCATAGGGGAAGTTTGCCTGTGGAGGTACTGTGTTTGGGCCTGCCGTTAGCATCAGCTGCTGGCCTGGAAGAAAGACAAGAGGGGGGGGGTCCGTTTAAGTCACTTGGAAGGTAAGGCCTTTTGCATACCCCAACCCACAGAACCCAACAAATCCCAGTTCAAAATGCAGGGGTGTGTTTGTCTGTTTTTTAAAAGGATTGAAACAGAAAAAGCAAAAGGTACATTTCCAGCTCTAACGTCACACAAAGCTGCCTTATACTATGTTAGACTATTTGCCCATCTTTATTTCTCTGTATATATATAAATATTTATTAAATTTACATACTGACCTTCACCAGCAGATCACAGCGTGGTTTACAGGATTTAAAAAAAAAACACTGTAAATACTGTCCTAATCTAACTGGAAGTAGCTCCAAGGTCTCAGGTGAGGAGTCTTTCTCCAGAACTGACTCCTAAGCTGGCAAAGTCAAAAGGACTGAACCTGGGGTTTCTCCTGTGTGGTGTTGAGAGGCAGCGCGGTGCAATTGCTCGGATCCCGGACTATGATTGTGGAAGATGCAGGTTCGAATCCTCCCCCCCCCCCAGCCATGAAACTGAGCGACCTGAGAAAACCTCTGCCTCCGATTTACTTTGCAAGGATCAGAATGGGGAGGACGGGAATCTCCTTGGGAGAGGTAACAAATGTAATTGGTGGGTTTTACTCAGAGGAGACCCAGTTACCGTATTTTTCGTCCCATAGGATGCACCGGCCCATAGGACGCACCTAGTTTTTTGGGGGGGGAAATAAAGGAATCCAAACCAGGTCGGGAAACAGCGTGATGGCGGAGCTCAGCCTCCCCGCTGTCCCCCGAGCTTGTGGGGCTGCCCGATGTCTGCCCGAAGCGCGGGACGCTCTGCTTCAGCGCTCCCCGCGCTCCGTGCAGCAGGCTGCGGATGTCTTCCCGAAGCGTCGGGCGCTCTGCTTCCAGCGCACCCCGGGAAGCAGGCTGCGGGTGTCTTCCCGAAGCGCCGGGCGCTCTGCTTCCAGCGCGCCCCGCGCTCTGGGAAGCAGGCTGCTATCCGCAGCCTAGGGAGCCCTGCGGGAACTCCTGCAGGGCTCCCTATGCTGCGGATGTCTTCCTGAAGCCTGGAGAGCGAGAGGGGTCAGTGCGCACCGACCCCTCTCGCTCTCCAAGCTTCAGCGAAAGCCTGCATTCGCCCCATAGGATGCACACAGATTTCCCCTTCATTTTTGAAGGGGAAAAAGTGTGTCCTATAGGGCGAAAAATACGGTAATGAACATGACTTATGTTAGGGCCGGTAATTTCAACAGGTCTACATTGTTGAATGCCCCCCAATGGTTCTACTGCTGAGCTAAGGCCCTTCCAGATTTAAAAGAAGGGCAGACGGACAAGGGACAGTTCTCGAAATTCCAGTGTAGCCGCATGTTTGAGCTGCCTGCCCCCCTTTTCATGACTGGGAAACAGCCAAGACTTCCTGAGAAATCCTTGAATGAACAGCTCCCATATGATATAAAAATAGCTCAGGGGTTCTGTGTTTTTTTTATAGTAAATGCCTCCCTGCTCCTTCCCTGCGGTGAAGTAGTGACTAAGACAGGATTTTGTTTCAATTGTCTGGCACCTATTAGGTCCTGAAAAAACTACATTAAGAGAATCTTTCAAAGTTCAAACCAAAAACCCCATACGATATACATTTGTACAGCCAAGAGTTTTAAACACGTTGCAGTTAGATCTGTTAGTCGTATTTCCCCAGCCTATGCTTATTAATTCTGCCACAGACCAGACACACATTTGTTAAAACTCTACTAAAAAACTACGCATGCCTCATGCATGGGAAAACTGAACTCCCATTGAAAACCATTCCCAGTAGAGAACTGACCTCGTCATCATGAACTTCCTTTAATGGAGGGACCTAGAATGCAATTGTCAATAAAGTCTACCTTTTGCCAAAATAAAGACTTTTTACACATTTCTGGAATAGAAGCACCATTTTCTCCCTTAATGGGATTCTGTTTTTCCAGAAGATTTAATTTCAAAGAGTCTTGCCACCCACAGAAGGGAAGGTTTCCCCCTACCATAGTTCAGATATACCAAGAATACCCTTGCCTATCTAGAAACACTACACTTCTTGAAATGGCAAAACATTTTAACTAGAGAGGGTGTTTTCTACTGGAAAAAAAGGCCGAGAGCCAAATGTGGTGTAATATTCCATATCTATGGGACTTCGTTTGTACACCCGCACACTTTTCTACAACCATGCAATTTCTTCCAAGCTTTCAGGAGCAGGATCTGCCTAGTTCAGCCTCCACTCGTGGATCATATAAATGAGAAATGATTTTAAAAGCATAGCTGTTCTATCCCAACACTGGTTCATAGTGTGTGTGTGTGTGTGTGTGTGTGTGTGCGCGCGTGTCCGTGTGTCCAATAAACCTCTTTGAAAAGCATCCAGAATCTGTAAAGGCTGCAATCCTAGAGAGAATTGCTAGGAAATAAGCCCTCTTCAAGTCAGTTTACTTCAGTAAACAAGTTGTGCTGCATAGCTGCTTCCAGGAGAGCGAGAGAAAACCTAACATAAACTAGATTTCTTCTGAAACACCGATATCTTGAATTACATTGTGATGACGACATGGCAGTCACTGGCAGCAACAGATTTTTAGTTAGATCCTATGAAGAAATCTCAAGTTCTTCTAGTTCAGCATTAACACACGGAGGGTTTGTTAAGTACAAATACTTGGGATTTCTGGAAACGCTTCTCAGTTAAGGGCCTAACAAAAAGAAAGCAAGTCTTCACCTACCAAATACTATTGGAGTGGGTTCAGTTACTTGTTCCTCTTCTTTCCTTAGGCTTTCAGAAGCATCAAGTTTATCCACCTAAGTTGTAAAGTGAAAGGAAACTCTCATGAAGGAACTTCTTAGCGCCCGAGTTCTGCGACCCCCCCCAAAGTGTTTCCTCCGTTCCAGCTTTCATTTAAAAATATTTATGTCTCAACGTGTCAGCGGATCTAGCACAACTTTCTACTTTCAGAACTAAGTCCAGTTTCAGCATTTGCTCAACTGCCAGAGATCAGCTCTTTAATAGGATGGCCTGTGGCACAAGCAAAAATGCATGGTCAAGTTCACAGAACAATTAAGTCGCAGGGAGCTTCGGACTAGATTCACCTTTCGAAACATCCGTTACCTGCAAGAGCCAGTTCCCACATTCCATCAAGCAACAGAACCCAGAGCTAACCCAAAGAGCCCCTTCAATAGTCCCTTAGGACAAATTGGCAGAGCACTGAAAAAATAAAAAATCTGGACAGCTATAGGGAGGTGAAACGTGTTTCTCGTGCTGGGCATGAAGTTCACCAGAGGCAAGCTTAATCCTCACACCAATGGTGTTCCTGACTGCATGTTGTTACTTCCTCCCACCCATAAGTCAATGGCTATGGCCTAGGACCCTCGTACCTACAGGACCGCCTCTCCTGGTATGTCCCACGGAGGACCTTACGGTCTTCCAACAAAAACATCTTGAAGGTTCCAGGCCACAGAGAGGTTAGGCTGGCTTCAACCAGAGCCAGGGCTTTTTCGGCTGTGGCTCCGATCTGGTGGAACGCTCTGTCACAAGAGACTAGGGCCCTGCAGGACTTGACATCTTTCTGCAGGGCCAGCAAGACAGAGCTGTTCCACCAGGCCTTTGGCCAAGGCACAGCCTGACCCTCTCCTTTGGTAATCCTCACAGAACTCTAGCCCAATGGTTGCCATTAATTTGATTTGAACTGATTTTATGAATTGATTTTAGAATGCTGTATTATTTTACTGTTGTTAGCCGCTCTGAGCCCGGCTTCAGCTGGGGAGGGCGGGATATAAGTAAAATTTTATTATTATATTTATTATTCATTCCTGCTTTCCCCCAAAATGTGCTTTACTGGGATGGGGGCAACAATGTACCACTAGCACTGGGTGACCTAGTCATCAGACATGGAGGGATAAAGATAGAGAGACGTAGGCAGCACACTCAATGCATTGTTAAGCTTCTCCTCTTCCCCAAACCAACTTTTTCTTTTTTGGAGGGGGGGGGGCAAAGAGCAGCACGGTCCCCTTCTTTGCCTGCATTCTGAACAGACTTCCCAGCTGGTCAAAGGGAAACGTGATACTTCAAAGGCTTCTTTGGCTTATGCAAACAAGAGGCAAGGCCAGATGTGACAAGCAAGTCCTCACCCCATGTTGTGTAGATGAGGACCTGGACATCTCTACTCATTGGAAGAAACTGTTCCGTACCTATAGAATCTGATGGGCATTTTACGGATATTGCGGTCTGGTTTTACTATCAACATACAGTTTCAGTGGCAGGGACCCCTGGCCATTAGGTCCAGTCGTGGCCGACTCTGGGGTTACTGCTCTCATCTCACTTTATTGGCCAAGGGAGCCAGCGTACAGCTTCCAGGTCATGTGGCCAGCATGACTAAGCTGCTTCTGGAGAACCAGAGCAGCACACGGAAACGCAGGAGTGGTACCTATTTATCTACTTGCACTTTGACGTGCTTTTGAACTGCTAGGTTGGCAGGAGCAGGGACCGAGCAACAGGAGCTCACCCCATCGCGGGGATTTGAACCACCGACCTTCTGATCGGCAAGTCCATTCAGAGCTGCCAGGCCAATTAGTGGGGTTTCTGCAAATACATTGCAAGCAACATTAACAGCTGCCATTACAATGAGGTTTCACTTTGCTTTGGATTGGAAGGCAAGTTCCTGGAAATTTAAAGTCATACCAGAAGAGTCTGTTTAGGTTCAAGCTGTCATGTCAGCATGTCTCCTTAATGTACCACTGTAATGTCACCATCATTGCTTAGAGCAGCTTAAATATTGAAGTTTACTCAAGAGGAAGCATTTCCAAGACTGGAAGAGGGTTTGCTTTTTGCTAAGCCAGACAGCTGAAGAGCAGTTGCATTCTCTTGGATGTGAGCATAAACTCCTCACTCAGTCTAGTTCTGTCTTATCCAGGGACCAGGCTGCAGTTACATTTTTCAATTACAGTTAACTTCTGTAAGTGATTCCTATGTAAAAGGCAGGGTTGTAATACCAGTCGATAGGTTCCTGCCACTGTGTGAAGGCCAGAATGTCTTAGGATTCTTGCCGTTTCATGTCTTGTACACTTGGGCAGCATTCCTTTTAATTTTGTTGTATTGCAGAAGTTTTAATGGTGCACTTGGATTTCCCATTTTTGGATGAAGTTACCCACCCACCCCCCAAAAGGATACTTTTCTCTGGAAGGAACCCCAGTACTATTGCTAACATAATCGGTCCCATTAAGAGGAGAAATTTAAGCTCTCTTGGTTGCTGTTACATTCAAACACTATAAAAATATTCAAGCTAAAGGCAGGGGGAATTTATATCCTGGGTTTAACCCCAACAGCAATACTAACTTTTACTAAGCTAAATATTCAAGATTGCCTCATAAAAGCTGCCAGACACTGTTTACCTACTGGCTTGAAACTGAATAGGATATGTCCAGTTTCCTTAGCTGCTACAGTGGTACCTCGGGTTACATACGCTTCAGGTTACAGACTCCACTAACCCAGAAATAGTACCCCAGGTTAAGAACTTTGCTTCAGGGTGAGAACAGAAATCGTGCTCCGGCGGCGTGGCAGCAGCGGGAGGCCCAATTAGCTAAAGTGGTGCTTCAGGTTAAGAACAGTTTCAGGTTAAGAACGGACCTCCAGAACAAATTAAGTTCTTAACCAGAGGTACCACTGTACTTAGTTTTTGCATTTGCAGCAACTTTCCTCTTGGAAGCTACTATTAATGGCTTCATTCTGGCCTTGCAAGTGTGGAATCTGCCCACCCACTCACCAATCAACGATGGGTCTGTCAACAGAATAGTAATACCTTCACAGCAGAAGCTGCAGCACTCCTACTGGATGTTAAAGGTTGCTGGCCCAGGAATCTGATCATAAGCTCTCCTCCTCCTCCTCCCCACACCCAAGAGGTAGTCCCCGTCAGATCTGGGATGCATCTTCCACCTACAGCCTCTTGCATATCCACCTTTGTTATCTCCTGGGATATCGGTTTCTATCCCTACTTTTTTTAAGGGTGTTCAAAAGGTTGTTAATAGGAGGCATGTATTTTGGTACAGGGATGCACATCTTGCTGTTAGGTACACATGAGGGGAGTTAAAACAATTATTTACATTAAAAATGGGGAAATTCGTTCTCCAATTAATTACTACCTCCATGTACTAGATTAGTTCTTATTTTAAAAGCAGTCTTTTCATGCATGCTCTTTCTGGAAGACTGAATTATTTAGTAGACACTTGCCACTTGTAAAATCCAACCAGAGTTCAGCTTGACAAGAGGATGGTAGCGCTCATCAGATCTAAGACCCAGTTATATCCCAAGTGTAAAAAAGGGATTATTATTATTATTATTATTAGAACTTCATTTTACACACTTTGGCCCCCCCAAGACTAGCTTGTTAGGGCCTTGCTAGGCCACCATGGGATGCCTCAACTACCTTGGACATTAGATTTGGACATTTCAGATGCAAACTTTCCCAAATAATTGGAGGCACTGTAGGCAGATAAGCATCTTAAAGATGAAAATTTGGCTGCCGTGCCTAAAACAACTGAATTCTGACCTACTTTGCAGCTAGTGGGCACACAGCAAGCTAGGTCTGGTTGGATTTTTCCCAAGCTACTGTGGAAGAGATATTTACTATGGTATTAGTTAGACCAAAGCTAGATTATTCTGCTTTTCAGCAAAAGCTACAGTTAAGACTCCCAAATAGCCTTAGATATGTTTTAGGGACACAAATTTAAAAAGCCAATGTAAAACCAGAGCAACGGTCACCTTATTAAACAGACCATCAACCTGCAAGAAAATTCAGAGGGGAATACTTAAAATCAATAAGCCAGAAAATCAATTTCAAGAAAAAGCAAAGATCACACAAACATGGGCAGGGGAGTTTGCAGGGAGAAATAGGAAAGGAGACCCACACAGAAAAGAAGCATACTCAGCATTTAAACCTATGGGAAGCCAATATCTTACTTAACACAAAAGTGATAAGTTTATATACACGGAAAGCTTACTTAGCATTACAATACTTAATCCGCAATGCAGTTTCAGAGATGACCTATTAAAAGGGTTGCCTTGCACAAATCCAAAACCTACACTGTACTTGCCATACATCAATAGGCTTGCACACTGAATTAACGAAAGTATCAGTAACTACAATGGGCTGATGTGGGGAAGGGCAAAGGGATAACCAGATTTTTGCTGCTGCTCTTTTGATCTTGCTTTATTCTAGCGGAAAATTATTATTATTTTAATATCCAGGTGCTTACAAAAAGGATGAGTATGTAAGTAGTCCCTTTGGCCTGAAATACATGGCTGTCAGTTACAGATCTCTAAGATCCAGCCAGCTTTCAGCATCCCACCCTGATGCCTTTTTTACAGGCAGTCAAAAGAATAAAAAGGAAACAGCAGATCCATGCAGCTCACGGAGAGCAGCGTGTGAGCACATTTGTTTCCAAAACAATTCCAAGTAGTATTCCAAGTAGGGAAGAACATCTAAAAGAAAGTGTTTTAGTCAATTGAGCTAGTAAAAGTGAAGTAGTCCAAATGTTTAAAAGTGAAAAAGAACAGAGATCAACTTCTTCACGGAAAAAAACTTAAATCTTAAGGTTTAGCGGCAATGGGAGCAGCCAGGAGAAGTTTTGGCTAGCGTGTCTGGCCATCTGTAGTGGGAGGCTAAAAATAAAATAATAAAAAGAGTAAATCTACTAACTAGGTGTTGGCAAGTTCCAGAAAATGTATGCGAAGAGCTAGGTCCTTTTTATAGTTCCCTTCATTTTTTCAGGCTGGATCTCAGGATTCCTGCTAGTCTCCACCCCACCATTCGCAATATGACATTTAAAGCAATTTGGTAATAACTGAAACGTTTTGCCAGGTCATTTAGAGGCAAAATTTGAAGCATGTCACCCAGGACTCGAGATCAAGGCAACAAGCCTTTCTAGAGAAGCCACACTTACTTTGGTCAGGTACTCCCTCATCACCTGGATAAAATAAGGCATCGCAAAGTCCATAATGTTGTGCCTCCATGCCAGCTCAAGGACCACGTCCGGATGCAACAGGTCGTAACACGTGAAGAGAGAAGCTGCGAAACACTCTTTCTTGTCTTCTTCCAGAAACCACTGAAGCAGTTTCTCTGCCAGCTCAGCATCTTTGGATTCTGCGGCATACTGCATAGCATCCTACAGAACACCATGAAACTTATTTAGAGCCATGAAGTAACTACATCAGACTTCTCATGCATGATACTAGAGCAGGATGCATAAGCGCAAAAACAGGTGTAGGACTGCTTCATCTTCTGCAGGCTTTTACGAAAAAAAATTGTTTAAAATTCCATCCCGCGTGCTCCCAGTACAGTGGTACCTCAGGTTACATACGCTTCAGGTTACAGACTCTGCTAACCCAGAAATAGTGCTTCAGGTTAAGAACTTTGCTTCAGGATAAGAACAGAAATCTTGCTCCGGCGGCGCAGCAGCAGCAGCAGGAGGCCCCATTAGCTAAAGTGGTGCTTCATGTTAAGAACAGTTTCAGGTTAAGAACGAACCTCTGGAACGAATTAAGTACTTAACCCGAGGTACCACTGTACATACCAGGAGGAACTAACAACGCAAAACGAAAACAGACCTTATATAAGCGATCTTTCTTGCAGAGCTCAACACTCTGCTTCCATCTGTTATTGCCTTTGTACAGGTAAGCAGCAATGCGTCTGAATTCAATCAACTCATGTTTCTCTAGACGCTGAGCCAGTGTAATGTTATCAAAGTTGTCGTAGGCATCAATGGATGCTCGCAAGCCCTATTGGAAGGGGGAGAAAGTTATAGTCAGGCACATGGAGGAGCGATTTAAATTGCTACAAGCGATGCTAAGCCTACAGTGCTGTATCACAGAGTTTTCGTCGAAGCTTCTGAGCACAGCAAAACACAAAGGACATTCTCCCATGGGCTTTAAGTAGCGGGCTACAGATTTACATCAGAAACTACTCTGTACGCACTTAAAACCACTGACCTCAGATCTGTTTAATGCAGTGATGGGGAACATTTTTCAGCCAAAGGGCCTTCTGGGCAAATTGGGGGGGGTGTTAATTTATTTATTTGCTTATTTATTTAATTTATATACTGCCCTTCATTCTGAAGATCTCAGGGCAGTTCACGAGATAAAAAATACAGGGTAAAAGCACAAAATAGTTACAACAAAAATTAATAATAACCCCCCCTCCCACAAACACATTTAAAAGGCCATTGAATATTAATTAATCAACCAAAGGGCTGGCTGAAGAGGAATCTATGGAGCTGATACAAAGATTAAGCATTTTAAAGTAATGAATTATGTAGTCATTCTGCATACATGCCATAATTATGCTTCTATAGAAAAATGCCATAATCGCTGGCAAACTCACCTGGTAGTCTTCCTCCTCTGTCAGAAGATTGTTCAGCGCTTCATTGACTCCTTTATTATTATGATTCTGGACTGAGCGCAGGTAAGGTTTCACTAGAGGCAGTTGATCAACCTAGGGGCAATGCAATTGTTTAGGCAAAGAGTTGTTCTTGCCGAAGGGCCTCCCACAAAGTACATCTCTAAGGTAACAGGGCCCACCTAATTTAAGTCACATTAAACCCTAGAAACTAGTCATCTCCCAAAACAAAACCTTATTGGAACAAATGGTATATCCACAATTTAAGACCTTAAGTCATTTTATTTTTATTTTTTTATGTGGTTTTTTTTAATTGGTTTTCACATATTACTTTACAATACAGATGTACGAAAGCCAACACCATTTCCTCCCCATCCCCCCATACATTCACATTTCTACCTTAAGTCATTTTATACAAATTTATGTATGCAACAGGAGGATTTGGAAACGGGGGGAAAAGTTAGTCTAAGGAAACTGAGCCAGATGGGTGGGGCATAAATAATAAATTATTATTATTATCATGTCTTGGCATGATAAGAGATGAAACCCCTTTTGCCTTGAAGGTACAATTTGAAATGGAAAGGTCTTCAAGAGAAGTATGTAATTTAGCCCATTTTAAATTTGTGCCTCCTCTAACTCACCTTGGAGAAAAAGCTGACCGTCCTGGTGTGATCCAGCCTTGGAGATAATACCAGAAGGAGATCATTGATCAGCAGTGGTTTATAATCCAAGTAAAACTGCAGCGCTTTGTAATATAGCTCCACATTGGCCACCTAGAGAACAAATTCAAGCTGTGAGGTAATTGGCTGCCCCTGAGAGTGATTTAACAAACAGCATTTAGTTAACTATGACCCTCTTATTTGGTGCTCAAGAGTCTTTAACAGCTCTGCATGGCAGTACTGTATAAAAAGTTAGAGCAAATAAAGAAAGAAATCTGCAAGCTTTAACATGCTGCCATCCTTAGAAAATGGAATCATAGTTGCTAACTTAAGTGTACCTAAGAAGTGATGCATGTCTGATGCCCTGTTGGGCTGGATAAAGAAGAAGAGAAGAGTTTGGATTTGATATCCCGCTTTATCACTACCAGAATGAGACTCAAAGCAGAAACATTCTCCTTTCCCTTCCTCCCCCACAACAAACACTCTGTGAGGTGAGTGGGGCTGAGAGACTTCAAAGAAGTGTGACTAGCCCAAGGTCACCCAGCAGCTGCATGTGGAGGAACAGAGACGCGAACCCGGTTCACCAGATTACGAGTCTACCGCTCTTAACCACTACACCACACTGGCTCTCCTATAACTAAAGAGTTAATAGTTGTCAAAACCACATGAAACTGCTGGGAGAGCTTGCCTGGTGCTTTGAGGTTCAGTGCCACCAGTATGCAGATGATACCCAACTCTCTCCCTCTTCTTTCCATCTAAATGTGAGGAAGCTGCTTTGGTGCTAAAACAGTGTCTGGCAATAATGGATTGGATGAGGGTGCATAAGGGCCTGTTTCTCAGAGAAGCAACTTTAGAAAATCAGAATGTATTAGTAAGAAGCTGGATGATGTATGGTGTTCCTGCCACAGGAAGATTTGGCTATGTCTTATAGTCCCTTGGCCACGCGCTGGGTTTTCAAGACACACCAACAGATCTGAATACCTGAACCGGTGTGAAACTCAACATGTTTTGGGGTCAAGCTGAGGAGTTGTTACCATTACAGCTGCTTACCTTTGCAATTATGTCCTTGAACTGCCCTTCCTTCCATGCATCGGTAGGGTGGTTCATCATTGTAATTATTGCGTTGTCATATTCTTCGTATTTGTCATAGAGGAAAACCAGCTCTCCCCAAAGATGGGCCTGTTCTGCTGCCCGAAGCACCTTGTGGGGAGAGGAAAGGTAAGGTACAAATCAGGCAGTAGCCAAAGCAATAGTTTAAGTAGAGCCCACTGAAAAGACAAGAATTCAGGCCACTCGCTCTGTTTAATTCGGGGCCCAATTAAAGTATGCAATCTTTGACAGTACAAGCCTTAAATAGCCTGAGGCCAAGATAGCTGAAGAACTACTGCTATCCCCATGAACTTGCCCAGTATTCCACCACTGGGTGCCACGTTCTGCATTGTCCTGCTTGTGGAAATCAGAAGGTGGGTAACTAAACAGGTCAGGATCTTTTCTCCATTTCCCCCAGGAACTGCCCACTCCTCTCGCCCTCAATATTCACCTGGCCACCTCACTCCCAGCTTTCCACAGTAAAAACTTTCTTCTGGAATGTCTTTGGATATTACCCTTGTCCTATGACACTTTTTTTCTGTGTCCACTATGGTTTTTATTTTATTTGAATTGACATGTATTTTTGTTGCTAGGAAAGCAGGCATTTTTAAAAAAACAACTTTTAAATAATTTGTGTTACATGATTGACTCAATTGCAGGTATACTGTCAAATACCTTGGGAATGTTGACTCTGGACCAAAACAATTCCAGGTGCTCTCTCATCTTCTGAGGTTTGTATTTAGAGTACAAGATGGCAAGTTCAGTGAACATCCCCATGTGGGCACGCTCAAGGCCCAGAGCAGCTTCTAAGAGGGCAATCAGCTCTTCAAAGTATCCACGATCCTAGGATTAAAAACCACAGCATGTTTAAGAAGCATATATCTCACTTGCAAAGAAAAATGAAAAAGCCTTGCAATTTTAAAACCAGTGATAATGCTTGAAGACGGAATGTATTAAAAAAGATTGCAGAAGAGACTGTTTAACTTAGATATAGGATGTTCTAAACACCTTTAGGCAACATTCAAAGTCAGTAGTACAGTAGTACCTCGGTTTTCAAGTGTCTCAGAAGCAGAACGTTTCGGTTTTCAAACGCCAAAAACCAAGCAGGAAATGCTTCCATTTTCAAACACACCTCGGAAGTAGAACGGCTTCCGCTGCGTTCCCCCCCCCCATTTTCTCCACTGAAATTGCAGGTCACCTCTGCAAGGCCCTTCGCGCCTTGCTTTTCAAATGTATTGGAAGCCAAACTGTCTTCCAGAACGGATTACGTTCGAAAACCGAGGTACCATTGTAGTAGCTTGTTCATAAGTGAAGGATAAGGTATGTGGGCCATTTAGTATGAAGCAGCAGCTGGGAACTAGAAGGCCCAACATTTAGACTATGACACACTGACGACACACCTTGGTGCATCTGCACAGCCATTTGAAGTGGTTCTCTAGCCTCCTAATGAATGTGTAGAATATTCTACTGAAGCAAAGAAAACTTGTGGCATAACATTAATTCCTCCAGCTGCAGTTTTCTAGAGATGTACACCTGGCTTTAGCCCTGTCCATACTGGATATCAATTAACATTAACTTAAGCCATAAATACTACGGATCTTTTAGCTTGCGTTAGCTGTCTTAAGCTTGTGGGGAATCGGGTTTTAAATACTATAATAGCACTGCTGCAAACAAGCAGCCAGGGGCATTTTACACTTTCAAAACAGTTAAAGGAATCCCACCTGATAATAGCTGATCAGCTCTTCAAGCTCATCAGCATGGATTACTATGTGTAAGCCACAAATCTGCGCAAGCCGGAACTCCTTTCCATCCACACACGCAAAGCACACCTGCAAGTGGGAAACAAAAAATGCTGTTAGCAAACTGTGTTACAAGTCAACTTGCCCAAATACCTTATATCCCTTAGATCAGGATTTGAGCCAGTCCCCCACATGGACATTGATCTGAAATATTTTCCATAAAGTAGGTATGAAGGTTGTGTTGACCCTCATGTGGACTGTTCCAGAAGCTTTGATAGCACCATCTTGGTAGTCAAGATAACCCCATGATTAATTGGTAGTGGTTGCAGAAATGAGCTCATATATGTTTATTCACGTGCTTTGATATAAGCTAATTGGCTCACTTGGATGTTATCCTTATCCTTGGGCTCGGGGGTGCTGGGCTCTGAGCCCAGAAAGGGGAGCTATCTGTAAGACCTGGGTATTTGCCACCTATGTCCTCATCTGGGCAGGTGAAGTGTTGGGAGGTCCTAGACAAAGTGACATATGCTGCTTTGTGTATAAAGATTGTATGCATGTTGGCTTGGGCGCGGAGAAGCCATCTTCTTGCTGCGGTGTCCGCCCTGTATCTGCAAAGCCTTGGAGAACTGGCAGGCTGCTTTGCTGTAAATCCATACCTTTTTTAATAAAGCACTAGAACAGGCCATTCTGATGTTCTTAGCATCCTTCTTTGGTATCCCTGCACCCAACCACTCCCACAAGCCCTCCCTTTGGTCCTGCCGTTCAGAACAGAAGATGCAATTGATTCTCTAAAAAAGGTATTGCCTTTTGCACTAGGGTGGTTGGTTTTTTTAAACAGCAGCCATTAGGTTGTGTCGAGATCTTTAACTGCTAGTCTTAATACCTTCCCTTGCAGCACAAAACGAGTTACCTCCTTCCACGTCCTGGTGCTGTTGGCTTTGCGGCCACTATCAACAGCTGCCTGGTACTCCCCAAGATGAACCAGTGTAGATGCCAGGCGAGCAAAGTTAGACACATTGTTGTAGAGAAGTTTGGCCGCATCGTACATGCCCTCCTCATAACAGCGATCGCCAACCTAAAGAGGAAGAGTTTGTGACAGTGAAGGAGTGCTGGGGCACAAAAGCTGGAGCTGGCGTATTACAAAATCCAGGTCAGAAGTTAGTTTAGCTGGAAGTGCTAGCATTTAAGTAGAAAACATACCTGCTGTATGTGAGCGTTGTTGGGGCCACTGACAAACTCTTCTAGCTCCGAGAGCCTATTAGTTTTTGCCAAGGCAAATATAAGTTCAGTCTCGACGTAAGATTCCCTTGCTTTTTTCCTAGCCATTTGTAAAAATTTAACCAGATCCTCCCAGTTATCTTAACAAGCAGGCAAGGGGAGAGAAGAGGATAAAGATAAATTAGTTCCCTTGAATTTAGTTTAGTTTTTGTTTTTTTGTTCCCTACACTTGCAAAGAAGCAACAATATGCTCCACCTCTCAGCAGTACAAAGAGATTTTATGTATACTGTACTGAAATACCGATCCTAAACAGGATGGATATTCTAGTAATTCATTTATCTGAAGTACCTTTTATCAGTGTTTTTAAACAAACTTAACACATTTCTATTTATTACCATGCAACCCTTTCAGAATTAGAGGTACATACTGAAGAGATCTGGCATGGGGATGTTTTATATAATCCAGCTTTGTCAAATGATGGTCTTCCCAAAGGATTTCCGCTAATCGAGCAAGGATTAAAATTACCACGTCCTGCTAAGTGAAAAGAAACATTTGAGCTTACCATTTCTGTTGGCTGCCTGGACAACTTCCATGTAGGCAGAAGGATCATCAGCCTTTATGTAAGAATCTATGGCTTCCTTCACCAAGTCCTTTTGGAGCTGTGCTCTGGCCAGCTGGCTCCAAACTGCTGGTTCATTACATCTCTCGGCAAATTCATAAGCACGATCCAAGTTGCCAATGTGTTCTATCAACACCTAGGAGAGGTTACCAAAATGAAAGTCCCAATAAATGTCCAGTGGGCACCACAGAGAGTTGGGGGTGGGGGGAGAGAGAAAGAAAAAGAAAAAGAAGAATGATTCAAGTCTAGAAAAAGGTACAAAGCCCAAACAACCTTAGAACATCACTAGAATCTTTTGTTTATTTAGATGGTTTATACGTTGTCCTTTATGCTGATGAAAACCACCCTGTGGCTTGTGTAAACAAATAAAATGCACAAAGTAACATAATCCTTTAAAACAAATCACTGAATCTGACAATTTATACATGAAGCAGTGTTCATATAGCGAGGGTTCAGATTTTATATACAGTGGTACCTCTAGTTACGAACACCTCTGGATACGAATGCTTCGGGCTACGCACACGGCAAACCCAGAAGTAACGGAAAGGTTTCCGCCGCCCGCGCATGCGCAGAACAGGCGCCTCTGGATGCAAATGTTTCAGGGTAAGAATGGACCCCCGGAACAAATTAAATTCGTATCCAGAGGTACCACTGTATAAAGCAGTGTTCCATAGACTGTTGCATTATATGGGCACAACCTCTCCCCATTCATCCAGTGCTGCATATATTTGTATATGTCTAGTGGATTTACCGGGCAAATAGAAAGCTTGCCATCTTGAGGAAGAAAAAAAAAAGTTCAGCAGCTCATGTAGGTGATGACAGTTTCTGGCAAAGCCTTGGACATCACTGAACAGGTTTATATAAATCTACCCAATACAACCAAGGAAACAGCCACTGTCACTCATCCTTGAAGTTAAGACTCCCTTCTTGCTCTTCAGGTATAGAAACCAGGCATAGGCAAACTCGGCCCTCCAGCTGTTTTGGGACTACAATTCCTATCATCCCCGACCACTAGTCCTGTTAGGGATGATGGGAGTTGTAGTCCCAAAACATCTGGAGGGCCGACTTTGCCTATGCCTGATATAAACATCCAAGTGTGCTACATTTTGCTGACGTTTCATGCATAAGCATTACAATATTTAATTTTCTAGGTCAAGGGAGGTCTCTGCAAGATGCACTAGCTGTTGATCTGTACTGAGCCTCACCTGAATTGCAGAAGTATTCACATCAAATTTCCGAAAGATGGCAAAAGCTTCTTCGTACAGCTCATTGCTAATAGCAATATTTGCAATATCTGGGGCATCATAGTTGTCTAGGCGGTTTATATACTCCATCACGCGTGTTCGGTCTGCTTTAATGGCCGTCAGTATTAGGAGATTCTGAAGATTCCTTTTAAGGGCAAAGAATCAAACAGTCAAGAAGTAGATTCAACTAGCAGGCTTCCCTGCAGAGTTTGCGTAAGAGTATTTTAGGAGTGGCGCAGGAATAAAAGACAACTATGTGTGGGCAACAGTAACCAGTTTTAAAAGTGAGCATTAATTAACTTGAAACCAAAACTAGCTTCTAGCAGCTCAAGTCAATGCAACTTCACAACGCAATAGAAACATGAGCAGGGTTGTGGCCTGTCACACTATATAACTGGGGTGGCTAGCCATTTTCATCACAAGAGCCACACTGGTACATTTCTCCTTGTACAGGGAGGCCAAGTGTGAAAGCGAGTGTGGCAGAGGGCCAAAAGCTCAGTAATAATTCATTACTATTTAATTTAACAAATCCATTAATATTTTATTGGCTCTTTGTCTCTTTAATAAGTAATTGGTTTATTTATTGTATTTATTGTAAGCAGCCCTCTTGATTCATCTGTGCTACCTTCCCAAGCCTACAGAGGATAGACTCCTAAATTTAAAATACATACCAAACTCATGTTTTGAAAAGCTGCCATATACTCAGTTTCACATGCTGATTCACAAAACAACTGATACTCAATAAAAATTTGCTGAGCAACTGAAACAAGATGATTGTTTCAGGATGCCCTGTATACCTGAACGAGTGTCTCTGCCCCCATCACCCAGCCCGGATACTGAGATCCAGCTCCAAGGGCCTTCTGGTGGTTCCCTCACTGCGAGAAGTGAGGCTACGGGGAACCAGGCAGAGGGCCTTCTTGGTAGTGGCGCCCGGCCTGTGGAACGCCCTCCCATCAGATGTCAAGGAAATAAACAACTATCAGACTGTTAGACAACACCTGAAGGCAGCCCTGTTTAAGGAAGTTTTTAAGGACTGATGTTTTACTCTGTCTGATGGTTTAATCTGCTGAAAGCCACCAAGAGTGGCTGGGGCAAACCAGTCAGATGGGCAGCATATAATAATAATAATAATAATAATAATAATAATAATAATTTCTTCACTCATTATTTATTGCTATTATAATTCACAGTCCAAACGTCTCTGCAGCAAACTATGCACCACTGTTGCCGCCTCTATCTACAAGGAAACTGTTAGCAATTTCACTCCTCCGATGCTGCAGATGAGATTGTTGTAAATCACATGCCTGTCTGGGACAACTCTGGGAAAGGAAGAAGTCTTATCTCTTCCACTGCGGGTACTTTTACACTGTACTTTCGCTTTTATTTTTGTTTGTTCTCTCGGAGCTGGAGAGAATGGATGCCATTATGCCTTTGTCTGTACATAGTGTGTAAATAAATAGTAGATTAGATCTACGATGTCTCGCTCTTCTTGCTGTGTTATGCCAGAAGATTAAGTGTGCATATACCAGCTGGCTTATGTCACTAAGTGCACTGGAGAAGAGGGGAAATGCCTTTTCCAGCGCTGCATTCTGCTTGACCCCAATGGAAAAAGTCTTTGGGGTCTCCCATTCCAGGGCCCCGGAGACAACAGCCCTCAACACAGCTGACTTCCCTTGCAGTTCCAAATGATAACGCCAAGCAGACCAACACAGCTAAGTTCCATTCTCAATCATAAGAAAAGCCTCATGAAACATCTCGAAGCAAAGGACAAGGAGGATGGGGCAATGGCCAAGATAATAAAAAAAAATGATTGTGTTGCCACAGCTAAATGCAGTGAACGCTTGGGTTGTGAACGTGATCTGTGCGGGAGGAACGTTCACAACCCGCAGCGTTCGCAACCCACAGCGCAGCGTCTGCGCAAGCGTGGGTTGCAATTCAGAACTTCTGCACATGCGCAAAGTGACTTAGCGCTTCTGTGCATGCGCAACCACCGAAACCTGGAAGTAACCCATTCCAGTACTTCCGGGTTTTGGTGTGTCTGTAACCCTAAAAAACGCAACCTGAAGTGTCTGTAACCCGAGGTATGACTGTATTGGGAAGGGTCCCATCTGAAATTGCTGTGGGGGGCGGACAATTAGGCTTGCAGTGGCTGGTCTACTACTTCTGCTATATATTTGTTGTTGTTTAGTCGTTTAGTCATGTCCGACTCTTCGTGACCCCATGGACCAGAGCACGCCAGGCACTCCTGTCTTCCACTGCCTCCCGCAGTTTGGTCAGACTCATGTTTGTAGCTTCGAGAACACTCTCCAACCATCTCGTCCTCTGTCATCCCCTTCTTCTTGTGCCCTCAATCTTTCTCAACATCAGGGTCTTTTCCAGGGAGTCTTCTCTTCTCATGAGGTGTCCAAAGTATTGGAGCCTCAGCTTCACGATCTGTCCTTCCAGTGAGTACTCAGGGCTGATTTCCTTCAGAATGGATAGATTTGATCTTCTTGCAGTCCATGGGACTCTCAAGAGTCTCCTCCAGCACCATAATTCAAAAGCATCAATTCTTCGGCGATCAGCCTTCTTTATGGTCCAGCTCTCACTTCCATACATCACTACTGGGAAAACCATGGCTTTAACTATACGGACCTTTGTTGGCAAGGTGATGTCTCTGCTTTTAAGATGCTGTCTAGGTTTGCCATCGCCTTTCTCCCAAGGAGCAGGCGTCTTTTAATTTCGTGACTGCTGTCACCATCTGCAGTGATCATGGAGCCCAAGAAAGTAAAATCTCTCATTGCCTCCATTTCTTCCCCTTCTATTTGACAGGAGGTAATGGGCCCAGTGGCCATGATCTTCGTTTTTTTGATGTTGAGCTTCAGGCCTGCTATATACAGTATATAGTGTATATATATAGTATACCCATTTTAGAGCAAACCTTACACTATGAAGCCTAGCACATAACAGTCATTTCCATGCATATTTAGTGTAGTGGGGAGGGAGGGCCTTCCCTTTCCTACCTGTGCTCACTGAAGACAGAGTTATCCAAAACAATCTTTTCCAGTAGCTCAATGAGCTCATTGGGCAAGTCAGCTGTCATGAAAGCTTTGACAGTCACAGAAACCTCCTCTGGATCCTGCGTTTCTGACAATGCGGTTTGGACAACCTGAATGTTTAAAAAAAACAAAACAAAAATGTCTGCTAGTGGCATGAAGAGAGCATACTAGCAGCTTAGTTTTAGGAAGCTAGTTAGTTAGGAAAGGAAAGCAGGAGTGTATTTAACTTTCAAGGAACAAAGTTTAGTTTATGAAGGAAATAGATGGGTCTGGAAGAAGTATAAGCATCAAACTATTTGGCTTGCTTGGCATGTATCTAACACAGAATCACAAGCAGCCTTCCCCACCAGAAAATAAGAGTTCAGCACGGAAGGGTTTACGGGTGTTTGAAGAGAAAAAATAATAGGCAGAGAAACAAGGGGAAAACAAATGATACTCTTATGGAGCAAACAGACGGGCAGGTAGGCAGGCATAGAGCATTAGAGGGGCAAGGCTGATCTCATTTAGAGGAGAACTATGGGAAATGAGGGACTACATAAGATCTTTGGCAACTGCTACCCTTTTCAGAGCACAATGCTGAAGAACAGATGACGTTTCTCTTCTTGCTCAGTCACCAACCACTACATTCTTCCTATTTTGTACAAATCCAGTCTACTTGCTATACCTGATCAATGAGCGGCCTCCTGAATGGATTGTTTTCCTCCAGAACGTTTACCCACAGTTCTGGATCTTTCCTGCGCACCAGATAGCGAGCTTCGCTCTTGAACAAGGAGTTCTCATTGCAGACCTGAAAGAAACAAAGGAAAAGGACAATAAACGCATGGAGTATATATTTGGACTAAAAGCAGCTATTTCTAGGCAGCTATTTCCAGATTCACTGGAAGCCGTAATTAGGCTGTAATTCCATTTAATTTGCAACGCTTCCAATTCTGTGGCACCTTGCTTTTCGAAGCTGGCTTTCCTTTTCAGAAAACCCATGGACACACAGCCTTTACTGAGAAGAGATTCACCAAGCACAGATCGAGAGGCTCCAGAGATCTGATTGCAAGACAGAACAAGGAAGCAGCTGGATGAAGTGCAAATGTTGAGTGTCCTTTCAACAACACACTTCATCTCGTTCAACTCAATAAACCATCTTGAAGGAACTGCTTTAAGTTGAATGCCAACAAATGTTACTGCAAAAGCATCCACAGAATGTCAGTTTAGTAGTCAGTACAAAAGTTATATTTTATTTTGAGACAGTGTCCCATTAACTAATCAGCTGTGAGCCATAACTTTATCTCAACTTCCTCATCACATTCCATTTTATCACTAAAAGCTTATCTTGAATTACAGTGGTACCTCGGGTTAAGTACTTAATTCGTTCTGGAGGTCCATTCTTAACCTGAAACTGTTCTTAACCCGAAGCACCACTTTAGCTAATGGGGCCTCCTGCTGCCACTGCACCCCCAGAGCACGATTTCTGTTCTCATCCTGAAGCAAAGTTCTTAACCCGAGGTACTATTTCTGGGTTAGCAGAGTCTGTAACCTGAAGCGTCTGTAACCTGAAGCGTATGTAATAATAATTTATTATTTATATCCCGCCCATCTGGCTGGGTTTCCCCAGCCACTCTGGGCGGCTTCCAACAAAACACTAAAATACAATAACCTATTAAACATTAAAAGTTTCCCGAGCTAAATGTAACCCGAGGTACCACTGTATATTTATTTCAGTAATAGGGAGAGTGCCTTATAATGTGTCCATGGTATGAACTCCAGTAGATGCCAGTCTTTCCCCCTCTCACTGTAACACAACTAGTACCAAGACTAGCTCTATCCCTGAAGTATGCATACCTTAGTAAATCTGTGCACACTTGCTAATATATGTTAAACTTGCAGAGCTTTCCAAACTGTATGTCGCGACATTAGTGTGTCGGCTGCAGTGTGAAGGTGTGTCATGCAAACGCTCCTCCCGGGGCTGGAAAGGGGTTAGTTTAACCTCCAGTTTGCTAGTAAAACTGAATTGCTGTGTCGTGAAATGATGCGTGTCTAAAAAGTGTGTCACCAACATGTCTAAAAAGTGTGTCACCAACATGGAAAGCTCTGTGTTAAAGGGTCAGTTCATCAGAGAAACACAATGTGTATTTGTAACCCAGTCTTGTAGCGAGAAAGTTGCCTGTACCTTTTATGCACCACATGAAGCAGCTGTTTGCATTCACCAGAGAGTTTTATAAATTTGGAGAAAGGATTCTCTAATGCTTCACTGAACTACCTGCGAAGGAACCTCTGCATATCTGCAAGGGAGCAACTGTGCACTGCGGAAGATTGTGGGTACCACTCAAGGACAAACATACTGTTCATATAAGGCACTTTCCCAACCTGGTGCCCTCCAGATGTTTGGAGTACAACTCCCATCAGCCCCAAAACAGCTACATTGGTTGGGCCTGCAGAGCACTGGGTTGGAGAAAGCTAACATAGGTCTATATTAGCTTCTCACCATTCAAACTGAGTGCATTCCTTAGAATACACCTAATGTTTCCTTGCTGCCATAGGGCAGGTGTCCTTTGGACCTCCAGATATTGCTGAACTACAACTCCCATCACCCCATGCCACTTGCTGTGCTTGTAGCTGATGGGTGTTGTATTTTAGCAACATCTGGAGAACAAAAGGTTCTGCACACCTGTCATATGGAAAGGCTGGCTGCGGTGAGCAAACAAGCCTTCCAGGAAATTTGTTTCAAAACTGACTGGGGAAGGGAAGATATCTGAACTAACAGGTGGCTCATCTACTATTGCTGATCTTCTCATTGAGGAATAATGAGATTACCCAAAATATACAGTTTGAAAGCCACCAGCTAATGCTGCTTTGCATACACAATCGTGGCTTGTGCACCAGAAGATGGCAACCTTTGAATGTTCATAACTATGAGAAAATAAGAATTAGATTTGACAGATTTCTTAACCACTCTTCGCTGCAATTCCATATGCATATGATATAATCAAATCCACTTACAGTGGTGCCTCGCAAGACGAAATTAATTCGTTCCGCGAGTTTTTTCGTCTAGCGAATTTTTCGTCTTGCGAATCACGAATTCCCATAGGAATGCATTGAAAATCAATTAATGCGTTCCTATGGTCAAAAAGTCCAAACAAAGCCAAATTTGGTACAACAACCTCCCCAACTGTTGCAAACCCCTCCCCAACTGTTCCCCCAGTCACCCAGCACACAGAAATTCAAATCCAGAATTTTTTTAAAAAAACAGCAGAGTGGCCCAGTGGTCACAGAAAATCACAAAAATGCAGAAAAAACACACAAGCTTCAAGATTCCTGCAAACCCCTCCCCAACTGTTCCCCAGCCACCCAGCACACAGAAATTCAAATCCAGAATTTTTTTAAAAAACAGCAGAGTGGCCCAATGGTCACAGAAAATCATAAAAATGCAGAAAAAACCACACAAGCTTCCAGATTCTTGCAAACCCCTCCCCACCTCTTCCCCCCGCCACCCAGCACACAGAAATACAACACCAGAATTTTTGACACAAAACAGCAGAGTGGCCCAATGGTCACAGAAAATCATAAAAATGCAGAAAAAGACACACAAGCTTCCAGATTCTTGCAAACCCCTCCCCAACACCAAGTCCTTGAATTCCAAACACCCCAACCCAAAATCCAAAACCCCCCAAAAAAGTTTTAAAAGCTTAACTTGGCTGCAAAAGAAGTTTTGGAAAAGCTTCAAAAATCACCAAAGTCTTTAAAAACCTCAAAAAAGGCTACTATGTACACTGCGTTCTATGAGTTGCTCCTTGAAGTCAAGTTGCAACTGTATTAACGGTGTTAAGAAAAAGGAAACAAACTTGCAAGACATTTTCGTCTTGCGAAGCAAGCCCATAGGGAAATTCGTCTTGCGAAGCAGCTCAAAAACGGAAAACCCTTTCGTCTAGCGAGTTTTCCGTCTTGCGAGGCATTCGTCTTGCGGGGCACCACTGTACATGGTACAATTGGGGGTGGGGACAGAGGAGAAGAGAGAGCACAATATAGGTAAGCTACAGCAAGACAACACTAAAATACCTTTATGAGTTCAAGGTCACACTGTCCCCTCTCATAAGCAACACATGCCAAGTGGGGGTCCCTCTTTTCACAGTATTTGCCCACAACACGGCTGTCGTAAAAGGGGTTCTCCCGCAGAAAGCGTTCTGGGTTGTTGTTGCTGTCAATATAGATTTTAGCCAGTGCATTGTGTGTTGCCGGTTCTTCGCAGCCTTCATGAATTCGAGACTCGAGCCAGGGCAGCAGCAGCTTAAGCCTTAAATGAGAATGCAATTCATTAATTTTCTATGCTACTAGCAACCAGCAAAGACCCACCTTTAAACTGCATCACAGAATCAACTTCCATCTCTCTCTTTCCCTACCCCCTTCTGCATAAAGAGGAGGGAGGACCCCTGCTAAGGAGCTAACCAAAGAATACGAAATGTAACCATTCTGAAGTGAGTGGAAGAGGATTTTATACTAATGGTGAAACTTTCTTCTATGAGGAAGCATTTCTTCCAACTCCTAAGTAAAGCTAGTCAGTTTGGCTTCTACTGAGTTTTTGCCTTGCGCATCACCTAAAATGTCCACCTTTGCTAATATAAAGGACTGCCTATCTTCTTTAAGGCCTGTTCTCCATCTACCAAGGAACCCTTGCCTAAGGATGGAGACAAATCTGCGTAACAGCCACATCTTCCATTTCCGGAGATGGCAAAATCAGTCATTTTTAAATATTATTTTTCCCGACGAGCCTTGGCAAAACCCAATACTTGCATAGCACTTGAATAGCCTCACTTGAATGTCTACTATTTCTTCCCTATTCCATCTTGGGACTGGGACCAGATGGCTTCACCATCAGCCATTTTTCTTCCACCCTCACTGCTGTTTACCATTGAGACCAGTGGTTCTTAAAGGGTGTGGCGCATTGGTTTGGCAGGAGAGAATGGCGAGTGTGGTTCAGGGGCAAGCAAAGAAAAAAATTCAACATTTCAGTATAGTATAATATAGTGTAGCATCAAGAACAGAAAAGGCAAAGGTTTCTTTCTGTAGATGAGGAGATGAGAGTTTGTTTGTCTCAAATTAAACTTAATATCGTAGTAAGGTTAAAGCTTACTCGGAAATGATATGTAATGAATTGAAAAAGATGTTTAAAATAACGTTTGTAAAAACCCCAGAAGCCTTCTTTTTGGGAATTATAGGGACAGAACTACCCAAACTGTATAGAAATTTATTCATGTATGCAACTACGGTGGCAAGAATGTTATTTGCCAAAAAACGGAAAGAAGTAGTAGTCCCAGTGAAAGAAGAATGGATACAAAAACGTATGGAATATGCGGAAATGGCGGCGCTTACTGGAAAAATAAGAAATCAAGACAACAAACTTTTCATAAAAGAATGGAAATGGTTTATTGAATATTTACAAACAAACTGTAAACAGATAAGAACACTGGCATGGCTATTGTAATAACCTGCAGTTCTATAAGCGTATATATATTTGAAGTAGATAAATAAGTTAATTTGGAATATGCAGAAAATATAAAAAAATAAATTTAAGGAACTGAAGAAAGAGGGGGAAGGAACTCGAGTTTTGAAATGTTAAAATGATTGTAAAATTATTGAAATGTATAAAACTGGAAATCATAAAAAAATAAAAAAATAAACGTAATATAATGAGATTTCCCAGCAAAAGCACCTCTCATTGAGTTTGTACGCATACTTAAGGTACAAAGGAAAGAGGCTTGTTTGTATTTTGGGAATGATTCGTGTTCTTAGGTAGCTGCATGGTTTTATATTTTCTGGATGTCCCATGATCACATCATAAAGTAGTTGTGTTCTGTGTTATAAATCAAGTACTGCCAGGAGTTTTTGTTTTCCAATGTATTTCTTATAAATTAAAAAATTAGTATGGCGGCAGCAAATTTTTATTCTGAAAGTGTGACCCAGAGAAAAAAGTTGGTCTAATAAGGGTACTGACTTAAAGTGGTTTTTTGAAATATTCTGACACAGTGGTTTTTTACAAGCACATAGCTTTGCAGTTGGAATCTAAGAAGTTTTAGAAATAAAGGAATTTAAAAATTAGTTTGTCTGCAGGTCTTACCTATTTCTTTTTTCCACTTCAGCTACCAGTTCATCTGTTGAGAACTGGCCTCTCACCACCATGATCAAGTTCTTGATAACATCTTCAGAACAATCCACATCTAGAAGCCCTCCAACCACAGCTGGAATACGACTTGGGTTTACCTAGAACAAGTCATTATTTTTAGTTTCAGGTCTCACCAAAAAATGTCCAAGCTATTGTTATACAGACACATTGGTAAACTGCAGATTGCAACCAATTCAAAACCATCATTAAATAAAAAGCCATCTGTAGCTATGCTTAAAATTTCATATTGAGTATCCTCTGATTACTTCCCGATCACATTTTCTGCTGGATGTCTAAGGTAAGGATCTGCTGTCACTGACATCAAAAGCATGATCTTAAAAGTTATGAATCAAATTACCGCATGTGTAGATACATTACCTTTTGAACATAGATCTCAATGTATTTCTGCAAGTTGTTACGGTACAAATAGAGAACCAGGTCATGGACGAAGTCAAATCTGTCACAGACGATTATCAGGGGAAGCTGGTCTGTGAGCTTAGCTTCCTGTACAAACGGAGAGGAGCAAATACAACAACATACCATTATGAGAAAGAGAGCAACAATAAAGTACAAGCAAGAACAAAAGTCCAAGAGAGAAAAACTTGAATGGAAACCTGGTTAATTACAAAAGAACCCAGCTCAATACTGTGGAACATGGACTACTTATGTGACACAGGCAAACAACATGGCTGCGCTTCTCTTTCCAGAAATTACACGTTTCCTCTGCAATAGATTACCAAATGCCACTATGTGCATTTATTGTCAATGGGATGGAAAGGTGTAGCCCTCTTCAGTGCAGAAGGGCATTTCTATCAGTTCAGTAACGTCAGATGTCAGTGGCGGTTGCTCGTGAGTAACCAGGCAGGACTCCAACCTGTCTTTTACAGGCTTTATTTTGGTGCAAAAACTATTTACAGTGCAGAACCATCAGTTCATGTCTGCCTCAATCGCTAGCAGAATCCAGGAGTGGTTCTTTCCAGGTCCTCCCCCAACATAAGAACTTAGTAACCCCCAGCCATTTCCTTCCTTTTCTGCGTTTTACTCCTCTGCGCAAGAGGCATGTTTCCCTCCTGGCCAACTTGGCCAGGAGCGGTTCTGAGGCTCCCCGCAGCATCCTCTAGCCCATGGGTCTGCAACCTTTAAGACAAAAAGAGCCACTTGGACCCGTTTCCGAAGAAAAAAAAACTGGAAGCCGCAAAACCATTGCGACATTTAAAACAAATATAACACTGCATATATTGTTTCTTACCTTAATGTCCGATCTGACAGCGGGCGGGAAGGTGATGTCGGGACGGTGCGTGACTAACGCATGCACCGCCCCCATGCGACATCACAGCCAGTACAGCGCCTGCCAGCGGGGAGTGTCGGGGCGCACAATGCGCCTCCTCCCCTTGCTAGTATCCACCCCGGAGCCGCGGCAAAGGTGTAAAAGAGCCACATGCGGCTCCGGAGCCGCAGGTTGCAGACCCCTGCTCTAGCCCTTTCCCCTCCTTTACCCCGGAGGTGTGGCTTCCCCTACCCTCAGACTGACGAGGTGTGGCGCTGGGGCTCCCAGCAGCATCCTTTGGTCCCTTCCCCTCTTCCCCACCAGAGGTGGGGCATTCCCCACTGCAGGAAGAGGAACTGCTGTATTCCTGTATTCCAACAGCCTCTCTGCCTCCCTTCCCTTTTCCGATGGCAGTCCCCTGACAAGTAAGCAACACCCACTGTGCGTAGGCTCTCTTTTTTTATTTGCACCCCTAAGCGCTCTCTTCAGTCCCTCTCCTTACTCTGCCCATCTGAACTCTGGGATGCATGTCCCCTTTTCTCTGTTCTATCTCAGGCCTAAAGCCTTGTCTCTAATAACATCTCACACTACATTCTAAAGCAGTCTTCCTATTATCAGAGGTCTCTCTGCTCATATTATTTGCTCCTCAACTCATGAAAGGAGAGTGGGGAGCTTTCCACAAAAGCGCTTCAGACAAAATTTCCCTCTAGTCCAGCATCTGGTTTTCCCACAGCAACAAACAAGCTGCCTGTGAGCAACTCACAACCAAGAAGAACGGTTGGTAGCCCTCTCCTGCTAGCGTTCTCTCAGCATACTGTATTCAGGACTGGAGGCAAGATATACCATATTTACTCGAGTCTAATGCGCCATCGAATCTCATGCGCATCTCAATTTTCAGAACCTTGAAACCAAATAAAGTATTTGCTGGCGAATGCAAATGCGACATTGAATCTCATGTGCACCTTAATTTTCGCAACGTAATTTCGCCAAAAAAAGGTGAGCATTAGATTTGAGTAAATACGGGAGTCATCATGGCTTAGTAGCCATATCCTCCACAAACTTGCCCAATCCCTTTTAAAGCCATCTTGTGGAAGGGAATTCCAAAGGATAACTATGCACTGTGTGAAGTAGTCCTTTAGTTTGTTTGTCTGAAATGAATTCTCCCGAATACTCAATTTAATAGGATGACCTCAGGTTATATTATGAGAGATCACCAATGTGGTATTAAAGTAGCAAACCCAAGAGGGCAGTAAAAACAGAATTAAGGACTGAATCATCATCATCATCATCATCCCACCCTTCTTCCCAGGGCAGCAAACAAACATAAAAAGTTAACACAATTTAAAATAAAACAAACATATTGACAAACAAGGGTGACACAGAAAAAAATCTAAACAGACATTTAAAATACCACCACTTGGTTTGGTACTGTGGGTGTTTTACCTTCAGAAAGTTCTTCACCCGTTCTGGATTATAACAATTGCTTTCTCGGCAGATTCTTTCTACCTCTTTGATTTGGCCAGTCTTGCAAGCTGCCTGGATATACTTAAAGTGGACATCTGGGTCTTGACTGAAGTTCACAATAGAGCCCAGGAAATAAAACAGCCCTAGAGAGACAGGTTTAAGTGGTTGGGGGGGTGTCCACATTGGGGTGGAGGGGAAGAGAGAAAAGAAAGGCACCTCTACAAGCATCAAATATAAACAGCTTCAACAAGGCATGGTTCAAAAAACCACAGTGTTCGAAGACAACAGATTATGATCCAATAGCCAGTAATGAAAATGGCCTTAATTCATACTTTAAAATTAGGAAGCATTTTCAGCATTGCATTCCTAACTCAGATGTATAAACAATTCACTTGATTAAATTCTTTTAGCAACTTCTAGAAGTAAGTATTGGGTTTCTTATTTCCTCCCCTCATTCTAGCATCTTTAGTAGTACTCCTTCCATGACTGGTTAAATTTCCATTTCTTACAAATCCTGCGAAAAAATCAATCAATTAATGCACTAGTCAGGTCAGGAATAACTCTTTGCAGCCAATGACCATTACAATATGGGGAGATAATCAGTCCAATAAGACAGGGCTAAACCCTGTGAATACAGAATTTAAAATATTTATTTAGTTCAAGACTACCCATAACATTCCACACTAATATGATTTTAAAATGCCTCTTTTATCTTTTTTGCAGCAATGCAAATAAAGCTACCCTATATCTTAAAACTATCTGTTTCGCCTTCTAGGAAAGTCTGAAAGGGAAGTATGAACTTAGCCCTTGGTAAATTATATAAAATACAGTATAAGATACAGTGCACAACATCTTCAATTTGGCCTGCTCTACATACATAAAAATGTGACTTTACTGATCTATTAGAAAACCTACTAGCTAAATATTCAGTAGGCATGTTTGGGAATCTAAGCTGTTTAAAAGATTTGCTAGCCATTATTTCAGGCAAATATTTTCAGAATTAGAAACTACCTTTTAAGACAGGACTTGTAAGCTCCTTGCTGCTTGCAAACTGCTTACTAGAGCCCCATCCCTTTTAATATTAGAACTACAAATGTAGACATGGCTTTGGGCTGCACTGTAATAGTTACAGTGAAAAATCTGCTGGGTAAGTAAAGTATTACTTTTACTACCTCTAAACTATACAAATTTACTTATACGCATGCCTATTTTGCACAATGTATTTTACTTCTTGCTCTTCTCCATTAGTAGATTTCCAGTGCCTTGCCCTCAACCTCAGCCATGGTTTTGGCTTTGACAACATTGCTAGGCACTGCTACCCTCTCACAGGGGCCAGAAACGTGTAAAAAAAAAATGCATTCTTGCATTCTGTTGTTTTCAGTGCTTCTATAAAAACAGCCTCCCACCTCCATTATCTGACATTCCGCAGTCCTCGGTAAAACAAGTTCAAGGTGAGCGAGCACTATCCGCTGCTTCCGAGGCTTACCTTCGTAACTTTTAAAGGATTCAAACAGCTCCACAAGAGACTGGGTGCCCAGCTGCTCGTGGTATTTAGACGCCACTTGCACACAGAGCTGTAGGTTTTGTCGGATGTTGGCGGACAGCATAGCCCGTAGGCACTCAACAGAATCTTCAACTGACAGAGAGCCAAAGAAGTTCACAAGCCACTAAGGAAAGAAGAAGCAAATAATTCAGCAGGTTCGCACCATGACATGAATGGAGACTGTATCGTGAGTTTCAATTATCTACCAATCTAAGGGAAGCAGAAAGGTGTATTAAAGCACTGAGGTCCATTATCATGTTTTGGTTGTTTCAGGAGAGCCAAGGTACGCATGGAGGGCAGGGGAGAGGCCTTCTTTTGATCCCTTCGTTTTATCCTCACAACCACCCTGAAGAGTACATTAGGTTGAGTGTAGCCCCAAGTCATCAGCAAGCTTTATAGCCAACTAAGGATTTGAACCTGGGTCTTCCCAGTCCTGACCCAGCATATAAGCATTATACCACCCTGGCTTGTCTAGAAGCAGAAAATCACTGGAAGCAAAAAGGGGAGGTCTGAAGGGTCTGTAGGAAAGGAAGCAACTAACTAACCAAAGAACACAAAGGAGAACAGTGCAGAAGGGAGCATGAACCCTAACTGGTTAATGTTCGGCTGCACATTATCTTACCTCTGGGTTCAAAAGATGGGTATGAACAACAGCTCGCTTGATGTCGTAAAGATCAGTGTAGTGTTCCAATGCTCTCTGTAACAAGCCTGCCTTTTCACAAAGTTGGGCAATGTGGGCACGGTCATAATGTGTGAACATCTGGTTTCCCAGGATAGCATCTGCAACCTAGGGATTAGCAACAGTGCAAGTCAATTTATAAAAAGAGGAATAGGGGACTTAGTGCTCTAAAAACCCTTGTAGGTTCTACATGAAATATATGGGTAGATTGTTACACAGAGCCGTCCTTGGCAAAATAACAACTGCCTCAGTCAAGAAGGAATGAGAAAGGTAGGCTTCAAAAATCACCACCACAAAACCCATCCAACCCAGGAGAGTTTACCTGTGGAGCATGAATGAGGTTCATCTCAAGCAGACGAGTCTGGAGGTGGCCTTCGGCCGGACGGTTATTTTTCAAGGCATCCAACAAAAAGGAGGTACACTGCTGAATCAAACTGTTCTCCATGAATACATCAACAATCTACAGCGTAGGAATCAAACAAATGGCCATCAGACACATAAACTGCTGCCTAAGTGTGCTACAAAACTTATTTTATTTTATGCATGCAAATACATTGTTCCAATTAGTTGTAGGTCTAAAAAATAAACAAATCTTTAATTCACCAAATACAGACTTTAAGCTCCCAACCACAGACTTTAAGTTTCCAAACCACAACGTAAGAACATAGCTGAATTCAATGTTTCCAAAAAAACATTTATTCCACTTCATGTCCAGGTGCCCATCACATATCAAGTACAGTGGTGCCCCGCAAGACAAATGCCTCGCAAGACGGAAAACCCACTAGACGAAAGGGTTTTCCGTTTTGGAGGTGCTTCGCAAAACGAATTTCCTATGTGCTTGCTTCGCAAGACGAAAATGTATTGCGAGTTCCTGCGGGGTTTTTTTCCTCCCCCCCCCTTTTCCCAAGCCGCTAAACCGCTTATCAGCTGATCGGCTAAGCCGCTTAACAGCTGATCGCTAAGCCGCTTATCAGCTGATCGTTAAGCCGCTTATCAGCTGATCGGCTAAGCCGCTTAACAGCTGATCGCTAAGCCGCTTATCAGCTGATCCGCTAAGCCCGCTAAGCCGCTAATACTGTAGCGCTAATCCGCTAAACCGCTAATGGGCTTGCTTCGCAAGATGAAAAAACCCGCAAGACGAAGAGACTCGCGGAACGGATTATTTTCGTCTTGCGAAGCACCACTGTATGTTTAACCTTGTTTCTCTTCTGAAAAACTATCGCGTAGTTTTCAAAACCAGTTTTACCCAGTTCTTTATGTCTGTAGTTCTTGCCTAAAAGGAGTTGGTCGAAACAGAATCTCTTACATGTAAATTTGAGTTGTCACTGCCCATAGCTACTAAGGTATAATTCCTTACACTTTTGATAATTCCTTACACTGCTTTGAAACCTAGAGCTAGCAACTTTTGCAATTAGGTAAATTGATTAGTTTTCCAGAACTGCAAGACCATGAGAAAAACTGTAGACATTTAAACAAGATGGGTATTCATTTAGCTGTATTAGGACTTGAGGGGCATTTTATTCCAGCTTTATCTTCTAGAATGGCAACAGAATTGCTTACCTGATTGATGTTGGCTAGTGGCTCTTCATCCTGTACCAACATCTGAGCAAACTGAAGACCCTGATCTGGGCTGACCCTCATAACGCTCCTCAATAAGAAAATCCAATCTGGAGTATAACCAACCTAAAAGGTCAAATTTCAAGAATTAAGTAAGTTTTTCTTTAACTCAATATATTCCTGCATTTTGCTAATATATTCCAAAAGCAACTAGGCCTTAGCAAATTACACGTAGCTAAACCCAACCTCACATCTCAAGTCAGGTTTTTACTTGCTTCATATGACATTAGGGCAAGAAATTGATCAGCCCATTATTCAACGTGCAGATTCGAATGTTACAGTTGGGTTGCTGTACAACTGATGTACAACTGATATAAGATACAGCTTCTCATTTGTTGGAAGGGGACCAGTCCAAAGGGACTGTTGTTGTCGGTTCAACTTCACAATGACTTCAGTAGCTGCTAAGCTCTTTCCAAACGCCATTCAATACCTAGCTTTTATCCTTTATACAGTTTGGGATCTGGAATCACCCACTTCTATTTGTCCAAAATATTAATATCGCCTTTCAGGTACCCCAAATTTAAGGGTATCAGGCACATTACAGCCAGGGAAAAACACCTTCATTTGTGAAAACTCATCCATGGAATGCACTCCCCAGAGAGGCTCACCCAATACAGAATCTTATGCTTTTCATAGAATCATAGAGTTGGAAGAGACCACAAGGGCCATCGAGTCCAACCCCCTGCCAAGCAGGAAACACCATCAGAGAACTCCTGACATATGGTTGTACAACACTGGGCTTCATGTCTTTTGATCAGTTTTAAATCCGACAGATTATATTATTTTAATATTAACTGAAACCCACCCTGGGAGTTCTGAAATAGAAAGGTGGGGCTTCTTAACATTTTAAATAAATGAAATTGCCAGAGATTAGCAAGACAACCATGTTAATGTGCACAGCCCATCCTAGTTCAGTCCTTTAAATTGAAAGACATCCAAGAGCCTATAGAATTTAGGGTGCAAGTTTCATTCACCCGCAGGAAAAGCCCTGAGGTACTGAAGCTGATTTTTGCCATTTTTGTCCGCAGAATAGTCTACTGAATGCTCCAAAAACCACATGACTTATGCAATTGAAACTTTACCAGGTGGGGCCGTTGCATATCACACTTCAGATATCCCGGAATGTTCCGAGGCTTATTCTTATCTCGGTAAAGATAAAATTTAACTGTGCATTCAAAAAGCTTCTGGCTTGCAAAGGTGTGCATTACACAATCACATACTTTTCAGAGGGGGGAAAAAAGATAGTTACCTTTTTGGCATAAAGAACTATTTTCTGGAATTGACCAGTTTCTGCAAAACACTGAATTACTTTGTTTGGTACATTTGCACGGAGATAAACACTGAGGGCAAGGGTTGGGTCAGCAGCCTTCACCAAGTCTCCTAGCTCCTCAGAGCATTCCAGCTGAAACAGAAACAACATTTCAGAATCAACACAGATCCAAGTGTTAAGCTGCAATTTGTTTGCTGGCATCAAATGTAAGACTGCAATAGAAGCAGCATTTCAAAGCTATTAACACCACACCCAGCTCAGCAAACGCTGCCACCCACCCCTGCTTATGGCAAGCAAATATAGTGGCTGCTCTTTCAATATATAGGGTATGGCTGTCTAGATCTCAGCGATTTACCTCACTGTTTAGGAAGAAAACTCTGTGGGAATTATAGAAATGCAGCCCAAAACTCTTTTTCAAATTAATATTTTAGTGGCGTCTTTGTTTACATCAACACAACAGAGCGAACTAAAATAAAACCGGGAAGGGGGGGTCAGAGGAGTGGCTCAGTGCTCAGAGTTTTGCTCATTTTCAATTTAAATGGATATCATAAAATACCTTGGCAAGTATCAAATTTTCGCAGTCTACAGCATGTACCTAGCTCATGTATGGTCCATTGGTGGATTTCTTGGGACTATGTTTATTTGCCCAGTACTAATAAATGGTGTATTTGGTGACCAACAGGGCATGCCTGATCCATTTTCACTGCTCTAGGGTAAGTGTCTACACAACAGGGAGATTTCCCATCAATGATATTTTGCCTGTAGTTAGAGCAAAAAGCCAGCAGACCTCTCAGTTGGATGTAGGTGGGTAATCAACAAAATGCACTGTTGTCACTAACAAGGCTTTATACTACTTGGGTAAGGTAAAGGGACCCCTGACCATTAGGTCCAGTCGTGGTCGACTCGGGGGTTGCGGCGCTCATCTCGCTTTATTGGCCAAGGGAGCCGGTGTACAGCTTCCGGGTCATGTGGCCAGCAGGACTAAGAGCAGCGGGTCATGTGGCGAACCAGAGCAGCGCACGGAAACGCTGTTTACCTTCCCGCCGGAGCGGTACCTATTTATCTACTTGCACTTTTTGGGGTGCTTTCGAACTCCTAGGTTGGCAGGAGGAGGGACCGAGCAACGGGAGCTCACCCCGTTGCGGGGATTCGAACCGCCGACCTTCTGATCGGCAAGTCCTAGGCTCTGTGGTTTAACCCACAGCGCCACCCGCGTCCCTTACTACTTGGGTAAGTGGGCCTAAATAAGAATGCTAGTTAATTTCAGCACAGGCAACAGAACGACGACTGTTTAAAGCAGACCACAGCGTAATAAATTTTTGAAGAGGTCCCCTGCTTTACCTTGTCTTCTTTTAGCCATTTTTCTAAAAGCTGCTTGCGGCCTTGCTGAAGAACAGGACGGCAGAGTTCCAGAGACTCAAATTTATTGAGCTGGCCTTGATCGAGGAGGATCCCAAAGTACTGGAGTAAGGGAGAGGCCTGGCCAGGCTGGGCTGGTACACTCTGGAACTTTCGGATGGTATCACTTGTGCGCAAGATTCCCTGAACATTGAAACATGGTTCTGTTAAAAAGTCTCCCTTAAGGGAAAATCCAAGGCAGAGAAAGCTTGCTCAGCTTGCCAGCTGAGAATTCCCAAGGGCAGGGTGGATTTGATTTAAACCAAATTGATTTAAATCACTAGTCAGTAAGATTTGATTTAAATCATTTTTTTTTACAGAAAGACTCATTCTTGCTGGTATAATCTTAATATTTACAAACAATTGAAGGTTTCATTTTTGGAATAATACATTTTCAGAGTAGTTTTTTACTGTTATATCAAAAATTACTGATTTGGTTATAATATTAGAAATACATAGACAGATAATTATGAAATTATTGTGAGGTTTAATAAATTAAATGTTTATATTGTAACTTAAAAAGTAAGATTTATAGCATAGGTATCCATGTTTGTTAACTGATGTGGTTAAACAATTTTTTTATAAAAAAAACTTTTTAGCACACATGAATGGCTTAGCACACATGAAAAACTTAAAACAAATCCTTATTTCCTGATGAATAGCCTTTGGACTATAAGGTAACTTAAATGGAAAACTATCTTTAGAAAGATTTTTTCCTCCAAAAGCATTTTATTTTAAAATTCTGATTTAAATTTTAAAAAATCTGATTTAAATGAAAAACATCCATGGATTTTCAAAAAATAAATAAATAAATCATTGATTTTTTTATCCACCCTGCCCAACACCAATGTAAAAATCCTGCTAGATCTAGGTCTGTCATCACATTTTCCACAAGCGAAGAATCGGGGCAATAGCCTTCTCCTAACTCTTGCTCCTCCTACTCCGATCACATGAGCAATTGGTAGTCAGGAGAAAACCTGTATCAGAACAAGAGGGCTCCGTAACATTATTTCCTTCATTTATGAATCACTTCCCATAAAGTATCCTGAAGTTATTGATTGACTTATTATTATGATTGTATTTATTTATATCCTGCCTTCCCACCAACCCCTGACAGTGACTCCATGATTACCTGATCCCCACTTAGGGCTGCAATCCTAAGCAAGAATTCAATGGGGCAACCAGTTCATAGCTCTGGTCAATAATACCCACCGTGGGTTTTACGTAATAAGTACAGTGGTGCCCCGCAAGACGAATGCCTCGCAAGACGGAAAACTCGCTAGACGAAAGAGTTTTCCGTTTTGGAGGTGCTTCGCAAAACGAAGCTCCTATGGGCTTGCTTCGCAAGACGAAAATGTCTTGCGAGTTCCTGCGGTTTTCCCCCCCCCCTTTTTCTAAGCCGCTAAGACGCTTATCTGCTTATCCGATAAGCTGATAAGCCGCTAAAAGCCGCTAATAGCCGCTAATAGCGCTAATCCGCTAATCCGTCAATGGGCTTGCTTCGCAAGACGAAAAAACCGCTAGACGAAGAGACTCACAGAACGGATTCTTTTCGTCTTGCGAGGCACCACTGTGTAAGGTAAACTGCTGCACCGCAATTACGTCATATGCATTAATTTCAATGGGTGTCCTCTGAATACAACTTAGTTTAATGCCACCCTATCTTTATAATAGAATCGTCTATGTCTCCCTCAAGGAAGACAGAACCAGTGCCCTCGTACAACTTGGGATTGCCTGTTGCTTCAAACAAAGGTTAAAGGCTACAAAATTTGTTTGCAGTGCACCCCCGAAACCCTTGGCCAAAAAATAATTTTTAAAAAGATGTTTACCTTTGGTGCAGATGCCGCCACTTTAGCAGCTTCTGCATAATTTCCCTGTGCAAAAAGTGTATTAAATTTCCTGGCAAAGAGTTCTTCCGCCCCAGCTAAGTTACTCCTGATCGCCATGCGCAGACCCAAATCAGGATTCTGGAGAACATTGGTGGCGTAATTTACAATGTTATCTTCCTCCACACAAACAGAGAGTACCTATAAGAGAAAGAAAGTCAGTGTGTGCACAGTAAAGTCTAAAAACAGGACAAGGCACACTCTACTGTATAAAAGGAGCACGACCGATCTGGAGGGAAAGTGCCAAACATTCAAAAATTTCACTTTATAATATTATAAATAAGACTAGGTACCACCAGGCCAGGGACGCGGGTGGCGCTGTGGTCTAAACCACTGAGCCACTTGGGCTTGCCGATCGAAAGGTCGGCAGTTCGAATCCCTGCAACTGGGTGAGCTCCCGTTGCTCAGTCCCAGCTCCTGCCAACCTAGCAGTTCAAAAGCATGCCAAAAAGTGCAAGTAGATAAGTAGGTACCACTCCGGCGGGAAGGTAAACGGCGTTCCTGTGCGCTGCTCTGGTTTTGGTGCTCTGTTGCACCAGAAGCAGCTTAGTCATGCTGGCCACATGACCCGGAAAAACTGTCTGCAGACAAACGCTGGCTCCCTCAGCCTGTAAAGCAAGATGAGCGCCGCAACCCCCGAGTCGTCTGCGAGTGGACTTAACTGTCAGGCATCCTTTACCTTTTTTTACCACCAGGCCAACTGCTACCAGTTAGGTACAGGATACAATACTGTTCACCACTGAAGTTCTACTTTAAAATTCTCTTTTCCCCCCTTTCTTTTTTACAAAGCCTTCCTTACTGACTGCTCAGTTGTCATTTCAACAGCTTTACTGCTTACGTTAGAACTTCTGCTGGAGAAATCTATTCTATCAGTCCTCTTATCTGTGCTTGATGCAGTGTTTTATTCAGTGATCATAGAGAAACTACCACGTTAATCTCAAGAGTTATTTGATTTGTTAACAACAAGAGAGGTTGGCATACGTGTGCATGCATCGACACCTCCAATGCAGGCTGTAATCCGGATCATTAGAGAATGCATGCTTGGGAACTTGAGGGCTCACTTCAGGACATTAAACGGCATCTCTTTCACCATTTTGAACCAATGAGCTGAAATCCCTAAGCGTCAGTGCAGAGCCCAGCAAAGTGGTGACTTAAGGAAAGCAGCCACCTGGATCTGATAAAGCAGTCAGGATTCAGAGCCTAAATGACAGCATTACAGTAAGCAGACACTGAAGTGATGGATAATCTACAGCTGAGAAGTTTCACGCATCATTCTTCTTGTTGTTTAGTCGTGTCTGACTCTTTGTGACCCCATGGACCAGAGCACGCCAGGCACTCGTCTTCCACTGCCTCCCGCAATTTGGTCAAACTCATGCTGGTAGCTTCGAGAACACTGTCCAACCATCTCGTCCTCTGTCATCCCCTTCTCCTTGTGCCCTCAACCTTTCCCAACATCAGGGTCTTTTCCAGGGAGTCTTCTCTTCTCATGAGGTGGCCAAAGTATTGGAGCCTCAGCTTCAGAATCTGTCCTTCCAGTGAGCACTCAGGCCTGATTTCCTTTGTCGTGGCAAAGGGGCCTGAATAACTCAGAGAAGCTATGAGCCATGCCGTGCAGGGCCACCCAAGATGGACAGGTCATAGTGGAGAGTTTTGACTAAACGTGATCCACCTAGAGCAGGAACCGGCAAGCCACTCCAGTATCCCTGCCAAGAAAACTTCATGGACAAAAACAATAGGCATCATTCTTACCTGTCCTTTTTTATTTACACCAATAATTCCTGAGGTAGGTTCATGAGGTGCAGTTACAAAGATAGTGTCTGCACTAATACGGTTCATGTAGATGCACACTCCAGATTCCAAGTCATACATATGAATATATCCATATTTTGTGATCAGATAGATAACACCATGCTTTGTTCCAATCTACCAAATGTACAAGAAAGAGACAAGGTTAACCAGGACAGTTCAGAAGTTATTCACTAGTTCATGGGTAGGCAAACTAAGGCTTGGGGGCCGGATTCAACCCAATCACCTTCTAAATCAGCATGTTTTTACATGAGTAGAATGTGTCCTTTTATTTAAAATGCATCTCTGGGTTATTTGTGGGGCATAGGAATTCGTTCATTCCCCCCCCCCAAAAAAATATAGTCCAGCCCCCCACAAGGTCTGAGGGACAGTGGACTGGCCCCCTACTGAAAAAGTTTGCTGACCCCTGCACTAGTTAACTTAAGCTTCTTCCTAGCACAGCAGCAAAAACTCAATTTATTGTGCAAGTGGATTATTTCATACTTGTTAACAGCTACGGCTATTTTTTAGACTGGGGAGCTGAGCATTTATGTCACTACAAGTCAATCACTAGTTCAGCTGTGAAACTGAAGCACTTAAGACCTTGGGCAAGCCGCTATGGCTGCAAGAAGCTCAGATCCAGATTTCAGTTTCAAGGAAGTTCCACTCTAGGTGCAACTCTAAGGGCTTGTGTATATTCAGCAATTTTGAACAGCAGGCCTCCACCCCTCCTCCACCATTCTGTCATAAACAGATTAGGCTAAGCCGCCTTTAAGTTTAAGACTGGCTTGCTTTATAGGACTACAGCATCCAATCCAGCCTAGTTACATGCTTGTTTGGATCCTGGTCTAGCAGTGATATAAACTCAGACAAATTGCATTAAACATTGGCCTCGCTCAATTCTGTATCATTTAAACCAACTGTACACACTGATATGGTAATTTGGAGAGTTGTATTCAATTGTGTCTGGATACAGCTCCAGCTGACAGCTGCCTAAGAGTTACCAACTGGCATTGCCATCAGAGTGGGAGTAAACAGCATCCTTGCACCTGTTCATCATGCCTGGATACAGCTCAATTCAAGAGCCCCTGCTATGTATAGGAGACTGAATGATCTTGAATACACACACACAACTAATCTTTTGCAAGGCACCTTGGGAGGGCTTCACCCGGAAAGGCAGCATGTAAGCGTTTGGAACAAAGTTCATATTTTTCTGACACAACAGTTGTTTATGGGATAAAAAGGGCATGCAATACTACCGCTGCACTTGATATGCTTCGGCCATGCCACCGGAAGTCTTAAACACACTCCTCAATTCATTACCTGCATTGCCACTGGGAAATCCGTTTGAGCCTCTGGAGGGAAAAAGACATCAACAGCTTTCTTGACAAAGGGCTGGTTTCCAGCAGCAGGTTGACCCACTTCAATTATATGCAGCTGGGGAAACACCACAGGGTTATAAATCAATTGTTTAGTTGAAAGGAGAAAAGCTCATTCAAATCAGGTGTTCCTCAGAATGGAAAACTGCTAAAAATAATGGTATGGATTTTTCTTAAAGCGTTCTCCATTCTTCACAAAGTTTAAATGTTCTATAGCAGGGATGTCCGACATGTCGATCGCGACCTACCAGTCGACTGCGGGGTGTCCCTGGTTGATCCTGGTCCCGGGACCCCGATTGAGTGCCCCCCCCAAAGCTCATCCTCCCCCCCAAAAAAGCTCAACAACTCTGGTCAATCCAATAAGAAGATCACTGCTAGTTTTTTTATAGTGGGAGTAGATTGCAGTCTCTTGGAAGTTGAATGTGCCTGTTCTATAGTATTGGCTCTACAGCCCAAATTAAGGCTATGTTGACTAGCACTTTGAGAATGCAATTCAGGGGGCCACCAGGTGGCGCATTGGAAGATGGCCGACAATAACATCTCTCTGACCCATACGAGGTAATTAAGAGGCTGCTATGGGAAGTATGCAGTCTTCCTACCCCCCCAAGGAGATGGGGGGGGCTGCCTTGCCAGCGGTGCCCACAATGCAACCCCGGATTCGAGAGATGGGGGTGCCGGACACTTGGCACGAGCCCTCGATGAGGTCAGCTCTTCCTGACGCCGGTTCCAATTAGCGCGTGCTGGCTTGCTTTAGCTCGGAATTATAATTGGAAACATATGATTGGAATGAAGCTAAAGCACATACATCAAGCATCGCTCGGGAGATAAGACTGCTGACTAATGGATCTCTGTGACCGGAGTAATGGATGGATAAGTAAATCTTCTGATGAACCACCATTATGAGACTGTATGTTTGGAATGAAGGGGGGGGTGGAGGAAAAAACCTTTTTTTTCTTTGCACTATGTGATATTAATAACCCTCCACCCCAGAAAGAAATAAGATTGTTGCGTTTTACTAACCACAAGCAGGAATTCAAGAACTGTGTGGGATGGATTATAGCTAAAGAGAGGATTGGTAAACAATGAGAACGGAGGAAAATTTTATGACGCAGCTAAAAAAATGGCGTCTCGCCAAGACAGGCTTGCCGGAGAAAGAAGGACAGGGGGAGGAGAATCAGGACCATTGGAATGAGAAGGATGGTTGGAATGTAATCTTGACCTGACAGAGCCTCCTGATATACTTGGCAAGTCTGAGAAAATTAAAGGACAGACCGAAGATTAATTTTTTTATGGAAGCATGGAATAGCGGCTGTCCCTGAGCGATATGATTTTTGGAGAGTACAAAACCCACACAGAGGATGCCTGTTTCCAATCTGCTTGTGAAAATTATCAGAGATCGCAAAGAAAGGAATATACGATAACAACAAGAAGATGAAGAAAGTAATAAAGGACTATCTGGATTGAACTGGATAGAACTGTTTAATTAAAGCAGCAATATAAGTGATGTTTGGACTCGTTCAGAGCTTGATGTATGGGTACCCCCAACAAAATTTAAAATTTGGCTGTATAATTTGGAACTAATGTGATTTGGATAATGTGATGTGATTGGCCTGTCAATAAAAATTATTTTTTAAAAAAAGAAAAGAGAATGCAATTCAAAATGGTCTATTTTGGTGAGACACCTTAAAGCAGAAAAATGTGTTGCACACCAGAAGTTTTGGACTACAACTCCCATCAGCCTCAGCCAGCACTGCCAATGGCCAAGGATGGTAAGAGTCCAGCAACAATGGATGGCACCACACTGACTATTCATGCCTTAAAGAGAGGTGCAGTATCAGCATCAAGTGTTCCATCCTAAACCCTGAAGCACAGCCAAGCTCTCTTGATTTTTCACAAGGACTTGCACAGACTACACTGGTGCAAGCTCTTACTACAGAGGGGTTGAGGAACTTCATTTAAATGGTTTATCGTCTTGGATCTTATGCCCCAAAGCAGCTGTAAGCAACAAAGACAATGATCAAGTATAAAAGGCTTTTACCTTGCCTCCTGCAGGGCTTCGCACAGCAAAACAGAAGAGGGTGGAGGGCTTGGCATTGCCTTCTATTTTGAATTCTGCAAAGGCTGCTGCATGTCCCTCTATTGGCTGGGAAACTTTTCGATCCACTGAGTACAGCTGCATGGCACCAACCACACGATTTTGCTAATGGAGCAAGCATCACAGTCGTTAAATGTACAGCAAGCACTTAAGAGCCTGAAGTGTCAAGATCCTTAATCCATTTAGAGCCTCTTATCCTGCGCCTCCCATCAAGAGATTCCAACCACTAATTCAACAGAACATAAGCATCCCCATGTCACAGCTTTCAAGTTCACTGTATGTTCAGTAGTTCTGCTTTCCAGCTCAGCTGTCACAAAAATGTTTTGGCTTCTAGTCTCCCAATTTCTACAGTCCACAAGCTTCAATGCATGCTTTTGTACCCTCTGCACTCCACAGCTTTCCTTACCTGGGCAGAGATTCCTATCAGGAGCAGCCACTTCTGATTTTCATCGGTTCTGTAATTGATGATTTGGCAGCCTGCAAGACTGGCGTGCCTGTCAAACATCTTTTGGGGCAGAGAGTCTCCTTCCATACTCCAGTGATAAACTGCAGTCTCTGTCACTAAGGCAACGGTATTCACAGAAATCCATTTCCAGAAGATCACTTCCTCTGCCATCGTGTGTGCTTTCATTTTGCTTTTCATCTCAATGTTAAAGATCTGGAGTGTTTTCCCCGCTGCCATACAAGACAGAAAGACAAAGAGAATCATAGCCCTCCAAAAATGTTAAGCAATAGCTATCCCTACTCCAACACAGTCTTTTTTGTAGAAAGACATTTGGAAATATCCAAAGTCAAAGGCCTCAGCTACACATGCAGCAGAATGAGGTGCTTAAAAAACTGGGCAGCACAACTCCAGACAGCAGTTGGGAGGAAACCATATTTTTGTAAGCTCTCCTACCTTTAGCTGAAGTGGCACAGTTCATTTTACCGCTTTGTAGCACCGCATGTGTGGATCCAGCATAATTTAGAACATGCAAGTAGAGGATGAAGGATCATTGATACCAAACTCTGACAATAAGGAAGTAGAAATTTACCCAATCCCATATATTTCAGTGCCTGTAAGAGGCAGTGATGACTACCAACTTGGATGGCTTTAAAAGAGGATTAGACAAATCCACATAGAATGACAATAACAACGGCTACTAGCCATAGGGGCAGTTTTACTTCCACTGTTGGAGGCAGCATGCCTCTGAATACTAGTTGCTGGAAACGGCAGGAGGGACAAGTGCTGTTGTGCTCAGGCCCTGCTTTCGGACATCGCATAGGCATCATGCTGGCCCCTGTGAGAACAAGATGCTGGACCAGATGGGCCACTGGCCTGATGCAGCAGGCTCTTATGTTCAGTCTGGCCATAAGTTTATCAAGTGCTTATTTTTTTAGCGCTAAGCCTTGTGCTAACTTGTTTAGAATTCAAGGAAAGTGTAGGATCCCCATGTAGAACGTAAAACGTATCTGGTAATATCTGCACTTCACTTCCAGTCTTTCAAGACAAAGCCTCGTTAGGAAAGTTGGGTGGGAGAGAAAGTAGGTAGGAATATTGAAGTTTATGGCATAGTGGCAAACGAGGAAGCCGGGAGATGAACTCTTCAAACATTCTCCTGCAACATTTTGCCTCATAATCCCAAGTTTCTTTGGGGCAAAATCCCCCCTCTCAAAAGTAAAGGTATATTTCAGAATGGGCTGTTTAGAGTGCAGCATATTAAAAAAGACATTTTTCAATACTGCTCAAAACAGGATCCTTATTCTTAGGATGCCAACTGTCCTACTATTCAACCCATCGTCATCATTCAGTAACACACCAGTGTGAACCTAAGTGGCTTCACACCATAAACAATGCTGTTATGTGCAATTTTCTGTTCCTTGAGAAGGGTAGCATTGTGTCATCTGCAAGACATTAGAAACCCAGCAGGTAAGGCAACCAAAAATGGAAATATGACCTTTCTTCAAAAGGAGGACAAGAACTCACTGAATTTCCTAAAGATGCAACCCTTGACTCTAGGCTTCCAAGGAAGCAGAAGTCAATATTTAATAGAAAGGATTTTGAGAAGCAGACATTAAGCAACGCTATTCCCATCAGATGAAGGTCTGCTTGGTGGGGGAGTTAATTGCTTAATATCTGTTTTCTTAGAAGCATAACCTAAAAGTTATTTGAAAACTGGCTTGTTCTACAGTTTACTGCTGTCGTAAGCTAAAAATCTCCAGAAGCTTTTGAGTCTTGTGTTACTGACAAACGTACAATGTCACTGAAAGTTACTAACCAGACCCTTGATCTTTCTTTTTTAAAAAAATCAACTTTCAGGGTGCACAGTGTTATTGGTGGGTGTCAAGCAGTATGACACTATTGGCACTAGAGCAGATCAGTGTCCAGTAGTCCAAGCAGAGAATTCTCAATTGGATATCTCCTCATATATTACCTGGAAGCATCTGTGTCAAGAGTAAGGAGATTTGCGTATATCACACAAACACACAATTCCTTCCCCAAATTGCCGTTTCTTTGCAGCTCTAGAATGTTATTGAGATCAGCAAAGAGTAACGATTCCCATACAGAACCAAGACTGATTGGTAGCTACTACTTTCCTCCAGAGGCTAAAGGGACACGATGCAGGGGAGTAAGAGGAGGAACAGAGAGAGGAGACAGAAGGGAAAGGCAAATAAATAGGCAAGAGTATTGAGGCACCATTTCTTTCTGATGGCAAACGACAAAGAGAGCTATCCTTGCGCGCCATGGTGCGTGTGAAGAAGCGCAGCTGGAAGCCTTCACCTGCCCTAGCTGCAACAAAACATGTCTCTTCTGCATTGGTCTCTACAGCTACAGCATCGGTCTCTACAGCTACAGGTGCTGAAACCTTCCAACAGCCTAATCTCGCCCCCAGAGGCGCACTCCTCCATTGTCTCCCGAGACAGATGGGTGTCAACACATCCTTGGGCCATTGCCCGAAGTAATTCATGTCTGCCAAACAGGACCACTGCACACGGGCTAAAAGGGATCCAGGAGGAAGCAGCTTTTTCTAAATGATCCTAAGGAAATGCCGCTGCTTGCAGTCCCTTAAGATTAGTGCCTGAAGTGCAAGGTGCCAAGCTCCCCTTATTCTCCAAGAGTCTCCTCAGCTACAATTTACAAGGTGGGCCTGACTGGCAAAAATTAATAGTAGTAAGAGTAGGGGTTTATGCATTTCATTAGGAACCCCATGATATTTCCTCCTACAACTTACCTCAAGCATGCCAAAGAGCCACCGCACTCAATCAAAATCTTGTTTTTTCACCTCTGTGTACAGTGTCCCTGAAAGGTTTGACTCTCATTGAATTCCTCAGCCTTTACTTTTTATTTCAACTGCATGCAGGGTAACCCTTTGAACCTTGACCGGGGGGGGGGGGGTTGAGTGTTGTTTTTCTTAGCAACTAAAAGAGGCTGAGGGAGTTCTCTTGGCCTAAGCTAATTTTATGCCTAATTTTAGACATCTTTTCCTCACAGGGTTCTTTGACACATATGTTTGAACCACTGTGCCAACTCCCAACTTTATGAATGCAGCCCTGCTATTAAAGCAATATAGTGAAGACGACTAATGCTGCCAGATTTAAATACAAAAAAAGTACTGTAAAGCACTCACTCTTCAGCAGTGTGTTCCTGACAAGCAATTGGAACGCGTACGATTTTTGTTTACCAAATTTCAAGGGATAGCAGTTCTGGTCTCTTGCAGCAAAAACAAAGTATTGGAGGAACCTTAAAGGCTAGATTATGGCTTAGCCATTGGTGGGCAAGAGCCCAAGTCAGATGCATAAAAAGTTGCCGCAGTTGTGGAGTTTATTTACACATACATGTACAGGGAGTGGGGGGCGGGATGTAGACAGCAAGGCAAAAGGGGCCATGAGATAGATGCAAGCAGATTCTATCCTCCCACTTGGTGATAATGGTGGCTTTTTCAACTACAATTTCTTTGCACAAAACCGTTATGGAGAGAGCATGCCAAGAGCAGGAAAAGCCCTAACAAACACACTCATGTTCGAGTAGGCTGCTAGGACTGGAATGCTCCAACAGAATTTAGGGGAAGAGCAACATGCAACAATTTCACCCCCACTCTCAAGTAAAGTTTCTTCCAGCAGAACTGATCATATGTCATCATCCCACTACAGAAGCTTGCCCACGATGGATTCTCACCTCAAAAAAATATTAAGTATAAAGCAGCAAGGTTTTTTTTTATAATAATAAACAGAACCATTTAATTACATTGCTTATCTTAACTGAAAGCCAGACATCTACTCAGGTGACAAATTTGGGAGAAGGGGGAGAGGCTTTATGAACACTTTACATCTCTGCAAGAGTAGAGTATGAAATTGCCTTTTTGCATTCCCATGCTTTGTGTATGGAAATGCCCTGTGAAAAGTACTACGTCCTCCCCATTCTGTTCCAACATAGATCACTGGAAGTGCTCTCACGGTACATTACAAACACAGGATACATCCATACAAGGACAATAATGCTTTGATCACTGTAGGAATGCCACATGCAATCCAGAAATGCAATTTGTATGCACGCACCATACTCTTATCACAGTTCTGAGAAGCATTACATTTCTGAGGGACTGGTAATGTATGTTCACTGTTCACACAAGGAACTTGAGCTTCAGGAAAGACATAATACACAGTTGGCTTGCCAGCACCACACTCCCATCTGCAGGGAACATTTAAGTGCTTTTCTAAAGCAACATTTCCTCCGCATTTTAATACAAGTCAGTCTACGTTTCTGTTGGGGTACTAGGTTTCTGGGCAAGCAATAACCCTGTTACTGCTCCTCCTAAATAATTATGTGCTGTCATGGCCACTCATCTGAACACTTTTATTTCTGAACACTCTTTTAAAGAAGAAAGTGGGAAGTGACGTGGTAATGCTGCAAGAGCTCTTGATGGAGACTGAGGGAGGAGATGAGAGATTAAGTTATGTTCAGTTTCTTGCATCTCTGGGGTTAGCACACGTGGTATAGCAACAAAATAGTGTATTAGGTAGTTATGTCAAGGGCTATCACAAAATATTAGCTCTTCTGGCCAAGAGTTTGATTCACAGGGGGCCAAGACAATTAGAATTAAAGCACTGTGTGTGTACTGAATCTTATGTCAAAGTTAACACTGGGGTTATTAGTCCCATGTTGCCCATTCACAGCCCTCTGCTACCAACAAGGTGTTTTGGTGAGCTTGGGCATTCTAAGTGGCAGCTGCCTACATACTTCCGAGTTGTTCACAGATTTTCAATGCAAGCCAATTTTTGAAGTAGCATCGTGGACCCCTGCGAGCGTTGCCATGGACTTTTAAGACCAAGTACCACATTTAAAATAAAAGAAGTGACTAGCACACAAGACACCATGCCAGCAAAGGTCTCTCATAAAAGTATTGCGACTTGATTTTTTCAGTTAACTGTACTGTGGTTAAGACTGGGTTTAACCATCTATTGGTACAGTTACTACCATCAAGTCACAAGTGGTTTCAGAGGATAAATAGTTTCGTTTGCCCAAACTCAAAATTTTAGCATCTAGATTACAATTATCTCTACAAGTGACATGCCAAATTGCCTCCTGCAGAATTTAGTACTTTTTATGAGATGAGACCATTCCAAAACTATTAAACATGAAGTGTGTCAGTACAAAGTTAACTCACCATCTGTTTTAAGACAAGAATGCAGGAAAGAAAGTACACAGTCAGTGAAAGTGAAACCATTTTATATATTAGACACCAATGAGTTTTTGCATCTGCTTGGGTATGGATATTTTTACGTGGTGATTAGGCAGCACCTGGAAGATCACATAGCTTCTAAGACTAGCTGCAACAGCTTTACTTTTTCAGTTTAAGGACTCTAAACCAACATGCAACACAATCCAAGCTTTATTTAGTAGACATTTGCCTTCCCTGCCACCCCAAAATACTGCCCTGCAAAAGCAGTACTTGGCTGGAAAAGATACCCATAGGTATTGGAATTGGTGGTGCCTATTGATTTTCCCAGCCTTGAAAAAAGTAATTCAAAGCTTACTCTACAATAGCAATGTCATCTTAAAATTAACCTAATAATTTGCTTTGACAAGTCCTACATTAAGCATACTTTCCAAGCCACTTCATTCCTAGTACAACTCAATCCCATTATTTGCAGCATTCCCTGAATGATACAATGGTTACCAAAATGCAACCAAATCTTAACATACTGCACACAGGTTCAAAGCAGAACCAATACATGTGCTGCTGCACAACAATCCTCCCAAGATAATGCAATGAAAATAAAACTTACCTTTCAGAGCAATTACTTTAGAAGCTGGATTCATGATGGCACTTTCTGCAGAGATTGGGCGCCTGATAGGAGTGGTTGGATCGCTCATGTCTATGATCACAACCTGTGCTTGCTCACCAACTTTTTCTCGAATACATATGAATTTATCAGATTCCATTGTTAAGGTACTGAATCCAATGTTTGCTGGATTAATTCCAAGATTTTGGAGCTGTAAAAATAAGAAAAGTATTGGTAAAAACCTTGCATGACCACAGACAAGGACTGCTTGGCGGGGAAATCTGCACGTGGCAAAATGCCACCATGCCATCACTGTTTATTCCTAGAACAGACACTTCTCTCTGGGGAAAGAGGTATTAGGAGCCGTTGACTACACAGGTTTTACATATATCTTTGTGATCAGAAGGCAACTCACGGTGATCATGGAGTTGGTTTTCTTCACAGTGTGGCTCACTTAAACCTTCAAGAACTACTCTATTACATTAGATGTGGGGGCAGATAAGCTATTTGTGAATATGGATCAAGTATATCCATGCAAAGATTTGCAGTGTTCATGGGACTGCTTCACTATGCATCATGTTCATAACCCAGCCCATTGACTATTTACATTTTTAACAACCAGTTGTAGGTGGGATGCATAGCTTGCACCCAGTGAAATTAATAGTAGTCAGATTCTCAAACCGCTATTGGCATATGTACAAGATTCCAGTAGGGTTCAATACAGAAAAAACACTCACCAAAACAACAACAAAAAAACACACACCAACTAACCAACAGCCTTCATCTAACACCTAAGTCAGTGTTGTATAGCCTTCATGAATCCGCACTGCGTGTTGCGGAAACCTGGCTACTATCTCCATCTTATCCCCATCCTGAGAAAATGTAATGAAGGCTACATTCTATGTGAAATAGTAGTCAACATTCTCTTCAAACCAAGGACCAGATCCAACCAATTCCTACAAGAACAAAGCAGTGTCTTGTGGCACCTTCAATACTTAACAAATGTATTAGGTCATAAATATTTGTGGGTTGGCACCCATTTCATCAAATGCACAAAGGACCTGGTTGTGGACTTCCCATAAGCAACTGGTAGGTCACTGTGAGAACAGGCTGGAGGGCTAGATGGGCTTTTGGTGTGATCCAGCAGAGCTCTTCTTGTGCTTTTCTCTGGTGAAGTGGATGAGAGGCCATGAAAGATGATGACACAATTCATTTGTTAAATCTTTTAACATGTTGTTTATTTAAGGTACCACAATATTCTGTTTTTGCTTCAACACAGCCTCAACACACCCACCTCTCTGGAAATAGATTCCTAGTTACCAGAGCAGTTTGTTAACATATGTTGACTCAGAGCCACTGGCATCTCTGGCATGGAAACCCTCTGTTATACGCTGTATCACATGGTACCAATTCCCCCAATATTGAAGCAGGGTTCAACATTTCTAGTTTCGCTCAATCTAGTTGCTTTATTCCAGATTTCATAGCAACTTGCACATCTCAAACACACATGACCTTCACATTCTTGCTGAAAGAATGTTTTTGCAGGGTTACGTTCCCAAGCTATTGTGCTAATCTTCCCCATATTTATTATTCCAGCGTTTATTAGCTGGATTGTATGCCATAAATGGCAACATGTTTAGTGTATAGCAAGTCTATACACTGAAGCAAGTTTTATCCGCACCAACAGGAAGTAGAACGTTGTGGCCTGTGTGCAACTTCAATACGCCTCATTTTAAATCCATTCAGTGAATGGGACCGAGGGAAGTTCCTTGCTTTAAGTTTTCCGTCAGCAACCCTGTAGACTTGTCCTAGAAAGACAGGAATCTGCTAGTACAGAGTCAAACCATTGGGTCCATCTAGCTCAGTACTGCCAATATTGAGCACCAGCAGCTCTCTGGGGCTTCAGGCAGCGAGTCTTCCCCAGCCCTACCTGGAGATGCCAATGATTGAATCTGGGACCTTCTGCATGCAAAGGAGATGCTCAACCACTAAGCTATGATCCTTCCCCCAATAAAGACAACCATTTTCAAGCATTTTGCTGTGGGGAACCAGCCAGCGACATTGTACGTTTGTCAGTAGCACAAGACTCAAAAGCTTCTACTGAAGATTGTCTACTTGAGATATTTAGCTTTTGACAGAAGTAAACCGATTACAGTTAACTATGAACCAGGAACCATCAACACAGAAGTCCAACAAAAAGCAAAAGAAGGACCCACTAAGCCCTTGAATATGATTATTTCTTTCTAAAATTATCCAACAAAACATACGTTAAAAATGAAAGGAACTGATAGCTGGAAGGCATGCAAGTTGCAGCATCTTAGAGGTGCTATATGAATCAATTTAAAGTTTCTCCAACACCCTGTTGAGTTTCTCCAACATCCCGCTGAGAGAGTAGGATAAGGAAGGACAGGGCTTGCAAGTTCTTAAATTTAGCTTGTCATATTCACATTAATTTTTTTATACAATAAATGTTCAATTACATTCCTTGGTACAATTGTCCCAGAAAAAAATTACGAAGATCCATCAGTTTGTTAGGGTTGGAGGCTCATTCATTCAATTTTGTCTGTTTTATCTTTTTCTTTTGCTGCAATCTGGGATACACATCTTACCCTTAGACCTCTTAATACAAATTGCTGTATTTAATTTTTAAGGTTTCAATTGTCCATATTATATTGTCGGTATTCTAATGTTTAATATGGCTATTGTGAGCCTGGGGGTGGGGGAGATGCCTCTCTGTGGGAGGGGCGGCAGAAAAAATGGAATATCTAGGCTCACTTTAATCTGGGTTTAATTCATGAAGTGTTCTGGGAGACAGATGGGAGGGGTGCAACCTTTGTTGATTCTCCTGGATGTCTTCGTGACATTTTAAACCACTGACCACTGTATTCTCCTGAGGCAGCTCTGTGGGTTCAGAGACTTGACCCTCTCTGTAGGACTGCAACCAGAGAGTAGCATTGTGAAACTGCTGCTCAACTCCATGGTGTTTATGCTATGGAATCCAGAGTGTTACCTCTTGTCTCCCATGCTGTTTAGTATCTGTACAAAGCTACCAGGTGAAGTCATTCAGGGATTTGAAGTATAAGTTCATCAATATGTTGCCAACACCCAGCATGATCTTAATATCAGGAGAAGCTGTACAAGTGCTAGATGAGAGCCAGTGAGCTGAAGCTGAATCCTGACAAGACTTGGGACCCAAATACATGAAGGAATGTCTCTTCCCATATCTGCTAACTTAAGCATTGATATCTGATGAGTTGTCTCTTCTCAGGGTGAAGTCCATTGTGTAGTGACACAGGAGAAGGCCTTCTCTGTGGTGGCACCTGCTTGCGAAACTACCTACTGTTTGAAATGCGGCTGCCTCCCTCTTTGCCAATTCTCCAGCATTAGTTAAAGACGCATTTCTGTTTTTACCCAGGCATCTGAGTTACATCTAAAGCTTCACTTTTATGACTGCTGCTGAATTTAGTGTCCTGTTTGCAATGTTCATGTTTTAATGTTGCACTGTTTTTATATCTTGTATACAATGCCCATGGTTCTATGGAATGAAAGGTGGCCTAAAAATAGTATCTAAAATATTGTGCTCATTGTATTTGTCTGCTTTCTGTCAGCAGCTTTGAGCACAGTGTATATACAGCACATAAGCAAACTGTTTACTGAGAGAGACAAACATATTTCCAAGTTTTATCATGGAACACCAAATAAGCAAGAAGAGGTTACCCCTTGCCATATTTATTTGCCATCCAGTTACGGCAACGTTCCATTCTTACATCAACAGGCAGTTTTTACTGCACTTACATGCTGTTCTCATGAGACATGACTGGAAACGGTTTGTAATAGGCATAAAAATAGCAGCTAATAGAAATGTTGTATTACCCCTTCTATAATTTAAAGTGTGTTTCCTTCTGCATACCACCTACACACACCCCCACCCAAAAGAGAAGTAATTCCATAACTAAAAGTTTGATCACACCTTTGTATGAAATAAGGGCTGCTATCAAAACAGTACCTTCTGGTTTATCTGGTACAGCTTTCACGACATTTTCAAGTCCTGCCCACAAACACATCAGTATACTTGCTGTACCATCTTTAAATCTGCAGAGATTATTCAATCTCATATAGTCCTGCAGAGATCATTCAATCTTGTACAGTATAGCCCTAACTGGGCTGACTAGAGATGACAATTTCCATGCAGAAACAATCAGATCCTGCAGGGTCTGTGTTCCATATTCACAAACATGAAGAGTCTTAGATTCTTCAGTAGCAATGGCAGAAGCATGGGAAGGTATCTATATAAGCTATTTTCAGAAAGGTGGAAATCTGAAGGCCCTAAGGGGGCCTTTAATCTGGCTCAATGTTCTAGGCAGGTCACTTTATATCCGCCCTTCGGTGTTCCTATTAAATGAAGTTTTTCTGTAGTCAGACCAGCTCTGAAACTCTACCAATATTCTACTAGCTGACAAAGATAGATAAAAGGCCAAGTAATCCCCAGGGGAAACTGCAAAGAGAGCAATTACTGCAATAGTTATTCTTTTCACAGACCTGTAAATATTTGGACACTTCTCCATTATACACACTTTTCTTTTTCCAATTCAGTCATGAACCTTTTTGCCCAAGGTATTCCACAGCGATGTAGTGTTCCACAACTGAAGTAACTGAAAAATGTACAGAGCTTCTAAAAACTGCGTCTTAAAGCGGCAACATCCAGCTTCATTTTTTCTACTACAGCTTCTTTATTTTCTCCACTCCTATTTTGTGTAACACCTTGCATGATGAAGAGTTGTGGAGAGGTGAAAAGCTTGCCACTATTCTGTGACATAATGCCTGATCCCAGTGAAGAAATTACCCAACCTTTTAGAGCATCTCTAGTTATTACAGGCTGAACAGCCTTTCCCCTGCAATTGCCTGGGGTGGTAGTGGTAGAACAACTTAACTCTCAAAAGGGCCTGTCAAGCTGCCCCCAAACAAAGGTCATTCCCTCTGAAGGGCTTGCAAGGCTTCAAGTTTATTCAAAGACAAAGCCAAGTCTGATCAGTCATTGTGCTGGGGGATGGAATGAACAACTATTCTTCAAGCCTCTATGCCTGCAACCCCAGCCAGACATATCTAGTCATCTCCCACACCTCCCTCTTCAGTTTCTGATTATTCAACAATTAGCAAGAACTCCAGCACATGTAACGCAAAATCAGAGGTAGCCCAAACCATACTTTGCAAGCACATTTTAGCCATGGTTAGCAGATCAGGATGGAATTCTCCCCTACACACCAAGACTTGAAGGCCAAACTGTCTTGAAGGCTAAATTAAGACCATCCCTTTTACTATTGTGTAGCAGAGAAGTGGTCTTCACAACCAACTCTGTACTCTTGCAGAGCCTTCGAAGTGAAGGCGTGAGCATCTTCAGGAGAAGCACTGCACTTTTATTTTCTGAGTAAATGTGAAGAAGCCTGAGTGAAGCTTAGGGAAGGAAGAACACAGAATCAAAGTCTCCTTGAGATTATGTTTTAGATACACTGCAGCAAGGTGAGCTCTCCAAATACAGCAGGAGATATACAACTGGGGGGACTGAGGGTGGGGGAGAAGAGGCCACACTGCATTTACAGAAGTACACAAGGGGCTTCTTTAGTCAAGGTGTTGGCTGCTTTTTTAAAATTGCATTTAATGTTCATATGTAGGAAAAGGAATACCCCCCACCCCAATACAGAAGAAAAGATTCTATACAAGCAGATTTTATCCCTGCCTATATTATTCACGTACCCAATTTCCAGTGGGAATCATGTGCAATTATGATAGGCAGGCAGCAAATACTCCAATATAGGAATGCAAGTAAACATGTACTTTGGGGTCACACTGGCTGTCTCCATGTGCAGCTTCAAAGAATTAACTGAACTATCATGTGCATGCAGCCTGAGTACTGCTGCTTCACACTTCTCGTCTTGAGTGGGGATACATACCATAAGCACTAAGTTAAAACCCTGATTTGTTATGCCTAAACAAACCACAAGCAGGAAGCAATGGTTTCTTGGTCACTTCCCAAATGTGGCTTGCCTGGGCAAAACAAACCACAAGCATGGGTTCAGATGTAATGCTAAGCCAGCCATTTGTCGTTTTCTTCCCCATTCGAGTAAGGTCGGAGCAAAGCAGGGCCACCTAGGCTGTATTCACAGGATAGTTCAGTAAACCATGGTTAATGGCTTAGCTGTTACCAGTGTTCAAAACTCCCAATGTTCTAGGCACATCCTAGGCGCAATGTTCTAGGTCTCCACCCTCATCATTTTGCCCGGCACTGGACCTCAGGGCCTTCTGGCGGTTCCCTCACTGTGAGAAGCCAAGTTACAGGGAACCAGGCAGAGGGCCTTCTCGGTAGTGACGCCCGCCCTGTGGAATGCCCTCCCACCAGATGTCAAAGGAAAAAACAACTACCAGACTTTTAGAAGGCATCTGAAGGCAGCCCTGTTTAGGGAAGCTTTTAATATCTGAAGGACTATTGTATTTTAATCTTTTGTTGGAAGCCACCCAGGGTGGCTGGGGAAACCCAGCCACATGGGCAGGGTATAAATAATAAATAAATAAATAAATATTATTATTAATTGTTGTTGTTGTTTTGCAACAGGGAATTTCATTAGCACAAGCAGTTTCTGAGCTCTTGGTGCAGTACTGCGCCTAAGATTTCAGATTAAAACTGCAGAGTAGAAGAAAAGGAGGACCTTTTTCTGCCTCCTCACTTACAGCTACTCTCTGTAGACTGGAGAAGAGACTCTCTTAAGAATATTAGGGGCTGGGCAGGGGAAGGACTAGACCATGTGAAAAATGAACAGTTTAGCTGCAGTTCATTTTCAGCTTTTTATTTTCGTTATATTAAAAAAAGCACGCCTAGACATTCTATTGTTGCACCCATAACCTATGTTTAAAGTGCCATTTAGCTCCAAGCTTTCATATCTCAGTTTCTGACACTGGCTGTTACCTACTAACAAAGCCCATGCAAAGTAAGTGGTTTGCTACTACACAACCATTAGTGAGAAAATGTTGCCAGAAAACTGGTAAATCAAAACTATTTCCTAGCTATTTGTTCCTGCACAACTGGATGGAACTGATGAAGAGAATCGATGAAATCAGTTTTGAAGCCTCAGTGCTGCTCCTTGAACTTTCAGCACGACTGCATTCTCCTTAGGAAATTATTCTGTCAGAGAGGGGTTCTATTCAGATACTGATTTGCCAGCTACTCATCTAGAAGAATGTGTAGGTGTGCTCATGGCGTTTTTGTCATAAGATGCTGGGAGACTTGAAATGCTTTCAGTGCTTTGCACCAAGGTTCTTGCCTTAAGACCATAACCTTGCATGTTGTCTCAGGGATGTCTTAGACAACTCATCTCACAGGTAGGCTACCTGATCTAAACATCAGAAATTCAAGGAATGCTAGTAGATGCTGGCATGCAGTTGTTACTTATGCCAGGCTTTCACAAAAGTAATAATTAAACATCACAAACTATTTTAATCAGACGAACAGGATATTCTTCCGCGTTTCCATTTCATTTTTGAAGAGATTTAGCTCCTCCATGACTCTCCAAAAATCAACACAACCGAACTATGCCACATCCTTTGAATGAATTGGAACTTGAAGGTGGCCCTCTTCGGGCTCTGGGGATGGTCTCCTCGCAAGCCAGAGGCACAGCAGGGCTTTGTTGAGGCTGTTCAGCCTTCCCACCTAGCAGCTGACATACAGGGTAGTGCAGCAGCAGCAGCAGGCACTTTCCCACGCATCAGCTGTTAGGCAGGTAGGCAGAGCATCCAAAACAAAGCCCCTCTCTCTTCTCTGTCCTCTTCAGGCTCCGGGGAGGGTCTCCTTGCGAGCCTTGTGTTCCCACACGTGTGTGCAGTCACACTCAAATAGATTGTGCACAAGTGAGGAGTTGCCTGTACTTTGATTTCCCTCTTACACCATGATCTAGAAACAAAAATGCAAATACTTCCAGGGCAGAATTCTAACCCAATGAACTCCACATACACTTCAAAAATGTTTTTTCAGGCAAAAGTTGTGGGTCAGCTGCTCAACAGAGCACAGCTTTGGGGTAATATGGATCTGAAGAAGATTGGATCCATTCAAAATCAATAACTGAGTACCATATGGTATGTCATCCTTTCTGTTAAGGGACAAAGCTAATCTATTGAAGTTGGCATCTTTAGTAAATAGTAGGACTATTACTGGATTATGTTATCCAAAACAAATGGGCAGCCACAAAGCAGCCAGAATATCAAAGGTAGCCAGGAAAACAAACATATATAGTTTTGGGCCTGATAAGGCAGTGTATCATGGATTTAGGTTTATGAGTTATTGGCAGAGATTAATATATAAAGACTATCTCCTTTCAACCTAAAGCTGAGTATCAAGAGTTCTCTTCTACCATACAGAACCAAACTTAACTATCCAAAGTGTGCAAGAGTAATTTTCCTGGCAAGATTGCATAAGACAAACTATTTGGTTACATTAGGGCAGTTCAAAGTGACACCCCTTTAACAGTACAGTCTATATAATTGCCCTGGACAGGCAAAGTCACTGAGTGTGGGAAAGAGGCTCGACTGGGAGAGGACTTACTGGCCTTTTTGCTGACAAACCAGATCATATTTGACTTGGCTATCATTCTATCTGCTGTTTTGTTTATTAAATGGGCAAAATCCCATATGATCGCCAGCAAGATTTCAATAGTGAAGAGAGATGAAGAATGTCAGATAGTAGGGGACTGTCAACTCTGTTATTGAAGTGTTGAGTTAAACAGTAGATGAGTAGGGATTTTTTTGTAATTCATGTTACAGTAAAATGTATTGGGTATTGCAATGGCTTATGATTACATATGAAAATACTGTATAGCACCTTTTATGATTGGCAATGGCATCTCTAAGCCAGAGATGGTCAGCCTGTGACCCTCCAGAACTCATAGTTCCCATCAGCCCCTAGCCAGCTTGGCCAGTGGTCAGGGATGATGGGAGTTTTAGTCCAATAAGATCTGGAGGGCCACATGTTCCCCATCCCTGGGCTAAGCAATAAGGATCTGTGGAATTACAACTCAAGAAGGTAGGCAAACGCCCCACAGATTGATATAATTCACTCTACATATTGCACCAAGTTGTCCAACAAAACAACAACCAGCTTGAGGGATTCTGGAGTCTATTTTAAGAGTGCTTGTAACTATATTATCTTCCAGTTAAAATACAGTTTTAAAATGTAATTTTAAAAGAGTTATCTCATTTTCTGTTGAAACACAAGTAAAAGGTTAAATACCAAGCCTACATGATAATAAATTGGTCTGCTTCCCCCCCTCCCAAAACTTTGTAGACGATCTGAAAGTCTCCCAGGAAGTTGTGTGGGACAACAGAACACCCAGAGTACCCATTTAGAAAAGTGTTTATGTTATTTACCCCACAAAGAAAGATACTGAGAGATGTCCACACCATACACACCAATCTGTCAGTACTGACCCTTCTAAAACTATACCTGCAGCTTGTGTCTGGTTAATATACAGAAATCCAGTATTTCGAGTCTGAACCTTTTTCCTTTATATATGGAATGCCAGCGTTAACACTGTCTTGTTACAGCAGTGACCATATCAGTATTTAGTGCAGTCACTCATGTTCAAAACTGAAGTTCAGCTTATCCTTTATTGTACTTATGGCAGTGATGTTTCCATCACTCACTGACCAAGCTGGTGTTATGGCTTGTGCAAGTTCCGCTAAGTTAAAACATTGCACAGGTCCTGGCTAGTACAATTTAGTGGTTGAGTCAGATTAGGACTGGGGGTACAAAAATATAAATCCCTACTCAGCCATGTACTTCACTGGGTGACCTTGTGGCAGCCACCATCTTTCAGTCTAACCACCTCACAGGCTTGCTGTGATAATAAAATGGAGAGGGGGAAGGGGCTATGTACACCATCTGGAACTCTTTGGAGGAACAGAGGGACATAACTGAAATAAATATTGAGAAGCTGAAGGACCAGAAAGCCCAGCGGCTAATGAAACCGAAGAAATTATGCAGAATGCGAAATCAACTGAAAAAGGAATCTGGAAGGCAATTAGCTGAAGAACAGTGATTGAACTAAATCAGAAGAATTTTTTAAGAAAGTTTGAAGATAGCCATAGAATCGAAGTGATTTGCAGTGTTAAGGAATCTACTGGAAAGTCAAGCTGAATAGAAATGTGATACTTATGTGCAACTAATACTTCCTGTGAATCCAAATCTGAGACTTAACTCATGTGGAGTACAAATGTTGGGAGAATTTTAAGTCTGCAATCCTAGGCATATGTCTCACTGAACACAGTGGAACTTACTTCCAAGTCAACACGCACCCGACTAATAAGCCCTTAGTCATTAAGCTTACTTCCCACACCCCAATTTCATTTTTACGGTATTTTGTTGCTGTTACTCAGCTATATGGAGAAACGTCTATAGGACCAAGTGCGTAATACAACTACATCTTGTGTGCCTGGGAACTATGAAGCACTTAGCTCATACCACTCACTAGGGGAAACCTAAGATGTTTAAACAACACTAAATGAGAAATGTAAAATTCAGCACCCAGTACTAAACACTGACAAAAGGCATGGTGTCACCAGGCAGTTCACATTTTGAAATGGATGCCTCTGTCCTAAGAGGGGAAGGGAGGGGTAAAGGAGGGAGCATTTGCCAAGTCCACTTCCTGTTCTCTCATTCATTGAGAGAATTCCTTTAATTCCTGCCATAAACTGCCTTTTCTTAAGCAAACACTTCCCCCTACACTTGATTCAGAGCAATCTCTCTCTCCTCTCCCCACCCCAAATAGCAGTTCTTTCCCGTAACTATCTGCAGTCTTTGCCTCACTATTTGAGACTGGGATCAATTTCCTTAAAGCAGCCCATCCTCCAAGTGAGTAGCGTTGTGTTCTTGTTTTTAAAGTGGCATCAGGAATGCTTCTAGAAGAGACAGAAGTACTGTAGAAGGGAACAGATTTCCAGAGCCCTGCCGTTCTCGGGAACAAGATGCAATCTATTTGCTCAATCCTTCCCCATCTTGCAGATCCATTTGCAGGGCTCAGAGGTTCCCAAACACAAGCCGCGGCCACCACCCCACAACCGATGGATCGGCCGGAAAAAAAACCAGAAATGCAGGGACGCAGGTGCGGCCCGTTTTCCATGCTCTAATGTGAAGATGTCCTTCTCTGCACTCCCTTCCCCACAAATATTCCTTATGGTGTAGTAATGCAGACAAGCAACTCGGAGCCTCCCTCTCCATACACACCAAAAAAAGAGAGAGGGGGAGGAGGAGGGGAGTCAGTCATTCAGGCAGCCAGTGACTCTGCACAAATACCCGCAAAAGGCTGCCATCAAAAACTAGGAAACATCACCAAGCCAGAATCAGGTGCAATAAGGGCAAAATAATTGAAATGAAGAGCACGACTCTGATTTTACAATATGCATGTGCGTGTATATATGCGTCTGTCTGTCTTCTATCTATCTATCTATCAATCTATAAATATATGTTCCCCACCACCATTCCCCAAGCGACAAATTAAAAGCCAGGGAAGGCTTTGCGCCATCCTGCCTGAAGGAGGAATGAATACAGGGTTATAAAAAGGAAACAATAAAAGGTTATCAAACAATAAAGGCTTATAAAAACGAAAGAGGAGAGCCCCCCCACCCCAACCCCACCACCCGAGAGATGCCTGCCTGCCCCACAATTCATCCTCTCTGGCCCTCTTCCCCACCCCATCCCACCCCCCTAGAAGGGAACCCCTCGCCCTTTCCCAAGGAGTCTTCCCGCCCCTCAACCCCATTCAAACCCCTCCCCCAGGTGGGGGGGAAGCCCACCGCCACACTAGGCCGCAAGCCACCCACCCACCCTTTCCCCTCCATTCCCCATCCCCTCAAGGCTGAAATGAGTGGGGAGGGGGGGAGGAAGATGGGGGGAATCCCTTTCCCCTCACCCCACCCCCCAATAGTTGCTCACCTGAAAGTGCTCCTGGAATCTTATGGGGAGTATCTGAGCCATTGTGGGGGTTTGGGGGGGGGAGGAAACAGCCCTCTCAGAGAGGAAGAAAGGGGGGGGACTCCCAAAAATAAAGAGAGAGAGAGAAGCGCAGGAAATCTCCTGAGGTTTAAATTATAAAAAAAGGGAAAGGAAAGGGGAGGGGATGTGGGAGGGGGCACGCTGTGGGTCCGGCGGCAGAGAAGGGAGCCGCTGCCTGCGCCCCACACACACACATATACACGCGCGCGCGCAAGGGGAGGTGGGGGTTTGGCTGCTCCGCGAAGGCAGGCAGGCAGGCAGGCAGGCGAGGGCGCGGACTGCGCAGGCGCGCCGCTCGCCGTCCCCCCCCCCCTCCACTCCTCTTCCCTCACCCCCGTTCCGAACGCCGCTGCTCCATCACCCCCGGCTCCCTTTTCTTGTCTCAGGCTCCCGGACCCTATCACCCCGTTCGGAAAAAATCCCTCCGCCCCTCAGGCCAACAAAAATAAAAATCGAAAATAGATAGGAGCGAAGGCGGCGCGACGGCAGGGGGTCTTCTCGAAGCGCAAATAGTCCCCTCTGTGGACCGCGTTTTCTTTTATTCCGTTCTTCAAGTTCCCACCCCCCCTCAAAAAAATAAAAATAAAGCGCGCACGGGGCTCATTTTCTTCTCAAGGGGGGGTTGTCGGAAAAAAGGGCGGGGTTTGGGGGGGTTGCTGAGTTTGAAGAGGGGGGGCACTTGTTTCTGAGGAGAGCTATAGATATATCCTTCCGCCCAAGGCGAAGAGGGTCTGGTCCCTTTCCTGCAGCCGCTTAGGATGGTTTCCATGAGCCCACAGTTATGCTTATCCTGCGCCCCATAGCCAGGCTATTCCCCCCAGTCTGGAAGGAGACTCGTCCTTTGAGGAGCCTGGAATAGCTTTATCGAAGTTGTTGTCAAGTCACACAACCCTTCTATTTCCGTTGCGTCTCTCCTAATGTTGAAATGAAAGCACTTCGGGGCAGAGACCTTCCTTCTTTCCCTCCCTCCTTCTTTTCCTCCGTTGTAAAGCGCTATGTTGCATCCGCACAACGACCCTGCCCGGCACAAATGACTACGGGATCGTGTCTCTTGATGATATCCACGAGATTTATTTCCGAGTTTAAAAAAAACATGGTTAGGATTGTGCTGTGACATTGGAAGAAAAGGAGATTTCTTGCTGGAGAAGGGGAGAGGCGTATTGTGACGCCGCAGACAGTGGTGTGGGGGTAAAAGTTGGGGTTCAGGACCCCCAATAGCCCCAAGGAGAGTCCAAAAGTTGCAGGCAGCTCTGCTGATCCGCTATTATTCACACCCAAATGCACACAAAGAACAGTGCATGGCATTAAACTCAATTTATTAGGATCAGAATAAGTGCCATTCTTGAATGTATAGTTCAGGTTTTTTAAAATAATTTTTATTAAAACTTTCTGTTTTACAATTTAAAATACTCATTTTACATCCTTAAGATTATCAATGACTTCCCTGCTTCTCTTTCCATGGTTCATTTTACACACCATAAACCCCTACATGTTTTACAAAAACTACTATACCATTCAGCATTCCATTATTGCATCCATCAAAACTTATTTACACTGTTGAATTTATCTTAATGCTGCCAGCGTTTTCAGCTTTACAGAATTATTTCCCATATAGTCAATAAACATTTTCCAATCTTCTTTAAACGTATGTTCTTCTTGTTCTCTTATTTTATCTGTTTGTGCATATTCTGTCAACTTAAGTTGTCATTCTTCTTTGGTTGGGACCCCGCTCGTTTTCCATTTGGGGGCTAACAAAACACGGGCCGCAGACTGTGGCATACATAAATCACCTTTTTTTGACACCTGGGAATTTCAGTCTGAATCATCCCCAACAGAAAGGACTCTGGCTTTGGGGGGAAAGTTTTTTGGGAAATGTTTTTTAAACATTTTTTTCAATTCATTTTGGATCATTTCCCAATACCCTTTTACAAGTCCACGACTTATGAAAGAACGTTCCCTCCCTTGAATGTATTGTTTGTGCTGAACTCAGTGGTGCTGACAGTCCTGACTGCATCCTTTGGGCTTGTGAGACACACCTGAGCTTTGACAAAAGACTTTCAGCCGCTTAAAACTTTAATTAGCTGTTAACTAGACATGCAAACTCCCTTGCAAAGACAGGATAGCATTTGAACTGCTAGCATGAAGTAAGGACCCCATCAAAGAAAAGGAAATAAGTCTCTAGCCTCTGGTTCACTGTCTCCTTTCTCTTCCTTAGCTCCCTATGCTAGCCTCAGTATCACCTCACTTACTTGCTTTTATTCCACTTTCACACTCATGGGGAATCTGCAGGACTGTAGCTTGTTACGGGTGCATGTGCATTGTAAGGAATCACACCCTTAACAAACTGCAGTTCCCAGGAAACTCTGGGGGAACCCATGACGGTTAAAGTTGTATAAGAGTTCTTTAAATGACAAATGACATCATCACTCCTGCTCTGAAAAAAATGAAGTCGCGGAATTCTGTGTGTTCCTCTCAGCTATTATTGTCACCATTATTTTATTATTATAATCTCTGTTTTATTAACTGCCTTTTAACCCACCATCTCAAGGTGGCTTCAATGTTAGATAGTTCAAAACAGGTTAAAACAACAAACAAATTTAAAACAAGATTAAAACCCTCACTTATGGTAAATACTCATTTATGCTGCTGGGAAAGCCTGTCGGAGCAAAAATGTCTCCAATTGTTTCCGGAGATTGCAGATAGTGGGCGCTTGTCGTATCTTGACAAGAATGCTGCTCCAAAGAATAAGATTGCGGTGTAAGCAATCCCATAAATGCTTACGTGGGAGTAAGACCCATATAATTCAGTGGGACTGACATCTGAGTAGACATGTCTACAAGCCTACGGCTGCAATCCTGTTGCATACTTAAGTGAGGCAGTAAGTTCCCATTGCCCTCGGCTGTTCAAATTTGAAGGCGAACTTAAACGTTCCCAAGCAACATGCAAATGAAACCACACTTCTCTGAATTTTGCAAGGCATTTTTCAAGCTGAGTAATGTGTACAAAAATGCTTACACCTGGGTAACATATGCCAAAAATTGCATCTATAATGGGAAAAATAACGTACAAAAATTGTGTTAAGTTATGGGAAGTTGCTTTGCAAAAAATTGTGTACAAAATTGCGGACAAGTGTGTATATCAAGAGAAATTTGCACTAAAAGGCTGGTGGATTTTCAGGTGGACTTTAAATATGTATATATCTCTCAAACTGAGGTGGGAATGTGGAGAAGTGAAAAATTATAAACTGATAAAACCTGAAACCGACAGATTCACACATCCTTGTGGAAGAATCTTTGGCCAATTGGCACCCAATTCATCAGATAAACCTGATCTTCCAATAATCTGGGGGGTCATTCATTCAGCCCTGGCTCATGCTTTTAGGGTGCTATTTGGACAGGCCAGCAGTAGGAACGTCCCCTATCCTGCATTGTTCCACCACCTCTTCACTGCTGTCAGTCTTTCACTTGCCGTCTTCCTAATCCAGAGGCTACTGCTCCTTCCTCTTAATCCTGAAAGTTCCCTTAAACTGCATCCACACCATACTCTTAATGCACTCTTACATCACTTTCACTGTCATGGCTCCCCCAAAAGATGTGGGGAACTGTAGTTCGTTAAGTTTGCTGACCTCACGGACCTATGGTTCCCTTCCCAACACCCGTAGCAAACTACAGTTTCCAGTAATCTCAGTGACATTTGAAAGAGGGCTTTAACTCCACCAAAAACTTAAGGTAAAGGGACCCCTGACCATTAGGTCCAGATGTGACCGACTCTGGGGTTGCGGCGCTCATCTCGCTTTATTGGCCTAGGAGCCAGCGTACAGCTTCTGGGTCATGTGGCCAGCATGACTAAGCCGCTTCTGGCGAACCAGAGCAGCACACGGAAACGCCATTTACCTTTCCGGCAGAGCGGGACCTATTTATCTACTTGCACTTTGACGTGCTTTTGAACTGCTAGGTTGTCAGGAGCAGGGACCCAGCAACAGCAGCTCACCCCCATCGTGGGGATTCGAACCGCCGACCTTCTGATCGGCAAGTCCTAGGCTCTGTGGTTTAACCAACAGCGCCACCCGCATCCCACCAAAAACGTAGGCCACAATATAAAAATAAATTGGACTGGGCAGTGCGTTTTTTCCTGGGGGAAGCATACCCCTAAACACTTTGTGAATGTTCGTATTTTGTCCATTTACTGTATTTATTTTTCCCGATTTGAACTATAAAATGGTGATTTTCTGGAGTCAAAATAAGAGTACCCCTAAATATTTTAAAGAAAAAAAGCACTGGGACTAGCAGAGGGGCCCTCAGGGTGGAAAAGGTTCCCCACACCTGGGCTGTAGGCTCAGATGCCAGGTAAACAGTAAATTTGCTGCTTTCCTCCACTTTATTGTGATTTATTTAACAAAAATTAGCTAACAAAATTGATATACTGTTTGATTGTAAATAGAACAATCCTGACGGAAGCCGCTTTTCGTGTTATGCAGGCATCATTCCCTCGTGAGGTTGCTGGGAAGGGGACCGTGCCAAACGTGGAAGACGTTCCCCCAACCACCAGCTTCCTTAGCTTTCCAATGGGCCTTTGATGCAAAAAGTGGTGGTTTGCCTCGGAAGGCGATGGGAGTGTGCCAGCGGCATCTCATCACTCCGCAGACGGGTTGAAAGTACATCAGCTGCCAAGGCTCAGCAGGCCTTGCTGCGTACAACCACAACTGTGTTTGTGATCCAGCGAGCGGGCAAAACCACGAGGCTTTTTAAAGTAGCAACTGCAAAGAAAGCAGCCCTCTGCCCTTTCAAGACCTTGAGTGGGCAGGAGTGGCAGAGTTGGCACCAGCACTGCTGGGATCCCAGCTTCTTCTTCTTCTTCTTCTTCTTCTTCTTCTTCTCCTTCTCCTTCCTTCCTTCCTTCCTTCCTTGGCAATCACTCATACAAAGCCAAGTAAGATTGTCTTCCATAAACGCAGTTTTAACAATGGGTCCGTATGTGACTGACTGTGGAGGCCAATTCTGGATCCACACGTCCTTCCACAGTGGGGACATTGGTTTTCGGGTGGGAGTTGATCACGGTGTGGATTTGCCAAGCGTGCCTTCCTCTCCCCCCCCCCCGCAATAATATTTATTAAGTTTAAAACAAATACAACACATACTGTGAAACCAATAAAACAAAAAGAAAAAGAAAAAAGAAATAAAACAAATATAACAATAATAACCAACAATATAACCACAAACAGATAAACAGTAAAAATTAATTAATTAATTAACCTTCCAACTTCATAAACATATTACTTGACTTCCTCTAATCTCTTCCATTTGAACTTCCTTGTAACTGAATGTGGCAGTTTTCCAGTATCATTATTCAAAAAACAATATTCCGATCATAATCAAATTT